GCCTGTAGTAATATAATACTTTACTTAAATACTTAGTTATAAACTTAGTAGCCTTTTTTACCTATAATATAAAAATAATGCTTTTATAAAACCAGGAGGTTATTATAGTTATTATAAATATTTTAGGTACCTTTAATATTATTTTATTATAATACCTATTTTAATAAATAATAAAGCAAGACTAGCCTCGCGCGCTTTTAGCCTTAATTATAAGTTTTTTTAATAAATAAAGCGTGAAAATATACCTAAAATTTATTATAATAATAATATACCTAGTATATTATAATATACCATAAGGCTTGCCCCTTTTTTAGTATTATTTTTATTATATATTACTAAGCTATTACTAGCAAACCTAATTTTATACTTTAGTTATATAAATAACTTTTATTTTAGCCATGCAAGTAACTCCCTTTATATAAATTATAAGTTTTTAATAAAAAATATTTATAATATGCTAGCCTAGGGGGAATAAAATAAGGTAGCCTTTATATTTAAAAAGCTAAAAATATTATATATTACCTAAAAATAACATGGTAAGTTACCCTTACTAATAATTAATAACTAGCTAATAATTACTTTTATTATTATAGTACTAGGCTAAAAATAGCCTGTATTATACTAGCTAAGTATTTTTTTTAATAAATAGTTTTTTTAATATTAATATATTATTAAATAAGTAACTAAAGCCCGCGTGATAGCCTAATATATTTATAATTTAATATATATAATACACGGCCTGCTTATAAACTTTTTTTATAAAATAATTATTACTTATATTATTCCTAGCCTATTATATAGTATAAAAACATGGTATAATAATAAAACTAAACTTAAAAGACATGCATAAAATTTAAAAGTTAGTGCCTAACTAGGCTAGTATATTAAAGTAATTAAAAAAACCCTAGTACTAGTTACTTATAATATACTTTTAGTTTTTTAAATAATACCTATAATAATTCTTTTTAGGAACGCTAGGTTTCCCTTAGTAATAATAATATTAAAAAAAGCATGGTTATATTTTACCTTAAGGCTAAGGCTAGTTAATAGCTAAAACCTACTAATAATATAAGTAATATTACCTAAGATCTTGCGCGGTTAAGGCGCTAGCTTATATTAAAAATTTAAAATAAAGATATAAATAATAAAAGTACTTTTTTTAAAGACTTTTAGGCTAGTTCTAGCCTATTTTTATTACTTTTAAAAATACCTAAAAAATTCCACTAGCGGTAGGGCTAAAAAGCTAGCTATAAAAAAGTTTAAGTAATAATAACAAGCACTATTAATAATAAAAATAGTAATTTTTAGTAATAATTTTAAATAAATATATTAAGGGGTTTATTATATAGGCTATAGTTTTATAATATATTATAAATAATACCTTTAAGTGCAGGAATTATTAATAATTAGTACTTAATTTTATATATATAACATTAAAGTTATTAGCACGCTTTAAAAACTAAAGGTAGTAATTAAAAAGCTTTTTAAAGCGCCGTGCTACTAGCTTTATATTAATAATATTTTAGTAATTTAATACACACGCGGGTAGCCTTTACTATTTTTAAACTAGGTTTTTTAAATATTATATTCATTTATAAATTAATATATAGTCTGCTTATAATAATCCCCTGGTTATATAAATATTAAAAGAAATAAGCTAATAAATAAACTAGTTAATAAGGTAGCCTTTATAAAAATATAACCCTTAAATATTAATTTTTTAAAGGCTTAGCCTACTATAAATAAAATATATAGCTTATATAAGTAAATATATTATATAGCCTAAATTAAGTAATAAAAAGTATATTTATAAAATTATTTATTTAATATAAATAATAACTTATTATTAAGTTAAAGCCCTACTAGGTTAAGCTATTATTAAAGCTAGTATTAAAATAATTAGTCTTGTATTATTAGCTTATACTTAAGTTTTTATATAAAAACTTTAAGTAATATTATAAGTACTTTTAATATAAAAATACTAGGCTTATTTACTTTTATAAAATAAATAAAAGCCCTAAATACCTAGTTTTTTATTATTACTTTAAATAATACTTTTTATAATAACCCTAGTATTTTATAATATTACTAATAACTAAGGCTAAGGCCTTAAAATATTTTTATAAATTAAAATTTAAGGGCTTTATATTATTACTTAAAATTATAAACTTTTATAAATTTATTTATTTTTACTAGGGCACCCCGCGTTTTAATATTACTAAAATTATTTAATTTAATATTAAATAGTTTTTTTTTTATTTTACTATGTTTTTTTTTTTTTTAAACACTTTTTTTTAATATAACTAGCTTTAGCTAACATGTTTTTTTTATAATAAGGTAAGTTTTTAAAACCCTTTATAATTAAAACCTTAAACATGTAATAAATAATACCTATTAATAATTATATATAAAAATAATATATAAAAAATAGGTACTAGCTTATAAGCTTTAGCAAAAGTTACCCTTTAAAATAAAAAGCCTTTTTATATATAAATTATTTAAATAAATTACTTACCTTGCGGTGGCACGCCCCTATACCCTAAAAAAGGTTTAAAATAATAGGCGTACGCCTAGTAATCCCCGGGGCGTTAAATATTACTACTACTACTACTACTGTCCACCAGTTGTCCAGCCTCGTCAATGCTTCTACTGGCCAATAAGAACTGCAGCTATAAGCCCCAATAACCCTGACTTGCCAGAGTACCATATGGAACATGACAATACCACCTTGTGACGAACAGCATAAGTTATGGCATTAGGCTGCGCAGTCTAGAGCAATTTCAAGTACACAAGTTATGATACACCGACACAAGTAAAGTCTTGAGCTAACGGCAGATCTAGGTGCCATTAGTTTTCCAAGGCTGGGTATCTCTTTACCTCGTCTTGAACCTCGCGGGCCCCGCCCACCTCAACCGCCTCCCAGCAACCTCCAAGAAACCAACTAGCAGCAACCCGAACGCACAAATCCCCGTCATAGTCCCAAACTGCCTCTTCGCCCCCTGCTCCCCGGCCCACGTAACCATAAAATAAGTGACCACAAACACCCCCGTCGTACGACCAAAGTTAATCAGAGCCGCGACCTTTCATGGATACGGACACGGGATGTGGACAGTGTTCACCCGAGGCGCCTAGGCAAATCTGCGCCAATCGTGTCCGAGCCATTACTTGGCAAGATGCATGGGAATGGAGTATGTAGGTAATTGAGAGATTTCGTTCTGTTGTCTCAGCTGCATGCCTACTCACCTTGTAGAGCAATCCGTCTTCCGTAGACATGTCTCACACTCGTGTTAGGGTCCACTGGCCGGCCCGGTCCGCCGTGGAAATTATCCTCTATTGATCGCTGAACATGGCTTTGCGGACTAACCGCTGGTCTCTATGGTATGCATTGGCAGTGCCATACTCTCCAATGGCCCTGGTGGTCGCGGTGCTGCGCCATAGCCCCGGTCGTGAAAGGAACGTTTCACTGCGTTAGCCGTCTTTCCAACCCTCATTCAGTCTCATACCGGTATATAAAGAGAGTCTGGATAATAGGTGCGCATCCCAGCGGACGGCAAGGCGTATTCAATAGGCTATACAACAGCATGGTTGCGTCCTGAAGAGTTTCTTGATCTGAAGCACTAGGTACAGGCATTTGCATTCAGCCTGATGCCCGTACAGCCGCGGCTCTCTGGCACTCAACTCAGAGGGTGCCTGCCGCGTCTAGGCGAGACCTAACTGGCCCTGGCTACTTGCTATGACTTACCTTCGCCTTGTGCCTACTGCAGGACCCGCGCTGCGGTCTCCTTTGACAACATAAGATGCCCTGTGAAATGCTTTCTTACCTGCTAAACAATTCCTCCGCCCTGGTTTTTCCTCTGCTTGCTCGTCTTGTCCCTAGTGCACTGTTTCAGTGATCTCTTCCATAATTCGTCTACTTTGCCGAGGCTGTCTTTGTGATGGTTCAAGCGTACGCTCTTATCCCCACAATAGCTAGGTTCTGGGGCACATGAGTTCCAGCCAGGTAGAACCAGTGGCATCAGTAGTGCTGTCGCCCGTTTGGATTTCCTTCTGCATACTTATTAGCATTCTACTGGACTTGGATTCTCCCCCGGGCGCTTATCTCCGTTCGACGGGCCATCTGTAGAAACACGTGACTTCTGCTTCTTAACCTCCTGAGCAACGTAGAAACTCGTAGGGGTCTATAAAAGGCCTGTGCCCCACGGGTAAGCCAAGCCGACGTGTTCTAGAAATCGAAATCGATTTGTTCGTCGATGGTTGAGTCGTCGAGGGTATCTCGAGGGTGAGTCACGTGTTATACCCAGCCCTGTTTCAAGTCCAAAACATCAAGGGATTCTCTGGCCGGATGATTGTCCAGAATGAATGCGTGGACTTCTGATTATGACATACTATTCTAGCCCGTTCACTGGTCATTGATGGAAGCCAAGGCATACAACTCATTGTGCGGTAGATGCAATAGCGTCTCGAGCCTTAGACATCGCCGGTCCTCGGGCGGTTGACTGACGAGAAGATACGGAACTTTATACTAACTACATCTTCTGATAGATAAAGTGTTGAGTCGGACGGATATGGTAGGATGCCTTGATGAGGAACGTCACACATGCTCCCTCCATCGAAGCTTCAGCCTTGATGACTTTGTAAATCCAGATCAGATGATTGGTTGGTACAAATATATTTATTTGCCCCAACACCCTGCCGATGAGAAGCGAGGAGATAGAAGCATGTTCTCCATTCTTCCAGTCATACGCAGGGTCTTCCTGAACCAACCCATGTCTAATTCTTAGCTGATTCTTATAAACCCGAACCTCATCACCAGCCAATAAGAATTGCGTATTCAACGATTCCCTGCTTAGCCGATGCTTATAAACAGCCCCACCCCCACCCCATCCAAACTATAAGACCCTCTGACCTCACCACCACCAGTATCCTCCCTGCAAAAAAGAATCACCGTTCATCCCTCAGTCACTCCATAACCCATCCAACAGAACGCCAGAAACGCAAGGATGTCCAAACCCCTCACCCACGCCAAAATCCTCGCCCGCCGCTCCGCCGAGCGCGGGTACGCCGAACACGGCGGGTGGCTGAAAACCTTCCACACCTTCTCCTTCGCGAGCTACTACGACCACAACTTCACGAACTTCGGGTCCCTGCGCGTGCTCAACGAAGACCGCGTCGCGGCGCGCAACGGCTTCCCGACGCACCCGCACCGCGACGCCGAGATCTTCTCGTATATTCTGTCGGGCGAGCTGACGCACCGCGATAGTATGGTGCGCAAGGGCGCGGAGGGGGCGCAGGGGAAGGCCTTCTATCGGATGAAGAGGGGTGATGTGCAGTTTACGACGGGGGGGACCGGGATTGCGCATAGTGAGCAGAATGAGAGTAGCAGGCCCGTGCACTTTTTGCAGATTTGGGCGTTGCCGTGGAGGTACGGCTTGAAACCGAATTACCATACGCGGAGCTTTGATGAGGGGGCGAAGAGGAGGGGGTTCGTGCCGATTTTGAGTCCGCTTAAGGCGGGTGTTGGGGCGAGTGCTCAAGAAGAGGAGGAGGCTGTTCCGGCGATTCCGGAGACGATTCCGATTCATGCGGATTTTGTTATGGGGGCGGGGATTATTGAGCCAACGGGCAGGTTTGAGTGGACTGTTGGGGCGGGGGCCGTGCAGAAGGTTAAGAGGAGGAATGTTTATGTCCATTTGCCTATGACGGAGGGGGGGAAGGCGAAGATTCGGTTGGATGGGAGGGATGAGGCGGTGCTTGCGGAGGGCGATGGAGCGTTTATCACGGGCGTCAATGCGGGTGATGTTCTTGGAGTTGAGAGTGTTGGTGAGGCAGAGGCGGAGGTTATTGTTTTGGATAGTGATTAGATTTCGGATATGCTGCATCCTGTATTGTTAGGTGTTTGATAATGTTATGAAGGTCCTCCAAATTTGATACTGCCAATGAAGAAGCTCCAAAATAGAGTCAACATTCCAGCCATCATTGTGAAGGGGACAGCGGCGTTCTGCAAGTCGCTCCTATATCCCAGAGGAAACATCCAGAGGGAAAGGAAGATGAGCAGCGGCAGTAGACATACAACATTGTAGGCCACAACCCACCGGAAAGAAACAATCTCACGGGCGTGGATGCCCAGAAGAGCTGACGCTTGTCTCGATGCACCTCGACTCGAGTTTCCTTTTTTGGGAGTAACTGCAGGGCGCCGGAAGAACACCCCGTACACTTGGTACAGGAGTGGAAGAGGTGAACTGCCCAGTGGTCCGAGCGGTAGCATGCGTAGAACCGAGAGTAGAACTCGTGTGCGGTTATTGGGGGAACGACGTCCATGGGATCTGGCTTGTACTCGTGTTCATCCTTTGTCTTTGGATAATCATCTTTGACCTTGGGGGCATAGGCGGAATCGTCGCATTTATCAAACAACAAGCAGTCATTCAGATGACCAAACAGTAGGGCTGAATAATCGTACGTACCTGGTAGAACTCGCAATGAGAGTATCGCCAGACGCTGAAGTAATTGCGCAGCCGTCCTCAAAGCCGAAAGTAATCTGACCGTAGTCGCTGGAAGAACGTGTTATCATCCACCTGATGGACCCGAATCTGCGAGAGGAAAATCCTATCGCTCCCCCTGACCAAGAGAAGAACATATCCCTGTAGGGTGGACAAAGACTGGATTACTGGCGAAAGACTCTGATTGACGTTAGCTCGGCGTGGCTGGTTCGGTATGGATGGGAGAGGGCCTGGCTTCATCTGACGGGCGGCGGTTGACTGGGCCAGTGGTGTCGGCGTGAGATTCTGGGACGAGCCCTGGTTGGAAGAGGCCGGGCTGCCTTGGTATCCCGGGGAGTGCTCGAGTAACTGGCTCAAAGCCCGCATCCGGGGTGTCTCGTTCAGATACTCTTGGACGCACTGTATCCCGTCAGAGGAAAGATAACCGGGATAGGCAGATCCATCCACCGCTCCTCGCCACAAGTCTAGAGTTGCACTGTCAGAATGCCTCACGTTTCCGCTGTCATGGATGCATACACAAAGCCAATAAAGTCACTTCTCATCCGAGCTCCCGGCGAGATCTCTCATATAAGGCTTCAATGGCCACCAATCCCATTTCATGCCGGACCAGGACTCAACGGCCCCTTGGCAGGCGTTCACCCACCCACGCGGTTCCACGCGATCAAATGACATACCCTCAGGCACAGCGCAGCGAAGCTCTGCAATGAGCGGTCCCCAGTCGAATTGCCCGCAACCTGAGAAGTCCGTGTGTTGGCTTCGTGCACTTGGCCGCAAGCCTTTTGAACCGCTCATGCAGCTCTGGATAGACGACGGAGAACAAGTCGCGGCGTAGTATTTGAGTGGACTCGCAGGTCATCAGTACACGCCGTAAACGGCTCAAGTTGGGGAATTCAATCTCCAGGCCATCATCTTCGTCATTGCTGTCACTTTCAGACTCCGATTCGTTGCCACGCATTGCACTCATAGAGCCGCTGTCTGAATTAGACGTCCCGCGGATATGCGTCACATACTCCTCGACTTTCCTGCGCTAGTCTCGTCCGTCAGGTAGGGCGTCGAGGCACAGAGTCGCAGCGCCGTCTTCACCCATGAGAACTGTGCACAGTCGGTAAGACGCGTTTCTTGCAAAGCGCCTAACGAAAGGCACCAGTATCTACCTGTCGTAGGGATCAGGAAACGGATCGCTCTTCATGTGTATCGCACTTTGCTTCAGGAGACGTCGCAGCTTGTTCTGTACTGTTTCCGCCCGGAATCTGGCGCCGTGCAGGGCATCTTCGCAACAGGAGATAACCAGCCGGTCCTCAGACAGTAAATCGACCAGGATACTCGTTCCGGCTTCTGTCATGTCTCTGAGATCTGCGGAGGTGTGGCTGGATCCTGTTATGTCGGAGAAGACACTGCTTGCTGTCTCAGAAATATCGGAGTCCGCGTCTCCCTCGCTGTCCACCTCGTATTTGTCTTCAGCGACTGTAACTGGCGGGTCTGTGGTCACTTGGTGATGAATTCCCCACAATTCACGGTAAAAGCGACGCGAATCACTGTCCAGTGGAGTGCAATGATCGCACCAATCGTGGCGGCAAATTATACAGTAATCCCTCGGGAACAGGTCGAAGTCATTGAGATTCCCACAGGCGTGGCATATCCACATCTTCGACCGAGGCATGGCTGGGAAGGCTCGACCGGTGTACGGTCGAGGAAGGTAGAGTGGATGAACTGAACGAGGGAAAGGGTCCCTACAGTGTTAGCTCGATACTGAAAGAAAGTGATTGCGATCGCCCCCTCGTCTTCACGGCGGATGAGCTCCTTATAAGACAATCAGCGGCGCTAAACTGGCACCTGCAGTCATCCCACGATAGGCTGGAGTACGCCCGGAAACCAAAGCCCAAATCTGCCTGTCCGCTTCGGGCAGCTGGCCAGTCCTTTAGTAGTCAGGCCAGGCTGAGTCCTAGTTCCTCGAACAGCCTGATTGCTGTTATGTCTGATTACGAGATTGAACTTGATCGGTGCGTCACGAATGATGGTTGCAAGAAGATATCAAGAATCGGCACTAACGGCGATAGAGCACATATCGCTATAAATGAAGCCAGTATACAGCGTTGGGAAAAATACGTAGAACATTACAGTTAAAGAAAGTTATCCAGCCAGCCACCCCGATGACATTCCCAGCCCCGCGCTGTCCAGGGCCTTGTGCAACCCCCGTCTGCCTCAGCACCCAGCCCTGGGTGTTTGATCCAACACCCCATACCTAATCGTTCCATTATCTGGAACCATGAGCTTCATACCCAAGGTCATTGCGAACCATGTCAGAGATTCCATCAGAGTGGTCGACCCCAATACCTGGCTGATCGGCCCCTTGATCCTTCGCCGGACCTGTGGCCATTCCGAGACTGCAACCTGGTATGATCCCGGGGACGATGCCAGTTATACCATTATCGACGCCCCAGCTGTGCATCCCCACGCAAACCCGGTAATGGGTGATGATTCAACCTTCAAGTTGGTCTATGACGCCGGCGACGCCACTGCAGTCTGGTCAGTCGGAAACAGCGCCTACCTGAAGGTGAAACTGAAGGTCGGCGATACAACACAAGAGTCTACAACGATAGCATACGTCCGCTCCAAACAGCCTAGCTTTGCTATCCCTCGTGTGCTGTACGAGAAACAGATCCACGACCGGTACTACCTCGTTCTTACACGGGTCGAAGGCCGAACACTGGCAGAGGCCTGGCCGTCATTAGATGAGAGATGGAAAACCCACTACGTCAATTCCATCGCAGATATCTGCAGCGAAATGGCATCCTGGCAGGGCGAGAATGTGGGTGGTGTAGACGGCAAGGGCGTGCCAGAGGCCTATCTGAACCAGATCCACGGCGAGTACGACTTCACCCCCGAAGCGCTGCTGGAAGGCTGCCAGTCGATCGGCATGGACTGTTCGAAGTTCGTCTTTTACCACGCTGATCTTGGTCCGGGTAATATCATCGTTGAAGACGTGCCCACGACAGGCTCAGTTGGAATCGTCGATTGGGAACTCGCGGGTTTCTTTCCGAAAGGTTGGATCCGTACGAAGTTCCGCATTAGCTCTGGACTCAATCTCCCCGAGGAAGCTGGTGATGACCCGAATGATTGGAGACGGAGAGTCCAACGACGGCTTGGGGAACTAGGGTATGAGGAGCATGTGGACGAATGGCAGCCGTGGTGTTTTCAGGATTTAACGAGCCCTGCTGAGGTAGGGAGCAAGGTTGAAAAGTGAAGCAATTTGAACTATCTCTCAGGCTGGGGATAATGGAGTTTATTCCTTGGAAAAATGCCTTGGAGTGACCCAACAGCAGTGGAGGCACTTCATCTTGTTGATAGTTGTCGGTGATACTGTCTGGCGATTCTGTCCTGCTGTTACATCGGTACACCAAACATAGCCTATTGAAGAATGAAAGACAAGGTCAGATCCAAGCCCTTACGCCATCATTAGCAGTAACCTTAATCTCGAACACTCACCTAGGATCCCCCGGAATCAGGACGGCAGTTATATCGGTACTGTAGGAACTAATTAGATGCATTCACGGCTCTCTAGACAAGGATCGGGATCGAGAGGAATGGAAGGCACAGAATACCACGTACCAGACTCTGCAGGGCCGCGGCATCTGAAGCAGGGGCTGGGGTACTGATATAGTTGCCGTAACAGTCCAGGTTCTATACAGGTAAGCTTGTTTCTGCTTCGCATGCGTAAAACAAGTGCTGCTGCAATTATAAACTACAATAGGCCTACTCATAAAATGGTCAATTCGCTCTTCTAACCATTGCATGCATAGGACCAAACACAAAGCCCAGGTTGTTCCAGCGCACTGGCGACAACCATCCGTGGTGAGTTACTCCCAAACCCCCACCTTGATCTCGTCTTGCGGGTAGGGTGACTCCTGAGGCTGGGAAGCCACCCAGACAGCCCTCAGTTTGCCCTCGATCGCTGATTTCGCCATATCCGAGTCTGTCCGCACTCTAGTAGCGGAGCGGAAACTTAGATTAATGCTGATGATAAGGCAGGGTACGAATAGAGCCCCAAGTACAGACATTGGAAGTGTTGTGAAAGTCAGGTTGATGGGTTCGGGGCGGAAGGACTTACTCCAGGGTACAGACCGGCAGGGCGTAACCAGGCCAGTGAGGCTTGTCGACTGTCGTGACCCTGGCGTTGAGGTCCTGCAGCGCTTCCCAGACCGTCTCCATAACGGGTCCTTGACCTGTTCCCCTAAAAATGTATGGATTATCATCTGGATTGTATGGCACCCTAACACCGGGACTTGCTTACTCTCTGCTCTCCAGGTGATTCGTGCGAGGGTTGGCTACGATCATCTGGCAAGGGCCATCAATGTGACGTCAGGATGATACACAGGTAGGTGGTGGTATTAGCCTCGGGGTAAAGGACTAACAAAGTGAGTCTGTGATGGGAAATGGCTGGTTAGCCTGCCTTCATCTTGTGGCACGGTAAGTCGAAATGGTGACAGCCGAACATACAGGCATTCTGAAAGGCGATTCAAAAACAAAGGCTTGTGCAGAAACAAGACGAAGTAGGAACGACTGAGGAGCTTTGGCCGTTTTATGTCGAAACCACGCTCGGGCCGCGGATATCACCATCATGTCGAGCGTATAGAGAACGAACGTGATAGGGCATGGTGTGTAAATTGGCGCAGTGATGAGCGGAGCCTGTCATACTCCGCAAGCCACCATCTGAGGAAGCACGTCGGATATGAGGTTCCAGGGTCGATGATTGGCCCTCATCTATGCGAGAGATCATGGGGTGGTTTGCCTCACCTTGAGCTCTGCACGGACACCGTCGAAGTGCGCTGCTTGACACCTGGACCGTTTTTCTTGGACTTACGATGCATGGCTCCGCGGAAATACAGAGGAATTGAGTCACCTTGCATCATCAGTGCCCATATGGATGTTGCTGCGTAGTTTCGATGTGAGCCCTGACATGTTTCATCCACGAACCCAAGGATTGAATGGGAGATTATCTATGAAGAAGGTTTCTCCTCCTTTACGCCGTTGCTGGCTATTGTCTGAGGCTATATTACCGCTGCGGCCGGTCAGGGTTGCGTACCCTAAGTCTGGACAACTTGGAGAACGCAACGTTGACCGAGAAGTATAGGTACGGTTGTTGAAGAAGTTCCGCCAACAGCATAGGTATCCCGATGCAACTATGGAGCACCATTCCCCTCACCGTATAAAGCTCGAAAACATCTGGATTGGGAAAGATATATTCTATCTGCTTGGCTTTTTCTGCTAAGCGAATGGAAGCTGATGAATACTTGGACCTTGAAACGCAGGGGAGTGGAGTTGATAAGTCCCTCTTACCCACAAATGCAAGAATGCAAAGACCAAGTGAAGAGCTTAAAAGGCATGCTCCCATCAAGTTCATGAGTACTTTCCATGCGAACATTGTGTTCCAGCCATATCCCGTGAAACTGAATAGGATTGGCCGAGAAGATCTTCCTGCTTACCCTCACCTCAGACTGCTTAGATTCCATCGTGCAGTGCACGCAGTGAGATCTGTTTGATGTCTCAGCCCTGTGGAATACAACAACTATATAAGAAAGTGTCTATAGACGCATCAGGAATAGATCACGCTATCTCTCGAACTCTGGCACTCCAGTTGGCCGCCCAAAATCGTACGCAGCGTGCTTCAGGTTTAAGGGTCTTGCACCTATTGCGACGATGTACCTAAGAGCTCAATATTGGGGGTTGGATAAAACCTAGCTATGTGTAGAAGGTATCGTGGATGTTTGTATCATTTATCAGGGGGAAAATTTCCCTTTTCCCCTTCATGCCGTCAATGTTGGTGCTGGTCCTGTTGCGATGGTGAGGTTGTTTCCTATCTATAGGCACTTAGTACCCATCATCCATGATGAGGTTATATGGCGCAGAGGTGACGGGACTGAATCATCATGTTTTATGTCTGGGTGAGAATAAAACGAAAGGACAAAGTTGACACTGTCTCTCTTATAACTTCAGTTCCAGGTCCGTCGACTACATGACAACGGTTTTATCAAGACCCCAAAGATCTGATCAACCCACTTCGTCACGAAATGCTGAGCGGGCGTCTAGATATAGTCTGGAGCTTGCGAAATGGATTATATGCAGTTGCTGTGGTTGCATCGTCTTTCCATACCTAGGGTATAACCTGAACAGCGCGATAATTTCTGCGTACGACATAGATGGATACGCAGTACCCGTTTGTCACATTATTGCTCACCGTGGATATCTATATCTTGCCCTCAACCGCGAGTACTCCAAAGTAGATTTCGTCAGATCAGCTTAAGTTCCCTCAACGTGGGCTCCACGCTTCGAATCGCCAATCCGCCATCCATGCAAGATCTATGCCGATCAGCCAAAACCAATCGTATTGAGAACGAGGCACAATCGGCCCCATAAACGTGGTAGATTTAGTACCCCCATTATATGCAGGTCATACCATAGGACGGGTACCGGATAGGTACGATTGGTACGCCCCGGCACCTGATGTATGGCGCGTTCCGAGAGCAGATCAAGTGCGATGGCTGCGTTTGTCAGGAAAGGCACATCTCAAGCCAGATCTTGGTAATTCCCCTCCGGGTTGCCTGCTCTCGTTAGGTAGGGCTTACGGCGGAAGAATGCGGCTGCATCTTAGGGGTGGAAAATATATATCGGCTTACGACCGCAAGCTTCAGAATTAATAATCGCCGCCACGACACCATGTCCTTGGATAACTGATCAATAATCACAAAGATAAGCAACTCCTCAGCTGCATTCCTTTTTGTCGGTAATTCTCACCAGCGTAGCTCGTGTCCTCGATAAAGGATGGTCATGCAACCCTCTTCGCTGGCCCTGTGATCGCGACCGTTAATTTCTCTTCGAAGTAGATTGAAGGATACTGGTTTTACATGTGCAACTGCATATTCAGTCCTCGTATGTTCAGTGCAGGGTGGCGTGCTGTTTTCTCTGTTTGCAACAGGGTGGACAGAGTAAGGGTGTATCTAATTCTAGGTATACGTCTGTGCAGATGGGAGTCCTGTTCTAGAACTCTGGAGCAAGGAGTATCATGTTCTCGAATATAGCCCTGACGTGTCTAGACTCGTCCTCGACAGCTAAAGACCAGATCATGCGACTTTGAAGGGAATATTTGTTGAAGGCCACACGCGCGGTCGGTTACGTGTACAACAAGCGCTAGGTAGCACTTCAAATGGCACCAAGATACCATCCTGGTGACTGTCTACTCGATCTCCCAATTCTCCAGCTCTCGTATGTTCCCAATCCCAACCTGGCAAAAAGGGCTCGCCCGACGACACGACGATCGGTGGATCCGCCAATCTATCCATAATCAGTCGGTGTATGAGACTGAGTGAGGCGCAAAACCAGGCGAGTGCCTTATATACCATTACTAAGGGATCTTAAAATAGCTCCTCGGCATTTACAGAGATTTGCGGAGCTTTACATGGCCAGCCAGTGCAGCCACAGAGTCATAGTGGGACGCTAAGCTCGCCGCCAAGGGCAGTTGTAAGTCTTAGATAAAGATATCGGCTCCGCTTGACTGGGCAGGGTTCAGAGCTTGGGCCTGGCATGGGCAGGATCGGATCCTTCGGCTTATCGTGAGCATGTGTTCACTGTTCATGCTGGTTTGAGGGTGGTGTGTTGCTGTAGAGACTACCATAGAGTGCGAAGACATGGTATGGTAAAAGAGTCTTTGGAAAGTGGCAGCGTCAGGAACTGGTTCAGCGTGGAGCAATTAATAATTGCCTCGCAATCAAATCCAGATTTTCCATGTTTCAATTGCTCTGTCTGAGACAGCGACCTGGAACGCAGCCAGCCAGCGCCGTGCAATCGGTTCGTGGTGGGCTCGCAGACTCTGAGGTGGGTCTGACCACACTCAACCTGTTCCAATACCTAAGAATGATGGTATAGAACAGGGAGATAGCTAGTGAAACAGGTGGGGGACCGAGTCCCGATATAACTTCGATCCACACGCTCAGTCGGCCCGATAAGGCTCGGTGTCTCTGCAGTGCCAGTGACGTTTCAACCTTGGGACGAGAGTTAAGTCTTTGCTGGCTTCATCTTCTGTCTTTTGGTTTTGTCTCTCTACACCCATTCACTCGTTTGACTTGACACTCGTTCTGCTGTTGCTGTTATTGCTGTTATTGTTTTTTGCAGCGGTACTCCCGTTGCACCAGATGCAATGCATCGCCTATTCCTCCTCTCGTTCCTCAGCATCCTGCATCTCACGGTCGCCTGGCCCTACGACGAATCGCTAGTCGAGTACAACCTCAACGAAAACAAATCCGCCGAGTCTCCGATCGACTACTGGGGAGCATGGCCGAACCACGAGTACCACCCGTCGCCGGATAACTGGCGACTGCCAACGTACACGATCTTCATGGACCGGATAGCAAACGGCGATCCGAGCAACGACAACATCAACGGGACCGCGTTCGAGCATGTCATCACCTCCAACCAGATGCGCCATGGCGGTGACCTGGCGGGCCTGCTTGACTCGCTCGATTACATCCAGGGCATGGGCTTCAAGGTCATTTACTTTGCGGGCACGTACCTCATGAATCTGCCCTGGGCGTATGATGGGTACTCACCTGTGGACACGACGCTGCTGGACATGCACCTGGGGACGCTGGAGGACTGGAGGAACGCGATTGCCGAGATTCACCGGCGCGGCATGTACGTCGTCGTGGACAATACAGTTGCAACGTACGTCCCATACCTATCTTCCTACATTCCCACTTCGATACTAACCAAGGTCGGTACAGACTCAGCAACCTCATCGGCTTCAAAGGCCACCTCAACGACTCCGCCGACTTCACCCCATACGAGTACGAAGTGCAGTGGGTCTCCGACCGGCAATACGCAGACTTCAGCTTTGGCAACACGTACAACGAGACATGCGAGTATCCCAAATTCTGGGCGGAAGACGGATACCCACTGACCGACAGCGGCGTCGAGAACCTGAAAGGCTGCTACAACAGCGACTTCGACCAATACGGCGAGCTCGAGGCCTTCGGCAATTTCCCCGACTGGCAGCGCCAGCTGACCAAGTTTGCGAGCGTGCAGGACCGCCTGCGCGAGTGGCACAAGCCCGTCCGCGACATCCTCACCCGGCATTCGTGCATGCAGATCGCGAGTTTGGATATCGATGGCTTCCGCTTCGACAAGAGCGTGCAGGCAACCCTCGAACCCCTGGCCGAAATCATCTCAACATACCGCACCTGCGCGAAGAAATACGGGAAACACAACTTCTTCCTCCCTGGCGAAATCACATCAGGCGACGTCTTCGGGAGTCTCTATCTCGGACGCGGCCGCCAACCAGACCAACGCCCCGACAACGCCTACGAGGGCGCAAAGCTCACCAACGACTCAGACGCCAACTTCCTCCGCGACGACGGCCTGCAGGCCCTCGACGCCTCCGCCTTCCACTACACAATCTACCGCTCCATGACGCGCTTCCTCGGCATGGACGGCAACCTGGTAGCAGGGCACGACCTGCCCACGGACTTCATCGAAGCCTGGAACGAAATGCTGCGGACAAACGACTTCCTGAACGCGTTCACCGGCGAGCTCGACCCACGCCACATGTACGGCGTCAGCAACCAGGATAACTTCCGGTGGCCGGCCGTGGCAAACGGGACGGACAAGTACCTGCTTGGTCTGAATATAGTGTCCCTAGTCCTGCCCGGCATCCCGCTGATCCTGTGGGGCGAGGAGCAGGCGATGTACGTGTTCGACGCGACGGCAAGCAACTACATGTTCGGGCGGCAGCCGCTGACCGCGCAGACGGCGTGGTGGACGAACGGGTGCTTCAACCTCAACACGTCCAAGTTCTACGACTTCCCTGTGGAGAAGGGGCGGCACGGATGCGAGGACATCAGCATCACGTACGACCAGCGCAACCCCGCGCACCCGCTGCGCAATATCATGAAGCGCATGTTCGAGATCCGCGACCGTTACCCCGTTGCCCGCGACGGCGTGTACCTGCAGACGATCGCGCAGCTGACGGAGGACGTCTACCTGCCTGGGTCTTCGACGACGCCGACGGTTACGGGGTTGTGGAGCGTGCTGCGGAGCTACTTTGACGGCGTGCAGAAGCAGGCGAATGGGACGGGGGCCGACGAGAAGCTGTGGCTGGTGTATCAGAATGGGAACGCCACGACGAAATACGGCGATGGGAAGTGCAGTAATAAGACGGCGGCCTTGCTCTCGCCGTTTGAGAGCGGCACGAAGCTCCGCAATCTGTTTTACCCGTATGATAACTTGACTGTGGCGGATGGGCCGGATGATGATTATGGGTGCGTCAAGGAGATGGAGTTGCTGCCGTGGGAGTATCGGGCGTATGTAAGGGCCAGCGACTTTGTCGATCCTGGGCCGACGGTGACGGAGTTTGTGCCTGGGCATGATGCGAGGATCTTCTCGGACAGCGATGACGGGGAGAGTGTGACGGTGCAGCTGGGGTACTCGACGGTCATGACATGCGACGACATCACGGAGGCGATTGTGCTGGACTCGAAGACGGAGAAGGGCGTCAATGCCACGCTCGACACGGACAGCGTCAACTGCACGAGCATCACGGCCAGAACAACAGACAACGGCTTCGTGGGCGAGATCCCGACGGTGTGGACGTGGTCTGCGAAGCTCAACAACCTCCACCACGGCATCCACCAGCTCACCGTCAAGAATGTGACCTCCCCATCCCATGGCCACACCAACTCCACCGACAAGTTCCTGCTGCGTGTTGGCACGCACGAGAACCCGCTCATCAACACCTTTGCCAACTACTCCTCCACCCTGGTCCACCAGTCCGGCGATGATTATCATGTCCAGCACAAGGCCGCAGGCGCCGACCAGTTCAGGTACTCGTCTGACTTCGGACGCTCCTGGTCAAACTGGGAGACGTACAGCGGTGGTAATACGACCGTGCAGATCAACACCACCGCAACAGAAGGCCTGGGCAGCTGGGACGGCACGCACATCCGCGTGCAGTACTTCTCCAGACTCACCGGCAGCAGCAGCTACATCCAAGAAGGCGACTACGGCTGGAAGGACAATGCGTCTCGCCGCTTCCCACACCTCTACTGGAACGGCCCGTACAACCAGTACGGCTACGACGGCGGCCTGAACAACGAAGTCCGCTACGACACCGACAAGGGCCGCTGGCTGTTCGATTTCGTCTACGAGTGGCCGGCCGTCGGGCAGCTGAACGTCTGGGGGAAGGACAGCTCGGGCGTCCCAGATACAACAGAGGTCTACGGCGACGTGGGCAATACGTCCGTCGTGCAGAAGCTGCCGCCATCGTACCTGTCGTCCAATGTGATCAACATCACCGGCCTCCCCCCCTTCCCCCACCTCGGCTGGACCATCTCCCTCAACGACGCAAACCTCAACTACGAGCTCCTCCCCGTCGGCTCCGGCTGGGCCCAGCTGGCCCTGTACATCCTGCTCTGGACCATCCCAATCCTCATGGGCGCCGCCGGCGTCTTCATCTTCATCCGCACCTTCTACCGCGTCCAGCTCAACAAAGACGGCAACGCGGTCGAAAGCGACACCGCCCCGCTGGTCCTGTACAAGCGGCTGAAAGACCGCATCGCCGGCGCGAGCGATTCCCGCCTCGACCTCGCAGGCACAGGCCCTGCCTCTCCCGAACCAACGGACATCGCGGCCGCCGTCGCATCCGGCGCATCGCCCAAGCGCACCGTGCTGATCGCAACAATGGAATACGACATCGCGGACTGGAAGGTCAAGGTGAAGATCGGCGGGCTGGGCGTGATGGCGCAGCTCATGTCCGCCAACCTCAAGCACCAGAACCTCATCTGGGTTGTCCCCTGCGTCGGCGACATCGAGTACCCCGTCGACACGCCGGTGGAGCCGTTCGTCGTGACGGTGCTGGACAAGCCCTACCTCGTGAACGTGCAATACCACGTCGTCGAGAATATCACGTATGTATTACTAGATGCGCCTGTCTTCCGCCACCAAACCAAAGCAGAGCCCTACCCGCCCCGCATGGACGACCTCGACAGCGCAATCTACTATTCCGCCTGGAACCAGTGCATCGCCGAAGCGATCCGCCGCAATCCCAGTATCGACCTGTACCACATCAACGATTTCCACGGGTGTCTGGCGCCGCTGTACCTCCTGCCCACCCGCACAATCCCCGTCTGCCTGTCCCTGCACAACGCGGAATTCCAAGGCCTCTGGGCGCTGCGGACACAGCAGGAAAAGAAGGAGGTGTGCAGCGTGTTCAACCTCCCCGTCGAAACAGCAACCAAGTACGCGCAGTTCGGCAACGTGTTCAACCTGCTCCACGCAGGCGCAAGCTATCTCCGCTGGCACCAGCGCGGTTTTGGAGCCGTTGGTGTCTCTGATAAGTACGGTGCACGCTCGTGGGCGCGATACCCGATTTTCTGGTCCCTGGGTAAAATCGGCGCGCTGCCCAATCCTGATCCTGCGGACACAAAGGCCGAGAATGAGGTTGTTGTGCAGAGCACGCAGGAGGCGATCAATGACAAACTGCAGGCGCAGCGGTGGGCGGGTCTCACCGAGGATCCAGAGGCCGATTTATTGGTCTTTGTTGGACGCTGGAGTAAGCAGAAGGGCGTTGACCTGATCGCGGACGTCATGCCGGCCGTTCTCTCCGCGCGTCCAAAGACGCAGTTGATTTGCATCGGCCCGCTGATTGACCTCTACGGGAAACTGGCGAGTATCAAGCTGGCGCGGATCATGGAGATGTTTCCTGGCCGGGTGTTTTCGAAGCCTGAGTTTACCGTGCTCCCGCCGTATATCTTCTCCGGCGCGGACTTTGCACTGATCCCGTCGCGCGATGAACCGTTCGGCCTAATTGCCGTGGAATTCGGGCGCAAGGGCGCGCTCGGCATCGGGTCCAAGATCGGAGGGCTCGGCCAGATGCCGGGGTGGTGGTATACCGTTGAATCAGACAGCACACGGCACCTCCTGCACCAGCTGCGCACGGCAATCAAGTCCGCGTTAGATTCAAGCGAGGAAACACGGGCCGAGATGCGCGCGAACTCGGCGAAGCAGCGCTTCCCCGTCCTGGACTGGGTGCAGAAGCTGGAGGTGCTGCAGCGCAGCTCGATCAAGATCCACCACGCGAAGAACGCGGAGACGGTTGCGGGCCCGCTGCCGGAGCAGGGCGACTGGGATATGCAAGCTGGTGGGACCCGGCATTCGAGCATGATGATGCTGAGCTCGAGGCCCATGTCTGGTCTGTCGAGCGCCATGGCCAGCAGGACGAGCCTTGCGCCGCCGCAGCCGTCGCTGCTGGATCTGCAGGCTGCTGAGGCGCAGCAGATGCAGGTTGACAACATCGCGACCAGGGGCAGCATGCTCGGCCGCAAGCTCTCGCTCGGTCGACGCTCCGGACCGGGCGCGGGCAAGAAGCTGCGCAAGAAGTCGCTGACCAACAGCCAGGTCCTCGAAGAGCCGATTGAGACCGACGCCGAAGCAGAGGCCGACGACGACGCCAGCGGCGAGAGCACAGACGCCACGACGCCGCCGCTGGGGCAGGAGAACTTCATCACGCACGAGGAGGCCATGGCCGCCGTGAACTCGTCCCTGCGCTCCCCGGACGGAACCCTAGCCCCGAATCCAACACACACACGCGCGAACTCCAGCCTCTCCATCAGCCCCGGCCGCAGCCACTCGCGCGCAAACTCGAGCATCTCCACGCCAGACTCATCACGTCTTGTGTCCCGGGACTCGTCGCCCGTCCGTGCCCCGAACCCCGTCTACCTCTCCAGCCGGAACGTCTCGACACTGTCCCTCCCAGCCGTCGCAGGCGACCACGACCAGCCGGTCTTCGAGCTGCAGAAGGTGGACCCCACGTTCACAGACAGCACGAGCCACTTCACAAGACGCTTCGAGGGCCTGCTTCAAGACCTGAACAAGAAGAACTCGGCCACGGACCTCTGCATCGAGACGTATCTTATGAAGAGCGAGCGCAAGTTCTTCGACATGTACACGGACGCCCAGCTCAAGAAACATCCCAAGGAGAAGGACCGCCCCGTCACAGGCCTCGGTATCTCTGGCGGCGAGCACCCCTTCCCCCTGACGCCCTACAACGCCGTCTCCCAGACCGACGACCACGGCTCCTCCGACTCCACCGGCGCCGACGAAATCGACCAGTGGCTCGCGCGCCTGGGCTACAAGCGCCCCATGTTCATCCAGCGCTTCATGCGCAAGCGGATCGGCACATGGCCCGTCTACGCCCTCTTCCTGGGCCTCGGCCAGATCATCGCGACGAATTCCGCCCAGATCACGCTGCTGGTTGGCCAGGTCGGCGAGGCCGCGACGAAGCTGTACATCATTGCGGCGATCTACTGCGTCTCGTCGATGGGGTGGTGGGGGCTCTTCTACCGCTTTCCTTCCGTGATTGTGCTCAGTGTCCCGTGGTTCATTTACGCCGCGGCCTTCGTGATCATCGGCGTTTCGCCGTTTGGGGCGTCCGCGCTGGGTCGCGCCTGGGCGCAGAATGTGGCGGCGGGGGTTTATGCCGTTGCGAGCAGCAGTGGGAGTTTCTTCTTCGCGCTGAATTTCGGCGACCAGGGCGCTGTGCCCGTGAAGGACTGGATGTTCCGCGCTTCGTTGATCCAGGGGTTGTCGCAGCTGTACACCGTTGCACTCTGGTACTGGAGCTCGCGGGTCACGGCGGTGCAGGTCGGCGGCGTGTCGACGTTAGCCCTGAACAGCTGGCGCCTCACAGCCGTCGTGATGCCCATCGCGCTGGTGTGCTTCGTCATCGGCGTCCTACTCGCCCTGGGCCTCCCGAAATTCTACCGCCAGGCCCCCGGCAAGATCCTCTTCTTCTACACCTCTCTCCTGCGGAGACGGATCGTCCTGTGGTTCTTCTTCATGGTGATCGTGCAGAACTGGTTCCTCGCCGCCGCGACAGGGCGCAACTGGTCCTTCCTGTGGTCCTCGTCGCACGCGAAAACTTGGCACGTCGTCCTGCTTGTCCTCCTCTTCTTCGTCCTCCTCTGGGTCGCCGCCATGCTGGCATTCCGCTTCCTGGCAAAGGAACACAGCTGGATCCTCCCTGTCTTCGGCCTCAGTATTGGTGCGCCGCGCTGGGCGCAGATCTGGTGGGGGACCAGCAATATTGGATACTATCTCCCCTGGGCGGGGTCGTTGACGAGCGGTGCGATTGCGTCCCGGTGTTTGTGGCTTTGGCTGGGGTTGCTTGATGAGATTCAGCAGGTTGGGCTGGGCATGATTCTCCTGCAAACGCTGACCCGCGTGCATGTTTGTTTTGTGTTGATTGCCGCGCAGGCAATTGGGTCTGTGGCGACGATTTGCGCGCGCGGGTTTGCCCCGAATAATGTTGGGCCCGGCGGGGTGAGTCCGGATGTTGGGACGAGTGTGCATAAGGTGGGCAATGCGTGGTTCTGGATCAGCTTGTTCTTTCAGTTGCTGGCGGCGTGGGGGTTCTTGTTGTTTTATCGGCGGGAGACGCTGAATCGGCCTTAGGGGTGAGAGTGCTTTTGGGCTTGTGGAAGCGAGCGAGTGATGGATGTGTATGATATTTGCTGTGGTTTTGTCTCTAGATTCCGTGCATTGCATATATAGATAGCGTTGGCCTTTTATTCTTTTTGTTGTGGCTGACATTGTCGGCGATAGATATCAACCATGGACGTGGTATTTCTTCCAATTTGCCTGGACAATCTTCAATGACATCGTATCTAAAATGGTTTGCACATGTATTCAGAAAGCCCTACCTTTGAGCAAGTGTGGATGTCATATGGTATCTAGTGGCGTGGCAGCTTTCCATCGGTACTACGAAGCGGACAATGCAGGAGCGTTCCAATTTCGCCACACTCAAGTAGACTTGCTTGAGAAGCGGCCATGATAAATCGAAACGTAGAACATCATAAACGCCCACCATCTCCATGGGTAGTAAAAGGTCAATCTTGTTATGCGGGGTCAATAGCGTCAAACAATTGGGCTGTTCAGCCCTTGAACCCTAACCCCAGACATTGTCGTCGCCTTAATTAGGGACGTCGATCAATCATTAGCGTTCTCCGCATCTGCTCCTCAGTTCCTGGGACCTGGTCTATCTCGATTTGCGTCACCTCTGACCTGTGGCTATATCAAATCAAATCAACAAGGAACCCCGCCTCCGCCCTTTATAGACCAGAACAATTGGCATATAGATGGGCAGGGGGCCACGACCCGCCATGATATAGCATGGTTGTCTCACACAACGCACATATTTCGTTTTTCTGATTGAAACGAGAGGCGTTGTAGCCTCACTTCCGCCCGAGCCAGGCTCTCTCAAACACCATCACATTGTGTCGTCCCTGTTTCATTTGTTTTGCTTATATACCAGGGAACTGCCTGACATTCCTATTCCCATGCATTAATAAGAACACATGAAAATGTCTACTAGCGGAAGAAAATGCTCAGGTATGTATCCAGACTGTTTGCTTGTCGTGTGCATCCTGAACCCGACTGACATACACAGCCAGCAGGCGAGTCTTCCTCTACCTGCTCTTCATCCCAACATACGTGCTATACGGTACGTACCGTGTGCACCAGAAACTAGGGCATCTGGACACGAGCTAACAGCACCAGCCGTATCCTTGACAGGCTGTCTTTCCACATTCCTCGGCATCCCCGATCTGTTCCTCGTCCAGATTACCTCCACCGCGACCAAGAACACAATCAAGGTCGCATACTTTGGTAAGTATTTTCCTATGGCCCCCAAGGCACAGAAGCTGATCTATGTTCTGCACAGGGATATGCGGTCTTTCCAGCGGGCCAAGCAGCACCCAGACATGCACGCCCATCGCCAGGACCTCGGAGGCAGCACTCGCCAGAAGGCTCTGCTCTACAACCGACAACACCAACCCGTCCTCAAATCTCGATCTCATCCATCTCGGCGTAACCCTCGCCTCGAAAATATTCCTGCCCGTGCTCGCCGGCGCAGTCGTGGCGTTTACTCTAGGTATACTGTTCTTCATAACATCCCAGCTAAAAGCAAGGCGCACACGAGGCCGCGCTATCGGATATACAAAACAAAGCGCAAAGTCCACAACTCTATCGCTGCTATTCCTGGCGCTCGCGTGCATGCTCTGCTGCGGATCCGCCCTCTCCACCACAGTCGCGCTCTCCGCGATCCAGTTCCTCGCCGAGTCCGACATGCTCACCGGCTACGAGATCGAGGGCGGGAAGGCCCTGCCAATCCTGCAATGGGCTGCGCTTGTCCTATCGGTTATCGTTGCCCTGGGTATCGCGGGCGTCATGCGGTCTTCTGTCCGCCATGCAGCCGGCCACCCGGACGTCTATGTTCATGACACGCAGACCGAGGGCAAGAGGCAACGTGAGCTTTTGAGCTTGTTAGCCGCGGCAGCGGCAAAAGACAATAGCCGGAGCCATATTCACGGCACGGGACCACAGACGCTTCAGATAGAGCATTTGCCCATGGACGTGCTAGCGTCAGATAGTACGAAGCAGGCCGCGGGCGATTGGGCGGCCCTCGAGCCTCCCAAAAAGCCGAGGACGCCCCTTTTCAGACTCCCGCTTCGATCGGCATCGCTGCGGGACGCACGCCGGCGTAATGGCAGTCATTTGTCTGTCTTGGGACAGGCGCTCTCGCGTGCGGAGAGGAGGCGTGAGGGGTGGCCGTATCGACGGTATAGTTGTGATGAGATGGTGTGAGCTAGCTTTCACTCCTTTACGTTGTTGAAGGTCTGTGCATATATTCGGTATCATGTGTGAGCGTTCCAGCGGGGGTGGATTCGAGTAGACCATGAGCAACGGCGATGATGCCGGATTTTAACAAGTACCTTGAATCCTGTGGTCCGGTATAATAGCCCTCACTCAGGATAGCGTAGCCTCGGGCTAGAAAAGGATAATAGAGGAATTGGCGGCGCAAAGGAGCAGTCACTTTCAAGGAAGAACTCAGTTGCTTTACTGAGTTGGTGGAGGCTGGTAAGCAGCACTGTGCAGTCTCCCTGCACTCCGTGGCTGGCTGAGTTGAGCGGGATGGTTCTGCAGAAGGAGGTCGCGTTGTCTGAGTGAGATGAGTTTTGGAAAACGTCTGTTTTGCAAAAGGATCGGATCAGATTCATCTCGCTCAGCTGGCGCCCGTGCACAGTCGTGCAGCCTGCAGTGTCTGCCTAGGTGCTGGAGCAGCGGGGGTTGGGTTTGAAACACAGTCAAGGCCTCCATTTGCAGAACTGGTTCGGGGACATGTACTCTCCAAACTACTTCTGCAGAAGCACGCGAACAAGGAATTTCTGCGAGCCTACGATTCTACGAGAGGAATTTGCTCAATGATATCAAGCAAAGTCAAAGTCACTGTGATTCAAACTATCCACCTAAACAAGTCCCACCCGCAAACTTGGAACACCCCTTAGTACTCCTTGTTCAGCACGGCAATCTCAGCATCCGGGTTGCGTCTGCCATCGGGCTGCCGACGATTGCGCCAGGCATCGTTCAGCCTGAACTGGGCATCCTGCCGGTCGACGGGGTGATGGGCGACGGTCCTATGTGACAGTGCTTAGAACCATGATGGGCAATGAAAGACAACATGGTAATAGCAGGAAGGTGCTTGGCTTACTCGATGGTATAATCACCCGGGGCGCCGGGGGGCCCGGGGGTCCGAACGACCGTGCCAGCGATAAGGGGGTCTTGGAGCTCTACGAAGCCTGCGTTCAGAGCCTTGAAGACGGGGGCGGCGTCGTCGGGGACGGGGGCGCCGGGCGCATTTTCGTAGCTAGAGTGGGTTCGGGTGTCAGCGTTTATTACATGGGGTTGAGTGCTGTAAGTTGTGTGAGGTTTGGCTCGGGTCTGATATGCTTACTGGGTACCTGGCGGAGGGAAGAAGTTGCCCTCGGTCTCGGTGTAGGACTTGATCAGGACGATCTGTGGAGCATCCACGGGTTAGTGGCATTGTCTCGATGTTGAGGTGGACAGGTGAGACGAACAAACTCGTTGGGCTGTGAATGACGGTGGTTAGCATTGGCAGAATATCAACGGGGGTGGATAGAAGCGTCAACTTACGGCCATTGTGTTATACGTTGGGATGGTTGTTGGAAGGTTCTGTGATGGAAAAGATGGATGGTAGGAGATAATGGAAGTCCAGGTTCAGGTCGGGGGATGCTGCTCTTTTTATAACTTTGCCGGGCGTGATGGAGCCCTGGAAAGCCCAGACCCGACATCACACTCATCTTCCACATCGGCTGGTCACGTCTGCCGATATCTTACTTGCAATGATGCAATGAAAAACGTTTGCGCGCGGCGGGGCAGCAGTGCATGACAGTATGACTGCGGGTCTTTTGGATAGGCTCTGTTCATATTGGCCACTGTCACCTACAAGTCGTGTAGTATGTGGCTTGCGAAAGTCCCCCTAAACCTTTCCCCGGGGTCCTGTAAGATAGTACTACACACGATCATTGGCAAACTTTACCTCTTGCAAGTACTCGCTTCAAGTAAAGGTACTTATATGCGGATGTCAATACTTCAGCCTGTTGGCCAGGTGCCTACTGGCAAGAACTACAGGCCAAGAAGCGTCAAGCCGTAGGTTTCTATGACTTGAGCAATATTATTTCACAAATCTGTTGCCCTGAGCATGGTGTCTAAATTCCATATAGTGTGGCGGCCGCTGACGTTGTTACTACGGCTGCCCCGACTTTGCAGAGCGATCATGTATTTGCTTTCAGACAACCATCTCACGTCAGATCTGCAGGTCTCCAACTTGGAAATCCATGACAATCTCGATCTAACCGGTCTCTACGCATGATTGGTCAAAGCGCTCTGGTTGCAGCGAAGTGATACGCAGGAACGTGCCCTACGTGATCTTACATTTTCAAATATACCATCAAGCAACCGTCGACTCTCTCCTTTTACGTGGTATGCTTTTGTGTCTTTCCATGTAGCCTGCAAGGTGGCGATAGCTCAAGACCTCCGGCAAAAGGATTCTGTCATCGAGTTTGCGGATATGAGAGCCCTTTGTCTGGTACAAGAGTGATGACGTACACTGGGAGAAATAGTAAACAGTGACTACTTACACCATGTCAGCAACTGGATTAATGCATGCTAATGGACAGTTCTCTAAGGTGAGCGACTCCATCTACCCGAGTGATAATTCAAGGTCCTAAGATCCTCCCTATCTCCGCTTAGGTCTCGATATTATTTGTACGCGCTCAGCACCCCTCGCTCTATCGGTTCTGTTATAGCGAAGGCCCTTGTACATTGAGTATACTGTTGGAATAGGGCTTCTTGAGCACTATACCAACCTCTCAGACAACACTGTGCGTTTGAACCTTCCATTGGCTAGCCTGCGTGCCACTCTGGCCAGTCTGGCTAAGACCAAGAGTTGCGGTACAAAGATGAAGTGTAGGTGACATACAATAACTCCGAATAGCAGCTTGGGTAGAACTACAGACACCTGGATACTACAAGGCTTCAGGCGTGTGGGCTTAGTTCTTTCTATAGCAAGGGTGCGAACTGTTCTCTAGTAAAAGTGGTCTAGGGACGTGGTACCGCTGCATTACACTCGCTGCGCGCACTCTGGGGCCTAATGGGACCTTTCTCTCTCTTGCCAACAAGTATGTTTGGAGTGCTATTTACGTACCTGGTTAAGATAGGCGGACGATATTTGACATTTAGGAGTCAAATAGCCGCACCTGAAATATGCAGATTCCTCCAAGCCCCTCATGAACTTGGGGATATTAGCAGCGATTTAGAAGCTCTCAGTGCATGCCCACTTGGGCTTAATAGCGCTGAAACAGTAGACATAGATAGAGATAACTAAGCTTCCTCTCTACCTGCATACTGCAGGTGTCTTTATGGCATTTGGTTGCGGGTGCGGCCAACCACAATATCAACTTCAACCTATCATATCGTGTAGTGCAGTTTCTTATCGAGCAGTCTGGGCGCGGCTTATTTCTAATGGGCTGGTAAGATCATAACTCATCATGCAGCTCAATTCTGATGACGAATGACTGAGAACCGTCCTTGTCCGCAATAGGAAGTTAACTTTGGTGGGGTAAGATGACGCTGAATGGGCCAATGGGGCCTGGGGTCAGGCTTGACCTGTACAACATCACCGGGCGTCCATGGATGGGTAGGCCAGGATTGCGTGATATAAAGCATCACCACTTGCCATCCTCACCCGCCGAGCCCTTCATCGTCATCAATCGACTCTCCATCTACTATTACCTCCTCCTGTTGTATACAACAAACATGTCCCACCCAATCACAACCCATGGCTTCACGCCCGTCCCCGCAAACCCCCAAACCCTCCTTTCACAAGCCCCCATCAGCTCCAAGCCCCCCGCAATCCCCGTCTCGTCAACCCCAATCCCAGCCGCCCCTCTCGCCCTCCGAATCCAAGAATACGCCCGCACCCATCTCCCACAGCCAACCTACCACCACAGCCTGCGCGTCTACCACTACGGCCTCGCCATCAAGCGCCACGCCTTTCCAGAGTGGGCATTCAGCGAAGAAACCTATTTCCTTGCCTGCATGCTGCACGATATCGGGACGACGCGCGAGAATCTGCATGCCTCGAAATTGAGCTTTGAGTTCGTTGGCGGGTTTATCGCGCTCGATGTCCTGCTGACTCGGGACAATGCTAGCGATGCTAGCGATGATATAGCCTCCCGCGACCAGGCGGAGAGTGTGGCTGAGGCGATTATTCGGCATCAGGATCTGAGGGATGTAGGCGCTATTACGGCGTTGGGGCAGTTGCTGCAGCTGGCGACGGTTTTCGGTATGTGACACCCTCCGGCTCTTCTTGTGGTATGGAGAGGATATGTAGCTAATGAGGGCAGATAATATCGGGGGCCATGCGGAGCTGGTTAGTGATTATACTGTCCAGGATGTTGTTCGGATTTATCCGCGGTTGGGATGGAGCTCTTGCTTTGCTGCGACGGTTGAGCAGGAGGTTGAGTTGAAGCCTTGGGCTCATACGACGGCGCTGGGTGACTTCAAGGGTCATATTCTGGCGAATCCGTATAATAAGTATGAGTAGAGAATACTCCGAGGGGTTTTGAAGAAAGTGCTAGGAAGATGCAGGTATCAGTTTCGTGGCTTATGTCGATAGTTAGGGCTAGACTCAACGGAATTTCACTTCGTGAGCGATTGGTTTTGATCTACCAATCCACAATAGCCCAAGACGCGGTCAGACCCATGCCCTAATTCTTCACGGGTCCTTTCGTCCGTCGCCATCAATCTAGACTGTACCGCGTATAGCTCGCTCTGTTTCATCACGGCCAAGACACGGCTGAAGCTCCGTCTCCAGCTCCGCGTTTTACCCTGCATGTCAAACAGGGCTTGTCCGAGATAGATGAGCTTCCCCACGTTTACATTCTTCACTCCGCTGTCGAGATTGCTGGTTTGAATCTCGTCGAACGATCTCCGGACTCGGCACGGAGCCATTGCCCTGACAGGGTCTGGGTCCTTGACAAGAATGCCATGATGCATCCACGAAGAAAGACATAAAATCGATGGCCATCCCAATTACATGTTTCTTCAAGGCCTACTAGAAATAAGTATAGCCGCCGACCGTCACCATGAAGACCCTCCCCCTTGCCCTTCTTGCAGGTGCCTCATCGGCCCTCGCGGTCCCCCACCAGCACACCTCCTATCCAAAAGCATCACCCAAATACCTCATCTCCTTCGGCGACTCCTACACGTCAACAAGCTTCAACATAACCGGCGAGAAACCCTCCGCGGCTAACCCCCTCGGCAACCCCCCCTTCCCCGGCTGGACATCCGCCGGCGGCGCAAACTGGATCGGCCAGCTCGTCGGAACATACAATGACTCGTTGCTCTTGAACTATAACCTCGCTTACGGCGGCGCGACGGTCAACGCGTCCCTTGTTGCGCCGTATACACCCGAGGTATACTCGCTTATTGACCAGGTGGCCGAGTTCAACGAGTACTTGAGTCCGCCGCCAGACTATGCGCCTTGGACTGCGGAGAACACGCTCTTTGCGATCTGGGAGTGAGTGCGATCATTACTTCAAGGTCTGGATTGTGAACACCGCTGATTATAAGTTAAGGGGCGTCAACGATGTCGGCGGATCCTGGTACCAGCCGAACCCCGACGCCCTGGCGACCGAGATCCTCCGCCAGCTCTTCGAGCAGATCGAGCTGATCTACGACGGCGGTGCGCGGAATTTCGCCCTCCTCACTGTCCCCCGTACGCTTCCCCAACACCTGCAGTCTGTGTACCCTACCATAGGATCCAGCTAATCCATCCCCCAGCAACGGACCGCTCCCCCTACATCACGCAAGGCCAGAACGCAGAGTACACAGTAACGCACCTAAAGGCCGCAATCGCGTCCTGGAACACGCAGTTCAACGAGAAAGCGAGCGCCTTTGCAGCCGCTCACGCCGATGCCGTCGTCAAGGTCATCGACACCCAGCCTGTGTTTAATGAGCTCCTTGATGCGGGCGGCGACGCGGCGGACTGCTATAATGCGGACGGGGTCACTTGTCTCTGGTTTAACGATTATCATCCCGGCCTTGCGATTCAGGATGCGGTTGCGCAGGCGGTTGCGGAGGCTTGGGGGTGTTTCTTTACCTAGGTACTTCATAGAGTTCCGGTCTGGAGCCCTAGGGCTAGCTTGGACACGCTGTCTGTCACTTGGAGGCTTACTGGCATGCTTAGCTACTGCATAATTGCCTTGTGATTAATGATCCCTGCATTAATCTATCCGTCCTCACCCCGTATACGTATCGTGCCCTGTCCACCGCTCTTCTGTCCCACACACCACAATTGTATGACAAATCAACGGCTGGCGCTTTGAAATGCTCCAAATGTTTGGAATCTCGTAGAAGGGCAATTATTAATACGCTCGTGCAACACTATGGATCTTCCTTAGTGTATAAATGGAGGGATGTTCCTGGCTAGCTGGAATCCCCCACAATCACGCCATCACCAAGCTCCTCCATCATCTGGTCCAAATATATATTTTCGCCACCGCAAAGCCATCCACCGAAACAACCATCTCCATACCATACCAAGGATATCAAAATGTCCGCCCTCTACACCTACACATTCACCCCCCTCCTCCGGGGCCTCAAATCCCTAAAGACCACCCTCCAAAAAGCCGAATCCCACGCGCAAGCCAACAACATCGCCCCAGAAACCTACGTCACGGCCTCCCTAATCGACGACATGAAACCCCTCTCCTTCCAAGTCTTCATCGTCGCAAACGCAGCAACCAAGGTCCTGGCGCGGTCTACCTTCGTCGAGCCGCCCCAGCAAGAAGACACGGATAAGACCTTCGACGACTTCTACGCCCGCATTGACGAGACCATTGCGGCGCTGGAGAAGGTGGATGTTGAGGTGCTCAAGGCCAACGAGGGGAAGACCTTCAAGGCGCCGCTTGGGCCGATTGAGGCGGAGTTTACGCCGGAATCGTATGCGACAAGCTATGCGATGCCGAACTTCTTCTTCCATCTTGTTACGGCGTATGGGATTTTGAGGGCGAAGGGCGTGCCTGTTGGGAAGTTGGATTATCTTAAGGATTTCTTGGATGTTCAGCTTTAGGTTTATGGGCATGTAGGTCTGGTAGTGCAATGGTTGAATTCAAAGTTACTTTTATTTTCTGTTTGGGTTCATGCTCTCTCTGTCTACCATCCGCATAACTATGCACGCATAAAGTACATACCAAGCTGCTTACGTAACTTATGCGCCTCATACGATCGTCCCCCGCATTTTCCTCTCAACTTTTCTTCCTTCGACCCCTCAAGCAGTCCGTCATCCCACCACCACCAAAATGACGCCCCAAGCGCCCTCCAGCGAATTCACCGAACACCCCACCATCCCAGGCCTCTACACCCAACCCTCCTTCATAACCATCCCCCACGAAACCGAACTGATAACCCTCTTCGCCACCCTCCCCTGGCCCAACCGCCCCGGCCGGATCTCCCTACACTACGGCTACACCTTCGACTACAAGACCTTCGGCATCGACCCAGCAATCCCGTACATCCCATTCCCAACCTGGCTGCAACCCCTAATCCCCACAACCGAATCCCGCCCCCCCGACCAAGTCTGCCTGCAATATTACCCGCCCGGCTCCGGCATCCCCCCGCACGTCGACAGCCACCGAGGCTGGGACCAGCTGTACGCGCTCTCTCTCGGCGCGCCAGTGCTCATGCGCCTGAGAAATGGAAAAGGCGGAGACGAGAAGGTCGATATCGATCTGGCGCCGCGCAGCATGATGTGTTTTTCGGGTGAGAGTCGCCTGCATTGGACGCATGGGATTGGGAAGAGGAAGAATGATACTCTGCCTGATGGGATTCGGGCGCGCGGCGATCGCTGGAGTATTACGTTTCGCTGGGTCAGGGAGGGGGCGTGTGAGTGTGGGGATGTTGAGCTTTGTGATTCGGCGCAGGAGAGGCTGGGCATTGAGAAGGAGAAGAGGTCTGTCCTTGCGGCGGCGGCGGCGGCGGCTGCTGCTGCTGCTGTGTCCGATTGTGAGGATGTTCGGGGTGAGGGGGCGGGTGCGTTGGGACGGGCTGCGGGTGGGGAAGTTGAGGTTCAGGGGTGAGCGTCGTGATGCTATCGCTGCCATCTGTTGGTTTGGTGAAGATTGAATGCGAGGGACAAGGATGAAGCGGCGCCATCGAGACAGATCCATCACTGCTTGCCCACCGACATGGTAATTTTGCACCCCCTTAATACCATATGTCCTGGCCACCGCCAGATTACGCGAGACACCGGGCATACAGCATCGATTGCACGCACCGGGACGAACAGAACGCAATTTGGCCTGCTTCTGAACCTGGCGAGCTCGGTATCCTTCATTCCAAGATAGCCCGGGGTGATAAGAATAGGGCACAACCAAAGACGGTGGAGGAAGACATCGGTTACTGCTTGAGGTCATGGTCATGCATTTCCGACTTGCCAACTCCCGCATTGCCCGCGATCACGTCTGCCATCTTGACTGCGGATGTGTATTAGGATATTTCGCGGAATAAAGACCAGGCGCTTTGTGTGAGGCGCCAGGAGATCCTCCAGGCCTGTCCTATCTATTGTCCAGACGGCGGGAAAGGATACACGGGTTGTTTCATTTGAGCGGCTGGATGGGTATGCTCGGTTCAAGGGCGCGCGGCGCACGGAGCGAGGGCGAGCGAAGGTTGAGTTGGCGGCATCCTCCAGCTGCGTCGCGTGGATCCTCGGGCGGTGGGCTTGAGACAGGAAGTTTGGCAGCAGTGCTCGTTGCTGATATGAGTATGATATGTATGGTAGCTTCGAATTAGCATCCGGGTATCCCAGGAGCGAGGGAACACAAACCACCATGACCCTTCTGGCTCGCTTTCTCGCATATGTCTATGAGTTAGATTCTCGCCACTGGAGGGCTTCCCATCTGGAATCGTTGTCTTCGTTTGTTGCCGGATCGACCTTTTAGTCAAAACAATCCAAGTTCGAGGCGGCATTTTTCCTACCCCTGCCTCTGTTGAAAGGAAAGATTCCCCGTCTCTAACGCCTGCTCTTGCGCTGTGTCCCCGTTGTCATCGACCTGGATCTCCCGGTGAATGCCACCTTAGGGTAGCCAGTGGGGATCGGGGCACCGGGGGGGAGGAACCACCAGATGCTGTGAACAAGATGTTCGTCCACTCTCAGCTGGGGTAATAATTGTTACAGGAGTTGTCGTGGATCTACTGCTAATTTATACCTCCCTACGTCACCTATGGTAGTTTAGTGGGAACGCAGTGAGCTACGCACTCATTCCCACTCCACTGCTAGATACGGAGTACTATGGTACCATTGGCACCTACTGTACCTGACCAATGACCAACGTGATGCCGCAGGCTACTTCTTGTTGATCTGGCAATCACACCTACTTCACTAGCCATCCCACAGCTTTCTTTCCGGAAGACTTGGGGGACTGCGGGTGGTTAGGCCTAGTATAGTATGGACGATAGTACTTTTGGACATTTACGCATGAAACGGGCGAGCGCATCCACCCACCTGCAAGCCGGATTCAGAGCCAGAAGACCCAGGCCTTCCTCCAATCCATAAGGCCTAGATACACCTTGCTCCTCGACTCAACGTGAGGTGCTGTACGGTTGACCCTTGACCCGGGGCTTATGTCGATCTTTGCAGGTGCCCCGTGCCTTTACCGAGGGGGTCAAAGGTAAATACGGCATAGGTATGGAATGCCATGCCATACTCCGGCAATTAGTTCACCTCAAGTTCTCAACGCTCGTGCTTGGAACCGTGGGCTGCGCATAGGTACACAGCCGCGATGGCCCGGTGATCTCCATTGATTTCGCCCCGAAAGGCGTCCTCGCAAAGGGCGCAGGGGGGGCGCGACGGGATATCCTCGGTGCTGGCCAAGATCGCCGTGAGCGAGTCTCGACACGGCTTATCGAGGAGAAGCCCCAAATAGGGTCGAAAGGCTGACACCGTTGAACTTGCAGGTGGTGGAGTCGGGTCGGGGCCAGGCCGGGGCAGGCCAGGGCAGGGCGGCATTGGCCGACGCGATGGATCCATCGTAAATCGGATGCGTCGAAAATGCCCTCGCGGCTCGGAGTCGGCTGTCCTCGAGGTGTTTCGAGATTCTTGTCAGTTGCAGGTAAATAAACAGTGCTGGGCTGTTGTTTCATGCGCCCGGGCCGGCTCGTAGTCTTTCAAGCCACGGCATTGTCAACAATAGGTTCTCGCGAGACAATGGATCGTTCGCGACCGGATAACTTCTTTGAGCTCTTTGTTAAACGGGATGTTATCGCCATCTCGCCCCCAAATCGCGGGTTGTGAGGTGGAGTTTGGCAGCAAAGCCCCGTGGGACTGGGGCAGCAAGAGCCTAAGGAGTCTAAGGATAAGGATCAGGGCTGGGGGCAAGTCTGAGCCTCATCCTCAATACTCAAGAAACATCGCATGATGTAGGGACACAGGCAGCCACTTTATCGATAACGCCTGCTGTCGGTTGCGATCGAAATGGCAGGAATCTGCAGGGAGCAGCGGAGAAAAGGGACGACAGATGAAACGCCAATACTAATGCGCCCAGCCTTCTGATGGTGCTTGTGTTTACCAGCCTTCTGAAGAACAGGTGCCACAGCCTCCATGAGGTGAGTGACCGTGAGTCTACTCCGTACGGTACAAGATGGCTGGGTCGACAGCTCACCGCAGCAAACGAGCGTCACGGCGCTTCGCCAGCCAACAGGACGCTGACAGCGCGTGCATCCGATTGCTCAGGATTACCGTACAACTCGCAACCGCCCCTGTTATAAATAGACGATCCTCCAATCCGTCTTCCCTTGGCGCGGATTCCCAGCGGGTCTTTCTTGCGGAGCCAGGAGCCCTATCAGCATCGCCACGCCCTGATCGACACCGGGCCCGTATCACCAGGCCCACCATGCCTAATTTCTGCGCCCACATACGTATAAAGGGGCTGCCGCCTCTGCTCCGGTCCCGTTGCACAGCATCACCCATCGTCAGATCAAACATGCGTCTCCTCCCCGCCCTCCTCACAGCGAGCTTTGCAGCCCTCGCATCCGCCCGCTGCGGCACCCGCGACCCCTCTGAGCGCGTTCACGCACAGCACAAATACTTCCTGGAGAAGGAGGACCGCGAAGCTGCGCGCATTGCGGCGGCGCGGGATGTCTTCGATGTCACTGTCGACACATACGTGCACGTCGTTATCTCCAATACAACGGCGGGCATCAATGCCACCACCCTGCCGTCCCAAATCCACGAGCAGATCGACGTCCTGAACGAGAATTACCTGGGCACAGGCTTCCAGTTCAACCTCGTCAATGTCTCGTACACGCACAACGACAAGTGGACGGCGATCATGGACGGCAGCACGACGGAGTACGAGGTCAAGTCGACCCTGCGCCGGGGCGACTACACGGCGCTGAACCTGTACTTCGGCACGATCGGGAGTGGGATTCTGGGTTATGCGTATGCCACATCCCAACCTTACCTTTTCTACTACTTTTCATCAGAACATCGTTAACATTGACCCCAGTACCTTCCCCGACACCGTCACCCCCCGCGAATTCCTCCTCGACGGCGTCGTCTGCGACCCGCAGTCCCTACCGGGCGGAAAAGCCCCCTACAACCTGGGCATAACAGCCGTGCACGAAACCGGCCACTGGCTGAACCTCTTCCACACGTTCCAGCCGGGCAACGACGACCCCGCGCAGCCGGGCTGCTACGGGCACGGCGACTACATCCACGACACGCCGGCCGAGGCGTACGCGGCGTTTGGATGCCCCGCATCCCGGGATACGTGCAAGGGGGCCGTCGAGGCGAATAATACGCTCTCTGTGCCGGGGCCGGACCCGATTCATAACTTTATGGATTACACGGATGATCGGTGCCTGACGACGTTTTCGGCGGGGCAGATTACGCGCATGCAGAATTCTTGGAGGGAGGAGAGGGTGGCTTATGTGCCGATGGGGATGAGGAGGAGGAGTCCGGGTGGCTTGTTGCCGGATCTGAAGGCTGAGTTGGGGTTGGGACTTAAGGGGAAGATTGCCAGGCCTGGGTCGGGGTGGTAAATTCTCCCGCTTAACCAGGGTGCTTGAGTGGAGTTGTGGCGATGAGGCATGAGCGATGTACATGCGATATCGGAGTACATATGTGGTTGGATGAGGTGTATATATGGGGTGAATGCTGTACACTGGCTGTATAATGATAGATAGAGTATATAATGGTCGTATATACAATACCCAGAGATGTTAATACGAGGCAAGACAAGACACGATAAGATCCCATTTCCTGCTGAGCGCAGAAAACCCCTCTCTCTCCACATCGCCACAGGAAGTGGACTCGCAACTCGCAATCGCATCCGCCCCGGTCCGTGGAATGTGGCTTCGACAGCGTGGTAACGTGGAAGGAACCTTGCGCCGAAGATGAGAAAGCCCGGAATCCAGGAACCAGCAAAGCTTCAACGTCGACCCCTGGATGGGCCTCCCTTTACCCGCGGGATTAAACCTTGGCAGGAGTCTCGCCAGAGAAAACGGAAACGATCGGTGGCTGGTGGAGAGATGGCGCTGTTTCGAAGCATTCTTGATTCGGTACCGATTTGCAGTTGATCGCGGTTTCGGGATTGCCTCGGTGTGGAGCATAGCATAGGGGACAGCAGGAAGACGAGCATGTTACTCGATACAACGAAGAGCGGAAGGCTAAAAGTGATAGCAGGCCAGCTGGATCGTATTGGCGAGCTGGAGTTGCCATGCCCTATCTTCGGAGGATGCACCGAGTTTACAGGGAAATACAGGAGGGACAAATGGCTCGGATATCTAAGCGCTGGACATGAAAGGTCTCAGAGATGCAAGTGTACTCTGTAGACCGGAGTCATTTCTCTGTAGCACAGGTCATACCTACATGGCCTGTATGCAGCGCTGGCCCAATGGGCTGTATACATGTTCATAAGCTGCATGGATCTGCTAGTGAACCGTTCGGACTCATCCCTGCTGCTGGGTCTTACTGGAGGCTGCAATCTACCTAGGCAAAAGCTTCATCATGGATGGTTTAGGGTTATCGTCTGGAATTGCGTCATATACAGAGTACAATCCACCAAATGGCTGGCTAGCCTGACTATCAACATGGACAACTGCTTTTATCCCTAACCCTCCAAGATTACCTGTAGATAGTACATACTACCTACATCCAAATCCAACACACCGTATCCATCTCAAATGGCCCCAGCTGATCAGAAATCAAACTTAATCAAACTCTCCGCCGCAGCCATAACCGCCTCACCATTACTGTACTTCCACCTCCACCCCAGCATCTCTCTCGCCTTATCCCCCCTCACATCCCGATCCCTCCCAAGATCCGGAAGTATGAGCCTCGCAACAGGCATAACAAGCGCAACAGCCCGAACCAGGAAATCCGGCAGCGTGAGACTCGGCACTTTCCTCCCCTTCTCTCCTAGCTTTGTCCTAAGTAGCGTCGCCATCTCCCCCATCCACATCATGCCCTCCCCAACGCAGATAAACCGCTCCCCACCCGCCCTCTCATGCGTCATCGCAAGCACATGCAGGTCCGCGCAGTCGCGCACATCAACAACACCATACTGTACCCTGGGTATACCAAGCGCATTGCCGGAGGTCAATTCCGTGATGGAATGCAGCGTCGTGGAATCTTCCTTCCCTAGTGCAGGTCCATACACGCAGACAGGATTAACGGATACAAGTTCCATTCCGCCCTTACCCCCGTCTTTCTCCTTAAGGCCCTCCATAAACTCCCACGCCGCCCTCTCAGCAAGCGTCTTCGACTTCGGGTACGCGGCCACATCCCCCCGCCCCCCATCCAGATCCGTCCAGTCCTCCTCACTAAATACCTTCTTTTCCTTGTTCCCGGCGCCATACAAAATCGCCGCGACGGAGCTCGTCATCACAACGCGCCTCACACCTGCATCGCGCGCAGCGCAGAGAACGCGCTTCGTCCCCTGCACCGCGGGGATGATCAGCTCGTCTTCGTGGGCTGGTGGTGCGGAGGGGAACGGGCTCGCGACGTGCTGGACGTAGGTTACGTCTTTCATTGCGGCGGTCCAGCCGTCGTCGGCTGTTAGGTCTGCGTGGACGATTTGCAGGGATGGGAGTTGGTCCTGTGAGGTTCCCGCCTCGGATAGGGAGGCGTGGATCTCGGGGATTCGGGTGAGGGTGCGGATTGTCGTGCGCACGCGGTAGTTTTGGCGAAGCAGGGTCGCGATGATCCATTTTGCGATGAAGCTTGTGCCGCCTGTTACCAGGACCAGGGGGGGTTCGTCGTCGGACATGGTTGCTTTCTGGCAGTGGTGGTGGGAATCGATGTCGGTGGGTGGAGATTGCGAAGGGCTGGGCTGGTGTGTTTGGTATCGATGTCGATGCAGAGGATGGATTTGGACGAGGGAGGCTGGATACGAAGATGAAGATGAAGATGAAGATGAAGATGACTTTATATCAGCTGGAGTCTGGCCAGAGTCCAGAGTCCAGCCGCTTGCTGGTGTGGGGAACAGCGACAGGGCTGTCCTGTCCCTTGATTGGACTGCTCGCGTGAAGAGTCAGGGCGCTAGACCGTTTTCTTGGCCAGTCTAGCTGGATGGGGCATGGCTTTGGGGCCGGATCTCAGCGTTGAGGCTGAGCTGGACAGCCTGGAATAGGGGCCAAGACGCCGGTGGATTTGTACGGACTATAACTATACTGTAGGTACGAGGTACGAGATTGGTATCTCGAGAACTCATTCTTTGTAAAAGCAGTATGTGCATCCGGTATATGTAAGGAAGGGGTCGTGGAAGCGTTTGATTCTACCATCATAGGGGTCCGATATATATATTTTTTGTCAGGAGCCCTAACTAGGACCGGGTAGTGAGTCTGCGTTCACGTCTCAAATAAGAGTCGCTAGGCTTCCTGGATGGGATTGGGAATTCGGTATTGATTGGTGATAACACTTGAATATCACACTATCCCGACGATACGGAATGGAAATTACGAGTGTCTAACGTTTGACATGGCTAGATGGAGGTAGATCAACGGTGACAGATGCTAGATTGACGGACAGAACATAAACAAAGATAGTAGGTATGTACATGGACATTGTAGATCACAACCGGCAAACAGCAGAAACTAAATGGTCAAGTTCAAAGAACAAGTGTCCCACCACGCTCAACCTCGGCCAAAGTGTTGCAGAACGTCCCCAGCAGATCCTCGAGCCGTCGAACCGAGAGCCTCGAACTCGGCGCCGACAACTGTATGGTAAGGGTATTTTGCCATGGAGTGGTGGTTAGATTCAGATGCGGAGTCACTCCGTGATCGACCATGCGCCAAGCACAGTCCTCGCCAGCGAGCAGGACAGAAGTCCGCGGTGCGTTGTTGGCCTGGTTTGTTTGGTGCGTCACGACGCTGTTGAACTGCGTGCTTGCGTCCCAGTTCGTGGCATGTTGGCGGATGTGCTCGAAGTCGATGTCCGCGAACGGCATTGCGCGGGCGTACTGGGTTTGCACGAGGTGCAGGAGCTCAAGGACTGGAATGGTCGAGGGAAATGTTACGCGCATGGGCGAGACAGTCACACAGGGTCCGATCAGCTCGTGGGTCGCGGGGGTGGGCGCGTCCCGTCCATTGAGGGTGTGGCCGAAGACTATGTCGCGCTTTTCAGTTGTTCGTGCGAGCACTATCGCCCACGAGGCTTTGACGAGGGATGCCAGGGTTATCCCCTCCGGTGGGGTAGGCATGGGGATGCTACGCCGGCCATAGATCATGTGGTTACCTGTGTCCCGGCTACAGATCGGTTGAATGACATCGGGTATGTCTAGCATCCGAGCACCCTGGAGATAATCCTGCCAGAAGCGGACGGCCTGGTCGGTTTGTTGACGTTGGCGATACCGCAGGTAGACTGGGTATGGTGGGACATCGATGCGCAAAGGACGGCTTTGCAATCCGGCGACTAAATCGTCAACGAGCAGTGGAAGGGAATGCCCGTCGTATTGGGCGTGCGATGTGCGGATGATAAGCAGACGCGGGGCGTGTTCATCCGCGGGAGTAACAAGCCAGGCTTTAACGTGGACTGCGCCGTCCCCAATACCGGTGGCGTAATCGTTCGCGCAGATTGAGTCAGCGTATGACTCTATATCACCTGTTGGATCATGAAGATGACACATCATGATGTGCGCGTCCCGCAAGACCACGGCTAGAGTGCGGTGATTATGGCGAACAAAGACTGTACGGAGCATAGGGTGGTGACGAACCCAAGCGTCGAATACACCGAAAACCTGACCCCCATTGACTGCACGGGGCACGGAGATGCGCAAGTAGCTGCCGGTACCCGGACCAACCAAGAAGGTACGCTGGAATTCCGTAGTGGGAAGGAGGTCCTCTACCTGGTTGGCATGGATGCCTGGGGGCAGGACGTCTGTGTTCTGAGTGAGAAAAGTTTCGACGTCCTCGATGTCTAGTAATGAACCAGGTTGGTAGGGCGCATTATCCTCTTCGACAACGTCGTGGAGATATTGCATCTTCGTAGCCAAGGCGGCGAGGACTGGGTTGAGAAACACGTCGGAGACAGAAAACAGCACACCTTGACGGCGCGCAACACTGACCAGTACCATGGCCGAGACAGAATCACCTCCCAGATGGAAGAAATCGTCATTGGGACCAATTTGTTCGCGAGGAATGGATAAGGCAGCAGCCCACAAGTCGATGAGCATTTCCTCGTCGCTGGTTGGCGCTGGTGCTCCGACCGCGGGCGGCTGCGGGCACAGAGGTTGTAACCGCTCGCGTGGAATAGCTGCAGCGAGATCACGCAGTCGCCCACGGTCAAGCTTGCCACTCTGGGTCCGGGGCGCTCGCAGCAGCGGCAGGAACACAGTGGGGACCATGTACGCCGGCAAAGCTGCGGCCAGTCGCCTCATAGCATCCTGTGCATTCTTCACGAATCCGGCGTCAGCGACAAGGAAGATACCCTCCTCTTCTTCAGCTTCACCATTGATTCGGGTCTGTGGAAGACAGATGAATGCGACGAGGTTGGACGGCCCCCCGTCGGGTACACCATGAGTAACTACCTCGGCGATAACTTCACTGGCTTCGGGGAAGTAGAGACGAACGTGATGTTCTACCTCTGCCAACTCCACCCGCTGTCCGCGCAGTTTGACCTGAGTGTCCTTTCGACCTATAAAGCGAATGGAACCATCAGGCATGTATGAGACTAGGTCCCCGGTACGATACAGGCGACTTGGCGACTTGTCACCTCGGAACTCTGCAATCCACGGGGGAGGCGATGAGAGATAGCTTTCCGCGGTTTTCAAAGGCTCGTTGAGGTATCCCCGCGAGACTATAGGGCCTTCGACAAGTAGTTCACCTATCGCGCCTACCATGGCCAAGCGTGAGGGGTCGGACGGGACCGTGACCCAACCTCTGCCACCAACAACCGGCCCTATCTGGCCCGAAGCCCAGGTTTGTTTGCGAACCTTGCCTACGGCGCAGGGAGTCGTTTCAGCGGGTCCGTAGTTATTGATCAAGTTTACCCTGTCGGCCCAGGTGTCCACAATATCCTGGGTCAACGGTTCCCCGCCTACGTTGATGGTGTGAAGGTCAGGGACAAGCTCCGGCTTGAGCAGTCGGTGAAGGAGCGAGGTTGCAATGTAGGCAGTATTGACCCGATGGCGAGCAATGAAGCCAGGAAGGTCATTGAGACGATCCTGCTCGGATGGAATACAGACACAGGCGCCGTTGGCAAGAACGGTAAAAATTTCATAGAGACTGACGTCGAACGCATAGGAGCAGAAGTGCAAACATCGTGTATTGCGGTCGATGTTGCACGGGCGGCTGTGATGGAGGATGCTCGTGCGTAGATTGGTATGTTCTAGTATAATTCCCTTGGGCTGCCCGGTGGTTCCTGATGTAAACATGATAAAGGCTGGATCATGAGTGTCAACGACCGGGAGGGGACATAGGGTCGCCGGTTCCAGTGGTGCTGGGTTGAGGGGAACCCGCAACGAGCGCACATTGCAGCTATCAAGCGCAGTGCCAGTTTCTTCGCACACCAGTGCCAGATCTGGGCGCGTCTGAGCCAGAATAGCGCGAATGCGCTCTGGAGGATGGTCGGGGTCGAGCGGAACACATGCGCCACCAGCCAGAAGCACCGCTAGCATTGCCACAACCACCCATTTTGATCGATAGAAGCAGACAGGCACGATGCTTCCGTAACCTACTCCCTCTCTTTGCAAATGGCGGGCAAGCTCATGGGATAGCTGGTTCAACTCAGAGAAGGAGAATTCGCCATCCCAAGCAGAGATGGCGGGAGAGGTAGGGGTAGTCGTTGCAAAAGCTAGGACGGCTTCTTGGAGGGGTCTTAGGGAAGGAGATGGAAGACTGGAGTTCCACTCGTGAAGTTGATCTCTATCCTCAGGGCCTACGAGATCAAGCCGAGATAGTGGAGAATCAAGACTGCCTGGGAGTTGTTGAAGGATGTGGGCAAACTGAGAAACAATACGTTCAGGGCTCGCTTGCGATGTCACGCTTTTGTCGTAGTTCACCTCGACTGAGATTTGTGATTTGTCCAGTTTGTTCAAATGGCAGATGATGATTAGGGCGGAATCACTAAACGCACCATGCTCCTTGGAGGCTGAAGACGCACTGCGGTAGAGGCCACTATCCGCGTCGTCCGACTGCGGTTGAATTCCGAGATGACATTGAAAGCGACAGGCTTGAGCGGCCTCTGCTCCTAGGTGCCGTATGTTGCGTAGGCCGTACTGCTGGAAGGAAGCAAGATTTGTGATTTTGTCTTGTACCCGTGCAAGACTTGTCCGGACCGTCTCATTCAGGCGAAGTTGCGTGCGGAAGGGGATAGTAGCAAACGTTGGGCCAGAAAGCTCCTCAATGCCAGGCAATGGCGCATTGCGCCCGTTGAGAGTGAGACCGTATAAAATGTCTTCAGAATCCGTGTAACAGGACATTACGACGGCCCATGCGAGCTGAATCAAAGTTGATACGGTGAACTCTGTTGATGTCTGCTCAAAGTGAATTGCACGCTGGATGGTGGATCTAACAGTTGGCACGTGCCGGGCCGCTGGTAAGGACGGCCAGACTGGCGAGCGCAAATCGGCCAGCTCCGAGCGCCAGAACTGCGCAGCATCGTCATGTCCCATGCAATGTTTTATAAACTGATTGAATGGGCGCAAGTGAAGATGTTGCCCATGGTACGCCGCATGGACTTGCCTCCAAAGCACAGACAGGGACCATGCGTCGTACAGAGCATGGTGTATGGTCAGGAAGAAAATGGGCCGTTCTCTCTTGCGCCGGACGATTGAGAGCACGACCAAGTTGGAACCAAGGGTCATGGAGGTTTCATAAGCCTTAAGCCTCGCACGGTGGGACTCCAAGTCCTCGCTCTCCAACACCCGCACAGTCGTCCGAGTTACCGCTTGACAAGTACCACGCAGCCCTTCGACATGAACCATCCGAGTCCGCAGTATGGGATTCGCAGAGACAGTGGCCTTCCACGCTGAAACGAAGCGTTCCATATCGATATCAGCGTCAAGTTGATATTCAAACGTCACAGCACATTCGCCGGGCGACCTTTCCGATAAAGTCATGAGACCTTCCTGCAAGGCAGTGCAAGGATAGATATCTTCGATTTCGCTGGGCAGCACTCCACACTCCCGGGCGGCGTGTTCAAGCAAGTCATTGCTTCGGATATCTTCAGGAAGCAGACTGAACGGGGGAATCGACAAGATGGCATCGCCGTCGACCGGTCGGGAGGCTGCCGCGAGATCGCAGAGACGTGGATATTTGAAAATGTCGCTCATCGAGATATTCAAGCCGAAGCTACGTGCAATGGGAATCGACTGAATCGCCAAGATCGAGTCACCTCCAAGGCGGAAAAAGTTGTCCTCCCTGCTGATTTGTTTCGGGGAGCGCTTAAGGACCTGGACCCAGACTTTATGGATAAGTGATTCGGTGTGGGTAATAGGCTGAGGCCGATCTTGTATATCGTGGGCTCCGACTATTGCCTGGACCTCTTCAGTGGAAAGGCAGCATATTATCTCACGAAGCCTCCTGCGGTCGATCTTGGCAGAGGATGTCAAGGGCACAGTTTGTAGTGGTAGGAACAGTGTAGGTACCATATATCCCGGTAACTTCTCATGCAGCCGATTTTGAGCTTCTAGAGCGACCTGTCGGAAACGGTCCGTGGCAGAGCCCAAGAGACGCTCATCCTTGAGCGGGAGATCCGGGTCTGGGAGCACAGTTTCGGGCAAGTGAATAAAAGCCACCAGCATTTTCGCCCCGTCGGTGGTGATGCAGAGTTCCGCGATCGCGTCAAGACCGTCCACCAATGCTGCCCTGAGCTGGTATTCCACCTCTCCCAATTCCAATCTTTGGCCGCGAAGCTTCACTTGGTGGTCTTTGCGCTGGATGAACTCGTAGGTCCCTTGCTCCGTCAACCGAACGAGATCGCCCGTGCGGTACAACTTCGACGATAAAGTTGCATTGAGGGGAAGCCAAGACGGGGGTTCAATAAAAGCGCGTGCCGTAAGTCCTGGCTCGTTATGGTAACCATGGCCGACAATTGGACCATGGACCAAAAGCTCGCCAGTGGCGCCGATTGGGAGTAGTATATTCACATCGGCCGGGTCGACCACCCAGCCCTGACAACCGACGAGTCGACCAAACTCCCGACCGTTCGACTCCGGTGTAATGGGAGCCTCGGAGGCTGCGCAGTAGACTGCGCATTCCGCGGGTCCATAGGTGACAAAGAGGTCAACTGCCGGTGCCCACTGTCGGATTTCCTTGGCAGTCACAACCTCGCCGATTAGTATCACGGTTCGCAGGGTTGGAAAGTCCAAGGGCTGCAAGACACGGGCCACGGATGGAGTGAAGGACGCCCAGTTCACTTGCAAGTACGCGGCAGCGTCAGCTAGGGCGTCTGTCCGTTGCTGTTCCGAGGGAATACAAACACAGCCGCCAACGGTGAGGGTGGTGAGAATCTCGGCAATGCTGACGTCAAACGCAAAGGAGGAGAACTGAAGAACCCGCGACGCCGCGGTAATGTGCAGAGCATGGCTGTGGGCACTTGCGCTGGTTGTAAAGGCTCGATGGCTGATGATGGCGCCCTTGGGCTTGCCTGTTGAACCGGAGGTGAAGATGAGATAGAGCGGCCGCCCGGAGTCAAAGGCCGCAGTCACGTGCCCGGGCTCGGGGCCTTCCGTCTCCGTCTCCGTCTCGATCTTCGTCTCTTTCTCCACTCCATCCATCTCGTCAACACAAAGCAGGCCGCATCCAAGCTTCCTAGCCTCCAGAGAATTTTGACGCAGAGTGAGAAGCACCTCCGCGTTGATGCTCGCGCAGATCTCCTTCAATCGCGACGCCGGGTGACTGACGTCGAACAGGACAAAAGCCGCCCCGGCTCGGACAACGGCAAGCATGGCCACTGGTACCCAGCGCGACTTAGAGGCATAGATCGGTACAATGCATCCTTCGCCAACCCCGGGGGTTGATCTCAGTACTAGCTCGAGCGCGCGAGAGTACCGTTCGATCTCATAATACGTGAAGTCCCCATCCCAGCTGCACACGGCTGCGGCGTCAGGCCGATTCTGGCATTGTTCAAGTACGATATCAGCGAGAGACCTGTCGACAGCTGTTGTGGCAGTCGAATTCCATATGTGGACGAGCTGCTCCGAGCTATAACCGAGAAGCGATATCTTTGTTGGCGTTTGGGTTGGATCGTGAATTATTCCCTCGACAGCCTTCGCGAAAGCATCAAGGACGAAAGTTGCGCCTTTTGCGCTCAGCCACTCAGAGTGATAGTCCAGAACAATGTCCAGACCCTCGTCACCGACGTCAACAGTGAGAGCTACTTGATACTATATCCACTCAGCGCGAATCGCGTGATCCTGGAATAGCACTCACCTCGGTTGAACCGTCCGCGTCCTGTTCGCCTAGGACCCAAGGGGATCCTGCCACTTCCAGCCTCGGGATACGCTTATTCACTGATAATATCGAATTGAAAATATCTCTTATACCCAGCTGATGTGTGATGGCCGCAAGCGATCGGTACTGAAACTGCAAAGAGCGGGCAAACTCCTGCTGACACCGACGAAGTAGATCCAAAATACATGTCTTTTCACCAAGGTTGACCCGACAGAGTAGGAGGTTGATGAATGGACCGATGGCATCCTGGATCCCTGGAATTGGAGCGTCACGGCCTGATGTCATGTACCCGAAGCAGACGTCTTCCGTCCGACAGTAAGCGCCCAAAGTTAATGCCCACGCAACTTGGAACACAGACGCGATCGTTAGCTCGTGCTTCTGGGCCAAGAGAGATAACTCTTGCGTGCGGTCCAGGCGGATTTGCTGTCTTCCGAACTCGGCTGTTGTCGGCTTGTCCTGAACCGCTGGGACAATTGGGGGAAACATGCAAGGGTCTAGGCCGACGGCATACTCGGCCCAGAACTTTCTGGCTGTCTCCAAGTCTTGCTCTTGGATATGGGCGACATAATCATGGTATGCGTTGCAGCTAGTCGGCTCCAGTTGGCCCTTGTACGCCAGCGCCAAATCTCGGAGAAGTACCTGCCACGAGATACCGTCCAAAAGGGCGTGACTAGCTTCCAACAAACACCCAATCGACCCGTTCTGCGCCGCTAAGATGGTCAGCCGGTTCGGAGGATGTGTGGGGGGGATGGGCGAAGGGCAATATTGTGCGAATTCCTCAAACAGATCATCGAGAGTCGCCTTTAGATTGACCATCGCAGCTGGTGACGGTTCCAGCACAATTTGATCCATGGTCCCATCGGTATGCACAGATTCTCGGAACACCGTACGCAAAAGAGGGTGTTTGTCTACGACTGCCTGCCATGCTTGTCCGACTCGCATCGGGTCAATTGAGCCGTTCTCATGAGGTTGCAGAGTGAACATGTATCGGTTGTGATACATAGACCCATCTTTTGCCTGACTAAGAAGCATCCCCTCCTGAATGCTGGAAGTCGGATAGGCGTCCGACACGGTAAACCCCATATCCTGAAGAGGATAGACAATGCGGTCCATGAAGAGTCGATATTGGTCGTTCGTGAGCGAGAGCAGCTGGAATGGCATATCGGAGTGGTCGCTCTCCGATTCGGGCAACGTTTCATCCTCACTTGTGGAGGCACTTGACTCGATGGAGGCACTTAAACTTGCGATAGTCGGATTCTTGAAGATGGCCTCTACTGTGGTCCTGATGCCATATCCGCTCAACTGCGAAACCAAATGCATGGCACCGATTGAATCGCCACCTACGTGGAAGAAATTGGTATCAATACCGAGACTGCTGCTCTCACGACTTAGCACATCTGCCAGCACTTCTTGGATAATCGACTCCAGATTCGTGGTCGGCTGCCGCTGCTGCATTGGCACGGCCGTCTGACGATATACCTGGATTTCGACCGAGGACAAGGCGGAGACCTCATGTCGCAGGCACCGACGATCAACTTTGCCACCGGCCGTTTGGGGAAACTCTCGCAGCGACAGGAACAGAGATGGGATCATGTAAGATGGGATCAAATCTCGCAACGCGACCTCTGCTAGTTGTGTCTTGTGACTGAATGCCGCGTTTGGAGGGTCAAAGAGGGAGGAGGAATCAGTGTACGCTCCATTCTGATCGGCGGAGCCCATGATGAAGGCCACGAGGGTCGCCTCATTGTTACTGCCGGATAGCTCGACCTTCTCCACCACCACATCGACGCAATCGAGGCAACAACGCACATGGTACTCGACTTCTGCTAGTTCGAGCCGTTGCCCGCGGAGCTTGACCTGCGTGTCCTTCCGACCAACATATCGGATCCAACCGTCCGATGTAATCTCCACGAGATCCCCAGACCGGTATACCCGACCAGGGCGACCTTTCCGGTACGCTACCAACCATGCGGGAGGCTCAATGTACGCATCTGCCGTCAAGTCTGGACGCTCCAAATAACCATCGGTGACGACTGGGCCCTCAATCAACAACTCCCCCACCGCTCCGAGAGGTGAAAGCCGTCTCGGGTCAGAGGGCAATGTCACCCATCCAACCGATCCAAACATAGGCCCGATGACTCCAGTTTTCCAGTCCTCAGCTATCACACGTCCTACTGCTACACATACTGAGCATTCTGCCGGTCCATAGCCGTTTAGAAGGGACACGCGCGGCGCCCAGCGTTCGACCACATGTCGCGTGAGGGGCTCGCCGCAAGCGACGACTGTCCGCAGGCTCGGAACGATTTGCGGGTCTAGCGTTGCGAGCATAGACGATGTTAGAGACGCCCAATCTACATTTTGCTCAATCAAGAATGGCGCCAGTGCGTTCATGCGATCATGCTCAGACGGAACACATACACATATCCCATTGACCAGACTGGCGAAGATCTCATGCAGACTGGCATCGAATGCATACGATGCAAAGTGGAGAACTCGCTTGGAGGATGTTAAACGCATGGCAGGTGAATGATTACGGATACTAGTCGCAAAGTTGCGATGCGTCGCCACGATGCCCTTGGGTCGCCCACTGGAGCCAGAAGTAAAGATGATGAAAGCGGCTTTTGTCGCATCGCGCACCCAGTGAGTCTGCCAGCCTAGATCAATGGCCCAAGGAATGTCATTTGGCAGAGCTATGACGCTGTATTTGCCCCCATATCCATCAAAGCTTTCGGCCAGTCCCGGTGATACTAAGATCAGTGACGGCTGTGTTTGGTTGAGAACATCCTGAACACGGTCGACGGGGTATTTGGGATCAATACAGGAAACAACCGCGCCAAGGGACAACACAGAGAGCATGGATACAATGACCCATTTACTCTTTTCCGAGCAAATCGTGACGATCGATCCTTGTTCCACGCCTCGCTCACGAAGCAGACTCGCCAGGTGAAGAGAAGCCTGCTTCAGTTCTCCGTAGCTAAGCTGACCATCCCAGGCTGATATTGCTGGTTGTCCAGGGTTCCTGTCCGCATGCTCGAAAACCAAATCATGCAAGCACCTATCATATGACTTGGGCAAAATGGCATTCCACTGGTCGAGCTGAATCATATCCTGCGGACTCATAGCTGAGATGTTTCCGACTTTCTGCGAAGGCTGGCTGAGAATCTGCCTCAGAATGTGCTCAAACTGCTCGACCATTCTCTGGGCTTGGGCTGGGAGCACGACGAGCGAATCATAGCTCGCAACAATATCGATGGCTGCTTGGTTTGAATCCGACAGTTCGCAGACGAGAACGAACGCGTAGCTCGAAACTGTCCGTAGGTCTGCACTGAGGTCTTCAGTATGCTTGACGAGCAAATTGGCCGGTGAAGACTGAAGCAGCTGTACGCCAATGTGTGTCTGAAAACTGCACGCATGCGCGGCATCGCTACTCAGACCTCGGATATTTTGCAGGCCGAATTGCTCGTATGCTGTCATTTCCATGACTTGCACTCTCAAATCCTTCATTTGTCCCTCGACCGACTTCCTGGGCTGCAGGAGGACGCGCAAAGGGACTGTGGTCACAGTCGGGCCAGTGACTGTCTCAATCCCGGGAAGGAATGCACCTCGTCCGTTGACAGTGAGGCCGAACACCACCTCGTCGGAGTCAGTGTAATGTGAGAGAAGAATTGCCCAGGCAAGATTGATGGCCATGGACAAGGTGAAGTCACGATTCCCTACAGGAAGATCGGGCACGGGGTGGCGGAATACCTTGTCCGGCCGTGGAATATGTGTGGAGGAAGGAAAAGCGGGGAAAGCCGGTGCTTGGACGTTTTCCAGATGGGAGCGCCAAAATTGATCAGCTCCCTTCGATTGGACGATATACTGTACGAACGGGCTGAATGGACAGGGTCGCAAGGCCTCTGTGGGTGCGTGATATGCGGCTTGGACTTGGTCCCATAGCAACGGGATTGACCAGTCATCATATAGCGCGTGGTGCAGAGTCAGTATCAACTGGGGCGCCGTGCCGCTGGTGATTAGTGCTGCCTCCCAGAGACGGCTATTGAGCCCCATTTCTGACATGCGCAGCTTTCTGGCACCCTCCCATTCTTGCTTGGTGGCGAACACGGGAATGGCCACCTGCTCGTCACGGATGACGACCTGAAAGGTGCCATGGGGATGGCAGTGCATCAAACGCGTCCGCAGGATTGGATTGGCCGCCACTGTTGCCATGAAGGCATACTGCAACCGGTCAAGATTGAGGTCACTTTGAAGTTCATGCCTCCATGTCGCGACATAGTTACCCGGCGACTGTAGGGACAGCGCCATTAGCCCATCTTGCATAGGCGTGCACGGATAGATGTCTTCTATCTGTTCCTCTGCAACCACACCCCCTGCAACGACACCCGCAATGATTGCTTCCCTAATCATATCGGAAGGCAGCAGGGAAAAGGCCTCGGGAACCTGCTGCTCAGCCACCAACTGCGGCAGGAACTTTGCGTCGGCCAGGTCAATGAGGTGAGGATGGCTGAAAACGTCTGCCACAGCCAGCGGCAAGCCAACGGCTCGGGCGAGAGCTACGAGTTTCATCGCCAGAATGGAGTCTCCTCCACGGCGGAAAAAGTGGTCATCCAGCCCGATCTCCTCGGTTGGGAGATTCAGCGTTTGCGCATATAGTCCCTGAATTAGTTGCTGTCGGGGAGTCACCGGTGGGCGCCTGTGCCCTGTCTGTCCCAATCGCCACGACGACAATGCCTCTGTTGACATCTCCTCAGTCCATGAGCGCAATTGACGCCTATTGACCTTGCCTGTGCGGGTGAGCGGCATTGCGCGCACGGGGATGAAAACATCCGGCACCATGTAGATAGGGACAGACGCTTCCAATTGCGGCCTCGCACGGGTCACCATCTCCTGGAATATCGAGTTCTGCAATCCCAACCAGCCAGTGTGCCCTGGATCAATGTCACCCTGGTCCGGTACCACGACCCAGCTAACGAGAGCTGGTCCCAGGCCAGCTGCAGGGCGTACGATGTCGACGGCGACGTCGGTTGCATTGGGAAAGCATTGTCGGACGTGGAATTCGATCTCGGCCAGTTCGACGCGCTGACCGCGAATCTTGACCTGTGTGTCCTTCCGCCCCACGTACCGCAAGGAGCCATCGGCAAGGTACTGCACAAGATCACCGGTTCTGTAAAGTCGAGAAGGCCCCTGTCGGAACTGACTCAACCACCGAGGTGGTGGAATGAACGCAGCTGCTGTTTTTTCTGGCTCGTTGAGGTATCCCTGACCAACCAGAGGGCCCTCGATTACGAGTTCACCGACTGCACCGATTGGGGCCAGTCGCTCGTAGCCCTGACTGTCCACAACCCAGGTCACAGCGCCACACCCGCGCCCGATGTCATTTGTCTCGCCCGATGCACTAGGATAGCACTGGGTTGTTGCCGTTACAGCGCATTCTGCTGGGCCGTACAAGTTCAGAAGCTCAACATGCGACGAATCAGAGCACCAGGTTTGGATATCCGCCTTGGTGGATGGCTCACCACAGAACGCAAGGAGCCTCAGCGTCGGGACGTCAGACGGGCGCAAGATACGTGCAACTGAAGGCGTCAGATTGGCGTAGTTGGCTTTGAAGTTAGTGATTGCTCCCGCGAGATCCGAAGTTCGATCATGGTCAGACGGAACGCAGATGCAGCCCCCGGCAACCAGCGTCAGCATATTGTCTTCGACGCTGAAATCGAACGAGTACGAAGCGAACTGCAGCAGGCGCGTGTCGCGATCTAGCTTCATCTGCCTGCACCTGGCCTCTGAACTGCTGCACCAGTTCGTATGCGATATCACAACTCCGCGCGGCTTGCCAGTTGACCCTGATGTAAACACCAGGTACATGGAATCTTCCGGTGTGGGTGCTGACCAACCGTTTATTTCAGCATTGCCTGCCGTCTCTGCAAGGGATTCGGGATCGAGGATCAGTATGGACGGACCAAGAGCCTCCGCGGCGCCAGCGAGTGAGTTGGATGTTACGAGCAACGGAGCGCTAATCTCGCGGCATATTTCCTGGAGACGAGCTACTGGGTTCGATGGATCTAGCATTATGAACGCACCGCCGGCCTTGAGGATCGCCAGCATGGCGACAGTCGCCCATCGAGACTTTTCCAAGTACACTGGCACGAATGTGTTGGGGCGGACTCCCTGGACTCGCAGCATGCTGGCCAAGCGACCTGCTTCTACCTCAAGCTCATGATAAGTGAACTCTCCGTCCCACGCACATACCGCGAAGGCGTCCGGCTGCGACGCTGAACGACGCGCGATAAGCTCGTGGGCGCATGCGTCCAGTCGCGCCGGCAACATTCCATTCCAGCGCTGCAGGATACCCATGTCCGCGGGACTGATGGTTTCTAACTTGCCCAGTGTCATATGTGGCGCATCCAGTATCTGACGCAGTGTATGCTCAAGCTGATCCAGTAGGCGTTCCACCTGCTCTCCTGGAATGACCTGAGGGTCATAACTCGCCGTGATTCGAACCGAATCCGCAAGCAGCTGGCAATCAAGCACGAGTGCATATGAGGATGCTGCGCCCTGCTGCTCACCATCTAGTCGGCCAAATATTTCCGGAGCTTTATAGTCATCAGCATCGGCTTGGACAAGCAGAAGGCTCTGGAACTGGCAAGCTGTTCCGCCATCCGCCCCCAATTGGGCAATCTGCTGCAAGCCCAGTTGCTCGTACCGCATAGTTCGCACTGCCCATTCCTGCAACTCGTTCAAGTGCCAGTCGACACTACTCTCCCAATCCAGCTTTACCCGCATTGGAATGGTTGCGATGGTAGGCCCGGTTGTCGATTCCACGCCATGGACCTGGGCACCACGGCCGGCGACTGTGATACCAAAGACGAGGTCCGCGCTGTCGGTGTATTGCGACACAAGGACAGCCCAGGCTAGTCGCAACTGCGTAGACAGCGTGACGCCGTCTGCGGTAGTGGCTGCCCTATCCCGGCCATGTACTATCGTGTGCACGATCATCTCGCTGGGCTCAGAGCGGTACTCGGGGTTGGGCAGTTTTGGAAACGGCATTGCATGCAGATCCGCTAATTGTTCTCTCCAAAACTCAACACATTCGCCTGTTTGAGATGCTAGTGTATATTTCACGAACGGGGCGAAGGGTCGCCGATCCAAAGTGTCCCCCTCATATGCAGCCTGGACTTGCTCTAACACCAATGCGATGGCCCAACCATCGGTCAAGGAGTGGTGCATCGCTAGGGCAAAATTGTGGTAAGGCATGTCCCGCTGGGTATCAACCGAGAGCGCGAGTCTCAAAAGCGGTTGGCCGGTTGCCCAAGAGTGCCAATGGCTAGGCAAGTCATCACCGGCTGGCCAAGTGTCCCATGCTATTGGTTCACCCCTGACGACTACCTGATATAAGTGGCCATCGTCAGCCTGGACGATGCGCGTGCGTAGGATTGGGTTGGCTTCAATTGTGGCGGCCCATGCCCTCCGGAACCTCTCTAGGTCGGTCCCCGTGGCCAGAGAGTATCGCTGGTATATAGTGAAGTTGGGCGAAGCTCGGCGTGACAAAGAAAACATTCCTTCCTGCAGTGGAGTACAGGGGTATATGTCTTCGATTTCAGCCGGGGCCTGGACGGGACACTGCGCTCGTAAAGATGGGAGGAGGTCTGCATCTGCGACGAGCGAGTACGGCGGAACTATAGCGTCTTCCTTGCAGTCCGTTGCATTCCCAGCCACGAGGCGCGCCTCCAAAGCCGATGCCATTTTTCTGAGTGACTTGTTGTCCCACATATCTTGCATTGTGATTTCGTAGCCCAACCGCCGGGCAGCCCCCGCCAGCTTCATTGCGCGGATCGAGCTGCCACCCAGGCTCCAGAAATTGTCGTCCAGTCCGATTTCCTCGGTTGACATATGTAGTGCGTCCGCCCATAGAGCGCACATGGTGGCTTCGACAACGCCAGCTGGGCTTCGTTTGGTTGATGTCTCGAGGTCGCGGCCTTGATAAAGCACGCGGCGAGTGCTGGAGTTGCCGAGTGCACGCAGACTTCGCCTATCAAGTTTCCCGCTGTTGCTCAAAGGCATGGTCTCAACCACCATGAACGCGGCAGGGATCATATACGCGGGTAGCTGTTGTTGCAGGTGCAGCTGGGCGGATGCAAACTCGGTCTCAAAGCGACGCTCGCTGCTCCACTCATCTGAGTCTTGCAGCAATACAAAGGCTACCAGCAATGGCGCGTCATGATCATCGTTCGGCGTGATCACGTCGACGGCAATGTCCTGGACCACGTCGCCCAGGCATTGACGCATGTGATACTCGATATCCAGCACGTCCATGCGCTGCCCATGGATCTTCACTTCCGTACCGCTGCGTCCAAGGTACTGCAAGGAGCCATCACCGAGGTAGCGGACGAGATCGCCCGTACGGTACAGCCGCCCAGTGGCTGTAGGCGAACGCGACCGTAACCACTCCGGGGAATTCACAAATGCAGCAGCTGTTTTTGGCGCATCATCAAGATACCCCCGGCCAACAATCGGGCCTTCGATCAGCAGCTCTCCGACGTGTCCAGCGGCCACCAAGATTTCCAAGTCATCCTCTTCCACCACCCAGAGTCGACTCCCAGTCGGGGTTCCAATCGTGGTCGGTGTATCGTCTGCGGAATCGTATTCGTGCACAGAACACACCATCGAACATTCAGAGGGTCCAAAGCCGTTAAACAGGCGCACATGTCCATACCACTTCTGCAAATCCTCTTGACGCGGCGCCTCGCCTAGGAGAATTAGGGTTTCCAACAGCGGTATGTCGTCCACAGCGAGGATGCGCGCAACGGATGGAGTCAGGTGTGCCCAATTCACCCTGAGCCCACGCGCGGCATCCGCTAGGTTATAATTTCTATCATGGTCCGACGGTATGCAGACACATCCTCCATGCACTAGAACAATAACCGTCTCTGCCAAGCAGGCGTCGAAGGCGTATGAGGAAAATTGCAGCGCGCGGGACGATCGGTTGAGGTTCTCGGCCTTCCCACCCGCCATTGCAGAGGTGGATATCGAGCGATGTTCAATAACAACACCCTTCGGCTCTCCGCTGCTCCCAGATGTAAAAACGATGTACGCAGCGTGATGGGGCTCTGCGCGGTCGGGGATTATCACCACTGGGTTGCTCGTGGTGTCTGCTCCCCAGGCGTCATCGAGGATTATTATATCCGGCACCAGCTCTGCCGCCATTTCAGCGTTTTTTGGTGAGGAAACTATACACCTCGCGTGGACCTTGGTGCATATTGATGCCAGACGCTTCTGAGGTAGTGATGGATCCAGCAGCACGAATGCTCCGCCGGCTTTTAAGACCCCTAACATGGCCACGAGCACCCATCGTGTCTTCTCAAAGAGAATTGGCACAAATACCTCTGGCTCAACGCCACGGCTATCTAAGACTGAAGCGAGATGGTTGGCGTGTGTTTGGAGTTCCTCATACGTGAATTCTCCGTCCCAGGCACACACTGCGTCAGCGTTTGGGCGGGCTGCGCACTGCCGTCGTATCAACTCATGCAGGCAAACTTCCACAGCCTCAGGGGGGTCCTTCTTGGATAATGCAAGCTGGCTTGGGACTTTTTGGGCTCCCACACTCGGCGCCTCCTTCTCCTTGTAACCGTCGTTGATGGTCATGATCTGGTATAGACTTAGCGAAATCCGCAAGTCAGGTATGTGTATTCTGTCTGCCCTTACCCTTGTTGTTGTTTTGCTCTGTCCTTTCTTTTTAGGTTGTCCGTTGCACTTAGTTTGCTGTACTCGATTGTTGTGTGATGTCTCCCTAGAACTGCAATGCAGGTCTTGCCCAAGGGATGATGAACATATACACGACCTAAAAGCCTCATCTCACCGAAATACCGGATATATACGTCCTGCACGTTGGGTAATATCTACAGATTGTTCCTGGTCTCGGACCTCGTCAAGGTAGGGCTGCTCACGTTGACAGAGCATGCCTGCTCCTCATCTTACGTTGCGTGCAGTATGCTTGTTGCCTTCGCTTACACTCATGCAGGGGCCCTCGTGGACGAGGCAATAGCGGCGACATTCCCCATGTGGTAAGTGCGTTGGCTTGATGCTGGACACGAGTTATAAAGCACACCCTGGTGACCTGCCTCATTGTGTACCCAACACCATGGCATTGGCCACAAAGAACGCTCCCATGAGGGGTCGCCAGCTTCTCCTATCTGCGAACCTAGATTGCAGCAGCCTTACACAGGGTGAACCCGGTCCTCCTTCTATACTGACGTGTTAGGACAAGGGATTGTGGTTATTTTGATGCCCGTGACCAAGTACTCGAGGCATCGACCCTTCTTCTCTTCAACCCGCAAATCAAATTGTCCGATTTAGAGCGCCATCGGAAGCACAACGACCTATTGCGCGCTGGACAAGGCCGAGGACGGGATCTCGAAGGGTTCGCATGATCCGCGCAAGGCTCTCCGCCACGCGAGCTTTGTCCAAATCCATGGCCTCCTCGTGTCTCACAAGGACGTAATGCAGTGAATGACAGGTGTTTTAAGCATGGCCACGGCCGTGAGTGTTTTTTTAGTTCAGCAACAGCAGCGCCAATCATCCTCGCATCTCGGCCGGGACTCGGCGGAAGTGCTTGATTCGCAGCTGTGCCTTGTGCCTCGCGTGGCGTCATCTACCAGTTCCCTGCGGGGCGCAATTGTTGCTCCGACTTGTTCAAGATCAGGACTCACACGACTTCCGGTCAGGGTCGGAGTCGCCCCTCGTGGACCTCGTACCCAACGGGCTTCATGCCGCCAATGACCGCCCGGAGCCCGAGATCGTTTGCGTTCTCAATTTGACCGCGGAGAGTAGCTACGACGCGAGTGAGTATAGAATTAGTTGTCTCACCGGGCGACTCATCAGAATATCACTGTTAAGGGAGTCTGTCGACTCTCAGGCCAGCGAACCCTACTCGCGATAACCAAATGTGAGTGGATGAGACCACCTATGGACGAGAAGTGCTGTCCGCTTGCCACGACTATACTAAAGTTGACCCTCTTTCCTTTCCAGGGGTTTGCTGACGGAGTATGTCAGCCCTCCATGCGCTCGAGCCAGTATAAACGCCATTGAGGGTCCGAACACAACTCAATGAGCGCCTAGGCGCGTACGGAGCCAGGTTTGACTGCAGACTGCCTGAAAGCATATACAGCCCTCGGTCAAGCCAGATCTTTGCTCCAACCCGGTGCTCCTGTAGTCAGCAAACCGCAAGTACTAGGACACTCGTCGGTGCACTGTCCGCCCTCTGGATCCCATTCTGTTCGTTGTAGCAATTGCTTTGACTGGACGCCCGACTGGACCCAGTGCAAATCCCGCAGGCCACATATGGCAATCTATTCGTCCACATCGGCAGTAAGCCAACACTTCACCAGTAAGCCTCGGGGCTGACGAACCGTTCCGGGAGCCCCGATTGGCGTATCTGGAGATCCATGCTGATCGATCCAGTGCACGCGGGTGATCTCATTCCCCCAGTCATGGCCCTCGGATGGATCTCCGGCTTGCTTGCATATGTCGCACTGCGGGGTGGCTTATAAATAAACCCCAGCACGTAGCCAAGTCACCATCTGTCCTGATATTACTCGGGGTGCAGCCCAGTCCTCGCTCGCTCCGGCCTCTTTTAACCCTTTGTCTCGACACCTTAGCTGTCAAAGACGATCAAGGTTTGATTGTTAGAAGGCAGGTTTGCGGAACGCTTGCATTTACATAATAATAGCGCTGACATCTGGAATCGCGACTCAGCAACTGCCTAGACTGGCGTACACTTGGTATCAAGACCAACTGGACGGGTTTCAAATTCGTCCTGGCGAGTACATTCCCCGGACCCCGGCCTTTGAGCTGGGAAAACTGGGTTCCGTCCTGTTCCGAGGAGCATTATTGGCGCCCACCAAGAGGTCCTTGAGATCACGGTGGATGATAGGCCGCAGTGTATCATTGCCCGTGCGTACCGGGCGTTGCTACTTGGTTAGAACACTGCGCGGGCTTTCTACTGTGCTCAGCCATGTTCTTGATGCCCTTTTTCCGGGTGCCATGCCAGGCCTCAGACATGTTCCCCGCAAGGGGGATTTTATCTTGGGCCGCCGAGCTCACCATGTTACGATTCTGCCCGGGTTGTCGATGATGAATGCCGATGGCGCCATGTGCTGTGGTGTTGCCATCCAGTGTAGGAAAATTCTGATCCTGACCGGGGTTGGAATGTCACCGTCACTGCCAGTGGCATTGTTGGATGTCCCAACCCATATTATACATAAGCGTTTGAGAGGTCAAAGAGACATGCAGCTAGACATATCACAAGGCCGTCTATCTAGTATCGTGACCTCGATGCACGCGGTGCGACGCTGACTTCGATCTCTAGCGGCGCATGCTATCTTTTTGGGGAAGATTGTATATACGTTCAGAAGACACGGCAAGTCAAGTCCATTCCGCCACCTCGGTCCTGGGCGAACTGCCAACGAACAAGTTCGGAGGTACGTGCGACGCGTGGGGATGGATGTTGTACAAAGTCTTTGGATCTGACTCGAATTGCCTCGCTTATGTGTGTCATGGAAGCGCATCGCATGATTCCATAATTCCCGCAATGTATTGCGGTACTCTCGACCTCCGGATCCCCGGCGTTATCTCAGGCGTCTTCCAGGGTTCTTGCTCGTACTTCCCTGCTTTGAGCACGTCGTACCATGTTCGGGAGCAGTTACCCGTCTGTACCCCAAGGCCGACATCCAGCCTGGATAGCTGTTGCAAGATGTCCAAGAAATTGCCCAGCTCGGTTTCCCAGAGCAAAGGTGGACGCCCCCAACGTCCCATGACATGAGATGCAACATTGTCGGTCTAATCCGATGCATGCATGATAACCAGAACATCATCCATCCCTGCCCTGCCCTGCCCTGCCCTGCCCCAACCAGCACCTCTACTAACTTCCTAGGTACGAATTGACAATGTCCCATGAGAACACGTCCTTCGATGCTCCCATCGGGCTTGCCTTGGCGGTCGCAGCAAGACAAGATGGATCAGCCATGTCTTGTCGGTCTCAATTGCATGAATTCCATTCGCCGAACGTCATATTCTAGGTAATAGTAAATCATCCTACGTCGTAGGGCGCCGTGGAGCTTCTACTACGTCTGGGCTTTTCATGAGGATTCTCTAAGCTCCAGGCGTGAACACAGCCAGAGCCCTGACTAGGTCGTTTGAGCAAAGGCAATCGTCAGGTACCGTAGAAACGACCCCTTGAGTGGCAGCAACCAGGGTTATTCCGCATCGCCGGAACGGCATCCACCACGTCCCATAGGTGTCACTCAGAGGAAAGGAGGGCATTGTTTTTTTTACTGTATCTTTCGGTATTGGATTTATGGCCTTTAGTTGTCCCCTAGATGTTTGAGTGCAATCATGCTCAGATCAGGCAACGAGCGTGGAAATCGGTGAATGAAGGGGGTGGTTTCTCCGTGGCAAAGATCTGCAGCCTTTTTCAATTGTTCACGATATGGAGTTGCTAAGACCTAGGGCAGTATGGTGGTCTCTTCGAACACCTTTACAGATGCGGTTTGATCGCTTCCGTACTCTATCCTATGAGCTTACCATTCTCAGCATACTTTCATCCGCATTCTCGGTAATTCCAAAAAGAAATGGCATGTCATCACGGTGGTCTTAGCCCGGGCTATAGGATGAGAAGGAAATGGGCCTGCTCTCCGCGGTTGCCCTCGCACGGAACCCTTATGGCGAGCCGTCAGTTGGCCAAGCGAGGATCGATGAGGTTGGCGATCGCAATTGGCGCATTCCAAGGTTCCATCTTTGCGCCTCAGGACACTGAACTTTTGACTGAGAGTTACCCTGCTTAGTTTCAATATCAATGGCCGTCTAGAGCCAGTTCTCCTAAGCTGGCTTGCCGGTGAAATGCCAAATGTTGTTCGATTTGTTGGTGTTGAATGCATCCGCCCCAGTGCTATTCTCTGTGCTATATTACCTATATCTTGTTGGTGAGTCTGCTTCGCTTCGCTTCTCAAGTGTACTTTTCTCACCCTACCTGAACTTCCTTTTGGTGATAAGTTGTAATACCCTTGGCGCCTTTGGACCAACCGCAGTTATCTTTTATCCCGATGTTTTAGATATGCGCAGGCGTTGGGAATATCTCCTGCCGAAGGCTATGGTATTACAAAAGGCAAGGTCTCGCCGCTTAATCTAACGCTCAATAGGAAATAGAGACTGTTTTCAAAAAGCCCTGCATAGATCCCCAGTCCTTTAGTGCTTATCATTTAAAAACACGCCCCTGTTTCCTGCCAAACCCTATGCTACTAACAACGCCCTTGGCGGCAAAATCTTGCTGCCCAAGCTAAGCCCAGATGGGAAGTGGATACCGCTTTGAAATACCTCTTATACCCTTTAGGATTGCCAAGCAAGACAAAGTGCTAATTTAAGCGAAATACTGAGCTAGCCGCTTCGTAATACATTACATTGGAATACATGTGTTGATTGGTTTCCTGTACCTACCCCACTCCCAACCAGGGAAATGCTTGTTATTTAATCCCTCTTGGCTCCCTCTCATTCATGGCCAATTTTTTGCTGCAACTACCAAAGGGAAACTGATAAAAGCAACAACCCTGGATAGCTACTGCCTCCAACTGAGCAGCATCATGATCGCTTCCCCCTCCCGCCATCCACACTGGCCTGGCGGCGTCCCGCCTGAGATCCAGGTCGATGCGAATGGTGACATCACTCAAAACGAGGCAATCGAGGAGTCTAGAGCATGGTTTCTTTTTGTCGAGGTAAAAAACGCCCTTCGGTAACCCCAAATATTATGGTAATGGGTTTATGCAGGAGCAATGGGTTCCTCGAACGACGGCCAACATCTCCGATGAAGACGGCGACTATGAAGTCCGCCAGCGACGACAAATCATGGTGGAATGGGCGAAAGCGAGTCAAGAGCTTAGGGATGCATACCACCAGCGAGCCCTGCAAAGAACCGGCTTCAATCTGCCCCCCGAAGACGCTACGCAAAATGCCGACTACCCCGGCGACTGTCCCGACTTCTTATGTCTCGCGCCGCTGGGCCCAGACCACCGCTCCAACCGTTCAAAGTGGATCAAGCTCTTCCTCCTCTCGTGCCGCCTGGACGGGGAGATGGGCCACTGTCTGGATCAATACGGGTCTGAGCACGGCGGGCTCACTCTCAACCCCGCGAGTCATCCGGACCCCTCTGCAGTCCAGGTCACGGACGTACTGCCGCGGGCGCTGCTGGAGACAGCGAATTGGAATTGCATTACCATGACGCGCCGCGGCACCGTCCTCTTCCTCCAACGCCTCGGCCCGTGGTTCCTAGTCACGCCGGATGATTTGGAAACGGGGCACATCACCATCGTCGAGTTCAAGCGCAACGGACAGGTCGCGAAATCGTTGCGTCGCCGTGCTTGCAACATGTGGCCCGTCTATCTCAAGTACTGCGGCCAGTACCTGTCGCTGGAGGAGATCGAGGACAACCGCGTTGGTGGGAATGCGGCAATGAATTCCGAGTACGTTTACCAACCCTTGCACTGCGTTGGGATCACTAACGTAGAATAGTCTGGACATGACACTACCTATCGTCGACATTCTTGAAGGGGCCAAGGCCCGCGGCGAGTTTCTTTTCGGGTTTGATGGCGATCGCGAGGCGTGGACTGAGGATATTGAGATCTATGCGCCCGGGTATCTCGCGATGGAAGCTGCTGGGAATGAAGCGGATTACGATCATGCGCGTCTGATTGACCCTATGGAGGCATATGATATTCGTCGAGAAATGTACGCGAGCTTCGACTGCAAGGACCCTGGCAGCAGAACGTAAATGGACAAACTTGATGCACGTGCACATGCATCTGCTACCTACCTCTGGTACCGGGAATGCGTCCTAGAACTCAGCTCACGCCCGAATCGCTATCCACCTCCAACGACGCCGCGCAATGAAACCAGACTCGATCTCCAGATTGTACAAGCTGAGTTCCAGTTGTTATCTGGGCTCGTGCCAGGTGCGGCCGGGAGGGAAGGCAGCGGGACCTCGAACTGGCACCCCTTGCCACATTCCAAGTAGTGGCTCAACGGAGGTACCTATGGTACGCAACTGATACAAACGAAGATTCGAGAGCAATGCTCTGTCAGGTCTTGAGGCAGCCTTGGGCGGAGGTAAGAAGGTGTCTAACCCGGGGTCCAAGGATAAGGATCCGACAGAAGGTGCCGGCGCCTTGATAGAATAAAAATAAAAGAAAATCTTAGGCAGTGGGAGAATAGTAAAAAGACCGAAACATCCCTGTTTATTCAAAGGTATTTGACAAGTCGTTGTCAAGCATGCATTCGTTCTGATGCTCAGGGCTGGCTCGGGCACTTCAGACGAACCTGATACATACATACAAAGGCCGCAAGAAGCAACCTTGCAACCATGACGATCTATCGAACTAATCAGCCTCAAGCTGCCGTGTCCCTCACGCACCTTATGGCACCTCATACCCTAGGGTACCTGGCCAAAATACACCGCAGGTCCGTATCGTGCGACTGTACAACCAGAAACCTAAACTCGGGTCTCAAGAGTCCGACGGTGTTACAGAGTGAGATCCTTTGGGCCTGGGTAGCTTGCACATGTCGAACTCTCGCTCTCGGTAGGAGATCTTTTCCTGCGGGACTGACTGAGCCGTTAAATCTGTCCTTCATTCCGCCCTGAATCCAGGTTCACTATGGAACAGTCCAAGCTTCCCCTGCAGTCCTTATTACGGAAAGCAAGCCCCACCGGCGCAGGTGAGGATAAGCAGATCAGATTCTGAATTCAGATATCTGCAGTCGTGAATTTATACCAGAGCGGAGAGAAACTGGATCGAATTGCTCCTGCAGCTGCTGCAGGTGCCAGCATAGCCTACGCCAGCTGCAATCCGTCGGGCACGTCCGCGCCGAGGTGCTGCAAGCCGAAGAAGAGATCTGGCCGGCCTGGGAGCTTGTGGAAGGACTGGATCTTCCAATGTTGTGGACGGCGGCATCAAAAGGGAATAGGACCTGGAATAATTGTCGGAATGCGTTTGCCACTGTGGGGGTAGGGTTATCATATAAGGCGTCGGGTCCAGGGACCTACCTAGGTTTGATTGATATTCGTTGACGTCAGGTCAGCCACCATTAGCTTGGGATTTCGTCTCCGTGGAGATATGGAACTGGACTGGAGTCATTGGTGCGTGGTAGCACAAGTGCCGTACGCTTCCAAGTTTGCCAGTCTTCTTTATCCTAGCCGGGGATGGAATGGCCAGTGAAGGACGGTTCCTTGGCGAGCGCATAGGGCATCTGAGACGCTTCGATCAACGAAGCAGCGAGATCGTGGAAGTCTTGTTTGCTTAAGGCCTATATTCTACTGCGTTGGACAGGGAGCAAGCCACAGTACTATGTACCTGTGTCAAAAATAGCGAGTAGCCACGGTAGAGTCAGATATACTTCGGCAATCCCAGTGCAGTTAGATAGATGTACCACAGTATACCAAGGTCAAGATGTCAGCGTTCCAACACTTCGTCTCTCGTTCCCAAATCATATCGAAAGGAAGCGCTTTTGCCCTGTTGTCGGCGAAGCCAGATAGCTATGGTACCTAGTACAAGCCATCCGCAGATCAGGTTGGCAGTGGTTACGCCAGAGGCCACGCGTTGCACAGGCTTAGAACCTCATGCCATCCCCAGCCCGATTATCTGGCGGTCAGCTGTCCATGATGTTGCTCCGTCGTCACTACGTGATTGTACGGTTGGGCTTGGTATATACCCGCTGCTCGGTGTATATTGAGCAAAGTATATCGTGTTAAGCTTCATGCAGGGAATTGAGAGGCAATGGTATCACGGACAACCCGGAGTATAAGACTGCAGTTGCCTTGGCTTTCGACGCCTGCACGCTGTTTCGCGCAAGTCCGGTCAGTGACGTTGGCTGGTTAGTGCGACTGCAAGGTTGGCTGCTTTTCGCCCTCGCCATCGGTCTCTTTGCTAGCTGGTATATGCTCACCGCTGTTTCTGGTGACATTCCATTGCACGGGGACGTGGCGGGCCACAGTCTGTCTGCCAACCTCTTGGCCATTCTCGCTGTTGCTGACGGTGCAGCAGGTTCTATCATCACGGGGCTTGTTCCCAATTCTACACTTTCCGTTCAGGTACACTGCGCTTGGCCTGTAACTTCCCTCTTCATCAATCGGTTCCCCGGATATCTTCCATTGGGGCCCCTCACAATGAACGACGCCCCTGGTCGGCGCCGCTGGTGGACTCAGGAGGAGGACCATATCCTCCATGAAGAAGTCAAGCATCAAAGTAAGTACCAACCTGTGCTCCCTCGAGGCCGAGCCGTACTTACAAGAATTTCTATAGCAGAGCACGGAAGTCAAGGGCCTAGGAACTGGAGCGCCATCGCAGAGAAACTCCCCGGAAGATCAAATAAAGACTGCCGCAAGCGCTGGACCAAGATCAGTCTGAGCAGTCGAAAGGGAACTTGGAGTGGCGCAGAGGACCATCTCTTGCGCAAGGCCGTGGCTAAGTTCGGCTTCCAGTGCGGATCCTCATTCAGCTTTCCTGTTATATACTGAGCAGTGGCAGATGGACCAAGGTGGCCGGCATGGTTGGCAGCCGGCACCCTGACCGTACGTATCTCGCCCGATGTCCCAGAAGACATCTAACGTGATGCAGAGTGCGCAAAGCGATGGCATCACTCGCTCGATCCGAACGTGAAACGCGGCCCCTGGGCGTCGGATGAGGACGGCTCGTTGATCAACGCCGTGCAGAGAATCGGGCGTGACTGGAAGGAGATCGGGCGAGAGCTGTTCCCCAACCGGTCAACAACTGACATCAAGAACCGGTAGGCGTCGATGACTGCCCTATTGATGGCCGATCGCTAACGGCCGTAGCTATGTGATATTGAGCCGTCGGCAGGGCTTCTTCTCCAGCCAGGACGATTGTTCGGCCATCAACCTCAAGATCAACGCGGATTCGCCGCCGCTTGCGGATAGCAAGCCTGTGAGCCATAATTCAGGAGATGTGCTGACCCCGAATGGTGATACCGATGCATCTTTCCTTCCTACCCCGTGTGATTCAGCTGCAGATCTCTTCCACCTCCCCCCGGACGCCCTCACCATGACCATGCCGCGTCCGACCGTCATACCCCCATATCCCTCCCTCCCCTGTCCGCACGCCAATATCTCAACCGACGATCCTACTATCTCCTGGGACGTGAACGACTGGGCATTATTCGATAGACAATACCTCCTCACGCCCGGCCCGTCCGAGCTGGAAATGGAAAGCTGCGACCCGAGTCTTCTTACCAATGGTAACGGCACAACTCCCGACTCAGCACTATTACCGCCCGAAATCCCCGGACCCAGTACGCTGGTCCTTGAGGACCTGCGCCCGGAGACAGTCAACCTGGTGATCGACACGTTGCTGCGGACGAACTCGAAGTTTGGGATGCGGTTGTACAACACGGGGTCATGATCATTGGATGGGGCGATATACTCCGGAGGAGGTAGATGTTCAGATGCTAGGTAGACAAAAGGTTATGGCTTGTTGAGCGGTCTGATGTAATGGTTACTACCTAAGAAGATTCGGGGTTGTTGTTCATACTCCGTACATGTTGCACAGTGTAACCCGGTCTATAACAGCACGCGGTAAGATCAGATGAATCGTTCGTCACCGGCTGGTAGGGTACCCTACAGTTGGCGGGACCATTGCGACCACACGTCAGCCTTATGATTCCTGGGAGTTTAGACTAGGATTCATGGTCATTCCATGCGATCTTTGTGCATTGCCGTTGGGTAGACATTGGCCGACCCAGCCCGTGGTTAGCCCTAGTTCATTCACCCTGAGGAAGCATGTTTGCCCCCTCTCTCCATGCAGTAACTAATCTCCCGTCCAAATACTGCCCACAGTTGTCGAGGGATTCATGAGGCAGAACCCCGTTGCCCGCTGATGAAAAAAGATGCAGCGCTACAGTACCATTACTGCCTGCTATGGTAGACTAAGCGCAACTGCCAGCCACAAGCAGCTCTCATCGCCTGGGTGCCTCGCCATGGCCCGAGAGTCAGCATGGTCTGCCTATTCACTCGCCCATGTAAGCCCTTCTCCTTAACGACGGAATGTTGGGTGATCGCCCGAATCTGCTATTGGCACTAAAGGTTATATTGGCAAGCGATCGAGGCGTCCTGGACCACAACGGCTGTCGATGCCGCTGCACCGGCTCAATAATGAGATGCAGTCCATGTTGCCGAAGGTCCAACCCTCTTCCTCCCGGCTTTTGACACGTGCGTTGGCCCTCGCTAGAGGCAAGCAAGACCATCTCTTTTCCTCCAAGCTCTACAGCTCTATAAACCCTCGTTGGATCCAACGTCCGCCTCTTGGATACCGCTTCCATAATAAAGTTCCACATAATCCTTGGGGCAAAGTCCGGCCGGATCCAGTTAAGTCGCATTCGGCGAAGACATCCCGATCCGTCAATCAACCACCTTGGGTTCCAGGCTTCCAAGAATCAATCGGAGGTCAGTACCTGCATTAAGATTTAAGGCTGAAGGATGATGACGCCATACATACGTTGAGTGACAGTTCGGACGACAGTTCAAGTGTCCATAAGACATTTCGGGTGTATTATGCAGCATTATTCACTGAATAGCTCGGCAAGCTGAGAGATCGATTCGACTCAAATACTCCGGGAGAAAAGCACCCTAATTTGCCGTGGCAGCTCGGGTGTTAGAATCTGCCGAGCAGTCACTATCGATGAGTCTTAGATACCTAGACCATACCATACGTTCCTGTCAGAAATTAGCGGCATTTGGCCTATCGACCAATGAGATCGTGCTGAGTCATGACACTCGGGTATCGGCACTGTTATCGCCGATAGCCCCGATGACTCCTCCAGTTCCAACTCTTTTTATCGTTCGCCTCCCCCTCGCGTCCCCGGCCAGCTTCGTTCCCCAGGTGAGAACTGTGCGCATCTCGAGCCTTCATAGATGCGCTTTTCATCCGAAGCCAAGAGCGCCGAGGAAGGGGGTCGCCCTGCTGGGTCCGAGACCGAATCCACCGCCAGCGTCGATCCCAAGACCCAGAAGTGGTACCGCCGCTTCAGCCTCAACCCACTGCGCTGGCAATCCATTCCGCCCGTCCCCGAGCAGCGGTCCGTCTCGCGCGAATATGGCGCTTCTTTCTTCAGCATCGCCTCCTTTCAGTGGATGGCCCCGTTGATGAAGGTTGGTACCCGACGTACCTCCCCCCGTGCTACGTGCCAAGCTAACCCGCTAGGTCGGCTATCTACGTCCGCTTGAGCTGCAGGATATCTGGACTGTCAACCCGGATCGAGAGGTCGATGTGCTGTCAAAGCGCTTCGAGGACGCCCTGGAGAAGAGGACATCCACTCAGGTAAAGCGTCCGCTGCTCTGGGCTCTGTACGACACCTTCCGCTTCGAGTTCCTGCTCGGCGGCTTCTGCCACCTGCTCACGTCGCTGCTGCTCGTCTTTGCGCCGTACCTGACGCGCTACCTCATCGCCTTTGCGACCGACGCCTATGTCGCGCAGCACACCGGCCAGCCTGCGCCGCATATCGGCCGCGGCATGGGCTTTGTCGTCGGCATCACCGTCATGCAGGCCATCCAGAGTCTGTGCACGAACCAGTTCCTGTACCGCGGCCAGATGGTCGGTGGGCAGGTTCGCGCCGTGCTCATCCTGCAGATCTTCAACAAGGCCATGAAGCTCTCTGGGCGGGCCAAGGCCGGTAACGTCCAGAGCCCGGAGCAGCAGGAGAAGATCAAGGAGCTGAAGGCGGCCAAGGAGAAGGCGCTGAAGAAGCCCGGGGCGTCGCCGGCCGATGACAAGGGATGGGGCAATGGTCGCATTGTGGCCTTGATGAGTATCGACGTTGATCGCATCAACTTGGCCTGCGGCATGTTCCACATCTCCTGGACCGCCCCGGTCAGTATCATCGTAGCGCTCATTCTGCTACTGGTCAACCTGACCTACAGTGCGCTGGCGGGATTTGGACTGCTCGTTATTGGAATGCCATTTCTCACCTACGCCGTGCGCTTTCTGTTTAAGCGCCGCAGGAACATCAACAAGCTAACTGACCAGCGTGTCTCGCTAACCCAGGAAATCCTGCAGGGCGTACGCTTCGTGAAGTTCTTTGGCTGGGAGAGTAGTTTTCTAGACCGTCTCAAGGAGATTCGCCGTCACGAGATCAGGTCGATCCAGACCCTGCTAGCGGTGCGCAATGGTATACTCTGTGTTTCGATGGCGATTCCCGTCTTTGCATCCATGCTCTCCTTTATCACCTACGCGCTGTCAAACCACATGCTGGACCCTGCACCGATCTTCTCCTCTCTGGCCCTCTTCAACTCGCTGCGCATGCCACTCAATCTGCTGCCTTTGGTCCTTGGTCAGATTACCGACGCCTGGACCGCTCTCAACCGCATTCAGGAGTTTATCGTGGCGGAGGAGCAAAAGGAGGACATTGAGCGCGATGAGAGCATGTCGGATGCCGTCAGGATGGATCATGCCTCGTTCACCTGGGAGCGCATGGCTGCGGACAAAGAAGGCGACCAAACTGGGAACACTTCACAGTCCGAAAAGCCAACGGAAAAACCGGCAGACTCCGCTGACGGCGACGAACCTTTCCAGCTCCGCGACATGAGCTTGGATATCCGCCGAGATGAGCTGATTGCGGTCATTGGCACCGTCGGCTCCGGAAAGAGCTCTTTACTGGCTGCGTTGGCCGGTGATATGCGCCTGACCGACGGCGCCGTCCGATTAAGCACAACGCGGGCATTCTGTCCCCAGTATACGTGGATCCAGAACGCAACACTTCGCAGCAACATTCTCTTCGGCAAAGACTACGACGATAAATGGTACGATCAGGTCATTGATGCGTGCGCGTTGAAACCCGATCTCGAAATCCTGCCCAGCGGCGATGCGACCGAGATCGGGGAACGGGGAATTACCATCTCTGGCGGACAGAAACAACGGCTGAATATCGCTCGGGCTATTTACTTCAACGCCGAGCTGGTTCTCCTCGATGACCCCTTATCCGCTGTCGACGCCCATGTCGGCCGGCATATCATGGACAAGGCCATCTGCGGCTTGCTCAAAGGGCGCTGCCGCATTCTGGCGACGCATCAGCTCCACGTCCTCAGCCGGTGCGACCGCATCGTCGTGATGGACGATGGCCGCATCCACGCAGTCGGCACGTACGATGAACTCTCCCGCGACAACGAGCTCTTCAAACAGCTCATGTCGACCTCCTCGCAAGACTCCAAGCAAGACGAAGAAGAAGCCACGGAAGTCGTCGAGCAAGAGACCGAGAAAGTCGCCGAGCAGAAGCCCGCCAAACCGCCAGCAGCCCTCATGCAGCAGGAAGAAAAAGCAACCGACTCGGTCGGCTGGGCCGTCTGGAAAGCGTACATCCGCGCCTCCGGCAGCCCCTTCAACGCCCTCGCCATCCTCTTCCTCCTCGCCCTCGCCAACGTCGTCAACGTCTGGACAAACCTCTGGCTCTCCTACTGGACCTCAAACCACTACCCCTCCCTCTCAACAGGCCAATACATCGGCATCTACGCAGCCCTAGGCGCAGGCTCCGCACTCACAATGTTCATCTTCTCAACATACATGACAACAGCCGGCACAAACGCCAGCCGCAAACTCCTCCAGCTCGCCATGACCCGCGTCCTCCGCGCCCCAATGTCCTTCTTCGACACCACCCCCCTCGGCCGCATCACAAACCGCTTCTCCAAGGACATCGGCGTCATGGACAACGAGCTCTGCGACGCAATGCGCATGTACGCCATCACAATCACAATGATCGTCTCCATCATGATCCTCATCATCGTCTTCTACCACTACTTCGCCATCGCCCTGGCCCCGCTCTTCATCCTCTTCCTCCTAGCATCAAACTACTACCGCGCCTCCGCGCGCGAAATGAAACGCCACGAGTCCGTCCTCCGCTCAACCGTCTACGCCCGCTTCAGCGAAGCAATCACCGGCACAGCCAGCATCCGCGCGTACGGCGTAACGTCGCAATTCCGGCTCTCCCTCGTCGACGCAATCGACACCATGAACGGCGCGTACTTCCTCACATTCAGCAACCAGCGCTGGCTATCGGTGCGTCTCGACGCCGTCGCCGTCCTCCTCGTCTTCGTCACAGGCGTCCTAGTCGTAACCTCGCGCTTCGACGTCTCCCCCTCCATCTCGGGCCTCGTGCTCAGCTACATCCTCGCCATCGCGCAGATGCTGCAGTTCACCGTCCGCCAGCTCGCGGAGGTCGAGAATAACATGAACGCCACCGAGCGCGTGCACTACTACGGCACGCAGCTCGAGGAAGAAGCCCCGCTGCATATCCCCTCAAACCCCGTCCCAGACTCCTGGCCACCATCCGGGACCATCACCTTCGCCAACGTCGCAATGCGCTATCGAGCCGGCCTCCCCCTCGTCCTGAAGAACCTCTCCATGACCATAACCGGCGGCGAACGAATCGGAATCGTCGGCCGCACCGGCGCCGGCAAATCAAGCATCATGTCCGCACTCTTCCGACTAACGGAACTCTCCTCGGGAAAGATCACAATCGACGACATCGACATTTCCACAATAGGCCTGCAGGACCTGCGCTCGCGATTAGCAATCATCCCGCAGGACCCAACGCTCTTCAAAGGCACGATCCGCTCCAACCTCGACCCGTTCAACGAGCACACAGACCTGCAGCTCTGGGATGCGCTAAGGAAAGCGCATCTCATTGACGCCGAGCCGACCCCGAACCCGAACCCTATTTCCACATCCGCCATCGACGCCCCAGACTCCGCACCCGCAACCAACACAGCAGCAAAGCTCACCCTCGACACACCGGTCGACGAAGAAGGTCTCACATTCTCGCTCGGCCAGCGGCAGCTCATGGCCCTCGCGCGCGCGCTCGTCCGCAACGCGCGGATCATCATCTGCGACGAGGCGACGAGCAGCGTGGATTTCGCGACGGACCAGCGGATCCAGGAGACCATGGCGCAGGGGTTCCGGGGGAAGACGCTGCTGTGTATTGCGCATCGGCTGCGGACGATCATCCATTATGACCGGATCTGTGTGATGGATCAGGGGTCGATTGCGGAGATGGATAGTCCGTTGGAGTTGTGGGAGCGGGGTGGGATATTTAGGGCCATGTGTGAGCGGAGTGGGATTTCGAGGGAGGATATTGCCGGACAGTAACGGTATGCATTGGAAAGGGTAACGGTATGAGTTGGAAAGAAAGCATGAATATACGAACGAACTATATAGATCGCTAGGTCGCACCTAATTTGGATAGTGTTTAATCAAGACAGACGCTGTTACGACTACGGAAGTGATGAAATCGCTATGAAAATTGAAATGCGTTACTATACACTCTGGGCCAGCCGGCTAAGGAAAAAATGTACGTCGAATTGAACTCCAGAGACACCAGGAGAAATGCATCAACGCGCGCTATGACTCATACGGTAAATGCAAAGAACCAGAAACATGATCATCGTTTAGTTGGGCTTGGAGCAGCTGAAGACTCCGCGGACAGTGCCAGCGTCGTACTTGTCAACCTGGGGTATGTTAGTGACGTTCATAAAACGAAGGCGACGAAAACTTACAATGTCCTTGACACTCGAGTAGGTACCAGCCACGAGTGTTGTGACTCCAATGAGAAAGCAGAGTGCGTTCAGCGCAGCAAGAGCCATGTTCTTGCGCGAGGAGAAGATGCCTCCCTCCCTGATGAGCATGAACCACATGCAGGCGGGGAGGTAGAAGGAGAAGCCAGAGATGAAGAGGGAAGAGGAAATGGACAGCAGGTCGTTGAAGAAAGGGATGACTTCGGCGATGATGAAGGCAATGACGGTGCCAACAGCGATCATGGCGAGCCAGGTAATCCATCCCATCCTGGTGTTGATGAAGCGGATGGGCGAGTTCGCGAAGATGCGGCCGTGCACGACACGAGCGGCAACGACGGTGTTGATCGAACCACTAATGAAAATGACGGGCAGAGCGATACCGAAAGCGACGCGACTCATCAAGTGACCGGCGGAAAGCAGGGCAGGGCTACCAACGTCCTGGCCAACAAAGGCGTAGACAATGGATCCGGTCAGGGTGTAGATGATGATTTCAGTGATACCGAGAGCCCAGATGGACTTGACGTAGTCCTTGGGAGTGTGCATTTCGTCCATGAAGGAGAACTGGCACATGGCGAAACTGTAGGCGAAGATGATGTTGGTCATGGCGATAAAGGCGTCGGTGAAGGTGATGTCATCCTTGGGCCAGGCGGACCAATTCACGCCGCTCAGGCCACCGGGGGCGTTGGTGCTCTCAACACCGGTGGCGATCATGGTGATACCAATGGCGATGATGATGGACGCAAAGTCAATGTAACCCAGGATAGCCATCTCTGTGAAACTCGGCGGGACGGCGAGGAGGAAGAGGATGATGGCGGAGACGACGGCAAAGACAACGGAGCAGACGTTGCTCTGGGTGATGTCAATCCAGGCAATCGCGCCGGTCAGAGTGTGAGAGCCGGTGAGGAAAAGCAGCTGGCAGATCAGCATGAAGTTGACGATCTCGTAGCCAGCACGCCCGAACATGAGCTTTCCAGCATCGGGGTAGTGGTGGACGAGCGGGAACTTCAGCTTGACCTGACCAACGACGTATGAGGTGTAGATGGCGAGCAGACCGAGGCCGACTGTGCAGATGACGCCGGCGACCATTCCGAGGGTTGCGAAGGTGGAGGGGAGGGAGAGGGAGCCGAGGGCGATGGCCTCGACGATGAGGACGATGGTGAGGCGCTTCCAGCCCAGACGGTTGAACTTGGCGGTGCCGTGCTCGTAGACGTTGCGCTCGCGCTCGCTCATCTCAGCGACGAGGTCGCCATCCTCGGCCGGCGGGCTGTACTGAGGCGGGGCCTCGTACTTTTCACCACCAGCAGGCACGGTGACCTTCTTGGACTCGGCGTCCGAGATGTCTGTGGAAGAAGCCATGTCCCTAGTCTAGTCTGAGAGGTTGAAGTCGAGACTGAGAGTCGACGAGTGTTGAAGGGGGACAGGCAGAGAGAAAGCTGGGGAGGCAAAGCTGGGGAGGAGCGAGGTTAAGAGAGAAAGACAGAAACTGACTTCAGAAAAGTGTAACACTGGCAAGTGAGAGTGTGGGAACTCTGGAAACCGCTGCCGGATTTTGCCCGCCCAAACAGGAAAGAATGGCCACTCCCCACTGGCCGCTCGCCATTGGCCGGCTGCTGCCCGCTTTGAGTTTCTGTGACTAACAAGCGTTGTGGCGTGGGCTTGGCAGGCCGCGGGCGAGGGGCTTATCGAGCTGCTCAGCCAATGGCAGGCCGTGGGGTCCTGCGCTAGCCGATACAAGCTAGTGCCGGGCGTCTCGGCCTTCCAGAAGTTACACGAACCGCACGATGGCATCACCGATAACACCACGCAACCAATCCATTACCAGATCATTACTACATGTCATAATCACATTGATTCGGGATCGGCACTTATCTGGGTACAATGGATCCGGGGAACGTGGCATCTCCAGATTATAGCAGAACTATCAGCAACAATCGCTGCTAATGCTATCCTAGACTGGGTACACCGTTAGCCCACGTACTCTGCACACACCGTCTCCCCGCCAATGTCCATCACATCTGCCACCGTCGCATTCGGCACAAGCCCGTTCATCCACAGCACATGCGCCAGCGTGGTCTCATTGCCCGGGTCGCCGTTATACGCCGTCAGCGCCGGGCTCACATTCACCGGCGGCACGCCAATCGCGTCCGTAAACGACCGCGGGACAACATTCGCGCCGCCCATGTCAGACAACCGCGCGGGCAGGTCAGCCTGCTGCCATCGCCACCACAGCCGGTCCAGGTACGCGTGGTGGAGGTAGAAGAGGGGGTCGCCGTTGCTCTCGGTCGGGTCCTCCATCTGCGGGACAAATTAAACTCCTGTTAGCGAATGCCCGGAACCAGTAATCGACACGAGGAGGGTGCCAGCGAGGGCTAGTGTCTCAGAGTCGCGACTCACCACGCCACCAACAGCGACATGCCCCGCCGAGTGCGGGTACAGGTTGTAGCACCACCAGGCGTCCGTGTACTTGCGTTCTGCGAAGCACTCGTCGATATTCTGTCGGCTCGCCCACGCCCAGGCGGTCTGGTTGAATCGCCGGCTGATGCAGTAGTCGGCGTTGGCCTCGCCGGCTCGGATGTGCAGGGTGTGGCCTCTGAAGGGGCCGTTGTTGATGCAGCGGTTCCCTATCACCAGCGGAGTGGAGCGCATTAGCAATCAGTTAAAGTCAACCTTAAACACCTTATCAGAAACTCTAAGACAGGTGGGCCTACTGCCGACCCCGTTTCCCCCAAACCCAAACTGCGCGTCGAAGACGGACGACCGTCCTATCGGCCCAGCCTCGTAGTCCGTGAGCTCGTCCCAGTACGGTTGCGCGCCGTTGTAGTTGCAGAGCGTCTGCAGGAGGACTTCATGCGCGCGCACGAGGTAGCGATGCCAGGGGAGGAAGTGGCCGACGTAGTGGACATATTGGCCTTGCCCGATATGCAAATGGTGCAGTTCGTCCCAGAGGTTCCTTGCGTCTGCGACGTTGCCCGCGACGGGGGCATGGTTCATCAAGCATCGTTCAGCCCGGATATACTCTGGATTGTCAGTCTAGCCTCAAGCTTCGGGCTACGAGACGGCCTCACCGGTCTTTTCAGCTCGCGTCAACGCGTTCCTAGTTCAATTAACGAGCTGTCGCTGCGCGCAAAGGCTAACGTACCATGACTTCCTCCTGTTGAGTGAAGTACAGGCTCCAGCTCGGGGGATGTTACGAGCCACGGCTGAGACGACGAGGACGGCTAGAGCGACGAGCTTGAGCCATGAGGCGGCCATTGTGCTGAATCGCATGGCCAGAGGGAGTGACAAACGCAAAGGAGCGAGGAATGACTGTTGAAGACCCCTCCATCGCGGCCACGTCCGTCTTGCTTTATAATGGGATTGGTTTGCTACCCCTGGTACTCATGCAGGAAATCTGCGCGTTGTTCGACGTCTTGAAGATGCTTTCCAGTTGAGAGAGGTCGCAACGCAGCCGTTGATTTGTGTTCATTCGCCGGGTTCGAAATTCCAGCAAACGAGCGAGCGACGCCGAGAACATATCGACTGTCGTGCAATCCTATGGTCCCTGGGCCGGGATGTTACTGGTTGATTGAGGCTTTGCCTGCAGACGAGCGTCATGGCCCATGAACAGGAATAGCTCAGGTCGGAGCGGTGACCACTCCAGTAATCTCCGGCCTGTCGCCCAGCAGATGCCCCTTGCTGCCGACGGCAATAGTACATCGGTCTACTTACGAATAAGCCCGGTTTGGCCAATATATCAACCTACTACCGCTATGCAAACGAGGCTCTCGCGTAGTCGTCATTAGGGTACGATAAGAATACTTGGTGAGTTGGCATCGGTTGTGCCGCCAACGAGCAAGGTATATACGCGGCTTAAGCGGTTGTACCGCGATGTCATGCGTTGACATTTCACAGGTACTCCGCCGCTGTGTCCAAAGTACACGCGTTTGTGCGAGAACTCAAGGGCGTTCTCTGTGCGGGAATTGTTGAGCTTGTCATACGCAGAGTACCACGCCAGCAAACAATTTCGGCGTTGGATCCATTCTATCGGGACAAAGGCCCAGACGCATTCAGACTAAGTCTGTACGCGGCTCGCAATTTCGCAATGCGAGGAATACCATGCGTGCTGACGGGAGATGCGCAAATGAAGGTTCTCTTCCGTTGATATCACGTTCTAATCGTAGGTCTCGGGCTAGGATGATATCGCAAGGCGACTTACAGTAAGAGCTGGGGAAACAGATATCCACATGGAGCCTTTACCAACAGGTGGATGAGCCGAGTGACTGATTGATTGCCTTGGAGACGTTCGGCCACGGAAGATAAGAGCGAGACCGATAGTTCTCCGCAGGCTAGGACTCGGCTTTGTTCACCACGGGCCGGTGACATGCATCCCACAAGATACCGCTCATTCCAACCTCATCTGCCCCTTGCATAGGTATGTCGCGGTCGCGTGGGCTAGGACGCAATTCGCTCTTGATAGGAGATATGCCAGGAACCGTACGACCGCCGAGAAACCGTGGAATGATGAGGAGCACGCAAATCTGTAAGGGGAGCGCTGTCAGTCCCACTCATGCCCCGGATCGGCCCTGGTATCCTCTTTCCACGTGCTCGCTTAACGAATCCGTGGTCTAAACGAATGGGAAAGTTCTAGGCGCTGAAGACCGCCGAATCCCGACCGCTCGGTCTAAACGTAGTCGGCGGAATCGTGCGAGATTGCGAGGCATCGTGCTTAGGGCTATCGGTTTCTTGTGGTTGTAGCCTACACCGATTCAAGCCACGAGCAGCGTTCATTTCGGCCTCGTGATGACGGCCTGCACCGAGTAAGCCACCAAGCAGCGTTCATTTCGGCCTCGTAATGATGGGCCCGCTCTTATTTGCCCAGCCAACGCATTATTTAACGCCGTATACCTCCGTATCGCATCCGCGTTGTCCGCCCCATCCAGGATGAGGACTGCATCGCTTTGTAATCGTCGCAGTCTATAGGTATGGTATCGATTCCGACATTTCCCGAAGATTCTCTGACGGACGTGGCCAGGGTCCACATCACGGGCTGGAGGTATCCGTGACAGACCTTGACCGCAGAGTTGAGCATGCCAAGTAGTCTCGATACGACATCCTATGTGCGGTGGCTGGCGAAGCGAAGGACGAACAGGGATCCGCCGGTGGACGCGGGACGAGGCAAGGTAGAGCTGGTCTATCAAAGTCAAGGAAATCGTCAGCAACTAGACTACTCCAACACTTTCGTCTCGCTCCCGTCAAATAGGACTCACGCTTCCCCAACTTACAGTTCAATGTCGCCATCCCCCTCCTCGCTGATTTGCACGGGCTGGGCTGGTAGCCTCCCACCGACTCCGGAGTCCAGGCGACCGCCGACAGCACCACTGAGGCGGCGGGCCACACGGCCAAAGAGCCCAATTCAGGGAAAGTGAGGCTCGGCAGAGGAATCCCAGTCCCGGAGGCCGGAGTACGCAGCGGACAAACCCACCTCTGCTGCTCCTGTATCGGAGGGCTCCGTGGGCGCGGTCGGCCTAACTTCGGCACCGTGTCAGAGACAGATTCCGCTGCCGCTCAGCGGGGTGTTGTCGACGTCGTACTCGCTGAGTCGTGACTCGTGCTGCTGATCAAGCATCGTTTCGCCTGAAGCGTTGGGACTTGGGAGATGAAGGGTCTGTGACAAAAACAATAATGTTAGCCCCTTAATCAACCCCAACCCCGTTGCTGCGTTCCCTGGGCCGTCGAGCTCGATTGGATCGTCCTGCTGTCCTTCGCGGCGCGCAGTCGGTGTCAAAGCTGCTAAGGGCGACCTCGATTGCCATTCTGCTGCTGTTGGCGATAGGCGTCATGCTTAGGGAACGTTGCCTCCACTGTTCCAGCATCTGGAGCCATCGTGGCGGAGGAATACTCCACGTCTGACCAGCGATGAGCAGAGTTCCCGTTTCCACGGCGCCGCGCCCGATAAACATTCGGTGCCTGGGTGCCTGGCTTGGCTTTAGGGCGGTCTGGAGCTGCAGAATCGGAGCACTGCTCGCCGGTCATGTGACAGCATCGCCACCGTCAAAGCAGACAACTAAAAGGCAGCGAGGAGTGTAGTCCAGTCCGTCCAGGAGATTTATCAAATCCGATGTGCTGGTAAAATGATCTGAAGACAGTGTACGTGCAATGGCTTTTGAGTGGGAAAATCTATGTTGCAATTGGTAAATACTCATTCTGTAATCACCAATCCGATATATATATTTCTACAGAGCTCATCCACCCTAGGTATATAGAACTTCAACACCACTTTGTGCTGAAGGTACGGACTCGCTCGAAGAAACGGATTAGGTACATACTACGTGGATAATACCAACACTAGTATGATAAAGATTAGCTATTAGACATTATACTATTTATACAACAAGTTGTAGCTCAAAAGGATACTGAAGAAATCCATCATCAAACCATCACATTCATCATCAAACAGCAGCACTAACAAACGCCGCCTTCTTCGACACGCGCCGACTCTTCCGCAACCTATCAGTAGCTCGACATGCCCAGACGAAAAATCCAAAGTGGATAAGACTGCAGGAAGTCAGCTAAGTCCACCCAAAAAACAGCCGGAGACATACACAGCCAGAAATCCCATCGCAGTGCCAAAGTGCTCGACATTAGCAACCCGCTTCCCATTACACCGGTAGCCCCGACCACAGGTATACCCATCGCCCGTATAATATGGCTGCATGATTGCGAGGTACAGACAAAGGCCGACTGTGACGGCGGCCCAGGCAATGAAGTCGAATGCGACGTAGAGACCGGGGTGGAGGTCGAGCGGGGTGGAAAGTTCGATGGAGAGGATGATGAGGGTCCAGATAAAGGAGTACTCGATCTGGATGGATCAGTTTGGTACTGATCGTGAACGAGCGAGGTCGGACTTACCGTTCCAGTAGCTGGGCTGATAAGGTGGTGACCCAAGTCTTCGGTTAGGACTATGCCCCGGTCGTGGAGGTCTTGGGAGTATGCAAAGGCTATAACGCCGGCTAGGGAGGCGACCAGCGCGACGGAGCGAAGGCAGATTGAGAGGCGATGGGAGCGCCATTGGGTGCTTGCTGGAGACTCCATGTCTGGTCACAGTATGGGACGGGGTTGAGTCGAAAGGCTTGCTGCGTATTCGGATTTGGCGCTAACTTGGCAGCTCTATGTGTGCGACGGGGAGAGTGGACAGGTCTATATAACTCTCTGTCGCTCGCATGGTGCTTTGAGCAGCATGATCGGAGGCTTGGTGTTGGCAGTGCCAAACGATCGACCGAACCGCCACAATCCAATGGATCAGGCGTGCCATAAGACAAGGAGCCTTAAGACCCTGATCGGCAAGTCCCCTTCCAACCAGAGATCGAAACGACCACTATCAATGCTGAGAGTTTGCCAAGGTCATGGCGTGGAAGCTGGCCCGTGAGAACCCCCAGATGTCGCCCAGGTCAGGCCCAAGGCGTGGCAAGGTCCCTGAGGCTATGCGTCGAAGCCGCTTAATACCCCGTTATCAAGGGTCCAAAAAGCCTTGGCTCATGTAAGAGATGCGCTACTCCGTACTCTGCAAAAACCCGGCGCCGAGATGTATGACATCATATGGCTCTGCTTCAACTGACAGAACGGGAAGTACCGTGCGATTTCCAGTCCCCTATCAAGCAAGGAAAATGTGCTATGAATGGTCTTGTATTGTTTACTCCGTGAAAGGCAGGGTCTGGCGATACTTTGATCAGTTTGCGTCGCGTCCGAAATGGCCGGACTACCTGGAGCCTCAACGCCATGGGCGTCGAATGAAAGTTCCTAGCATCTCACCAGCATGATCATCCAAGAGACCGAATGGATTTAGCGAGATGTGTACGTGTGTACTTGACAAATACTAAGACGCAGTCTTGGGTGACAGAGTGCTGAGCGGCGCTTAGGTACACGCGTCGCCTCGAAAGGATCGGGAGGGGTCGCGCATTATTAATCCAACATCAATCTCCAACACTGCTGACATACAGTAACCCAGAGCACTCTCCTTGAAAAGTTCTCGAGCCGGAAAGATGCATGAAGCGGAGAAAGGCTGAGAATGGAATCGACCGGGTTTACCTTCCTCAACTCGACGGGAGCGTCGCTTCCTGGACCAGCAGCCAAGCGGATGAGAGCGCACATCACCAGAACCAACTTCGCCAAACGGCGCCAACGGATCGCTGCCACCGGGGCCAGCATCAAGCCAGATGTGAAGAGAACGCGCACAGGACGAAATGAGGCGGAGGATGAAGATCGAGGCGTCGCTCCACCACCCACATTAACGCGAACTGCAACCGACATCGCAGCTTGTGAGTACCGTCCACTGAACTTGCCTGGATGTGGTCTAACGAGTATAGTCCACAAAATCCAAGAACTCGTCTTCCTGGAAGGCAGACATACGGCCGGCAGCGCAAGCGAAGCAGCCTGGTTCAACCTCATTGCGTCGGAGCCAGCGCTGGTCGAGGCATCGCTGGCTGTAGCCGTGCGACAATGGTCGCCAGACAACACCTGGCAGTCGAAGGCCGACTACCACTCGTACACAGCAGTCCGGCTGATCAAACAGCGAATCACAAGCATAACGACTCCGTCGGACGGTGTCCTGGGCGCAGTCATCACGATGGCACTGGGCGCTTCTCTCGGGCATGATGAGATCGCCTGGAAAATCCATATGGATGGTCTTGCTCACATCGTTCAGGAGAGGGTGGCTAGAGATCCGCAGAGCCTGCCTTCATGGTTTGTCGATCTGATTATCCAGTGAGTTTATCTTGACCGTAGCGAGGCTTTGCTGACCGCATAGGGACTCAATCAATAACATCTTTGAGTTCCCGAGAGTCTGGCATCCGAGGATCGTTGAGATCTTGGGCGAAAGTCACGATCGGCGAATACTGAAACTGGCGGAGATCTGCGATAGTGTTACTGAGGTACGGAAGACGATTAGTTCGTTTCACGAGAGCCCGTCAGATGTTGCCATTGCCCAGGAGATCGAAGAGCCCCTGGCTAGACTGCACTACGAAGCGCGCAACCTGCGAGCGCCAGACAACCTGCACATCGACGCTGCAGCACGAGCCATCGAACTGGTCCTCTACCTGCTCAGGCCGACCCAGTCGAGCGCCCATCTGGCTCTCCTCGCTGCCGAGCTAAAGGAAGTGATATCCAGATTCCCGATCAAGGGATGTACATATATGGACTTGACCTCGTTCCAGCTCATGATCGGGGCCATTGCTGCCGACCGAGCCTCGCCCGTAAGGACCTGGTTTGTGGAAAAGATTTTGAAGCCGGTGCGATGGATGCAGGAGCGTGGATGGCGCGCTCCGTTAAGCATCGTGGAGACGGTTGGGAGTGATCCTGGTGATACACTCGTTGGACGGCTCAGCGCCCTTTGGAAAGAGCTGTATGATTTGGGTGACCACAAAACAATTAACAAGGATAGCCAGAATGGCGGCATGATGCCAGACCATCGTACCGGTTCCAGCCAACAATACCAGCCCGATGGCAGACTAAATCATGATTACAGGACAGCCAGTCGTCGAAGTGACTACAGTCCCTCAGGAAATTGATTCGGCGCCGAGCAACTGATTTTCCCAATTAGGAAAATGAGATTTCAGCCGCGCAATGCCGGCCGGGGGTAGTACATACGCAAGACATGTCATCCCCCCTGCATCATGACGCTTCCCTGGAGACGCGGAGAAAATCCAGTTGCAAGATGATTTGCCTAATTAGGGAAATCAGACTGGCGACTATGATGGCGACATTAGCGAGTCCTGCCCAGCTACCAATATTTAAAGCAGCATCTTCCCGCCAGAGCAATGCACCGACAAACCCCACGTTCAAGTCAAAGGTTACCGACTCTTCTTCCATACTATCCGAAGCTCCCGCTCAACTTCAACATGGCCAGGCAATGGGTCCTAACCGGCCAAGACGGCTTCGAGACCTCGCTCCAGTACCAAACGGGCCTCAGCATCCCGTCCAAGACCGACCTAGCGCCCAACGAAGTCCTCGTCAAGATGCACGCCGCCAGTCTGAACTACCGCGAGCTGGTGATCGCCGGCCCGATGGTATTCACCCTACGTCCTCCCTGCCCTTATCCCCAGTCGCATGGATGCTTATACTGACCACATGCCAGGGCATCAACGGACCGATAACCCCACCGATCGTCCCAGGCTGCGATGGCGCCGGCACAGTCGAGGCCATCGGATCCTCCGTCCGCGACTTCCAACCTGGCGACCGAGTCCTAACGCACCCTGCCCCCCGAGCCGTCGAAGCGCGCGGCGACGACGCACACGCTAGCATGACCGAAGCCGTCAACGCCCTGGGTCAAGGCGACGACGGCACATTGCGATCCTGGGCTGTATTCCGCGAATCTGGGCTCGTGCACGCGCCCAAGACGCTGGACTGGCTATCGGCAGCGACTTTGCCATGCACCTGGCTCACGGCGTGGAACGCCCTCTTCGGCCTGGACGGTAAGAAAGCGGGCCCGGGGTCTTGGGTCTTTGTTCAAGGCACAGGAGGTGTGAGCGTCGCAGCGCTCCAGCTCGCTGTTGCCGTTGGCGCCACCGTCGTCGCGACTACATCAACAGATGAGAAGGCGACTCGTCTCACGGCGCTAGGCGCGAAGCATGTAGTCAATTACCGGACGAACGCAAAGAGTTGGGGCGAGGAGGCCCGGGCCTTCACGCCGGACGGAAGGGGGTTCGACATCGTGATTGACATCGGCGGGAACGAGACCCTGCCTCATTCTCTGGCTGCGATCCGCGTGGATGGGGTTATCCTTGTGGTTGGACATGTTGGGGGCACTGCGGAGGTTGTGCCGCTGTTCGCTGCCATGATGCACTCTTGTATTGTGCGTGGGATCCTGGCCGGCACCCGGAACCAGTTTCGGGAGTTGGTAAGGTTTGTGGATGAGAGGGGGGTTGTGCCTGTGGTTGACGATGTGGTTTTTGAGCTGGAGGAGGCGAAGGATGCGTATCGATGGTTGAAGGAGAAGAGGCATTTTGCTAAGGTTGTGATGAGGATTGAGCATGAGGTCTAACGCAAGCGTGTGTGAAGACTGGTATGTATCCAGAAACCCATGACTATACCTACCGTATGCCCCTGGTGCAATAACAGTCAAGAAGCATCACAACAAGTCTAATGTATCCATATCAGAGCGTAGACCAGGAAAATCAAGCTACAAGGTACAAGCTACATGCGATACACCAGAGCCTGATCAGGCTCAACCTCACCCCGACACAGAGCATCCCAACCGCCCTCAATCCCATGTCCCCCAACAACACCCTCCCCCCAGACGAGCCGGAGATCCGGCGCCACAATATCTCGCCTCTCCACCCACTGCCCCCAACGATTCCTAAGCTCATCAAAGTACGTCTTCGGGTCTCCAAGCCGCAGCGCAGCACCCTGCACCCCGGACGTGTTCATCTGGACTTTCATGGACGCATGCGAGGCCTGCGCGGCCATGATCTCGGGGATCGTATAAACCTGCCCGTGGATCGTAGAAGTGAGCGCTACATGAACCCTTAGATATTCGTGAGGAGACAAACGGACCTTTTGCTGGTTACCGACTGCGATGATCGTTACCTTTGCTGACTGGAGTCCCGTGCTCTGGATAGTCTCGAGAAGCACGTCGAGGGTCCCATCTCGGCCGCCGAAGTCGGCGATCACGATGCGTTCTGGCTTTGCCTCAAGCCTTTCAAGCCACGGCGCGGCTTGTGCGATTTCTGTATATGGCAGGACCTTGACGGGGAAGTTTGGGGACGATGCCTCTGCGGCTTTTGCCAGGGGGGTCGGCGACGATGTTATCTGGAGGAATGCTGCGGGTCCGGACCCAGCCGGTCTGCGGAGGATGTTGAAGGCTGCACCCCGGGCCGTCTTGGTAGACGCAGCAAGACTGATGAATGCGGCCTTTGAGAGATCGGCGTCTTCCGCTGTCCAGTCTCCTCCAGCTGCACCGAGTGGATGAATGCCTGGGTGGGCCGAATCGGGTGGGAAGATATACTCGCTTAGGATATACCCGGCTCCCCAGGTAGGATAGACGACGGCGTCCCAGGCAAGGGTATCGAGATCTCGATCTTTTGTATCCACAATGGTATACCGGTTATAGAAGGACGCCAGGGTCTGCCGGTGCGGCGAGACTTCCTGCCAGTGGCCCGGGAGCTGAGGGTCCGCAGTAGTGAGCTCGAGGTCAACGGGGCACGACGACGTCGGCCACAGTCCGAAGAGTGTTGTCCCCGGTGTGATATCCGGGACGGTGGTTTCGAGGACGACGGCGAAGCCCCATGCTGGGACGATACCCCATGTCTGGTTCTCGTACGGGGCGGGCCAAGCATCAGGTAGAGGATAGGCATCCCACCATCCGAGCACGGAGCCGCCCATGGCATAGGTAAGGTTGTTCGATGTGAGGCCTAGAAGAGACGTGCGGACGCGAACCGACGATGGCCTTAACGGGTTTGTTGGTGGTGGGACTTGGACCGTTGCATGTCGCCGATTATCCAGCTTGGAAACAACGTGGACACTCATGATGATTCGATGCTTGGGATCTAGAGAGAGGAGATGATCAATGATGCTGGTGAGGGACAGGATTTGCGGTGGCCGCTGCATGTTTATGTACTCCGTCGGCAGGCATAGTTGTAGCTCTCCTTCTGCGACCCTGAGGCATATCAGCCAAGCTGAGTCCTATATAGTCATTCCTGCGCAGTCCGACTTGGTATGCGCCCAAGAGTCATCTGACAAGGCCCCTACTGGCTCCGGCCCAGTTTTACGAGGCTTGGCCGATGCAGAATATAGTATCCGTCGGGGAGAATCGGGGTATGACGGGGAGGTAGAGGAAGTATCTACTTACCACCGGTCAATTCAATGACGAGGCGCGAATATGCAGCGCGATGACCGGGCACTGTAAGCCCAGTGAATCTCAGCTGCCCTTGTACTGGTCCGCTGGTATCCCGGCCGACTCCGATTGAATATCGCGAATCCAAGGCAGGGTCCTGATATGTGTCCATTGTGAGGCAGGTACTACGCAGGTGGCGCCTTCCTGGGAGGCAAGCTCGGCATACAGCAAGATACCTAGAACCCCCATGGCCAGTGAGTCATGCGTCTTCTGCATTAGCTTAGTCGTCCGAAAGAAGGGCGCAAGTCGGTAGCTGGAAGTGGGAAGTGGCCTGACCGGTGATTGCGTCCAGATATCTTGCTCTTGCTTGGTGGAAGAGTCCCCAGGGTGAGGATGGAATGTATACACCTTCATCCATGGATGTCATTGAGCACTATAACCCAATACCAAAGATCGAAGTATCATTAAAACAGGAATAAATCATCAGCGGCAGCATAAGATGTATGCAATGGTCAGTGGAAGCACATTGGTGCCCTGTCTGTCCCAAGCTGCTACCCTTTGTACCCTTAGGTACCTAAGGCGCCCATGGGACCACATCAGACTGAACCCCTACGGAAAGCGCATAATAACCTTCGTCTCCAGATGCTCGTTGACCCGCGCATACGCCTCCGGTGCCTCCTCAATCCCAATCTCACTGCTGACAATAAAGCTCAGGCGCGCGGGCACGCTGTCGACGGAGTATACCCGGGAGGCGCCGCGCAATATGGCGGAGTCGGCTGTTAGGAGGCCGACGGGCCGGCGCCGAAGATAGCAACTGTGTCGCCGGGCTCGAAGCCAGCGAAGTCAAGGCCTGTCCAAGCGGTGGGGAAGATATCGGAGAGGAAGAGATAATCCAGCAGAGGGTCGGATGGATTTGCAGTGGGGATGGGGATAAGGCCGTGATAACAGAGAGGTGGTTGACTCCGCTGCCTATCTCGGAGACCACGCCCATTGCCTCGTGGCCGATGACGATGGGGTCCATGGGGCCTGGGGGGGCGCGGGTGCCGCGATACAGATGAGGTCACTTCCGCAGATGGCTGCTGCAGTAACGCGGACGATGGCGTCGGTGTGGTTCTGGATGGTTGGGACAGGCACCTACGGACACCTCGAAGGGTACGCCGCTCCAGAGGACTGCCCGCATCATGGTCGAGTTCAGGGAGACCATACTTGTTAGAAAGATTGAAAGAGGGGAAGCAATAGAATGTCAACGGAAGAGAAAGTTCGAATGGAGGACAGCCATTATTTGGTATCGTTGTCTATCAGTCTTATATACTATAACCACTGCGGATGATCGACTGTCCAACTCCTTCATTGCACGCCTGTCAATCATGGCATGGCACCATGTTCCATCGAAACATGTTCCATCGAAACATGTTGCCTGCTTGGCAAGTAAGCTGCATGCGTACTTCCAAAACGCGATACCCTGGAAATGTACCCTGATTCCCAGTCCAAGGGTGGTGATCCACACGGTGGACATCGTCGTCCAGAGGGTCTTTTTAAGTCCGAGGCTATGGTAATCTCGGATATCTCGTGCAAAGCCCTAGTTTGCCACGCCGGTGGGTATCACAACATTCCTATGGAGTGACAGCTTTCGGTGGAGTCACAACATCCCTATGGAGTGACAACTTTCAGTGGAGATTTGGGATTGCTGACGATGCCAAGCGAGAAGCGATGGAAACAGACGGAGTTAAGCAAATCTCCATTCGCCGTGGCCCTGATAGCCCAGCTTGGTCGTGGCTTGATCTTCAAGATCGCGGCTGTTCCACTGTTCGGCAGATATTCTCGGCTGTTACCAGGCAAGAGTGATAACGAAGATAGGAGAAACGCATGTGGATTGGGACGACCTTGTCGTTATTATGGACAAAACCCGGTGTCATGACGACTTGATGTTGTCCGTAGAGACTTAGTCCCGAGTATGAGCTGGGAGTGTGGACCCATGCGACTCAGTTTCTGTAAGCTCAAGGTTAAATCCGAACTTAATGGCTTTAATCGTAGTTGAGAATGAGATGTATATAAGTTCAGCAACAGTTTGTAGTTCATCTCGAGTTTGTTATCAGACATTGTCTATTGTCAGTCACTCCTGCTCGAACTTGCCCTCTCTTCCTGTCTTTCGAGAATCACAATCAACCACCACGAAATGGCCGAAAAACAAGAAACAATCCTCATCACAGGAGCCTCTGGCTTCTTGGCTACCCATGTGGTTGATTATTTCCTGCGTGGCGGCTACCATGTCCGAGGCACCGTTCGGTCGGCTGCAGTTGCTGAGAAGGTCAAGGAGACATTCCCTCAATACGCCGCACAACTAGACCTGGCTATTATTGGCGACGTTGCACAGCCAGGCGCATTTGATGCCGTGGTCAAAGATGTTGATGGAGTCATCCATACCGCTGCTCCTTTCCAAGTTTTTGGAGTCAAGGATAATGAGCGTGATCTGCTCAAGCCGGCCATCGAGGGGACCCTTAACATCCTTAACGCCGTTCACGCACTCGCGCCCAAGGTGAAGCGTGTCGTTCTTACTTCCTCCTTCGCCGCTATGGCCGACCACAGTAAGGGAAGATGGCCTGGCCACGTCTACTCCGAGCAGGACTGGAACCCTACACCCTACGAAGCCGCCGCCGCCAAAGATGCTCACGCTGCAATTGCCTACTCGACCGCGAAATCGTTAGCAGAGCGCGCGGCCTGGGACTTTGTCAAACAGAACAATCCTACGTTCACCATCTCAACAATCATGCCGCCGATGATCTACGGCCCGAATATCAACGCCACCGCCGACCTAGCCAAGTTGAATACCTCCTCCATGGACATCTATCGTCTCATGTCCCCGCAGTCCAAGTCCAGCGACCCCGTCCCGGAGAACATGTTTTGGTCCTTCGTGGACGTGCGTGATGTTGCCCAGGCCCATTTGAGCGCTTACCAGACAGCCGAAGCCGCTAACCAGCGGTTTTTCATCTGCAAGGGCAACTTTACCTATCAGCAATTTGTGAATGTTCTGCGGGCTAGTTTTCCTGAGATAAGAGACCGCGTCCCTGTTGGGAATCCGGACGCAGATAGGATTCCTGACGATGTCTACACTGTGGACACGTCGAAATCGCAGAAGGTCTTGGGATTGAGCTACCGTAGCTTGGAGGAAACTGTTTGTGATGCTGCGCGGTCTCTTCTAAAGCTAGAGGCTGGGAAGGCTTAGGTGCAAGGAGGGATGGAACGGAATACTAAGGCGTCTAGTCGCATTTCTGGTAATGGAAAGTCGAGTTCCGTTTATGTCCATGGATCTAGTCCTGATGATGGGTCTCTTCCGGGCAAATGGCATAAGTAGATCGGAATTAGCCTGCCATCAGAACCCTAGATTACATCGGTTCACATCCAATCACATGCTAAACTATTCAATTTCCCTGCAGGTGTCTGCGATTCCTGGTCGATTAGTTGAAATAGGCATCATTGTTATGCATCTTGCTTAAGTGGTATTTCCGGGCATCCAAGAAACGTCGTGAAATGTGGGAAGCGACTTTTGCATCAAGATATCTTGAGCTTGATCAATTTCAAGACCATATAACATGCTAGCTGTTTGCATCCCTAGGCAACAGGAACCTCGGAGTTACTACAATACGAATCAGGGCCAAGCAGCCATGCCAAACCGGTCCACCGGCCCAAACGCCTGATACAACGGGTCCAGCCACCGGTCCACGATCCACAGATACCCATTGGCCGTCTCGACCTGCGTGACGAGACCGGCGTTCATGATGAACACGGCATCACCCTCCTGCGTCACAGTCATGTTCAGGCCCGTCACGTCGCTGGCTATCGAGACCGTCATGTTGCTCAAGTTGAGACTGCCGAACTGCTCGCCGTCGCTGTCGACCCAGCCGTACTGCCACAGGAGGGTGTTGAAGGGGCTTTTGTATGGGGATACCAGGGTATCTAGATTAGAATGGGTAGTAGTAAGTAAAGGGCTCCTCTGCTATAGGATTAGGATAGAGTATGGTACTCACGGAACACAGGAAGGATAGTCGGCATGAGATCATACGCCTCATTCTGCGGCGCCACGAAGAACTGCTTCGAGCCCGTCTTCGATAAACGGCGCAGTGTATCCGGCGAGTTAACCTGGAGGATCTTCGAAGCGTTGACGAGCCGAGGGTCGCTTTGCAAGAACGCGGCGATGGTCAGGTCCGTTTTCTCGATTGTTGGCGCCGTCGTCCGATTGCTGGGCCCGCCGCCGTACACCAGGAACGGATCAATGAGCTGGTCGATCTGGTGGATGAGGCCGTTGTCGGCGATGATGTCCGCCTGCACGATGCTCGCTTGCCCGTCGATGAGGACTGTGCTGTTGCCGTCCGTGGAATTGGTGCAGTCGATGTAGTAGCCCTGCACGGTTTTGGTGAGGATCCCCCGGTGGAACTGGGCTGTTGTGTTGGATAGTTGGAGAGAGGTCGATATTCCCCCCGCGCTGGTGTCCCCAGACACACTCACCAGCTCGGCGGCTGTAAGACGGGCTTCGATGATGTGCGTGCGGAGTAGGGCTTCCGTTAGAGGGTAGGCCTGCGGCGTCATGAGGATGTCCAGAGTGCTCGGTGGGATCTTGGCCCATGCCTGTTGCAAGTCAGATGGCCCTGTTGGACTCTGTAGGCTTCAACTTGAACCCTAGCAAGGGGAGACGGACCTCGTTCGTGGGAGCCAGGAAAGTATAGTTCCGCTGGTCCTCGTCGTAGTTGAAGCGCTTGGTGAACATCGGGTTGATCTCCACAACACCGCCTGTTCTATTGAAGACATGGGCGTACGTTGACAGAGACGGAATCCCAAGAAGGGAATCCATGAGGGGAGAAGCCATTGTGGCCTGGGGAATAAGCGCAGCGAGCGCGACTGCTGCGAAGGGAAACATGATCGAGTTGGTGACTGGAATAAGCTGAGCTGAGCCGAGCAGACAAATCCTTTATAGGGAGAACGCTGAGGCTATACTCATCCCTGTGTTCTGGACTAGTGACGTGAAGGGGAATTATCTCCTTGGATGAGTTTACTAGGTAGAGTACTACGCGTCGGCTATGCCCAAAGCAGAGACATGGACCTAACTCCGACCTCGCTAGGACGGCCATCTTGCCGGCCGATCCGATACATAGTCTGGCCGTGATCTACTGCGGATTGTCACAATTTCCGCAGAATCCCGTTCGGTAGTCATAATATGCCTTGCCTTTTGTTTGTGCCTGAGGCCTAAGGTATCACATGGGTGCCTTAGTCTTGAGGCATGAACTAAGCTTGGCGAGCACGTGACCGGTGCCTGTCCTTATCGCGTTCCCCGAGAAGCTTCGATTGTTGTCAATGTTGACATCCTGAAGCCAATCTGCAATGCAATGGCGCGTCCTTGGCATACTACATTGGAGCTGCTATCAACTCTAGCAGCCCATCGCCGTCTCGCGTTAATTCGCCCCGGGCCTTGGGTTGCAACGCTAAGCCTGCGATGCCGCTGATCGCGCCTTCTGCCTCCACGGTTATCACCGGTCGCCCATGCAATCCGGACTTGGCGCAGCGTTCCTGGCGGAGTGAGCTGGAGCTCAACCCATTCTGGGCCAATGCCGACGCCGCTCGATAAGCTGGGGCGTGTTTGCGCTGCGGGGGCCTGTCTGGCGTGAGCATGGCCTGGTCTTAAATTGCGCCCTTCCCCTTTCTTCCATTTCGAAGGCCAGGCAAGGAGGCAATTGCTGGTAGTCACCGCAAAATGAAGGTAGGAGTTGGTGCCCAGGCTGCAATCGCGAGATGGTGTGTGCTAAGAGTGTTAGATCTCCGCCCTATCTCTCCTCCTGAGTGTATCGGCCTCGGCCGCTTGGAAACCACGCGAGCCCAGAGCCACGGGGTCGAAGCGCCTTGCTTTCAACGAGACCGTTCTTACTTCGGCCCTGTCGCCTTCTTCGATCTCGGTGCAGTGGATTGCGACCGAGAACGACGGGGAGTATGTCTACCAGGAGTCGGACGGGAGCATCAAGATCGAGAGCATCGTCACGAACCGGTCGCAGACTATTGTTCCTGCTGAGGAGGTTCCGGCCGGGGCCTACAGCTACTGGATCAGCCCAGACCTCTCCTCTGTGCTCTGGGCGACGAACTACACCAAGCAGTACCGCCATTCGTTTTTCGCCGATTATTACATCCAGGATGTCGAGACTTTGGAGTCGGTCCCACTCGCGGAAGACCAGGTGGGAGATATCCAGTACGCGACTTGGAGCCCAAGCGGCAACTCTATCGCTTTCGTTCGCGAAAACAACTTATGGACATGGTCTAATGGTTCTGTGACTGCGATCACTGAAGACGGTGGACCGGACTTGTTCAATGGCGTGCCCGACTGGATCTACGAAGAGGAGATCCTTGGAGATCGGTTTGCGCTGTGGTTCTCGCCTGATTCCGAGCTTCTGGCATTCCTGACCTTCAATGAGACCGGGGTCGAAACATTCACCGTCCAGTACTTCATGGACGAGCAGGAGATTGCCCCTCCGTATCCTCATGAACTCGAGATCAGATACCCCAAAGTCTCCGAGACGAACCCGACGGTCAAGCTGAACATCCTTCAACTTAGCGATAACACCGTCTCGGCCATACCGATTGATGCCTTTGACCCGAGCGAGTTGATCATCGGAGAAGTCGCCTGGGTGACCGAGACGCACACTGAGCTGGCTGTTAAGGCTTACAACCGCGTTCAGGATGAATCGAAGGTCGTTATCGTGGACACTGCGTCCGGCAGTACCAACATCGCGCACGAGCGTGACGGGACGGACGGTTGGTTAGATAACCTGCTTTCAATTTCATATGTTGGGCCTGTGTCGGGGAACTCGTCATCCACATACTATGTTGATCTCTCCGACCACTCCGGGTGGGCGCACTTGTACCTCTACTCGACTTCAGGCGGCGATCCTATTCCGTTGACCCAGGGAGAGTGGGAGGTCACGTCTATTTTGAGTATTGATCAGGAGCGTGAGCTGATATACTACCTTTCGACTCAACACCACAGCACCGAGCGCCACCTGTACTCGGTGTCATACCGAACATTTGAGATCACGCCTCTTGTCGACGATACTGTTGAAGCGTACTGGAGCGCTTCATTCTCTGCAAAAGCTGGATATTATATCCTCACATACGCCGGTCCAAATGTGCCGTACCAGGAGCTCTACTCTGTGAACCAAACAGCTCCGCTACGTACCCTCACCGACAACGCCGCGCTGATCGAGAAGCTGGAGGCATATGCACTGCCTAACATCAGCTATTTCGAACTGACCATTCCGACTGGCGAGAAGCTCAACGTGATGCAGCGGTTGCCCGTAGGCTTCTCACCGGACAAGAAGTATCCCATTCTCTTCACGCCATATGGCGGTCCCGGTGCCCAGGAAGTTAGCAAGAGATGGCAATCTTTGGATTTCAACGCCTACATCGCATCGGATCCAGAGCTCGAGTACGTGACCTGGACGGTCGACAACCGAGGGACCGGTTACCAAGGACGCGAGTTCCGCTCTTTGGTAGCTAGGCAGCTTGGAAACCTTGAAGCAGAGGATCAAGTCTACGCTGCGACGCAAGCGGCCGAGCTTGACTGGATCGACTCCGACCACATCGCTATCTGGGGCTGGAGCTACGGCGGCTACCTCACGGGCAAGGTTCTCGAGACCGATAGCGGTGTCTTTACTCTTGGTCTACTAACCGCGCCTGTCTCGGACTGGCGGCTATACGACTCGATGTACACCGAACGCTACATGAAGACCCTCGCGACGAACGCAGATGGATACAATACGACTGCGATCCGCCAAACTGATGGGTTCAAGAACGTCGCAGGCGGATTCCTGATTCAGCACGGCACAGGCGATGACAACGTTCACTTCCAGAACTCGGCGGCCCTGGTCGATACGCTGATCGGAGACGGGGTAACGCCGGAGAAGATGCAGGTGCAGTGGTTTACGGACTCGGACCATAGCATCGTCTATAACGGCGGGAATGCGTTCCTGTACCGACAGCTGGCGCAGAGGCTGTACAAGGAGAAGAACAGGTCGGAGAAGGAGCAGCATCAATGGAGCAAGAGGAGGCATGCTTGGATGGGTTAGCTTTTGCCTACCAGTCCATACTGTAGTGGTCTGTAGCTCGGCCTCGGCCTTGGGGTTGACTATCCTAACTTTCATCTTATGTTCAAAACATCGAATCCATCTCTATCGACATCTTTAAGCATTACTCCTATCTAGAGCTGCTACTGTAATGGCCGAAGGTACCCCTCGCAAACGCCGACGGTCGGCAAATGCTGTGAGCACTGCCGTCAACGCAAGGTACGATCTGAACGTCCCCTGCGGACGTGTACGCGCGCCAAACACTCGCTGGACTGCTCATATCGAGATAGTCCTCCTCAACCCGACAGCGAAGATCATGTCCATCATCGAGCACTTTCGACCCAATCCCGCGCGAGAAATCAGCAGCAGCCTCTTGACCCCGTCCTCTCTCACCGACTGTGACATCAATGACGACCCGAGCCAAGCCATCCGCGATGTCCAGAAACGGCGGCGCTCCCTTGAGGAACGACTACTCCGTATGTGGTTCAGAAACAAACGGGGTCTAGAACGGAGCTGCGTGCTCTGACCGCGAGGATTGGTACAATCGAGGGTCAACTGACCAGCATCAATGCTGTGTCTTTCCCATCTGTCGGTGTGGTACCACCAAGCTGCGCTCCTCGGCGCGAAAAGCGAAGTCCATGGACGATGGGGCCAACGCATTGGTGTAACAATGTCCACGTAGACAAGTGTGTGCGTCGCACCCTGGCTTGATGTCAATAACAGTGCCGCAGCTTGGTACTCCGTATCTTCAAGATGCTGGAATATGGATCAAGCAGATCCGGCTCTTTCATCAGATGATTTCAAAAAGGAAACAGTCGACGCAGTCACGAATGCTGAACCTCAGAGATCGATCAAGTCCCAGCGTGCCCCTGGCCTCGCCGAACCCCTGCCAGACCTGCGTAGCGCTATCCCCTCCAAGCTGGAGAAGAGTGTGACGAGCTGGTGCATTGGGTGTTACCTACGCACGTCCCGACCACTTCGAATCAATTCACCGTGTCCTCCACACCCCGTCATTCTGGACAGAGCACGGCGAGTTTTGGAACAGCCCGAGTCCCGCTCACGCTCTGCTTTCCTTGTGAAGCTTGTGCTTGTTCTTGCCATTGGCACCGTCTCCTATTCCCGCGACGTCGGAACGAGAGAGATCAAAACCAGCCCGTGCAAGAATCGATATACGCCGCAGTGGTGGATGGTTAGCCCCCATCGAAGCCCTCGGTCAATATGGACGGTCTCCAGATGTGCTGCTTCTTGCGGCGCGAAAGGCTTGCGGTCTAATCTAGGACACCTGCCTTGGTTATCTGCAGTGGCCTGATGCGAGGGCAGTGGCAGTGGCAGTGGCAGTGGGGTTACACCGTGCCGGCACATTTTCCGCCCATGCCAGCGCTGCAGGCAGAGTGGGAGATGCGGCGACGACTGTGGGCTAGGGTACTGTGCTGGAGTTGCCCCGGTGCTCAAGGACTCACTCGACTCGGCCGCCCCGATTTTCGTCTGCGAGCTTCGACGCCAGTGCCCCGTTTGATATCGACCATGAGATCTAAGCTTGAGCGCAGCTTCCTTTCCCGTGTTCAACCCCAGGGCAGTGGTCAGCTGACGGATGACTCTTTTCAAGTTTTGCTGCACGGCTCGATCGGACTACGCATGCAAGTCCTGATGTCTATATGACTGGCATGGACTGTCATATCAACAGATCCTGGGACTTGGTGTACTTCTAGGCGCGCAAAGCTTGCTTGGAGTCTGCTACAATTTTAGCCTCGTATGCGTCCACTCTCCAGCTTCCGTCAGAGGGTCCCGGCGACCTACAACGCCTCTTCATCCGCGGAAAGGTTCGTTCAAAGGACCCTCAGCTTAGACGGCATATCAGTACTGGGCTTGAAATCATCATCCAGCTGGAGGACGATTGCCAGTCAGCCTTAGCCTTACCGGTCTTGCAAGGCGACGCACTACATAGGATTGCGGAAACAGTCCGCGGTGATCCGATCAAGATTCTTGAGCATATTCGAGACCAGGTTTACCAGCCAGCCGGGGCACTCCAAGCCGAAGCGATTCGGTATACTAGCCGCCATCCTAGGGCAGATCCGGGCGATGGAGATCGGGCAGGACGTCAGCGAGCTGTCTACCAAGCTCTCACGGAGGCTTTCAGGGATTGCCATTCAGCTGCAGCAGAGTATCACGCATGCTATGCCGATTGAGGCCATGTCTGATCAGATTAACCCGTCGAACGCCTTTGATCTATATGATCCGATGTTGTCTGACGCTACTGTAAGTCTGAAATGAGGTAAAGCTCGCACTTGTCGTCCGATGAACTGACGATTTCCAGGGCCCGGTTTTCAGGTCAACCTACAGGGCTTTTTGGCGTCGCCATTTACAGGAATGTCTTCTCTCTTCTGGGATGCCGCGAAGTCTGATGTTACTACGAGAATTCGTCAGTCATACACCCCTACCCTTGTACACTCTGGCCTTCTATCGAACGTCTCCTGGCACGCAACTCTGTCGGCATATCTTTTGCTCTGCAAAGTCATGTCAACCGTGCTCGCTTCGAGAACCAGCACCCACGTCGGTCTGGGTGTGCCTTGATAGCCACATCGTTTCTTCAGAAATGACAATCCCAAACGATACAAGCGATATGGTCAACATCAAATATGTGGACCTGTTTCAGAGCTGCCGCCGGGCAGTCGGTCGGCTGAGTGCATTTCGGGCGACTTTCGGTAGGATCTAAGTCAAGTTCTCTCTCCTCTGGGGACATTTGTATTCAGCCTTGGAAGCCTTGTCAGGGTGAACAGATTTGAGGTGATTAGTTCTTTGAGGGGGCGTCGGACTGCTCGTGGCGCTGAGAGCATGTATAAAGGGAAACAATGCTACTGCTGTATCTATCGCCAGGATTTAAACATCCTATGGGCAGCAGATAAACCTGCTTTTGGCTTGTATGGAATCATCACTTGTTGCTGGAAGAAGTGTAAGATTGTTGTCGATCTGATGCCAACATATACCTAGACCGAAAGCCATCAACGAACAAGTCCGCCACCAAAGCCCCAGTAAACTATCAATCAGGCATTAGGGAACTATAGTCAAACCAACGACATCTTATTTTGTAATTGAAGAGGTTCAAGCGAGAAAAGTAGACCGAAAGACTCTACTCATGCCAGTCCTGAAGGACCACGTGACCACTGCGCGTTTTTCGCGTTTTTCAACGTCAACACTTAAATACCAGCAACACACTTCAAAACTCGCAGAATCCTGCAGAATGTGCACTTTGCAAACCCAATCATGCTTTGCTCGTCCAGAATAACCAATGTTTGCCGCCAGCGACCGCAGCTTCTGTCCAGCTGCCTGAGTGGCGATTCTCGCGTCGCGATCGTCCCGAGCACTTTCTCCGCAGATCCAGATCGCCTGTCCTACGCGAAACGAACAGCGTCAACATGCAATAGACATAGCCAGACTCCGAAATCGAAACCGAGTCCATTATCACCGGCGACGCACCGCTTCTGGACCTGTCGCTCGACGTGGCGGCGCGCGGGCATCAACACCCTGCGCTGCCTGCTCGGCTGCACGGTCGGCGACTTCTCGGCGCTCTGGACGCTGCAGACGTATTTTCCTGAGTTGGGGATGGGGGCGATAATGGGCGTATCGAGTACGTTTTTTTGACTCCATCATCAAAATTAACTCTATCATCAGAATCTGAACTAACGAGCTCGAACCCAGTGGCGTCGGGAATAACGACATCCATTATCCTTGAGACGGTCCTACTTCACCGCGGAGACAGGCTTCCGTGGATGATGGCAATGCGTACGGCGATGGGGATGAGTTTCGTCTCGATGCTTGCTATGGAGGCTGCGGAGAATCTTGTCGACTACCATCTCACCGGCGGCGTGATTGCCCTCGACGACGTCCGGTTCTGGATGGCGGCCGTGGTGTCGGTGGGCGCTGGCTTTCTGGCGCCTCTGCCGTATAACTACTGGCGGTTGAGGAAGTTTGGGAGGGCTTGTCATTGATTGACGGTCTCGTATGGTATATCATGCGTGGCAAAGGTAAAGGTCGGGTAAGGTGAACTAAACTGTACATAACGAAAGCAATCGCAACTCCATCGACATGGTATATCGATCCATCTCACCGTCCAGCAGCGAGTCTCCTTCTTTCTTCCATCACTCAACAATCTCAAACTTAACACTGGCATCCCCCTCGAATTCATCCCTCCAATCCGCCCAGATCCTCTTCAGCTCATCAATATACCTCCCCTGCAACTCCTCCACATACTCCTCCTTCACATCAAACCTCTGCTGCACAACGCCAATCGGCCTGCCCACAACAACACGCAACGGCCGTCGAAACGGCACAAACAAACCAAACCGCCCCAGCGAAAACGCAACCTTATGCCCAACAGCCTTCTCCCACGCCCACGCCACAAACCCCTTAAGCGAGCCCGGGGTATAACCCACCGGCGCAAACAGGTCATTCTCGCCGAACACCAGCACAGGAACGAGATCCGCCCCCGTCTCAACAGCTAGCCGCACGAACCCCTTCCGGATCTTGATCACCACCTTCATCGTCCCCGGCGCCGCGACGTTATACTCCCGGCTCCCGCCGATGCTGATGGTAATTGCCTTCCCCATCCCGCGCAGATCGTACCCGCCGCGCGTGAGATGGTGCAGGCAGGAGTCCCGCGACACGCCGCTCTGCCCGCGCGCAAAGACGTACTCGCGCAGGAACGGTGTTGTGAAAAACGCATCCTTCACGAGGAAACTGTTCTTGATACCGGGGAATAACTCCGCGAAGCCTGACGCGTCCGCGCTGAAGGCGCCCACTAACCCGTGGCATGCAATACCGTGCGGGTGCCCGCCGAAGATGTATTTGCGCCGTGGAGAGAGCGGGGTGCTTCTGTACAGCTTTATTGGGAAATATGATGCGTGTAATCTCCAGAGCAAGGAGGAGCGGAACCAGGCGCTGCGCTTGTTGTGGTTTGTTTTGTGGGCTGTGCTGACGAATTTGATGTGGATGATGTAGGAGATCACCAGCAGGCGGATTATGGTGTTGGGGATTAGGAGGAGCGAGTAGCCGAGGATTGGGAGGAGCCACCATGTATTCGAGATGAATGCCACGGCGAGGATCTCGAGGAGGCGGCGGGGGATGGATCTATATCCATTGTCAGCATGGTCTTGATGACTGGAAGTTGGGCAACTCACTTCTCGACCACAGCGCGATCCTTCTCCTTGAAATTGACAGTCTGCAACGTCTCGCCCTTGCCATTCTCAACCGTCACAATCCTGTCATCATCCCCCCTTGGCTCCGGAACAGCAATCATGCTCTTATCCGGGCGGGCAGCAAGATCCGCAATGCGCTCGGCCGCCTCAACGCGCCCCTCCTTCACCCGACACAGCTTCTGCAGCTTGGCCGCCTTCTCCAGGTACGACTTGCTGCCCAGCACCTTGCTCAACGCCCTGCTCAGCTCGGCCCCGCTGATATCCGGCGCGCGCGTCTTGTTCCCGTACACGCCGATCCCCAGCCACTCGGCGCGCGCGGCGTTCTCGTAGCAGTCCTGCCACGCCGGGAGGACGACGTGGGGGACGCCGTTTCTACACTCGTTAGTACGCCTTTTCCTTTTCCGGGGACAAATGGACCGCGGGGGAGGGGAGGGGACATGAACATACTGGATAGCCTCGTACCACGAGTTCGCGCCGCCGTGGTGCACCGAGCACACGATCTGCCCTGTCTCCAGCATCGCCAGCGGCTCGACCTCGAACCACGAGCGGATCCGCACGGTGTCGGACGCCATCAGCTCCGCCAGCGGTGTTATGGACGCCGCGTAGATCTCGTCCTGGTCGTGCGGGTGCTTGGGCAGTTTCCACAGGACCTGGATCTTGCGGTCGCCGACCGACTTCGAGGACAGGAAACTTTTCACGCCGGTTGCGATCTCCAAAACCACGCTGGGCGCCGGCGCGTACAGCGTTCCCAGGTTGATCAGCACGGTCGGCGCCTGATGCAGCCAGGTGTACATCTCGGCGTCCTGCGTCTTGACGGGCGCGACGGGGAGCAGGATGGGTCCGCACGCGACGACGTTGTCGGGGACATCGAACGGCCAGTCCAGCTCCTTGAGCGCGGGCGACAGATGCAGCCGGTTCGGCATCCACGCGTCGGCGAACGGAAACCGCCCGTGGATCTTGTGCTTGATGCGCCAGTCGCGGATCTCGCGGCGGCGCCCGCTGCCGTGGTACATCTTTGCGGTCTTGAAGACGGCCATTGTGTTGAGCGGGATGAGGTGCGGGGGGAGGGGGTATGGGAAGCCCGTGCCCGGCCTGACTCGTCAGCGCACTCTACCAACTCAAGGAATGAAACGGAGGGACATACATCGGATACTTCCACGCCCACTTCGCATTCTTCTGCAGGCCCAGCACGATATGGCTCAGACTGGTCGTGTTCAGCAACACGGTCGTCTGGCCCGCGTTATACGCTGCGTCTCTGCCCTGCAGGAAGAAGAAGTCGATCGCGCACAGACTCGGCTGCACGTCCTTGATGATCTCCACGCAGCTCTCGTAGATGTCGACGTACTCCTCCTCCGTCCACCCCCAGATATCCTCGCACAGCGACTTGAACCCCAGCACGGAGCCGCTGTACCCGGGCGGATGGAACGCGCCGCGCTTGCCCGTGCGGATGAAGATCTCTGTGTTTGAGGGCCCGCGCACGGGGTGGAAGTGCACGCGCGATTTGTAGCTGGCGTTGTAGTGTGTCTCGTTGTCGTGCAGGAGCTTGTTGAGGCGTTTTTCCAGCACGGGGAACGAGGCGAGGTGGATGTCGATGTCGCCGCGCAGCAGGAGCTCGTGGATGATGGCCAGCACGATGTTCGTCTGCCCGTGCTCGCTGTTTGCGAGGAAGAGCACGCTTGTTTTTGCCATTGCGTCTGTCCGCTTGAACTTGTGGCCTGATCAATGTGAAGTGTGGCCTGTCCAACGGATGATTGCGCAACCTTGAGGAGAGGCGGGATGGAGATGATATAGAGAGTGAGACCTGCCTCAGGGGCGTTTCAGCAAGTGCCGAGTCGGTTGTGGCCCTGAATTTGGAGCAGTGAGTGCCGTGACAGCGAGATCTGTGACACTGCTGCTAAGTGAGATCGTCTGGCCTGGTCCCTGGGATCTGACACCAAGTTTGGGAATTGGGAAATGAGCCGGTCCACAATCGCAGAGACAGCACGGCTTTTTAATTGAATTTGAGAGTGAAACTGCGATACTTTGGTGGCTCCGAATCGGTTTCTCTGTTGACTCCGCCCCGGATTTGGCCTGCCTTGACTCTGCTCCTTGGAATGCTTGACCTAGGGCTGCATTGGGAACTGTTGGGTATGGACTGTTACCCTGTAACCCAACAGAAATAGTCAACGAACAACATTGCAATGCATCAATTCGATCAGTGAACTCACTACAACAGATCCCCACACGTTTGCGACAAGCAGGCGTTTCACCCTCGGCACTCGTGATTACGGGGCTCCAGCTGGCCCCCGATCGCCCAATTTTCCAGCCAGAGCCCTGCAGATCATTGTCTTCACTTGATGTCCTTCGGCCATGCTTCCTGAAACAGTCCTGTTCGGCTTCGAGTCCTGCCACTGCCGCTGCCTCATGTGCGACTCCATCGTCGGCACTGGTCGTTTGATTGTCGCTTGTCACAAGTGCCATCCTGCATTGCCTGACCCTGGTCCAGGTCCACCCATGGCTGGGACTGGGGCTGATCTGGCCCTGGATGTAGTTGTAGGGCCGAAACGGGTTGACGTGACTGCTGGAGTTTTCGATGATAAGACTAGGGCTGCCCGGTATATAATGACGGAAACCTGCCAGCGTTTCAACTTGGACTCTCACTCAGTATAGCTTCAGCTTCAATCGATTGACTCGATCCAGGCAAGATGTCGCTCATTATGGCTGTGCCGCATGCGTTCTCTGTCGCTGAGCTCAAGGATCTTCCTACTGTGCTGGTCTCAGCCTTGAGCTTTATCCTTGTATGTTCTTCCCTTCTTTGTCTGACATGGCTGACCGTTTCAATGTTAGATCCCCGGCGCCCTTATCTTCTGCCTGCAGCTGTTGCAGCCTGGTCCTGTCATCAAGGGAGCCAAAGGCTCTCTCATTGACCAGTATCTCTTCGGAGTATGTCCCTCTTCCACCATGGTAACGCGTAGCTGACGTCCCAGATCGAAACAAAACTCGGCTTCCTCTCCGGCCGCAGCGCCTACAAGTTCAACGCCCTCCACGAGAAATACGGTACACCCACCACTCCTCCACATCCTATCAGTGATCCACCACTAACCCTGCTCTTAGGAAACATCGTCCGCTTCGCCCCCAACCAACTCTCCTCCAACACCCTCAAAGGCATGCGCAACATCTACGGCGCCGCCGGCAAATCCAACGTCTTCCTCAAAACCGCCTTCTACAAGGCCATCTCCCGCCGCAACATCTTCACCGCGCAGGACATCCACTACCACGCCACCGTGCGCAAGCTGTTCGCCCCCTCCCTGAGCCCGGGGTGCATGGCCGCCCACGAGCCCGTGATCAAGGGGTGCATCGCGCGGTTCCACGACCTCGTCAAGACGCGCATGCAGCGCGGCAGCGCCCTCAGCCTGAATGACCTGTACTACTCGCTGTCCGTCGATATGGTGTCTGAGGTGTTGCTGGGCAAGTCGCTCGGCTGTATTGAGCGCGGTCGCCCGTTCTTCTGGACCGAGCAGCTCCCGCGGATCTTTTACTGGGCGACTATCCGTGATCAGTTCCAGGGGTCTGGGATCCCGACGATGATCAAGTGGATGCTGAGGCAGATTCTGCGCAAGGGGATTCGGCAGCGCAGTGAGGAGGCGCGCATGCGTCTTATAAGGGAGTATGTCCGCCCAACTACCATCTACCTAACATACCCTAGCTATGATAGCTAATGATATTCTCTGCAGACAACTCAAAGCAACCCACACCCGCCGCGACATCATGGTCGAAGTGATGGAGCGCTCGGAGTCCAGCACCCTTCCCGAAGACGAAATCGCCGAGAACTTCTCCGCCATCATGCTGGCCGGCTTCCACACGACATCCCACGCAATTTGCGCCACCATCTGGCTCGTCCTCTCGCACCCGGACGTCCGCGCAGAACTCCAGACCGAACTGCGCGGCGCATTTACCTCCACAGACGACATCTCCCTCGACGTCCTCGCGAAGCTCCCCTGGCTCAACGCCGTCATCACCGAGGCCCTCCGCGTCTACCCGCCTGTGCCGCTGGGCGGGGCGCGCGTCTCGCCTGGTGCGTATGTTGACGGGGTCTATGTTCCTGCTGGTGTATGTCCTGCGCTTATTTTTGACCTTGTGATCGTTGTGATGTGCTAACACGCCCAGGTCGAGGTCTCAACCTCCCTCTACGCCCTGCACCATAACAGCGAGTACTTTGCCAACCCGTACAAGTTTGCCCCTGAGCGCTGGATCGACCCCGCCTCCACGGACAAGAAGGAAGCCGTGCAGCCGTTTCTGCTGGGGAGTCGGTCGTGCATTGCGAAGTAGTAAGTCGACACTACGACTACGCATTTTGGAGTGTTGAGAGTGCTAATTCATGACGGACAGCTTCGCGCAGCAAATGCTCCTCCTTACCCTGGCGTCGTTCTTCGTTGAGTTCGATGGCACGTATGTGGGCCGCGTACGGGACTGGACGACGGACAGTCGGTGCTATGCTTTCTGGGAGATTCCGGATTTGAAGGTGCGGCTGCAGGATCGGATGGCTTCTCCCTCCGCCTGATCGTTGACACCGTGTTTGGCTGGGTGCAAGGGACAGGATTCCTGGCCATGCCATTCCTGAGATACGGTGTAGGGCGAGCAGGACCCCTTGGCTTTCTTTTCTACAACTACATTCGAGTACATACCCTCATTTTTCTCTTCATTTCTTCTCTTTTTCTTTCACCTTTCTCTTCTTTCCTGTGATTTGAATTCCCGTCGTCGAATACTCCATATAGTTTATAGGTTGATGAATGGATGATCTCCGTCTGTCGGCTTCAGCAGGCTGGGCCTCTCAATGCTGCAGATGATTTCTTGATGCATTTTGCTCCAACAGCGTGTCCTACGCTACGGTATACTCTGTAATGTCGTCGATACGGTAGCTAGCCAGTAATCGCCATCGATATCGTGAAACAAACAATAATTAGAACCCTCAGCACCACTCGCAGTCCTAACTCTCAACGTACATGGAAGCCGCATATTACCTATTACCTACACGTGCCCTCGTGAATTCCATATCCCAACAAACCGTACAGGTAACTCCCCATGTCCATCACTCCGGCATTTGGCCGGGGAAATCGACGTTCCAGGAAACCATGAGACAGATTGACAGGGCGTCGGGCAGATTGCAGGCTTCTAGAATCCAGGAAGCCAACGACCGGCCTCGGCTTGAAATTTGGCCCTAGGATCGGCAGTTGCAGTCTCCACCAGGGTCCGAGTCCGAGCCCGGGTATGAGTTAGGTATGAGTATTGAGTATGGGGATACTGGAGCCCTGAACTCAATTTCGAGACACGGCGTGTTGTAGATCTATATATCGGACTTTGGTGGGAGTATCACGTTGCCATCTCATCTCGGAGCACGCCCTTTCTAGGAAGATGTCTTGCGTTCAATGGGGACATGTACTTGTTAGTAGAGGAAAAGGAAGAGAAGGTTTGTGATTGTCGCATCACGGATTCATGTTGAGAATGCGTTGTTGGAGACTTGATGTGTCAATTACCCTTGTTTCAAGGGGCTGCGATACCTCACATCTTTAGATAAATGCCGGACAGGCTCAGGGTCTTGTCTAGTCTATCTTGAAACCGCAGAGAGAACACGCTTCTTGACTATTTATCTCCCTGCATGTCTACTGCACACCTGCATCTGCATACTCACCTTGACCTTCTCCTTCCAAGTTGCCCACCATGTCCCTCCCAACCTCAATCCCTACGCCAACCCTAACCCGCCCCTTCGGCGTGCATCTCTGGCCACACTTTAGCAAAGCCTTCACGTCCCTAACCGGCAAGACGCCCTCGGAATTCCACTTCGAGCCGGGCGTCACCCCCATGACAACGCTGAAGGGCACCCTGGTCTCCTTGGCAACATACTACGTCGTGATCTTCGGCGGCCGCCAGCTCATGAAGAGCCAGCCTGCATTCAAGCTGCAGACGCCATTTATTATCCACAACTTCATTCTCACCCTCATCAGCGGCGCCCTGCTTGCGCTGTTCCTCGAGCAGATCCTGCCGACGCTCTCGCAAGATGGCGTCCTCCATGCGATTTGCGATGCGCGCGGGGGATGGACGGATGAGCTTGTGCTGCTTTACTATGTGCGTCCCTCCCTTCCCTCCAGTTCCACTTCTTCCAGTCGCAGCTGCAGAGAGTATAGAAAAGAGCATGGTAAGCTAACAGGTCACAGCTCAACTACCTAACCAAGTACCTCGAACTCGCCGACACAGTCTTCCTCGTGCTCAAGAAGAAACCCCTCACCTTCCTGCACACGTACCACCACGGCGCAACCGCCCTCCTCTGCTACGTCGAGCTGGTCGGGCGCACCTCCGTCTCCTGGGTCCCGATTACACTGAACCTCACCGTGCACGTCGTGATGTACTGGTACTATTTCCAGAGCGCGCGGGGCATTAAGATCTGGTGGAAGCGGTACATCACCATATTGCAGATCGCGCAGTTTGTGATTGATATCGGTGCGTCTACCCACTTCCTCTCTTCTTTTCACTGTTTTCTTTTATGGATTGTGTGTTGACGCGTCCAGGCTTCATCTACTTCGCCTCCTACACGTACTTTGCCTCGACGTATTTCCCCTGGGCGCCGAATACGGGGCACTGCATGGGCGAGGAGTATGCGGCGGCGTTTGGAGTGTTCATTATTAGTTCTTATTTGCTGCTGTTTGTGTCGTTTTATCTCACCACGTATAAGGAGAAGGCGCCGCGGTTGTTGAGTTCGGCGAGGGCGTTGGGGAAGGGGCTTTGAGCGAGGCGGATTTTATATGGGTGGTTTTTTCTTGGTGGTTGGGGAGCTGAGGGTGTACCTATGGTGTATTGAAGATGAACGATTGTGGTTCGGACTTGTTTGGTTATGTTTATGGGATGATTACCACATGTATCGCTGCTGTCTGATCTGACTTCCAATGCGAGTTCCTCTAAATACAAAGTATTATTTGTTTTTGAGAACCTATAACGCTGCTATGCGTTTCTGTACTTTCGGAAAGACTTCCTCTACTAAACATGGTAATAATATATTACCCGGAGCCCAGTTAAAGTCCAGCCTGCCAAGTGCCAACTGCTGCAATGTAGGCCCTTGCCGCATGAACCCTGCACACCAGGCCTGCATGTTATCTTCAGTTCTGCATGTGCACCATGCAGCTGGAGCTCAGACCAATGTATCGCACGTGTAGGTTCACAAAGTGCCGGAAACAAGCAATGTCCAAGCACTCGACCCGAGCGCAGCGCCCACTGGCTATCCCGTAGTATGGATGCAGCGCAGTTCAATCTACTTAGGGTATCCCTGAGCCCACTCGGGGTCATCCACCATCATCCGGTCCACGCAGCCCTCTACAGAACATGTTGTCTTTTTCTTTTGGAACTGGACTAGCATGCAAAAGCACCTGGGTCCCAGGCCGTGCCCTTGTGATTTCAAGGCAATCATGGCTATCTTGCTCATGTTAATGTCTATCCCATCCATTTCCATAGTCATCTGGGTTGAAAGCAACCCGAGTGAGAAAACCCCGAGGTATGCCCGGCCCAACGATCTACAGGGCCGCTGCCAAGGAGAAAGCCAATATTCAAGATATCGGTGTCCCTTCCCCACGCCACTTAGCTAACCCGGTCGAGTTGTCCGGGCATGACCCTATCCGACTGTGATCAGCAGGAAGGTCCAAGCGGCTGGACACGAACGGTATTTCCAGGTACGGCGTTGTCCCGAGACTATCGATTTCGGTGACAGGTGGTCGTTCCTGGCCCTGTTCCTTGATTCTGGGATGGGCTTGGACTCTGATCGGCTGGCTTGGACTTGGACCAGGACCACGACCACGAGGTATTTTGTCATTAGCTCGTGGGTCAGGGTTGTTATTGGCAGGCACGCCATGCTGGAGTCACGGTCTACTAGCTTGCTTACTCTCTCTTTTTCCTAAAGCGAGGGTCTCGGCGTGGGCGTGGCTGTTCTGGGATAGGGCTGGCTTGGGTTTGCCACTGTTTAGACTCTCGACTAACTCTGGTATCCCTGTGGAACTTGGAAGAGCCTTGCGAGGATATAGGAGACCGCCGAGGTACATTGCTGTGGCGATTCAGGCTACATACTCCGTACACTAGTGGGTGATGTCCGCTCGATTGCTTGATTCTACACCCTTGAGAACAGACAGTAAGGGCCACCTTGTGGCCTAGCCCACCCAGAAATTCATAGCCTATACTTACCCTTCATCTCTCGAGCCATGTTTCCTATCTACAACAGTCTCGGCCAGCGAAAGTAATTGTCCTTAGCTAATGACACTCAAACAATAATCAAACGCTGATCCGGAGTAGTAGACCGGGCCGGTTCAATAGGCACCGGTGCTTGCAAAGCACGTGGAAGGCAATTTCAAGTATAGTGAGGGTCTTAGAGTTGACAGTGACACTGACAGACGTTGAGTACTGGCACTGCCGATGCCGGCCATGGCGCCATGTCTAGTCTAGTCTAATTTCAATTTCCGCAAATGCGATTCCTCGAATTTAGGAATATTGATTATCGACATTCGATCGCTGGATGGGGTATTCCCAGACAAAATCATGAAAATTGGCCAATTAGGGCTCCAGCTGTACGGGGAATAGCTGGATCAGGACGATGGACCACACTTTATCGAAACGGGGTTGATACCTAGATCAGAAAATGGGATCCTCTCATTACAGAATCAGATAAGGATGAATTCAGTGGCGTTCACATGGACAGTCTAGTGGTGGTGGCAGCGGAACGACTGCCTAGACAAGCTTAACTGCAGTCTGCCAGGCTTGTCATGGTGTCGATCATGTGGAGGCCCAGTATCGACAATGGAAGTACCGAGGCATTTACGGTTGACCGGATCGAAATCTATAGATCATGTTTATCAGTCCATTTCTAAGCTCTGCGGTAGGCCACTACTGTAGGATTCTTCACGTCTCGCATTGATTGCCTGTTCGAACACATCCTCAAACACCGATCGATCGATTCCATGGGGCCATGCTCCGTACTGTATCAGATGTAGCTGTGCGTCAAAGCTTAGAGCGACAAGTCACTTGGCTAGATTCGATCCAACGGAGACAGTTCCAACTATGACTAGTGCGATTGTGAAGAAATAGAGAAGTCGAACCCCGAGTGCCCTGCTGATGGTGAAACAGGCTAAGCTCCAGGGAGCCCCGTCCGCCCCACGAGCCCTGGCAGGCCCTAGCGCAGCCCAGGCAGCCTAGCCCAAGCCCACCCAGCAAGCCCAAGCCCACCCCAGCAAGCCCAAGCCCGCCCCCAGCCTCGGGCTAGCCTAGGCACTTCCCAACTGCCGACGCTGAAGATCCGATCTGATCGCCATTCATTTCCCTGTGTTTCACCCCTGCCTCATGTCCATGCCCTTGCCCTATACAGAAGATATCTGACAATTCGGCATGCGATCTGTGAATCCTACCCCAATGTCATCTAGTCGCCGTTTCACCTCCCCCGAAGCTTAGCCCCTACGCCTTGACAACGGTAAGGCAATGTCGGCATTGGGGCTGTCACGGGCCTGTTTCGGCGTTGGCTGGATGGACGGATTTTGGGTGCAGTCTAGTCACTGCAGGTGACTGTAGGGCAGAGTGCCTCGTGCGGATACAGCTCCATCCTGATGTCCTAGCAGTTCTTCTCTTCTCTATCTGCTTTGTCTTGCTTGATTGCCTTGTTCGTTCGTCCTTCCTCTGGCCAGCTGGGGCTATTCGTTCTTTCTCTTCCTAGGGCTCTAGCATCGACTGGGTCCTTGCTGCTTGCTCTCCAATAGTTCGAGTCGACTCGATAACATTCGTTAGTTCGTTCGTTCAATCAACCCCAGATTTCGCTCTCGAACGCCCTGAGGATGCGATAGTATCTTTCCGCCTTGCCATTCCATTCTTGTTCTTCACAGCCATCAGCTGGCCAACATCCACTCTTCCAACCCACCACCCATTCATTCATTATCCAAAACCCCCCAAAATGCGGCCGGACCGCAAACAACCCCTCACAAGCGCAACGCCGCTCCCCAACCCCCGACCCAAGTCCCAATCCCGCGCCAGCAAGCGCATGGCCCGCGACATGACGCCCCGGCAAAGCATGGGCATGGGCTTCTGGCCCTCCGCCGCCGAAGAAATCCCGCTTGAACCAACAATGCCCATGCGCATGACGCGGCGGTCCCTCTTCTTCATGTCGGAGTGGGCGGACTCGCGCGAGGAGCTGCCGATGCCCATGGACGCGGGCGCGGGCGCAATGCGCCTGAATCGCGGGAGCATGCTGCTGCTCGGCGACAAACACGTAGACAAAGATAAGGAGAAGGAGGTGCTCGATGCGCAGATCGCGATGCCCACGCCGCAGGTCGGGTACTTTAAGATCTACTCGTATGCGACCGGGTGGGATTTGGTGCTGCTTATTGTGGGCGCGTGCTGTGCTGTTGCGGGGGGTGCGGCGTTGCCGCTTTTTACGGTGCGTATACCACCGCTTTACTCTCTACTGGTGAATATGATATGATGGAGATGCTAATGGTGTGGCAGGTGTTCTTCGGAAACATCACGTCGACGTTCCGCGAGGTCGCGGCGTACCAGATGAGCTACGATGACTTCTACCACACGCTCACCAAGAACGTCTTCTACTTCCTGTACCTGGGCATCGGCGAGTTCCTGACCATCGGCACGGCAACGTTCGCCTTCGTGCACACGGGGAACTCGGTGACGCAGAAGATCAGAGTGCGCTACCTGCAGGCCATCCTGCAGCAGAACATCGCCTTCTTCGACTCGCTGGGCGCCGGCGAAATCACAACCCGGATCTCAGGCGACATGCATCTGATCCAGGACGGGATCTCCGAGAAAGCCTCGCTCGTCTTAACGGGTGTCGCCTCCTTCGTGACGGCCTTCGTCATCGCGTTCGTCAAGTACTGGAAGCTGGCACTCATCTCGACAAGCACCCTCGGCGCCCTCCTGCTCATCATGGGCGCCGGGTCGACCGTGTCCGTCATCTACTCCAAGCGCAGCATCGAATGCTACGGGCGCGGCGGCAGCATCGCAGACAACGTGCTCAACTCCATCCGCACGGTCGCAGCGTTCGGCGCCCAGGAAGCCCTCGCCCGCAAATACGACACGCACCTCCGCGAGGCAGAGAAGTACGGGCGCATCGTGCAGATGACCTTCGCGCTCGTCATCGCCGGGATCTTAGGGGTTATGTACCTGAACTACGGCCTGGGCCTGTGGATGGGCAGCCGCTTCCTGGTCGAGGACTCGGAGAATGTCCAGCCCGGCGATATCCTGACCATCATGATGAGCATCATCCTGGGCTCGTATGCCCTCGGCAACGTGGCTCCAAACATCCAGGCCTTCAGCGACGCCGTGGCAGCGGCAACCAAGATCCTGGGCACGATTGAGCGCCAGTCCCCGCTCAACGCCATGTCCAGCGAGGGCAACAAGCTGCCCAGCGTGCGCGGCGAGATCCGCCTGCGCAACATCCGCCACGCGTATCCCTCTCGTCCGGAAGTGACTGTAATGGACCAATTCAACCTGCGCATTCCAGCAGGCAAAACAACAGCCTTTGTTGGCCCCTCCGGCTCCGGAAAGAGCACGATCATCGGCCTCCTCGAGCGCTTCTACAACCCGGTCGCCGGAACCGTCATGCTAGACGGGCACGACATCGAGACGCTCAACCTGCAGTGGCTGCGCCAGCAAATCAGCCTCGTCGGGCAGGAACCGCAGCTCTTCACAGCCAGCATCTACGAGAACATCAAGTACGGGCTGATCGGGTCGGAGTTTGAAAAGGAGAGCGAGTGTGCGATCCGCGCGCGCGTCGTCAGGGCCGCCAGTATCGCGGACGCGCACGATTTCGTCAGCGCCCTGCCGGCCGGGTACGAGACGAACATCGGCTCTTGTGCGTTGTCCGGTGGCCAGAAGCAGCGGATTGCGATTGCACGGGCGATTGTCAAGGAGCCGAAGATTTTATTGCTTGATGAGGCGACGAGTGCGCTGGATACGAAGAGTGAGGGACTCGTTCAGGCGGCGCTTGACCGTGCGGCTGAAGGACGCACGACGATCGTCATTGCGCACCGCTTGTCGACGATCAAGAACGCGCATAATATTGTCGTCATGAAGGCTGGCAAGATCGCGGAGCAGGGGACGCACGGGCAGCTGCTGGAGAAGCAGGGCGTGTATGCGAGTCTGGTGCAGGCGCAGAGCATCAAGGACGCCGGGGTGGAAGACGGGTACGACAAGGAGCTCGCGACGCTGTGGATCGACGAGGAGGACTCGGATCTCAGCGACGACGACTCGGAGATGCAGGCGCGCCTGTGGAAGCGCGCGAGCATGTTCCCCGGCATGGCGAAGCCGAAGCCGCAGCACTTTTCGCTGTGGACGCTCATCGGCTTCATTGCCAAGTTCAACAAGCGCGAGAAGTACATCATGGGCTTGGGTCTGGTGCTCTCGCTCTTTGCTGGGTGTGTGCAGCCCGCGCAGTCGGTGCTCCTGGCCAAGGCTGTCAATGCCATTTCCACGCCCATCAGCCAGCCCGACAAGCTGCGGCACGACACGAACTTCTGGGCCTCCATGTTCCTCATGACGGGGCTGGTCACTATCTTCCTGTTTGGGTCTCAGGGCAGCTTATTCGCGTTCAGCGCGGAGAAGCTTGTGCGTCGGGCACGAAGCAAGACGTTCCGCGTCCTCCTCGGCCAGGACATCACCTTCTTCGACGAGGAGGAGAACACCCCCGGCACCCTGACCTCCATGCTGGCCACCGACATCAAGAACCTCGCCGGCATCAGCGGCGCAACCCTAGGCACCCTGCTCATCGTCACAGTCAACCTCTTCGGCTCATTAATAGTCGCCCACGCCCTAGGCTGGAAGCTCGCGCTCGTCTGCTCCTCCGCCGTCCCCCTCCTCCTCCTCTCCGGCTTCCTGCGAACCTGGATCCTCAGCCGCTTCCAAGCGCGCGGCCGCACCGTGTACCAGAAATCCGCCAGCGACGTCAGCGAGGCCGTCACCGCCATCCGCACCGTCGTCTCCCTAACAATGGAGCAAGTCATCCTGGACGCCTACAAGGCGCAGACAGCGCAGCAAGTCCGCGCCGACATCCCCACCGTCCTGCGCTCCAGCTTCCTGTACGCCTGCTCCGAGGCCCTGCAGTTCTTCTGCATGGCCCTGGGCTTCTGGTACGGCGGCACCCTCCTCGGACACCACGAGTACAGCATCTTCCATTTCTACGTGTGCTTCAGCGAGGTGATCTTCGGCGCGCAGGCCGCCGGCAGCGTCTTCTCCTACGCACCTGGCATGTCCAAGGCGAAGCACGCAGCCGGCGAGCTGAAGGCACTGTACTCCCGCAAACCGCGCATCCACGGGCGCAATGTGATCGGGAACTCGCGCCCTGCAGCGCGGAACGTCCTCCCCGTCCCGCCCTCACTCAAGGGTGCCATCGAGTTCAGGAACGTCTACTTCCGCTACCCCACCCGCATGAGCGTCCCCGTGTTATCGGGTCTCAACCTGGACATCAGGCCCGGCCAGTTCGTGGCCTTCGTGGGTGCTTCCGGCTGCGGCAAGTCCACGACCATTGCGCTCCTCGAGCGCTTCTATAACCCTCTCCCTGGGAGCGGGGGGATCTTCGTTGATGGACGCGATATCTCAACCCTCGATCTGCAGGGTTATCGCCGCCAGCTGGCGTTTGTGGGGCAGGAGCCGGCGCTGTTTCAGGGGACCATTAAGGAGAATATCCTCCTTGGTATGAGGGATGGCGAGGTCGACGATGACGCCATCATCAAGGCGTGTCGCGATGCGAATATCTATGATTTCATTATTTCGTTGCCGTACGTCTTCCCCTCCCTTCTCCATACGTGGACTGACAGAGCACAGACAAGCCTTCAACACCGAAGTAGGAAGCAAAGGAGGCATGCTCTCAGGAGGCCAGAAGCAGCGTATCGCGATTGCACGCGCATTGCTCCGAAACCCGCGCATCTTGTTGCTCGACGAAGCGACCTCCGCGCTGGACAGCGAGAGCGAGCGCGTCGTGCAAGCGGCGCTGGATAACGCGGCGAAGGGCCGGACGACGCTTGCGGTGGCGCATCGGCTGAGCACGATCCAGCGCGCGGATGTCATTTATGTGCTTGCGAACGGGAAGGTGGTGGAGATGGGGGCTCATGAGGAGTTGTTGAGGAGGAGAGGGCATTATTTTGATTTGGTGAATTTGCAGAGTTTGGGGTAGTTTCTGTACTTATGCATAGGCTTGGTATGGTTGTTGGTTGGGAGGAAGGGTTGGATGTATGGATAGTAATAGGCTTATGATATTAATGGTTTTCGATGGAAGGCTTGTTGTCTTGGGCTGTTGGCGGTTGTTACGGTCGCAAAGCCCTAAAGACCGTGGAACACGATCGTCCAGAGTGCAGAGTAATCTGACCAGCTTTTCTTGTATATATTTATGCTTAAGGCTCTGTTGACCTTTTAGAGAATATCATTGATCCAGTTCATATGATTTGTCTGACCCGCCATGTTGTGGCATTTGCTACGGTCGGAGAGTGACCTAGGCTCGACACAATGTTGTTGTCTCCTACAATAATAACAACACAGCAATTGTCGAGGTAAGTATCTGGACGGAGTCAAAGGAACATTTTGCCATTAGAGTTTCCACGTGTCTACTTCTTCACAGGGATCAGCCCTTGACAGTTAGGTATGACTATGATTTGCCTTGGTCTAGCGGTCGCTATTCCCCCAACATAGGCAGTGGTCGATTGATTTTCACCTACAATGTCATTGATGTCAAGTAGCTTGAGGTGTCACGAGGATAATAGAACTCTGTTGTAATTGGAGCTCCACATATCTTGTCTGATCAATCATCACGAAGATTGCCATGGGATCACCACGGCAAGAACATCACTATCATCAGTCAACACTGTCCAGCCCTGCCACTAGTACTAGTCAACCCCCAAGGTTCTCAGTCCTCAGGTCTCTCGTGGTGACCATCACAAGGGCACAGTGGGTCCCCCTGATCCGGCAAGTCTGCTCCGACATCGCCAGACTCCTAGCCCTTAGCCCTTAGCCCTTAGCAGGCTAGCAGCAAGAACCGGGGATCAGCTCGGCCTGCATTCCGCGCTTGTGCATCTCCGCTGAAGATTAACCGGTTGTCCCAGACCCAGTCTACCCAAACCCAGACCTCCAGGCAATGCTTATGCCTAATCAGGCGCAACGTAGAGCCCAGCAACCGTGGAACGCGATCGCCACCATCACCACCACACTCCAGCTCCACGTGCAGGCTCGGCAGTGCGCATCTACCGAAACACGCCCGTTGCCCCTGCGCACAATCCGAGACGGCCGTTGTGATGGCGCCGGCCCTGCGTGATTTAACGGGCTGGAACTGGTCTGGGTCTGGGTCAGGGCTGATAACCACAAGACACTTAGTCCTGGGTCCAGGGAATAATGTGATGGATGGCGACACTTGATCGACCGGTGGTTTTAGCTTAGCTCCTCTGGCTTATATTATATTAATTGAACGGTATGGGGAAGGGCGCCTAGCTTCGATAGTTTGTTCATTTAATCTCACTGACTCGTCTGGACTTCTTATCAAGACCCGACGCTCTGGTTCTTTGCCTACGCTCTTTACACTTTACACAATACTACAACATTATTCACCACCAGTCTACCGTCACTCCTTCACAACATCAACATGAAGAGCGCCATCTCCCCAGACATCTGGGAAACAAAGCGCATGCTCATCACAAAACTCTACAAAGACGAGGAATGGCCGCTCAAGCAAGTCATCAAGCTCGTCCAGACTCGGGACTTTCACCCTAGGTATGTCCCTTCTCTCATCCATAACAACCATCTCTAATAAATGTCACAGCGAATCGCAACTCCGCAGCCGCTTAAAGAAATGGCACATCACCAAGCCTTCGCGCAAGAAGTACGACGGCAGCCGCCGCCTCTCCGGCGCAAAGAAGAACCAGAGCGCGAACCTCAGCGCCCAGAAACGGCCCTCCGACTCCTCCGCATACCCCCCCATCCCCTCCGCCTCAACATATCACACCCTGCACTCCCAGCGCAAGATCGACGAGAGCGATTCATTTTCTGAGGGCTCGCGCCCGTCCGTCTCTGCACACGCCGTGCCGGAAATGTCAATATCGCCCGCCAACCGCTACATCCTCCCCTCCAGTCCCCACGACGACGCAAACCCCTTCACGACCTCAATGTACTCAAATAGCATCCTGGCGCCGTCGACGCCGATTACACCCGCTGTGTACGGGATGGACGAACATACACACATGAACATGAACAAACGAACGAGCGACGCAACCTCGAACACGATATACTTCTACCCGCCCGAGTCAACGAGTCCGCACTCTTTCCCGGCCACCGTCCCGGTATCAGCCTCTTATACACACGCCTTCGCGCCATACTCGGATCCAAGCCCGCTGGGCCTGGTCCCCGAGCATCCGCATGAAGATTATATGAGCAGTGCGAGCTACGGCATCCACCCGTACCTCGCGAACCAGTCCAGCCACGGCCACAGCCATAGCCACAAGAACAACCACAACCAGTTCGGCGTGCCGTTGTCAGATCTCCCGCCGCCGTTGCTGGACGGGTCGGCGTGGGTTCATCACTACCATCCCGGCCATCAGCCACCATCACCGCATTCGCATTCGCATTCGCATTCGCACTCGCACCCGTTTTATCCAGACGATGTTGGGGTTGGGATAGCGCCGCCGATATTCCAGGCTGGGCATGTTGTGTAATTTTACCATATCTTCACTATACCATAATGTACTTTACTACGCTACGCTACGCTTTACTTACTTTGCTTCGCTCACTGGACCCGTGAGGTCATTACCTAGGGCTTACCTGGACTAGCCAGACTAGACAAACTTAATTTGATTGCTGTGCATGATATACTTCCGCTTGTTTCACTTGTGTTTACTGGCCCTGGCCCTGTTTGTTTCACTTGCATTTATCCCTGCAACTTGCTTGCACTAGTCTGTCAGACCAGTAACGGTGATTTTGATGACGCACATGTGCTGAATCTGATTGCATGATGAGCATGGCATGGCATGTGCCATGAGCTGATTAGGGCCACGGCCGGGGCAACGGAGATCCCTCAAGTTCAACTGGATCCCAATGGATCTCCACCCACGCCGGGCAATCAGCCTTCGTGGGATCAGCCCGGCCGAGTCAGGTCACAGGACACTGAGTTGACCCACCTGATGTCGTTATCCACAGATAGCTGATCTGAGTTGCTGCTTGCAAGTTGCTGCTGCTGACGTGCAAGCAGTGAGTGCGGAGTTCGTTCCGAGGTCCGCAGCCGCTCGGTGCTGGATTCCAGCTTGAGCCTGATGCCTTGGCTGAAGTCCGAAGCCCTCTTGAGGCAGAGTCTGAGTACCGCATTGCATTGCATTGCATTGTATTGCAATCCCCGCATTTGTACCCGAGCACTATACTACAGTCTGTCCCATTGCCTCCCTACCTACCCCTTCATCTCACCTTCTTTTCTCCAGCTCAAGCTATCTATCTCCTACCATACCATATCGTCCCCTACCTAGGTCCTAGGTCCTAGGTCCTAGGTTCCTGGTCTTCTGGTTCTAGTACATCGGACCACCTACCACACCCAGCCAACCCTCCGCGTAGATCATGCTCCTGCACCCCACAAGACAAAGTTAACTAGCACGCCCGCTAGCGCCAGTAGTGCGTTCCAGCTAGGTGTCCACACCCTGCACTCTACTCGAGTCTCGGTTTAGTTAGTCCTCCGTCGGTGCCACGAGGGCCAAGGCCAGCACCGCGGAGCACGTTGCTCTGCACGCTGCCGGATGCAGTTAACACACTCGTCAAGGTTGGTGGCTGCACTGACAGCAAGCGAAGCAGGAAATCTCTGCCGATAATATACGTACTCTGGGGTTGATGCACTTACCGCAATAAGGATAAGTTACGCTGTAGGTATACTTGCTCTGCGCCCTGCTCTGCTATTGGTCGTCCCTTCGCTCGGTGCGGCCAACCAATCAGAGAGCCCAGATGAGCCGAGGCGATTGTGCATCTTTTCTCTTTATTCTTTCCACGCCCGACGTTTCTCCGGTTCCGATTGCATGCCAGGAACTGGTTCTTCCCATTGACTAAGAGTACATTCCATGGATGACGCTGTTGCGGAATCAATGATTGTCAGACCCGGCGCTCTGGGACCGCATTAGGTACGGCCGCCGGCCGGTAGGCACATCATCAGCCCTGGGACGGGCGCACATCATTTGCCACTGCAGGTGGGCTGGTGATTGGTTCGCATGGGGATTTGCAGCGAATGGGGAGGTGAGCTATACGTGAGGCCAGTATTGCAGGCCGGGGGTAGAATAGACAGGGTATATTCTTCTTTGGTATCTGCGTAGCTAGGGCGCTTTCTACCTAATGTGAGGCTCTAGGTCAAGACATGTATACTGTATTCCCATATGTTCAAACGTGCCAGATTCGGATTCGCCTATCAAGAGCTGGAGCGCACTGTACCCAACGTATCCTGTAATAGTATTGTTTAACTTAGACATGGACGGACCTGGAGTAGAGTACTCCATGGAGCTGACAATGCATGAGCGATTAAGAAGAGCTTCACTACTGCTATGGTACCCATGGTATGTCAAAAGTGCAGCGCGGAGATACTCGATATTCCCTCACGAAGGTATTCGGTACGCCTTGGAGGCTGGAGCTGGATCACTGCTTGCCACACGGTGTCGGTGCGTTCCCAACTCAGTAAACACTCCGTATCTCGAACCGATCATCGAGCCTCAACGGTCGACCTTTGACGGTTCACCCTGGACCTGGAGATGTTTCGGCTTTCCGCATGAGCTCTGTGGCCCATGGAGTGGTTCGTACTATACATGTTCCTCGCCTCGAGCTCTAATCAGTGGTTAATGGTTGGTGGTTTAGTTAGTGGTGGTGGCTGATCTGCAATCCCGTCGCACCTGCGTTTTATCTGGATCCAGTTCAATAGAAGTGTCCGTCTTCATTTTACTCGTTCTTATTGCATAGCCACGTGCAGGCGGACGGGAGATGACGCCCGGATCGTCTCTACTATAGCCTCAAGCCTCAAGCCCGCTTACGTGAAGCCCGGATAGAAAGTCTGGTACATACTACTTGTCACTTCGCTGAGCCCGACCGCCTTGGTGGCGGTTGGTCAGCTCCACCCTAATAAATACACCACCTTAATAATAATTATAAATTTTAATCGCGTTAAGTAACTTTAAATATTTATAACTTTACTATTTTTTAAAATATTAACCCTTATTATAAATAAATTAAAAATTTAAAAGGCGCTTTTTAAATATACCTAAAAAAAACGTGTTAATCTTACTATTAAAATAGCAAAAGTTATAAAAAATTAAAATATTAATTATTAGCGCCTATAATAATATATTAATAATATAAAACTAGTTTTAAAGTATTATAGGCCCGGGAGCTTGCTTAATAATATATAAAAAGCTATTTTTTTAAAATTTATAAAAAAATAAAATAATATAGGTGTTTTAATAATTTTTAGCATGGTTAAAAGTATTATAAAAAAAATTTTAATATAGCTATACTAAGGCTAGTTTAAATAACTTACTATTTTTAAAATTAGGCCTAACTAGGCATACTACTTTATAAAGTTAAAAAAAAAGTTTTTTAAGTTAAAAAAAAAGGTAAAAAAAAAAGCGTGTAAAAAAAATAAAAACCCCGGGGTTATTTTTTATTAATTTAATAAAATATATTAAATTATTAAAGCGCATGGTATATAAAATAAAAATATTTATAATATAAATAAAATTAGGTTTTTTATAGGCCAGGGGAGGTGTTTAAAAACTATTTATATATATTATTTTAATTATATTTTTTTATAAACTTTAAATTAAAGTAGTAGCTTATTACCTTAGTAAAGTATATTTTTATAAATAGCTATATTTTATTACTACTTATAATTATATTAAAAAAGGTTTTCTTACTTAAATAAATTACTAAAATAAATTTACTTAATAACTAGCTTATAAATTAAATTATTTTAGGTTATATAAATAAAAAGTATACCTATAAATAATTTAGGTATTTTATTAAAATTATAAAGGCATGGCAGTAAGGTATATAATACTTTTTAATTTTTAATTATTATAAAAGTTATATTTTTTATAAAATAACCCTACTTGCAGTAAAAAAAATTATACTACTTTTTTTATTATTATACCTAACTTACCTTTTTTAACCTTTTAATTTAATATTATTTTAGTAATTAAAAAAGGTTTATATAAATTATATTAACAAGCACTTTTATATTAAAAATTAATATTATAATAAAGTCTATTTTCTTAATAATATTAAGGTAATTAAAAAAATAGCCTATACCAAGCAGGTTATTATATAAGGTTAAATAAAAACTAGCCTTTTTTTACTAAATTTTAATTATATTTTAAAAAGAATTAGAGCGCTAGATTATTTAAAAAAACCTTTTTTAATACTTAATACTAAAGGTAAGTAAATTATTAAAAATATTACTAATATTAAGCCTTTAAAAACTTTTAAATTAGCTACTAAAACCCCTTTAAAAAATATAATTTTTATAATATTAAAAACTATCCGCTTAACACGCTGTAATATTAAATTAATTAAAAAATAATATATTAAACTTTTTTACTTTTTAATAATTTAGCGCCTTATCCACGGGGTATTATATTAATTTAAAAATCTTGCTTTAATAAAAAAGTAATTAAATAAATAATTAGCTAAAAAGTAAAAGCCTTATAACTAAAAATGCTTAAAAAAGTAATTTAAAAAAATAATTAATTACCTTATAATTAAGAATATAAAAAATTATATTAATAAAAAGGTAAAAAAATATATTAATAAGCTATTTAGTAAGCAGGCTACAAAAAAAATAAAATTAATAAAAAATATACTTTAAATAATAAAAAAAAAATTAATAATATACTAAATAAAGCACTATTTATTAAAAATTAAAATAAGTTTATTAAAAACTTTATATAGCTTTATTTTATTAAAATATTATTATTTAAAGGTTTTACTAGTATAATAATAAATATTAAGGCGGCATGCTTAACACACGTTAATTTATATAATTTTTAAATTATTAATTTAATATTAATATAGCTAATTTATGTATACCTAAAAATTAGCCTTATTTATTTTATTTTATAATAGCTACTATTTTAATTAAAAAAATAAGTTTTAAATAGCTTTATGTTAATAATTTTTTTATTAAGGTGGTGTATTTATTAGGGTGGAGCTAACCAACCGCCACCAAGGCGGTCGGGCTCAGCGAAGTGACGAGTATACTCCTTATGAGATACGCAGATTGGAGCGGTTATTGTTTGTCTTGGTGTAATTTCCCCGGCAATGATGGTGTAATGGCGATGGGCACGACATGATTCAGAGCCTGCGCTAGGGGTGCAAGCCCTAAAGCTAAAGGGATCTGCGTTCTAGGCTGGAGCGGGAACATCGGGTTCTGGTTGGGATTGTTGGAGAGGTGTCGGCTAGAGGAATGCATCGTGCTAGATTCTGTTATGATGGTTGGGTACGTAGTTGAATCCTGTAGTATTCCAAGGTTGACGATGCTCGGGATGGGCAATGGCATCAATAGACCATATCACAGTATACGCTGTATTATTGCACTTCGCTATATTAATACTCCTAGTCGGCGAGAAGCAGAATATATTACGCTGTGCCTGCTATGCCTCCTTACAAAATAGAAGGTGGTACACAACAAGAATTCAGATGGATTATCTTAATGGGCCTTGCTGGGAACAGTATACTGACTCGGACTCTTCTACTAGCAACTCAAGACAGCTTGACTCGTTTCTTTGTTGCTTGCCACTATCAGTCACTTCGTACGCAGGGGGCAATGGCAGAAATATATTATTGTATCATGCAAGGCATCATGGCGTAAGAGGTTGAGCAGAGCAATTGCACAAGGATATTGCGTTTGATACATTATGCATTGCTTCATATTAATTCGCTCTGCTTCTCTAAGAGCATATAGATCATAGATTCCAAGATAAATGCTAACATGGCTCACGCCTGTATGCATATACCTATCAATGGTCCTTGACATCGCCATGACAACAGTCTGAGATAGAAATAAACTAGGTATGAATACTTTGCTGTACTCCGCAGTAGACTCTGCAAGTCTCCTAGCTCATTGATCAAAATTGCTCCAGAGATTTTACCTGCACTCAACCCGTCCTTCAATCTTGCCACCCTGGAAAAGCAACACCTTAAACATATAACGACCGCCAGGTGCAGTTCACGCTAATATCATAGCCCCGTCTACTATATCTGCAACGCAAGAGGCAAATATCAAACAAAACACCTACCGCTGTTGGCTGTCCAAACCAGCGCATTGCCCGCCTTGTCTTGAAGTATTAGTACACAGCTCCCCATCCCCGCTCCAACATTCCGTCGAGTTTGTGCGTTAGGATGATTACAAGTGCTCTTGTCTACCGATTCCTTTCTCCCATTCAACCTAGGACCGCTTCGCTGAATCTACTCTTGGACGCGGTGGCACTGGCAAAACCAGCCAGCCCCCTTGCCTTCAGATCTCCTAACCCCTCACGCAAGCAAAATACGAAGGAAATACGAGCTCGAAGCTCGAAGCAGAATCCATAGGAATGCAGACAATGGATGCGTGAGGGGAGATGGTCCATGGAGGCGTCCCTGAAACATGGGAGTCTGCCACAGGCACCGGCAGAGGGACCCAAAAACGCCAGCCACTGGATATGTAATTTGACGGGTGGCACTGGCCATTATCACGCCTTATAGTGCTGCCCTGGTTACTTACTTGATACAATCGGGGTCCAGGAGTATACTACCAGTTCCTTACGTAGGACTTCGACCTAGACCAGGTGGAAAGGGATACTGCCAACCAGCCCGCACGCATCATGGTATCCCTCGGCCTCTTCTCACGAAGCGTGAGGTACACCATAACTACTACCATACCACAGAACGCATGCGGAAGATACAAGCAGGACACCTGGGCCCGGGGTGTTCCCGTGCCCACATCACCTAGACTACCTGGTGCAGATCCTGCTGCAGAAGTCGAGTCCAGAGGACGAGTGTGGCATGTGCCCGTGGACGGATCAACCCTCGCATGGTTCGCGAGTCACGACAGCGCACCTCCATATTCTGCAATCATTCTTGCATATGCAGACGGTAGACCCGAGAGAGCGGAACCCCCGGAAAGGTCAAACATGGCACTGGCAGACCCATTTGCTTGGATGTGGTCGTGTCATTGGGTGCCGGCTGAGCTTGACCCAGGGAATAAGTCCGGATCAGCGGAGACAGGGCTGGCCGATGTCGGAGGGGCAATGGTGAGGTATAGGCATAGGGGAGACGAGATTGGCGAGTACGAAGTGAATAGTAGATAATAGTTTATGGGGATGTCTTAGTAGTATACTTGGGTAGGCTCTATGGATGATGCTCATTTCGTTTACTGGGTGTTTGAGGTTTGTACTCTTGTTGTTGAAAGACGCCTAGTTGCGACCGGGTGTGTGACGTATGCAAGGCTAGATGAGAAGGGTACCTAGGTACCTATAGCGAGTTAGACTCGAGGTCGACTACAGGCCCTGAGTACACAGTACTTGAGCGATTGTCTAGCATGTCGACGGAGATTCAACATGAAAACAAAACAACAAATCAAATTCAGTCTGCCAACGTAAATACACTGCATGAATATCAAACATCCACCAAATTCACTTCACCGAGATCAAGTAACCGAATGTCTCTTCTTCATCTCCTGAATCGCCAACCCAACCAGGCCCTTCACATTACCAGCCGCCGTGATCTCAGACAGAGGGATCTGGACCCCGAGTCGTTTCCTCGCCCAAGCCCGCGCCTCGATCGCAATGAGCGAGTCGATGGGGATATTCCCCATCGCTTTGAGGTCCTGTTTCCCGGCAACGTCGCTCTTCCCTCCCTTCGCCTTGGCCGGTGACTTGATCATGTATCCGGCTTTCCTGATGAGGAACTCCTCGGTTGAGGGGCGGTTCAGCATCTCCGGATCTGCCTCGACCTGCGCAACAAAGTCCACGATGTCGTCGGCTTCGCCGGAGCTATCTTGCATGCGCTGGGCTCTGTTGGAGAGGATGGACATGCGGGTATCGCCGGTTCGATGGGCCCAGGGGGCTACTGAGACGAGGCCAAAGACTATATGATGGAGGTCGTAGCGGCTGCCATTGTCCTCGGTGGATTTGGATTTGGCCTTGGACTTGGACGAGTGATAGATCAGGGCCTCGACGGCGTCGAGGACTTCCTGCTCCTTGGTAAAGCGCCACTCGAAGCGGCCGCTGAAGTTTTTGACTATCTCAGGGCTGCGGCTGACATAGCCGATGTCTGCGACCGGGCCTAGGTCAAGGACGGACGCGGGCTGGCCGAGGGAGTGGCGGTGTCTGGCTAGGGCGTGGATGAAGCTGTTGGCGGCGGAGTAGTTGCACTGCCCGGCCATGCCAGTGACGCCTGCGATGGAGCCAAACATGAGGAAGAAGTCGAGGGGTGTGTCTTGGAAAGCCTGGTGTAGGTTCCAGGTGCCGTGGGCTTTGGCTGCCAGTGGGACTGTCCAGTCTTCAAAGGTCATACGTTCTAGACTTGTATCCTAGAGACATGTGTTAGCATGGACTCCGTAGCTTAGAGCAAGGTCTGTTTGCGTACCCTCAGAGCTAGGGCCAGTTGAACGACTCCCTTGACCGGCTTGGGGCTCTGGGATATAGTCCTCTGCACATCATGAGTCTCCGACGCGGTGCCCTTGACATATACCACCCGGCAACCCTGACACTTAAGTTCCTCTGCAAATGCTTGATGGTCCTCGCCTTCACCTGCACTCGGTGAGAGATACAACAGACAGCGGGCGCCCCTCTCAACCATCCAGTTGGAGAGAGCGCGGCCCAGTCCACCCAGCCCACCGCACAGGAGATACGCATTGTCGGGAGAAAAGCTAACCTGAGCGCGAGTATCTTTGGTGGGAAGCTCACTCAAATCATCCGGCATTCGGACCAGGATTTTGCCCATATGCTGACCTATCTGCATATACCGGAAGGCGTCGGCGACGTCGGCGGCCGCAAAGCAGGATACCGGCGATACAGCACCAACAAGTCCTTTTTTAACTGAATCGGAGCTGGCTGGGATCAGTAAAGTGCGCGATAGATGTGTGGCCAACGTACAACTCAGCCGAGCTATCCAGTGTTGCCTCGTCCATGTACTCTCCTAGGTCAACGGTGACAAACGACCTCCGACCGACAAAGTGCTTCATCGGGAGCATCGCGTCTGCAAGCACATCACGTCTACTAATGTCGAACATTGTTCCGCCAGGTGCGACGCACTTCCACGATGTCCGGAGCAATTCGCCGCTCAAGGAGCTGAGGACAATGTCTGCTCCGCGGCCGTCGGTCTCGCGCATGAGGTCGGCGTAGAATGATGAGTCGCGCGAATGGAAGATATGCGACCGTCTAATACCGAAGGTGTCGACCAAGTACTGTGCTTTCTCATCATTGCCGACCGTCGCATATATCTTCTGTCTGTTAGCATTGTGAGAAACATCGAGAGGCACGCCTTACCTTTGCGCCAACCCCTTTGCAAATTCTGATGGCCGCGATACCGACGCCTCCAGCCGCTGCGTGGATTAAAACAGACTGCAGCAGGATAAGTCAGAAGCGAACGCGAGTTGAGAATCTGGCAAGCCCACCTGTCCTCGGCGAAGATTCCCAAGCCTTAGGAGGCATACAGCTGCTGTTAGTGAGACGATTGGCGACGTTGCCCCTTCCTCCAACGACCACTCTGCAGGCAGTGGAATAACCTTTGCAGCGGGGACAGTAACATGTGTTGCGAAGCAGCCTGGGCCCAGGAAAATTACTCGATCTCCTTTGCGAAGCTTGGACACTCCAGGGCCGACCGAGTCGATGACTCCACTGCCTTCGAGACCGAGCTGCTCAGGAGATGCGATGAGGCCTAGGGCGGTAATAATGTCCTTGATACTGTTTAGCAGTTATTCTTCAGTGCGTGAGCTTCCGTGACTTGCCTTGAAGTTCAATCCAACATATGCCACCTTGATACGAACTTCATCCTTACCAGGGGCAGCCGGGTTGTCTTCCCTCCAGAACATCGAGTCTATAAGACCCGTGGATTCAATACCTAGCCGTCTTGGAACAATATCCTTCGCAGGTCTCTGAAGCTCGGTCTCCGTATCGGTAGCCTCATACCTACTGACGTGGACTACTCCATCGACGAGGGCATATTCGTCCCTCCTCGAGTCCTCCTCAGTCGAGCAATTCCGGCGCCAATGGTCGTGGACTTTCAGAAGATGAGAGACAGAATTCCCGTCAATGTCGTCAATGTCAAACATCGAGAGAAACTTGCCCTCGGAATGAGATTCGGCATGCAAGGCTCGCAAAAACCCGTGAATCAGGCCGTAGCGAGGATCGCCGGATGTGATTTGAGACATTCTGGTAACCCACAGGACATGCTTAACTAGAGGGCTAAGTAGGAAGTCCTTCAACTGCTGGAATGTGTCTTCCGTCACATTGAAAAGAAAAGGCTCTGTTGCGTCGAGAAGTGAGATTACGATCCCTTCAGCCTGTGGCGGGCGACCGAGAGAGCACATGTTGACCTGATACCCCTTGTCGGAGAAGTACCTTTCGACGTCCACTACCCATGGGCAATGCGGCTCCTGGACAAGCAAGTTGACTGTCTGATCTTCCGAGGGTGGCAATGGACAGGTCGATACTAGGTTAACCATCTGACTCTCCTCGTGGATGGCAAAGTCGATGCCGTCGAATCCCACTGCTGTCAGCTCCTGCCTCCAACGATCAACCGGCACGTAAGGTTTATCCACTCGCTGGTCGTTCTCCCCAACCCACCAGCCGGGCAGTAAACCCTGTCTAACATTAGCATGGTCCAACAGACCAAGGCGGATGGGTGACGAACGAATATGTACTCGGCTATCGCAAATTCTTCGAGGATACGTTAGATTATCCGACATATGCACGTATCAAGACAACTTACCTTCACCTATCTCCTGAAGGAACAAACGGCCACCAGGGGCGAGGAGGGATTTGAGGTTGGCCAGGGAGCGTTTGAGACTAGGTGTGGCGTGAACGACCTAAAAGAGAAGTGTGAGCCGCAAGCAAATAGAAGATCATGGCTGGAGACAGACGTTGGAAGCTATAATCAGATCGTAAGTTCCTAGCTTATACCCCTGCTGTGCGGGATCCTCGTTAATATTGAGCACAGCGTATTCCATGGCATCGAACTTGGAAAAGCGCTCCTTAGCTGCTGCCAGGAACCCGGCAGATACATCAGTGAATGTATACCTCGCATACATTCGACTCCCATCCGGTGCATGGAGATATTCTAGAAAGCGAGCCGTTGCGCCACCAGTGCCAGCCCCGACTTCAAGGATGTTGAGCTCAGGATTTGAGTGACCTAGAATGGCAAAGAACTGCTGACAAGAGTCGAAGGAGAGGACAAAATCATAGACCTGCTTCAAGCCATCGTCTTCCATCAGGAGGTGCAGCGCGTTACTAGTCCCGTCAAGCACGCCCACAATATTATCCAGAAGTCGTTGAATGCAGGCCAGCAAGGGCGCAATGACAGGGAACTGATCCGCCTGATCACGCAACCAGTTTGTCAATTCGAGAGAATTCGACGAGTCAAATGGACAGTCCGGTGCATACCCATAGTCAGACAAACGCCAAGTGCTCTGCTTCGCGATCCGGCTCTCGCTCATCATAAGCCATCGCTTGTACTTCAGCAGGTGCTCTTCTGTAGGCTCCACATCCTTCGCTCGTCTTGCAGATTCCAGTATGTAAAGATCGACAACTCGGTTTCGCAGCTCGCTGTCCTGGGTCATCGGAGGTGGTGGTTTCGCTAGGGCTTTGGGAGACAAGAAATCAATATGCGGCATCCAGGCCGGTCTGGTTGCGAGCTCGCTGTCTTGTTGCAACGATCCATCGTCCCCAAGGACGTGGAGTCTCATGCCTTTGATGGAGAGGACCGTTTCTTCATCCGCCGAGGCACCAAGGTCTCCAAGTACGAAGTTCCCGTTGCCTAGGTCTGCTTGGGCTTGGACACACAGTTCCTCTGCCTCCGGACCGATGAATATGTCCTCAAAAAGCACTGGAAGACTGCGAATGTTGATGTTTCGGGCGAGGCCATGGAACATGGCGACTGATATTACCTGGAGGCACCGATCGATTGTGGTCGGGTGCATCACATACCGACTGGGAGATACCTTGGTCGTCTTGACCGTCGCCGTGGCCTCGTGCCGGATTGGATCGCCGTAGACATCGTCTAACCCGCGGAACTCTCGGTTGTAATCCATTCCTACCTCTCTTAAGGCCTTGTACCAAGCGGTGGAAGCCACCCTCCTCTTGAGCTTGGTTTTCTCCTCTAGTGGCATGCTGGAAGAAGCTGATGGCGGCGCTATCCGGACTTGGCCCACGCAGAGCCGGATCGCCTCTCCAGCTTGAACTGCGGTAATAGAGAACTCGTGCCAGTCTGAATCCTGGATATCCGAAATCCGAACTGGGCGTAGGTTGGTGATGAGCTCTACGCACTCATTGGTATCGAGGAAGAGGGCGTATTTCAACAGGAGATGGCTGATCTGGTAACTGACATTTGGCTTCGAGGTGAGTTGCTGGATAGCCTCTCCAGCCATGGCAATGTATCCAGCACCGGGAAACAAAGTCTTGCCCATGATCCGGTGTCCGTACAGCCACGGAGCGTCGTCAAGCACGAGGTTGTTCCGCCATGATGGTTCGATGTCTGTGGCGCCCAGCACCCGCGAGCCCAGCAACTCATGGTGAGGGTATTTGCGGAGTCTCCAAGCCTCGACTGCCGGTGTTTGATCCCAGTGCCTAGTATCGTGCTGCCAGGGGTAAGGGGGTAGATCTACGAGGAGGCTGCCTTTGCCGTTAACCGCGCTAAGGTTGACCGGTACGCCTAAATTATAGAGGTTCCCTGCCGTGTAGAGTACCGATGTGGTCGGATCCTCTCCTCGTACTAGCGATGCGACATAGAAGCACGATTCGCCGCGCTGGTGCTCCGATAGGATCTGTCGCAGCGGTCCAGACAGGGCTGAGTGTGGTCCGATCTCCAAGAAGACGCGCCTTGTATCCTCTTCCTCCGACTCCAATATGGCGCGAGTTGCCGTTAAGAAGAGGACGGGCGACTCTAAGTTCTGACGCCAGTATCCTGCACCCAGCTCGGTAGGGTCGGTAATTTTCTTCCCTGTGACAGAAGAGAAGAAGGGCAGCATTGATAATTCGTCGTTTGCCGATAGTCCATGCAATGACACCTCGTAGTCCTCACCGGCATCCTGCATATGGGCGGAGTGGTATGCTTTATCGACGCGAAGTATCCGGCAGAGGGCATCGGGATCATCCGATTTGATATTGTCGACGATGCAATTGAGTTCGTCGAAATCGCCGGATAGTGTCACACTATGCTGGCTGTTTTCGCATGCGATGACAACACCGTCGACCAGGTAGGGGGTGACTTGCTCACGACCCAAACTCACAGCCGCCATTCCGCCTTTCCGAGTCACTTTGTTCAAGATCTTCCCTCTGTGGTAGGCAATAATTATCGAGTCTTCCGCCGTGATCGCCCCGGCAGCATAGGCAGCAGCTATCTCTCCGCTGGAATGGCCGATGACGGAAGCCGGCGCAATTCCCCATCTTGCAAGGAGGTTCACGAGGCCGATCTGAACAGCACAGCATAACGGCTGGGCAAGCTCGGCGCGGTTGAATTCATCTGGGGCGCTGTTCTTGGAAAGGAGATCCTTCAATCTCCAAGCGGGCGGCCGGTCCAGGTGTTCGAGAGCGCGGTCGAGCTGCTCAATGCTTCTTCGGAACCCCTCAAAAGTCTCAATCAGCGCTTTCCCCATCGCTGGCCACTGTGCGCCTTGTCCGGTAAAGACGAATGTAACTTCCGGGGTCGCTTTGCAGTCCGCAGTCCCGACATGGAAGGAGCCACTCTCGCGGGCCTCCGTCTCGAGAAGGAACGCCCGCTGTGCCAGATGCTCCCGTCGCTCCCCAAGGGTAAAGGCCAGATCTGCAAGATTGTTGGGGTTTTCTTTGACGTATATCTCGATGTCTGCTATTCGCCTCGCAAGCGACTTCTCACTATTGGCGGACACTACCAGCAGCCGCGGATGCGACAGACTAGTAGCGAGGCCATTGCGTGCATTATTCAAGCCAAGCGAGGATGCGGAATCAAGGATGACCTACGGGCGGGTTAGCAGGATCGCCAGTATGTGGAGGTGGAAACTAACATGCACGTTTGTGCCTCCAACACCGAAGTTGTTGACACTGATCCTCTCTTTACGATCTGCCGGCCAGGGCAGCTCCTCCTTGGGAACTGTGAGGTTTGCGCTTTCGAAGGGAACTGTGCAACCGGTCAGCGTCCCTTCTCCTTCGCTCGGGCAGGCATACTGTTGGGGTTCGGCTCGACCATGTGTATATGAGGCAGCACAGTCTTGTTTTCCAAAGACAGGACTGCTTTGATAAGACTGGTGAGCCCGGATGTCCCTTCGGAATGGCCAAAGTTTGGTTTCGTCTGACCTCGTCAGTTTCATCCCTTCCACGGTTTTCAATACTAACCGATCCAACATGGATTCCTTTAGGGAAGACCTTTGAAACTGCAGACATCTCCGCGGTATCGCCAGCCATTGTCCCCGTTCCATGACATTCGAAATAGGCGGTTTGGTCGGTGTCCTCAATTCCAGCCTTTTTGTATGCCTGTCTAATGAGCTCCTCCTGCGCCTCTGCCGAAGGGGTCGTCAATATCAAGGTGTGCCCGTCGTTATTAACTGTTGTTGCTCGAATGACTGCACGAACTGCATCACCATCCCGTATAGCCGCGTCTAGTGGTTTGACCAAGACGGCGTTCACAGCTTCTGCGCGTCCAAAGCCATCGGCTGAAGCGTCAAACGTCTTGCAGATTCCATCAGGAGACAAGACTCCGCTGGATGAGAGGCTCATGTGAAGCGTAGGGGTCAGGATGAGGTTCGCTCCGCCTACGATCGCCGACGAACACTCGCCAGAATACAGGGCCTGACAAGCTTCATGCAGCGCTACCATTGAGGCGGAGCAGGCAGTTTCGATCGACATGCTGGTTGCAGTCAGTACCATCCCTGCTGCATGAAACGTGAAACACCTACGTTGGGCCATGCAGGTCCAGGTTCCACGCGATGTAGCTGGACAAGAAGAAACTTCCTGCTGCAGCTCCGATCATTGGATTCCGCTGTTGACCATCCTTGAGCGTGAGCTCCGACCAATCGACCCCCCACGCTCCGATATAACAGCCCATCCTTTCCCCCCGGTATGTGGTCTTTCCAGCATTCTCCAGACACTCATAGACGACCTCCAGCAGAAGCCTCGCGCGAGGGTCGGATCCAGCGGCCTCCATGTCGGACGAACCAAAGAACGAGGCGTCCATCATGGAAATATCATCATCGAGGAAGTATGCCTTCTGCTGCCTCATCGAATACGCCACGTCTCCGTCGTTGTGGAAGCCGTCAATATTGAATCTGGACTCCGGTACTTCGCGCAGACCGTCTTTCTTTCCTCGCAAGAATTGGTACATGGAAGGAATGGAATTGACCCCACCAGGCAACCTTGCCGCCATGCCGATGATGGCAATGGGAGGAGGGCTTTCATGGTGGGTTCTCATGGCTACAGTTGTCTCAGCGATAGATGTGGGATGAGACAACGAATGGTGCGCGCTCTCAGCCTTCCTCTGTCCATCTGTATCCATCGGGTGTCGCGGAAAAGATAAGGATTTTGGCGGTTCTGCTGGCGAATCTCCAGCTGGAAATCATGTGGGAAAGGCACAAGTCACGCTTGTGACTCGGAACGTCGCTCGTTATATTCCTCGGGAGTTAATGCTGCGCGTCCGGATTCGCATGCCCGTCACAGTCGCACCGGGTGTGGGCATTTTGGCGGACAGAACGTGCTTCCAGCCTGCTTCATTGGACCCTGATCAAGGAAGATGTCGACATGCGTTACACTTTTGACCTCGTCAACTGCGCCAAACTCAATACTGGCTGCGTCAGCGCCATCTTGAAACTCTGTGTGGTTATCAATGGGACTGCACGACGTACGGTCGGATCCCTGCGCAACAATCCCGCGGTCCTTGTACGCCCCGGAAGGCTCAGCTTACTTTAAAGGACATCCGCCGTTGACCCCGCCACATGCATGGGCATGTTTGCCGAGGTACTGCGTTGTCCTCGAGACTTTGCTGACAATGGGCCTTATCAGCATTCCCGTCATTCAACCTCAAGGCTTCCAACTCCGTCTTCAGCGATAGTATGCCAGACGATATGGCAGACGATGACTATTTGCGTCGTTTTGAGGACGAAGTCGTTTTTCTCACCGGTGCCACCGGCAGCTTGGGCGGTTGTTTGCTGTACAAGCTGGCCCTGCGTCTGCCCACCAAGAAAATCTACGCCTTGTGCCGCGGATCCGTGAGCGATGCAGTTCGTAAATGGGAGTCTAGCATGCCGCAGCAGATCGACGATATCCTCGATACTGGAAAGGTCGAATTGATCACCGGCGATTTGTCCAAACCAGGCTTGGGACTCAATCCGGCCGTCCGCGAGAAACTGCGCAGTGAAGTCACGACAGTCATCAACACCGCTGCGAATATATCGCTTGTCGAGGAGCTCGAAAAGTCCGTCCGAGACAATTGCCAGACAGCAACTGCTCTTTTCGAAATGATCGCTGATTTTCCCCATGTCCGCTTGTTCATTCACTTCTCCAGCCTTGCTGTGAACGGTTTCCTGCCTGGAGGATCGATCGAAGAACGAATATATTCCCCTCCTGATTCTCCGGATGCAAATAAAGAAGCGTTAGGTCTTCCAGGCGCAGACTCCTCGAAACTGCAAAAGGACGATCGATACCTCTGGCCGTATGGGCAGGCCAAGCATCTAGCAGAACGGCTGCTCTTGCGTCAATCCTCATCGATCCCCGTACTTATTATTCGTCCGGCGGCCATTGGACCAGCAATCTCGGAGCCCTTTGCTCTATATGGTCCCGACAAAGCAATACCGATGCACACTCTGCTTCTATGCTTCAGCTTGACGGACCTCAGTCGGGTAGGGAATACCGACCGTCCTTTCGAAGAAGTTCCTGTCGATCTCGTGGCAAGCAGCTGTCTGCTTCACCTTGCTGCGAGAACAACAGGGGTCGTCCACTGCGCTTCGCAGCTGTATGTCCGTCGAACGGCGGCAGAGCTTATGGCCACCGCGAGGCAGTGCCTCTCAGCGCTGGAGATAACAGAGCTGTTCCGCAAACCGCGCCCTTCGACGGCCATCATGTGGCAGAGCAAGTATCACTTGGATAATATGGACGATGCGCCGGAGTTCCACGTTACGTGTGAGCGTTCAGAATATCAAAAACAAGTCACTGGTCCCCTCGCACTTGTCCCGGCGAACCATGATCCACATGCTCATATGGAGCGACGCATTCGAAGGATGTATCGGGCAATGCTAGATGGCAACCAGGAGTGATGCAATTCTGTCTCAACTCGCTTCTCGCGTCCGGCAGACATTTGTTTATACAGCGAATTCCATAGCTCTCGTTTCGCGTCCGTGCTGAGAATCGACGCGAATGATTAACTCAATTGGCAGTAGTTTGGATCACGCTGTGGTAGTAGCCGTAGCCAGCATGCTATTCCGTTGTTTGTATCACCAACTAGGTAGCAAGATGGCGTACAGCTGGGAGACCGACCGCTGTGGCACAGGGCCCGAGCAATGTAGCAGGTCGGACGTTTTTCTGATCCTTCGGAGAGAAACAAACCAGCTTTTGATGCTGGCAGATACCATTGTATCTCCCTGCCTCCCTCCTGATTCAGCTCTCCTTGCGCCAACGATCCATTGCCCGTCTCCAACTTGGCACAGAGCTTCTTTCCTTACCGAAAATAGTGACCGACCTCTTACCTGCCAAGTCATGCTTTGGGAATTGAGCTCAGGCTATTCTCCAGGCCTTCGAGAGAAATAGGTGTGGCATACACCTCTAGCGTCGCTCGGATCCCCTCGGGCAAAACAACCAAGCGTGTAAACGGGAGCAGGCATTCTCGCTAGAAATGAAGTATTGTAGACTGCGAGTGGCAGACCTCGTAGTGGAGATTGTTCAGCTTGTCTTGTGTCTTGTCGGAGAGATGAAAGATGAAAGCCAAGATGAACCGACGCGTTGCTGTCTGTCTGCACCGTCCACTAGGTAGGATATCGTCGCGGCAACAGTGAGTCGGTTGTTCGCTTGCTTTCTTGCTGGCGGGTATTTTCGCGCGTTGATTCTGCGAGTACCCACTTGTACCTATCGCGAAGGTCGGAGTTTGTGCCCGTGATGAGGCTTGTTGATGGGCTGAGAAGTTGTGTTTGGTGTCTTGCAAAATGGAAACCAGGAATTGTGCAATGATGGCAAAGGAGGTTGATTTTTGTATTATCAAATCAAATAAAAGACAGTCCTTCAGCAACAAGCATCATTGGTCTAGTGGTAGAATTCATCGTTGCCATCGATGAGGCCCGTGTTCGATTCACGGATGATGCATTGCATCTTCTATTTTTCTTATTTTTTTTTGCTTGCATTCAGCCGCCAACCAACCGTCAGTGCAGGATAGCGTTAGTATATCGTAGCCAGCCCACTGGTAGCTTCTTATTCAAAGGCATGGTAGACCATTGGACCAGTGTTTTTGTTACGGAGTATTCTCCAGCAAATTCTCCAAGGCATCACCCTGAGCGGAGCAAAATATATTTTCAACCCTCGGTAACAATCCAGCTCCGGTTTCAAAACACAATTCTGCCACAATAATCGCCTATCATTGCGTTTATACAAACAAAATTCAGTACCGTCTTAGATACCTAATACCTGACATACTTGATGGCGAAGAAAATCGGGAACTGCTTCTCTGTTTCAACCACCAGTTGGCTTTATCCGTGGTCCCGTCTGCCTAGGTACAGACATTCGCATCTTTTTGCCTTCGACAAGACTCTTTATCTTGAGGCTGAGGCCCAGCGGATTCCATATACCTATCACTTTGCTCAAAGCCTCGCCTGAGCCTGCCATATTTCAAAAGGCAGAGCCACCTGATTGCCATTAGCGCTTACCTTGTACATTAGCCTGCTATATAGATCGCTTCGGGTACCCGTGCACCTATCGTCGTATATATGTCAGCTGGAGGCCAGTAAATCCCCAAACGCAGGCCTTCTTTTCCTCCAAGTATCCATATTTCACACCCCATTCCAACATGTCCTCCTTCTCATCCACATGGTCCTCCATCGTCACCCGCTACCCCCCAGCAGCCATCGAAGTAACCGGCAGCGCCCTCCTCCAACTAACCATTCTCCTATCCTACTTCCTCAAATCCTTCTACTCACGACCAACCGCCAGAGCCGCACTCCTGCGCTGTCTCCCCCTAGCCATCACAAACATCTGCCTGGCAACCACATCCCACGCCAGCTTCCTCTACACCGTCTCCCGGATCCGCGGCGTCCCATTCACCCAGACATCCCTCAGCACGGTATCCAGCACAATGCCCACCTGGACGCAATTATTAAGTGGATTCGCACAGGGAGCCCTCTACTTCGATATCGTATTCTACGTCCTGCACTACGCTTTGCATACGGGCTTCCTCTACCGCCGCATCCATAGCGTGCATCACCGCTTCGTGGAGAGTGTGTCGCTGGCTGCGTACTACAGCCACCCCGTGGAATTCGTGCTGGTCAACTTTGGCAGCGCGGTGCTGCTTTCGGCGTGCATGCGCGCGCATGTCCTGAGTCAGTTTGCCATGGGTGCGTTGTCGCAGGTCATTGCGTTTCATATACATGAGCAGGGGGAGATACCCTGGCTGCTTGTTTCGCATGATGCGCATCATTTGAAGCCGTGGACGAATTTGGGTTCTGTTGGGCTGATGGATGGGTTGTTTGGGACGCTGGGGAGGTAGTGGTGGCTTCTGGTGGTTGGGTTGGAGTTGCTTGCATATACTCTGTAGGGGTTCGTGAATGAGATTTATGAGATTTATGAGATTTGGGTTTTTTACGGGGATGGAATATTCCTGCGTCTGGATTACATCGTAACTGTTTGATAGGGAAGACCACGGTTAGATTACACGCCTTACAAAGAGGTAGAGCTAAACACGCGAAAGTAGGAGAAAGATCAAGCATTGGCATTCTGTTTCCTTCTTGCGGTAGAAATTTATACAAACGGCCACAGCCTACTCCTCCCTCCAACTAACCCTCCCACTACGGAACTGGCTGATCAAACCAATCGGCAAGAGTCCAGGCTCAACAACATTAAACCCGCCAAACAAGTCCACAATCTCAGGCCCATAGAGCTGCGCAACCCACTTCCAGTACGGGGTCATGGAGCTCCAATTGCCCTTGATGCCAGACAAGCCGGACTGATCTTTCAGCTGGCCGAATCCCGCGGCGACGGCGCTAGTGGGGTCATGTTCAATGACCTGCTGGGATGGCCGGCGGAGGAGATTCCCGTAGACATGGAGCAGTTGGCCGCCGAAGTTGTAGTTGAGGAGTTCACGGTGGCGGGTATACTCTTCGAAGGACATGAAGGTGTCCACGTCGTCTGGCTTGAAGCCTTTATGCTGCGCGATGACGCGGTCTTTGTCCTTGGCTGCGTAGCGGCGTTTCAAGGTATCATACCAGTCCTTTTCGGCCTTGAAGAAACCGTCCATTATGGAGTCAGGGCTTTCCGTGACGGCGTCGCGGAGGCCGACGAGATTGATGAATGGGCTGGAGAGTTCCAGACCGCCGAGGTCGATGGGGAGGAAGAAGTATCCATCTGGGATAGAGGTGTTTCCGAAGCGGGACTGGATCGTCTCGCGCAGGAATGTGACTACGCTTTTGTCACCTTTGGCATTGGAGTTGGTCGGGCCGGACGAGAAGATCTCGCGCTGGATGCGCTCATGCGTTTGGAGCATCATGTCAACGTGTTCCTGGCCGAAGCAGTTGGCGGGCGTGCCGAAGTTGTAGGTGAAGAAGGTAGACGCGTAGGAATTCCATGCCTGAATCCAGCTGAAGATGCTCGCTTCTTTGTCTTTGAGTTGGTGTTTGAGCTCTGCTATGTGGGAGTCCACCGTCTCCTGGTCAATCTCAAAACGCCCTGATTTGGGGTTGAGATAGAGCATGCCCCATCGGATTTTACCTGTGGGCAGGGATTCAATCGTGCTAGCGGCACTGGTGCCGGAAGCGATATTTGCGCTGCCACTTTTTTCGGTGCTCAAGGTAAGACCCATTGCCTTGTTGAATTTCTGAACGACGTTCCACGCTGCAATGCTGGTCTCTTGGCCGCGAGACCAAAACCAGAGGTCATCGTTGACTCTCCACAACGACTCGCCGTTCGTTTCCTTATTAATCAGGAAATCGAGACAGAACAGGGTTGTCTCTCCGAAGACCTCACTCAAAATATGAGCGCCAGGCGTACCGCGACGACGCAGACGGGGTTCAGCGTTAGGCTCATCAGCAAACTTCAACGGGGCAGCCAAAAACCGCTCAAAAAAGTTGAGCCACTTTTCAGAGACGCCAAAGAAGCCGAGGACCGCAAGAATGGTTGGATGAGACAGGCTTGAATACAGTGATTCGTACTGGGTACGGAAGCATGTGATCTCGCCATATAGCCGTTTATTGATCGTAATATCTGCGCTGAGCAGAAGTAGAAGGTTTTGCTTCGCCTGCATCTGGTTCGTTGGTCGCATAATACTGTCCGGAAACGGTGCCAAGTAGGACTGGTCGGGGTCATAGTCATCATTGGGCATGTCGTCGTCGAATAAACCGAAGCCCATGTCCTCGTCGCTCTCGTCTGCCTCCTCATCATCGGAAGGGCAGCTCATGAACCTGGCGGCGGCAGGCGCTGGTGGAGCCATCTTCTTATGACGAACGCTGGAGGAGGCGACCCTGACCTGGGCCTCTTGTTCCCCCTCTTCCTCCTTTCTCACTTGCGTCACACCACTCATAAGCTGGGAAACAAAGTACGCACTCCGATGGATGGATTCTCTAACGATCTGCAAATTTGGGTTATCATCGCGCTGGTCGAGGAAGAACGCCCGCCGTTTCTTGTCGATAGCTGGGACAATTGACCGTGGAGAAGTCCACACGTTTTTCGTCCTGCGGAAGTCCCCGAAGATTTCTTTGAAGAATACAGACCACTTGACACCCAAGTACTGTAGAAAGATTGCCTGGATAAGGTCCTCGTGCATATGAACCTGGTACGAGCCGTTTACCTGCCTTCGCTGTTCGACGGTGACCTCCGGGCCCCATGACCAGGAGTGCAGTGCGGCGAGGCGCATGTTCAGAACATCGGCCAACTCGGCCAAGACAGTGCGGTCTTTCAAGAAGTCTCGCAGGACGGCGCGTTGCTTTTCGGTTGGAAGGTCTGAACTGATAAGGCCAGATATCACCCAGTCTAGAGTAGGGACGTCAAACTGAGACGAACTGGTTAGTCGAGTCTCAAAATTGGTGACCTTCTCGCGTAGTCTGTCTAGCGCTTTGACAACGGCTTTCGCGTTGTCGGCCGTTGTTTCTTCAGACAAGGTAGACGGATTGGCCGGGCTCGTGAAGAGATCGCTGAGAAAAGTCTTGACGGTGTCGGCCTCAATATCGACCGGGGTGAACACGAAGTCTTCCCACTGCTTTCTCGACTCTATCTTCTCAGAGCTCGCCACCTTTTCGAACCCTTCTGATTTGGACGCGTCCGACTTGGGATTTCTCTTGACTGACAACCACTCCATGGTGAGCTGGGCAAACAGCGTCGCGTACTCGTATTTCAGAGTCTGGACGTCGAGCACTCTCAGCAAAGAGCGGCGCCATCGCTCCAGGGTATCCTGCGAAATAGACGGATCGTATTGAGCTTGCTTTAGAAAGCGGTCTAGGCTCGAGAGCTCCGTGATCAGACGGCGGTCGCTATGTATGGGGTCCGCCACACGGCCGTCGTCTTTGACACGAACGTCGAAGCAGGTCTTAACTCCGTTGGATAGAACCCGAAGCTTCTCGGCTGGAGTGTCTTGAGCCTCCGCCTCTGCCAACGCATCGGCTTTGCGCTTCAAAAAGATCTGGCGCTTGTTGGAGAGCTCATCGAGTTTCGCATCTGTAATGTGCTGCAAAGTCTGCGAGTACTCTGTGTTCGAGGACATGGTCGGCTTGCGGGTCTTCGTATCGAATGGTGAAACACAGTGCGGTCGCGTCTGGTGAAATAGATGGCAGAGAACACAAGGACTGGGGCCAGCTATGGGAAGACCAGAGTTTAAATACCCTGTAGGTAGGAAAGTAGGCTCCGATATTGCTGCCTTGTAGATGGAGGAAGGCGCGATGCTGAGATGAAGCCGCGATCCGATTGGCTGCAGCGATGACTCAATGCGCACGATGGAGTCATAGACTCATAGTACAAACAAGATGCGCCGCTAGCAAGGGAACTAATCCTGCTCCGATAGGCAATGAGCTTCGTTTAGATTTGCGTTGATTTTCATTAGCACGTCAGTGGAGGAACTGAGTCAGTGATTGCGAATTGGCCAGGTTCTGGGTTACATCATGAACGGTCGTGTTTCGTTGTTCAACACCCAGCTGATTGGTTCAATGTTGCCCGGATAGTTGAGGAAAGAGTCGGTCATCTAAGACTGTTAGCATTGCGTTGTCGAGTAGAATGCGATAACCTACGATGAACTCCCAGTCACCCATGAACGGCGCCGTATTCGCAGACATCTGGTCCAGGGTCTCGGTACTACCACCAACCTGTCCCTGACCGGCTTTCTCCTCCATGAAAGCGAGACAGCGGTCTTCCGCTGCCTCTGCGGCTTGCAGAAGATACTCTGGGAGCCTACTCGCCTCGACGCCCTTCATGAGCCCCTCGATCTGGGCCGTTACGAGGCACGCCAGTAAGTAACCTTTGACATTAGTCTCGCCACATTCGATCATATTCCAAGAACGCTCTCTTGCATCGCACAGCAGGGAGAATAAATCGACACGGTACGGACTGGGTCCGAGGCTATCTTCGTCCTGAAGCTGGGTCTTGAGCTCCAGCGAGACAAACATGGTCGCGACCATCGAACCAGTGCGGAAGAAACCAAACCCGCATTCCACAAAGCGAGTTATATTACCTTTGTCCAATGCATCCTCGCCTCGAGCGGAGTTGATGATTGTTGAGGACGGGTAGATGGCGTACCACATCTTGAGAGCGCTCTCGATGGTGACCTTCCGGGAAAATGCGTACGCCGCTTCGCCTAGGGATTTTTCGAATAATGGCATATGCAGGCAGCACACGTAGTAGTGGATCATGAAGTCGAGAACACATGTCTCAAACTTCGAAGGAGATGGACCGCGGCTGGAATAGCCCCGGAGTGTCCTACAAACCGCTCTGTAGGATTCTCTCAGCTCTGCATCTAGCCGGAGAGTCCCTTCGTACGTGCCATATGAACCGAGGTCATTGAGGAACTTTGCGATAGCAAGGCGCTGTGGGTAGGTTCTTCTTAAGGCTCTGGCAATTGATGTCTGGGTATACTCATCGTCGGCCTTCGGTACCGGATCCTCGGTCATGAGTTGTTCGTCATCAAAATTTCCCGGGGCCGCGCAGTCGAAATCGTTAAGGGACAACAAAGGCGCTCCACCGGAGGAAATGCTCGACTGCAAGCATAGCTCTAGAATTGTGTTCCATAGTCTCCGCCGCATCTCAGCTGCAAGCGTCGACCTGGGTGGCAGAGCCGAGGGATCTCTATGAAGCCCCATGTGCAAGGCAGTCCGGAGAAGTGCGCCGGCAGATATCCAGGTCGAGTCGCCACCAACATTGATTATCTCTCGGGCCAGTGTCAGAAGTACCCTGCTCTGAAGAGCCTGCATGTTAAGTTGAGGTTTGAAGTCAGGGTCGGAGAGCCAGGTGTGTGCTTCATACACCCAGCGAACCGCGGACGGCCTCATGGAGAATCGTTCATCATACGTGATGGCTCCTAATGCGAGGACTAGTTTGAGCTGGACTGTGAATGCGGTGCTAGGTTGTGCATCGGACACCCACAGCGCGTCGTATTCGGTCTTGAACGTGGGCACGTGCAGGACTCGGAACGTCGTCTCGATGGTACGAAGGTAACAGTCAACCAGTTCGTCGGCAACGCCTTTCGGAGGCAGGTCTGAGGTTGGCGGCGTAGGCCATTGAGGCGTTCGTTGTGCTTTGATGGTCCTTGCCAGTTCTTTGCACCTTTTGATGCCAAAACCAACTTTAGAGGCCTTCCCCCGGATGAACGGCTCGATCATCTCAAAAACATCTCGAAACTGCGCCGGTTAGAAATGAAGATAAAGTACTCGCAGGAAGACTCGCCATTGATGCCCCCTGCGCCCAGTGACTCGAGCCAAAAAGGCGGCTTTTGTGTATCACCACGTTGCGACTGACGAATTGCGAATCATGGCCCATGCGGCTCTCGTGGTTGATGTGGAACGTCCCTGCTATCTCGGACGTGCTGGTTTCCATCCTGGAGCTCTGAGAGGGCGGCGGTGGTGGTCTCGTAGGCTCCGCGACCTTGGCCAATTGTTCTTCCAGCTGCCTAATCCTCGTCTTCATCGACTCCACCTCCGAAACCGAAGCGTGGCTTGCCTGGGACGACGAGCCTTTCGTGCTGGAGGGGATTGATCTTGACGCATAGCTTGGAAGGGACGCGACTGCGTCTGGAGGCAGCATTTGGCGATCGTTTGTGGCTTTGCAGAGATCCAGCTCGGCCGTCCGGCTAAATCCGAGATGCTGCTGCGGTCGGGGAAGAGCCTCGGCGTCGTAAACGCATGGTTCGGCTTTGGACTTGATGCAGTTGCTGCATGGACTTTCGCGATTGCATCTGATCTTACGTCTCCGACAGAGAGAGCATGATCTGTCCAGATTAGTGCTGTCCACGAAGCGTGCAACGGGCATACACTGCTGGCCGTCTTCGCCGTCGCTCGGGTCCCGGAGCGGCGATCATTTCGCTTGCGTTGTGGCCCAACTGCAATCGCAAAGCAAGAATCAATTGATCGATTGGCAGTCCCGGTGTCGATAATAGTCGACAGAGCAAATTTGGAGAAGAAAAAGAAGGAAGAAGATGACGGTCGTTTGTTGTGGAGAGAAGCTGCGTCTCTGGTCCGAATGGCCCGCCTTATCCCGCTCCGAGTCCGGTTTCCCCGAGTCCGAGCTTAACCCCGAATACCCCGAGGATACCCAATGACCATATAAGGATTCACTACATCGCCCATGATTCAGATTCAGTGCAGAACAATTAAATCTTTCCTCTACAGATATCTCTATCTGGCCCAGACTCTAGACACAATGTCGATCCCGAAAGAAGCAATCCACGACCCGGAAGCGTCATCTACCACCAAAATCCACCAAAACACAAGCAACGAGAAGGCACCAGACACCATCGAGGACAACTTCGGCCCTGCCCCAGATGGCGGACTCAAAGCATGGCTAGTTGCTGTCGGCGCATCATGCACCATATTCTCCACGCTCGGCTTTGCAAACTCCTTCGGCGTTCTCCAAGAATACTATGCCGTCCACCAGCTATCCCACGAGTCCACCGACAGCATCGCCTGGATCGGATCCTTGTCTGCCTTCCTTCAATTCGCAACCGGTGCATTTGCAGGCCCGCTGTTTGATCGCTACGGTGCATGGGTAGGTTTCCTGTTACATCATACATCTCTCTTTCCAAGCTTGTACTAACAGCTTCAGGTAATCCGTCCACCGGCCATTATTTACGTTTTCGCCTTGATGATGACAAGCCTCTGCACCAAGTACTGGCAGTTCATGCTTGCGCAGGGCGTCCTCGTCGGAATCTCAACGGGGATGCTGCAATTCCCAGCCATGGCCGCGGTCTCGCAGTACTTTGACAAGAAACGCGGTGCAGCATTGGGGCTCACCATCGCCGGGTCCTCGATTGGCGGCGTCGTCTTCCCAATTGCTCTGTCCAAGATGCTCAACTCATCCTCGCTGGGCTTCGGCTGGTCCATTCGCATCATTGCGTTCGTCATGCTCGTCCCAATGGCTATCTCCTGCCTTACCGTAACCGCGCGCCTCCCACCACGCACAACGGCCTTCTTCATCCCGGGTGCCTTGAAATCACCCCTTTTTGTCATCCTGATTATAGCAATGTTTTTTCAGCTTCTAGGCATGTTCAGCCCGATCTTCTTCATCCCGACGTACGCCGTCTCCCGGGGTATGGATGCAACGCTCGCCTCGTATCTCGCCGCCATCCTCAACGGCGCGTCGACATTCGGGCGCATCATCCCGGGCATCCTCGCAGACAAATTCGGTCGCCTCAACGCATTTGGAGTTGGTGGAATTGCGACCGGCGTCATTATCTGCTGCATGAATCAGGCAGAATCCAACGCCTCGCTCATTGTCTTCTCTGCCGTTTTCGGCTTCTGGTCCGGCACCGTCATCTCGGGTGGTAGTGCTGCGTTGACGACCGTGCCGAAGAACCCTCAGGAGCTGGGGACGTACCTTGGCATGGGCATTGCGCTTTGCGGGTGCGCCGTCTTGATCGGACCGCCGGTTAGTGGTGTGCTTGTTGACCATTATGGAGGGTTCTCTGAGCTGTCTATCTTCAGTGGGGTGATGTGTCTGGCAGGAGGGATTATTGCGTTGTTGAGCAAGACTGTTACGGAGCAGGGGCTATTTGGACGGATTTAACTGTGCTTTCTATGTTGATGTACTTGAGTAACAACTTCTCTACTCTGTCTACACTGATTGATAGATTCCTTACGGCCTCGTCTATGAAAAGTCGTTCTGCAACTCTAGCTAAAGATACCAAATGTGCGTCCAGCGCAATACAAGCCAATTGAAGCCGATCCTCCTATTCTCGCATGCGATTTCCACTCCTAACCACATCATCCATCTCAAACAACCCACAACGCCATCTCCAGCTATATACGCAAACATCCAAAGCTAACGAAATCTACCCCCTCCAAACCTTCGGCCCAGGCGGCGTATAATTCGTCGGCACCGGCCAGTAAATGTTAATCAGGATCCCAGGATCCGTCGGGTCATAAGCGCCAGGGAACGCAACCAGCGGCGCAGGATCCCCGTTCCCACCACCAGTGACGCTGACCTGCCCGCAAGAAAGATAGAACTGCGCACCGCCCTCCGTACCCGCCCCATGCAGCGCAATGTGCTCCACGCGCAGGAGGTAGTCGCCGTCGGGCAGGGACGCCGGGATCGTGAAGTTCACGGTTGTTGCGCCTACACGCCTCAATCAGCCTCCGACTGTTCTTCTTGAGTACTGGAAGGGAGAGTATGTGCTCACCGTTACTCGGCCATGTAAGTCCATTGTCGCCCACCGTCGGGAAGTCCTCGTAAATCTTAAACCAGACCTGGCCTTCACCCTCAAAGTCGCTAGCGTCGCCGGGCGCCTTGGCCATGTATGCGAGGAGCGGCCCAGGGTGGCCGATGCCGCTGCGCACCGTGAAGCCGATGTCTGAGCCCGCTGTGACGGGGAGGGTGTCGGTGTCGTTGCCCGCGGTACTGGCGTCCTTGTTGCAGCGGATGTCGAGGCTGCTTACGTCTTCGACGGGGCCGTTGCCGTAGGAGCCGGTCCAGTCGCGGACGTACTTCCAGTCGCCGGTTGGGGCGTTGTCTTGGATGAGGGCAGGGAAGACGTCTGGGGGGGTTAGGGGCTGTATTATGGGATAGGAATGAGGCACTTACAGTGGGCTGAGGCGGTTAGGGCCATCGAGGCCGTGGCGAGGAAAAGACCGGCTTTCATGGTGAAGATGAGAGCACTTTCCAGAAGCGCTTGAGAAGTAGAAATGAAGAGAAGAAAAGAATGTATGAGTATAGGAGAAGAATGCTTTGGATTCGAGGGTACTGGGGAAAATGTAGCGGATACTTATAGCCTCGCCGGAGAGAATCCCACCCTTTCTAAGCGCCGGGTCAAAGCCTAGCTGGAGCCAGATGGTTCATGTAGATTGGCGCCGATCGCTGTACCTGAATGCCGACAGCCAATGCATTCTGTCCAAGCAGCCGGGAGCAATGGCCCGTCTCCTATATCCGTGGTTCAATCTATCCGGAACTTTGTAGATGTTACATAGCGCCCGGATGGTCTAGTGGTAAGTTTTGTTAAATATCTTAGTCTAAAGTCCTGCACTCACTAGAAACAGGTATGATTCTCGCTTTGGGTCCACCCTCCTAGGGATTGCACCATTCGAGTCTACATTGCCCTGCTTGGTAGACCTACGGGTTGAATGCGAAGCCGTAACTGGATCTGGTAAACCCACCAGAACCCTCAAATGTGGAAACGAACCCAACCGTCGCGACATGTCCGAGTGCCTCCATGAAAGCGACTGGTTATCCAATCTCGCCTTTGAAATCGATAGGCTGGACTCTGACTCCCTGAAAAGTGAACTTACTCCTGGCGGCTACGGCAACGCTCCAATGCCGATCAAACAGGGTCCGCGCCAGATACATTGCAAGCCCACAATGCCAAGTGTCTGGCTCTTTAACTGCGGCCTGCCAATAATGAGCTTTATCTTGGCATGATGATGGAATCCGAATTCGATCTAATTCGTTATGTTGGAGTTTATGAATGGGCGCTGTGGCGGACAGCCCACTCGGCCCACCAGCAACGACCAGCTGCCGGAAAATCAACAGTACTGGATCTGGCCTAGCTAGGGTAGTAAATAAGAACGCCGTCTATTTTGACCTTGCCGATGTTCGTTTGCGGGGTAAGCCTGGAGTACCACCCTCCGCATCGAATCTGTTCTAGCGCAATCGGCCTCTACGACAACCATGCCATACCTGAATGGATCTTCGCGATTGCAACGTCTGCCCTCTTTGAACCTATTGGCTAACGTAATTGAAAACAGGTTCTGCGTCTGCCGTGATTATATCCGGTACTGTCGGAAGTATGAAAGTTTGTGCACTTTCAGTAACATCGCTATGACTACCAACCGGCAAGCTCGTATGATTGATCTCCGCAACAGCAATGCGGGGATTGCTTCATACAGTGCGGCCAAGGCGGGCGTCTCTCCGGGGTTCATAGTGCATTGGGACTAGAACGCCTTGATTTCCCGGGATACTGGATATAAGGTACCTCGAAGCTGCTCTTTTCATGATGGGACGGTCAGAGCACTCGTCGCACCCGCTATCCGACATGCGATTCTCCAGCTTTTTATCAATTGCCTTCCTGACAGGCAGCGCAATTGCCAGAAGAGGCTTCGTCACAACAAAAGGAAACAAGTTCCAGCTCGATGGGAGGGACTTCTACTTCGCCGGCAGCAATGCATACTACTTCCCTTTCAATAATGTATCTCCCTCCCACACACCTTCTCACCTTCTCACTCCCATTCAGTCGACCACCTAACAAACCTTCTCCACAGAACCAAACAGACGTCGAACTCGGCCTCTCCGCCGCAAAAGCCGCAGGCCTAAACGTCTTCCGCACCTGGGGCTTCAACGACAAGAACGTGACCTCCATCGACGGCGGGCTCCCCGACTACGGCGGCGAAGGCGCCGGCGCAACCGAGATCGTCTTCCAGTGGTGGGAGGACGGCAAGTCAACGATCGACCTCGAGCCATTCGATAAGGTCGTTAATGCGGCGGCGAAGACGGGGATCAAGCTTATTGTCGCGCTGACGAATAACTGGGCCGATTATGGCGGGATGGATGTTTATACGGTGAATCTGGGGGGGAGGTATCATGATGATGTATGTCAACGTCTTTTCTGGTAACTGAAGGAGAGGGTGTGCTGATGTTGTGAGAACAGTTCTACCGCCTCCCGAGGATCAAGAAGGCGTTCAAGCGCTACGTCAAGGAGATGGTCACCCGCTACCGCGACTCCCCCGTCATCATGGCCTGGGAACTCGCCAACGAGCCACGCTGCGGTGCAGACGGGGTGCGGAATCTGCCGCGGAGCGAAGACGGGTGTAATCCCGAGCTGCTAACATCGTGGATCGACGAAATGAGCACGTTCATCAAACGCCTTGATCCGCATCATCTGGTGACGTGGGGCGGGGAGGGCGGGTTCAACTACGACTCTGATGACTGGGCGTATAACGGGTCGGACGGGGGTGATTTTGAGGAGGAGCTGAAGCTGAAACATATTGATTTCGGGGTCTTTCATTCTTACCCGGATTGGTGGAGTAAGACTGTGCCTTGGACGGATCAGTGGATAAGGGACCATGCGAGGGCTGCGAGGAGGGTTGGGAAGCCGGTTGTGCATGAGGAATATGGTGCGTCCCTCTTTGTCTACCCCGTGCTCGTGCATACACCCTGTCCTGGATACTGATGTGGTGTGATGTAGGCTGGCTCACCCCCCAAGGCCGCCTGGATAATCTCGGGACGGTATCGAATATTACGCGCCTGGAAGCCGTCGGTGGCTGGCAGAAGATTAGCCTGAAGGAGAAGATGCCTGATATGTTTTGGCAGTATGGGTTCTCGGGGTATTCGTACGGGCGGAACCATGATGACGGGTTTACGATCTATCTGGATGAGTATGCTCCCTCCACGTTAGCTTCTCTGGCAGGAAGCTCATTGCTAACGTGTTGCTGCAGCGCTGAAGCAAAGGAGCTGGTTTACAAGCATGCGAAAGAGGTGAACAAGTTGAATCGGCGACAATAGAGCCTGGATGACATAGCATCCATAGCATAGCATTCAGATGTTAGGGCTGGCCGCGTTAACCCTATCCCTCACCCACCTCACCTCCTCCGCAATAACATCCGGACGTACAAGATGCACATTATGCCCGCAGTCTTCCAGTCTAACGAAACGCGTATTCGCCGACAGCCACAGCTGCTCCCCCTGTAACATCCCATCAATCCCATCCCACCGATCCAACAGCTCCCTAAACGCCCTCCTCTGCCCCTCCGTGCCATTCCCCGCAGCAACACCCTTCTCATAGATAGCCTCGTAGTCGCTGGCCGTGTTCGCCCGGATAACACTCAACGGCCGATTCCCCAACGCCTGCTTCTCAAATTGCTGTTTGCACTTCAGCGTCTCGCACACCTCGTGGAAACTGCCCGCTTCAACGGCTGCACCGTCCAAGCTCGCGATGATCTCCTTCGCGCGAACCCTCCATTCGTCAGCACTCAGTACCGTCTGGCTTCGTAACCCGGTAGCACGCGCGTAACTCAGAGTGCCCATCACAGCGCCGATGTTCTCATCCGGGACCTTGAAGAACTCGCTCGCGCGCTCGGTCGACGCGTCGACGAGCACCATGCCGACCACGCGCTCGGGGTGAAGATGCAGGAATTCCCGCGCTACGATCGCGCCGTAGGAGTGCGCGAGTAGGATCAGGGGTGTATTGATTCGGGCGTGTTCTAGGAGTGTACTGAGATCCCTTGCGGCGGTAACTGCCTGGCCCTGATACTGTGCAGTTGAGTCCGCTTTTACCGGGGAGGTCGTGCTGCGTCCGAGGCCGGAGCGGTTGTAGAGGAGGGTCCGTGTGAAGGGGCGCAGGAGACGCTCGACGGCGATGTAGGACGATGCGACGTCGCCGGCGCCGGGGAATATCATGACGAGGGGGTCGAACGGGTCAAGGGAGGGACCGGTGACCGTGTAGGAGAGGCTGTGTGTGCCGATTGAGACCACGGTAGCTGAGGTTGGAGTTGGACCTTGTGGTAGGGCGGTTGTTAACTCGGAGTCCATTGTAGCTCTTAGAGGTAGGGATCCTTCAGGCATATTCTTGTTTTTATATTCAGCCAGGCAGTTAAGAAGGCAATGGATCTCATCCAACGGGCGGGGTTCCTGTATTGCACTGGAGCTGAACAACGGGCTCTGTTCAAGCGGAGACTGATTGGTGAATGCAGCCTTGTGCTTTTGTTGCTGATGGCTTGGCTGTTTGGATTAGCCCAGGCCATGTTTCCCTATCCAATATCAGCGTATTGTTCCTAGTCTTGTTTTGTAGTTTGCAAGCATGTATGTCCGAGTGTTGTTTGTGCTACAGTTGAACCCGGGTTTGCAGCTGACCTTGATCCATTGTAGACAGAGCACAAGACTGGCAATGACATAAACTTATCATATTTAGGCTAAAAACAATACATCCGCTCCGCTCCAACTAAGCCATTGCCCCATTCACATAAAGAACCTGCCCTAAAACCCAACTACTATCCCTACTGCACAAGAAAAACAGCGCATTGGCAATCTCCTCCGGCTCGCCGATGCGGTTGAACGGGCTGAACCCCTCCACCATCTTGATCATTTGCTTGGACTTGCCGTTTAGGAAGAGCCCTGTTGTTGTTGGGCCCGGCGCGATGTAGTTAACCAGGATCCCGTTGCGCGCGAGGTCCTTGGCTATCACGCGCGTTATTTGTTTAACGGCTGCTTTGGCGGAGGCGTAGAGGAGGTATGTTGGGGCGATGCTTGAGAGGATTGTTACGCCTGTTGAGACGAGGATGATGCGCCCGCCGGGGGGGATGTGCTTTGCTGCTTTTTGTTGCGATGTTAATTAGCTCTTACTGGACTTGGTAAGAGTAACGTGCCTGTGCAAGAAAGTACGGCCCCTTGACCATTAGGTTGTAGGTAAAGTTAAAGTCCTTCTTGGTGGTGTGTTCGAGATCGCGCATGGGCAGGATGCCGGCGTTGGGGATAAGGATGTTGATTTTGCCGAACTTGGCGACGGTTGCTTTGACCAGGCGATTGATTTTTGGGAGTTTAGAGGCGTTGGCTTGCACGGCGAGGGCGCGGTTATTGCCGATTTTGTTAACTAGCTCGTTGGCGGAGAAGGCGTCGGTGTTGTAGTTAAGGACCAGGCTGGCGCCTTCGCTGGCCAGGCGCTTGGCGGTCGCTTTGCCGATGCTTTTGAAGGCGCCGGTGATAAGGACGACTTTTCCGGAGAGCGACATGATGATCTGATCTATAGACGTGGTGTTGAGGAAGAAGGGAGGGGAAAGTGTTATAAGCTGGACTTATGCCCGGTCTCCGCTTGGTTTACGCCCACCACCCGGACTTTCTTTGCTTCCTTTAACAAAAGAAAAGAATGTTAGCTTGCTGATGCGGGCTGCAGACGCCCTGCATGAGAGTCTCTGGATTAATGCCCCTTAGCTTGTCTCCCCTCCCACCGGTACCGGTATACCGACGACCACTCTTATCTCCGAGCGGCCACTCGTGACTTGAGTCGGTAACACCCGCGACATCTCTGCTCTATTTCCTCACTGAAGTCGGACTTTTATAGCTGGCGGTACTTGCCAGAGGAGTGTTATGAGCTCCATCCCATCCACCTGCCCCTCGCGTCCCTCTGCAGCGCCTGCAGCGCCTGCAGCGCCTGCAGCGCCTGCAGCGCCATGACGGCGACGGCGACCGCGAAAACAAACACACCGCCACTCGGAAGGAATCAGATTCAAAAGGCTTGAGACGCGTTGGAATTCTCCAATAAAAATGACTCCCGCAGTTTGTGAATATACCGCAGCTGGGACACCATGCGTTGATCGTCGCTGGTTGTCGACTTGCGCCCTCGGTCTTCAGCGTTGCGACGGCCCGGGGGCAATTGGGACGGAACAGATTTGAGCAAGAAGGCAGACCACGATGAGAACGGCGCTGTACGCTATTGTGGGTGAATTCTGTGGTTGATTAATGAGATCCTTTACCGTGTCCGAGCTATGCGGGTAAAAGCAACCGTTGGTGGCTGGGTATACCTGACAATGCTCGTGATTTCCATACTTGCAGCGAGTTGGAATCGTCCAAGATATCGAGACGCCCACCCTCTGTTGCTTTACCTTACTGGGAACGTTGGTAAGGTTACTGATGGCGGACGGCCTAAACCATCAGATCATGGCTGCGACAGCCGGAACGTTCGAGATCATCGTCCTCTGGGGACCTACGCACCTGCTCTGATCTGGCCTTATTGGCACATTTTGCCGTGGTACATCTTCCATCGATCAAAGTTGGTGAAGAGAGCTGACAAGGGATAGATCTACGGCACAGCGGGCTTCACTAAGTACCATCGCTTGCGGCACCCATGTACCATCCTCACGAGTCTTGTCTGCCTACCAACTGGCGAACGCACGGGACGCTATGGCAGCTTTTTCGCACTGGAGCTTGACTTCTTTGGTACGGATGGCGTTCATCCCCAGGGCATCGTTTATCTTCTACCGGGTACATCTACCCATGGCAAGATCATTGCCTGCTGACCAGGTACTCACGTCTTTGCTACGCCCAGTATAGGCTTGTCATTCGATCATATTTGCTATATACCCACTCAACCACCTCCATAATCCACAGTCTCAGTAACGAGAACCTACAAACAATGATCCGGATTCCCATCCGGATTCCCCCACCACCTCGGAAACGGCCGTTCAATCCCACTAGCCCCCAGCACCGCAAACGACAGAACGAAGATAACAACCTGCGAGCCCCCGTCCAGCGCCGCCCCAATCAGGTAGTTGTACTCGTTATACACCCGCGGCAGCCTCCTGCGCAGCCAGAACTGGCTGAACACCCCGACGGCGATACTGCTCCAGATCCACGACGTGCTGCCGTAGTACGTGTTTCCGGCGTACGCGAGGACGATGGCTGTGTTCAGTGGCCAGTTGCGGATTCGGGGGAAGGTTTTGATCATTGTCCAGTGCAGGACCGGGAATGCGAGCCCGATGACCAGGCCCAGCGGGACGACCAGGTACCGCCCCGACCGGCCGTAGACTTCTTTTGCGAGCGACCAGGTGATGGCCTGGCTGTTGAGGCTTTGCACCGTTGAGCCGCTCCACACGTTGTTTCCGATCGGGTCTTGCAGGATCTCGCGCTGGTTGGACACGATCGTGATCATGACAATGTAGTTGAGAGCTGCGCCGAGGAGGGTCCCGTATACTTGCGTGCCGAACATGACGCGGTGCGGGACTTTCGTGTACTGCCCGACTTTCAGCCAGTTTGCGAGGTTGACGGACAGCAGGATGACCTGGTGCGACCAGCTGGCGAAGTATAATCCGGCGAGAGGCCGGCCGGGGTGCAGAGCGCCCGCCACCATCTTGGAGAGCTGGTTCGTCGACACGCCTGTGCCGTAGAGGCCGTACAGAACGCAGGAGAAGGGCGCGATGAAGGCGCCGAGGATCAAGGCGACGATGTACCCCCATGCTGGCAGCGTTGTCTGTCCCTTAATCGTGACGATCAGGCCCGCGAAGAACGCCAGCACAAACGACGCGTAGTACCACCACATCGGGACCTCCTTGTACTTGAGCATGCCCTGATAATGCGGGTCCGGCTGCGTCCGACTGCGCGCTTGCTTCCAGGCCGTCGCCATGTCCTTCCAGTAGAAGATGAAGACGTGCGTGATCAGCGCGCCGAGCGCGAGGTTCTGCGTCAAGTATCCCCAGACTGTACTGGACGTTAGACTCGGGAGTCCGACTTGCTGAAGCTTATCGTAGTCGATTGTCCCCTTGGCACTGGTAATCGAGTCCGGCGAGAAGGACGTCCCGTTGCTGTGGAAAAGCGCCGACGACATGAAGGGAAAGGTCTGCGCGTCCCAGGCGTTGCCGTAGTAGAGCGCCGCCATGACGACGTAGAAGATGCCGTATCCGATCCAGGTGTTGACCTGCTGCTTGAATGGGAGGCAGAGGTACGTGCTCTGGATGTACTGCCAGTCGAGCGAGAAGTTGAATAGCCCTAGGCCCTCGTTTGAGGACGCGCCTCCGAAGATGGTGGTGAAGATCTTCCGCGTGTGGGTTGGTGCACCCAGTGATGCGAGACAGAAGATCGAGACGCCGCCGAGCCAGGTCGCCATGTACGCTGGGAAGAGCTCCCATACGGCGGCGATGCCCAATGCCCAGCCGAACTTGATGAGGCGGCGCTTGTTGTCGCGCGGGTTGAAGTGCAAGTTTTGGTATAGGACTACCTGCGGCAGGGTCGACCAGTAGACCATTTCAGCTGGGTAGACGATCAGAGGGCGGAGGATGCCTGCGAGGACGAAGCCACAGAGCGCGATGGAGAAAGTACTCAAGACGGCAGTGGACGCGGAGATGTGGAAGTCGTAGAACAGCCTTTCAACCGCGTGCACCTCGACACCAGAAAGACCGTTGTTGCCGGATGACGCGATGAGCGCCGCGACGACATGCTCTTTGATTCCAAAATGCTGGCCAAAGTTCATGAATCGCATGACCTTCTGCAGCCAGGTCCATTTGGCTCGCTCCGGTCGGGGCGTAAAGGTCGCCCAGGCCTTGCCGAAGATGAAGACGAGCACTGCTAGGGTTAGACCACGGTCGGTCTTTAGGGAGAGACATACACTGCAGGAAGACAGCCGAGACCTGGACTTGGACCGGCTTGAAGACGTAGAGGATCGTGATGACGCTCGACAGAGCAGTGAAGATGGTCCCCAGCACGACGGAGCGAAAGGTCAGCGAGGGATCGCCGTCGTCGCGGTCCGAAACGATGAAGCGTGAGACGTCGGCGCCTGCAGGGGTCAGCGTCGGCGAATTCTACCCTATCAAGCTGGATGCAGACTGACCGGTGTGGATCACTGGATGGCCCTTGACATACTCGACCTCGTCCTCGAACTGGATCTGGCCTTCGGGGGTTTCAGTCCGGACATTGTCCTTGTCGACTGCCTCGACGACCGCACTGGCCTTGTACGGAGGGGCCTCCATGGTGTGAAATTATTGAAGTCAACCGTCTCTCCAGATCCGGGGCGCAGTGTCTTATACCTTAGGGTCGGTCAAGCGTTGGGGTTACATCGGAAATGGTGCGATTTGCGCTTAAGTGAGGGGATGGTCGATATCACCAGAAACAACAAAAAGGCACCATCTTGGATACGCCATGATCCACCTTGGCGATGCTTAGCCGTCTTTGATTAGAGCTGCTGCTGGTGGCGGGGTGCTAACGCCATCAGCGACAGGGATGGCGAGACCCGGTCGGCATCATATGAGAGGAGGGGAACTGCCCTCCTGCACTTTCCGTCCATCCACTCGAGATAACGCCAGCATGTCCGTTGTTGTCCCTCCCGTTCCTATCGGTCCTGTCGGCCAGCCCGACATCCAGTATCTGCCTGATCCTATCAAGTACGCTGCTCGCACGGAGCGGCGACAGAAGGAGAAGCTCCAAACCACGCTGCCGGAGGGCTTTCCGCGGGAACTCCAGTCCGATCTGGCCTGGGATGGAAAGACGGTCGGCGAGGTATATGATTGGAATTATCATCTTACTCAAGACGACTTGGAGGAGGTCGACCAGGCTCTCCAGCACTTCAAGGGCATGTCAACCTCCCTCTCAACAGACGTTGAGACTGACAAGACAGGTCTCAATCTGCCCTTGGGTCTCGTCAACCAAGAGGCATTCCCCCTGCCTAAGCTGCACGATAAGCTTCGTGCCATCTCCAAAGAAATCCATCAAGGCCGCGGCTTCAAGGTAATCCGCGGCGTCCCCGTCGACCAGTACACACGCGAAGAGAACTTCATCATCTACGCCGGTCTCACATCGCACATTGCGCCGGTTCGCGGTCGACAGGACAACAACTGGCAGGGACAACCAGCGGACGTCGTTCTCGCCCACATCACCGATCTCAGCCGCAAGGTCGACACCAAGACCATCAAGGCCCCGGCGTATACAACTGAGAAGCAAGTATTCCACACCGACGCAGGCGATATAATCACCTTGTTTGCCCTTGAAGAGGCGGCTGAGGGAGGACAGAGCTACCTCTCCAGCAGCTGGCATGTATACAATGAGCTTGCACGCACTCGGCCGGACCTCATCCATACCCTTGCTGAGCCGTGGATCGCGGAGCAGGGCGCAGAGGTCATCAGTCGTCCGCTGTTATACCACCAGCCTCCGACTTCCGATGCGCCAGAGCGACTGATCATCCAGTATGCCCGTCGTGGGTTTACCGGGTACTGGGGTAAGCCTCGCGCTGCGACTCTGCCCCCGATTACGGAAGCTCAAGCGGAGGCACTGGATGCGCTGCATTATCTGGCTGAAAAGTCGGCGGTCGCTCTTGACTTCCACAAGGGCGATATTCAGGTCGTGAATAATCTGTCGATTTTCCATGCGCGGGCGGGCTTCACGGATTCGGACGAGAAGAGGCGGCATCTGGTAAGGCTGTGGCTTCGCGATCCGGAGTTGGCGTGGGAGACGCCCGAGGGACTGAAGTCGCGGTGGGAATATGTGTATGCTGCTGTTGATGCGGAGAAGGCCGTCTTTCCTCTTGAGCCGTTTGTGAGGAGCCAGTAGACCTGTCTTGTTATCCTGTCAGTAATAGTGGCCGTAGTAAGTGGCTATTTGAACCGGGCGATCCTGGTCGTACAAGCTTCGTATAGTCTTCCAGAACAGGAAGGTGCGATGCTTGGTTGCTCTTTCCTAATTAGGTAGTCGAACCGAGCGACGGCCAGTCCTTGATCTTCACAACATCATCCAGGCAGTGTGGTATGAAGCTTCGGATCGGCGACAACATGTAGATGATTTTGAAAGGAGGACAGGCGAGGAGCTATCGAGCTCAGATAGAGATTTTGTGCAATTGCCGCCGACCAAAGAATGAAGATATATATCCATGTAGCCCGCCTTCCATACTCGGGTTCTTTAGGCAACACCGTCTCTGCCTAGGTAGCCTGGAGAGCAACCCCCTTTTCATTTAAGGTGTCACCCCCGCCCTTTGCCGTCGAGTCTCCCACATATTTTGTGTTGCAGCAAAAAGAAATCTCCGTACAGCAATACAAGATGTCTGAACGGCTGGACTTCAAAGCGTTCCACGACTGCATGGGCGACCACCCATCTCAGACCGCCATATTCCACAGCAACGGCTCCAAGTGGTGGATGCAAGTCGCTGCAGGTTGGTCTCTGCCAGATTCAGTGCGGAATCTGGGTTATTTAAAGCGGCGCTCGCTTTTCCGACAGTTTATCGAAGCCATTGACTTCACCCAGCTACAGCTCTTGGACGATACCGTTACAAAGATTGCTTTGACCTTGGATGAGCAGACCCAGGGCTCGCTTACCCTGCATCCTGGGACTCAAGCCTCAGACAACTATTTCATGACGGTCGCCACCAGAATGCGCTGCACGGTCACGGAAGATCCAGATAGAGTGATTTATCCACCGATTGATGAACAACCACACCGAGGGCTGCGACAATTCAAGGCGAGCCACTTGCAGGTGGTTGACGTGATCGATGCAACAGTGTCTATAGTCCTAGTCGAGGACCGAAAGTTCGCTTACAAGTCGGTCGACCGGCCCATCTATTTGCGTGGAGATACCGAGCACCTCTTGGATGAACTTGACGCCCTCGTTCAATTCAGCGGCGAGCCAAACGTCGCACAACTGATCGGCCTGGTCGTATCGGAAAGCCCGTACAAGACATGCCCCTCGGCGGACATGGCATCTCTAGTGATCACAGGGCTCCTTCTTGAGTACTACCCCGGGGGATCCCTCGAGGATACTATCCAACAGAGCGAGGGGGTAGATGACACGTTGCTGGTGCAGTGGGCTTTGCAGATTGGGGAAGCATTAGCAATAATGCACCTGCGTGGCCGGGCTCATGTTGACATGAAACCGGCGAACGTTGTCCTGGACGCCCACCAAAACGCCATCCTGATTGATATCGGGGGAACTGGGGGCTTTAGCTGGGAATGGCTCTCACCGGAGATGTCACAGGCGATGCGGGCAGGTAACGAGTTTATCCCGACCACCGCGCCATTTAAGGAACGGGTTGCTACGGATTGTTGGGCGTATGGAAGGATCCTCTTGTCTTTCGCGGGGAAAAGCGATACTTGCACTGATGGCGGAGCTGGAGCGTCAAGATTGCATTCCGTTGCTCGTCGTCTGACGGAGGCAACTCCTGAGGCTCGCATGTCCTTGAGCGATGCTCTCACAGAGCTGAGGGGGAATAAAATATAGGTATTGTGTTGCTTGATCTCCAGTCATTGTGAATGAGACCGGCCTGTCTCAACTAAGAAGATATTTCGGTCGACCATTTGGTTAATGTTTCTTGACAAAAAGCACTTCCTATTCGTGTGCACCCTCTGTCTCCAGTAGCTTACAGCCACGATAGTGACTTATACCAGAAACGCAAGTGTAATGGCTCTCTGAACAACGGACCTGTTAACTCCCATAGTCCACTGTATCTTATGCTGGAGCGGGGTGCAGCTCTTCTTACGGTAATTGATGGAAGATCCCTGGCCGAAGCCCTACAAGGCCAAGCTAGATATCAAGCACTCAGGATTTTTAATACATTCTACATGAGATATACAACACTACTACAGAAGAAACAAAATGCAAAACACTTTTTTTGTATTTTTCTAACACTCAACGCCAGACGCCTTACAAAGGAAATCCATCAGTATTGGTTCCATGCACCCAACCGCCATGATTTCTGTCCGACACCTCCATCACAACTCGCAGCCTCACCAAGTACCTCCAAGACGGCACACTTAGTACCGCGAATACCGATCCCGCTCGCGCATGCTCATGCGCGAAAACCGACTGTCCAGCTCGTCATCACTACTGTCCGGCTCCTGCGCCGGCCCACGAACACTCATCCGCCGGCCACCGCTGCTCGAGGACCGCGAGGACCGCGAGTGCGAGCTCCCGACTTCAGAAGCACGGTCCGACGGACTAACGCGAGACGTCCACCCGCTGACACGCGAGTGCGCCGAATCGCTCATGTACTCCGACCGCGGGCGGCGCGAGCTGGAGCTGGTGCTGGAGCTGACCCGCGAGCGCGAATCGCCTCCGTAGTCGGAGTATTCGTCGCGGTACGAGGACCGCGTGTACTCCATCTCGCGGTCTTCGTAGATCGGCTCGGGCCCTTCGCGCTGGGCGCGCTTCTCGCGCACCCACTTTGGTTCGATGACTACCGCCGTTCGTGTCTGGCCTTCGTGCCGCGTTGTGTGCCTTTCTCCGTGGCGGGGGTCCGAGGGGCGGATGGTGCTCCCGCTCATGTCTGAGGCGTAGGAGGCGTGGCTTCGTGAGGAGGCGCGGCTTGATGATGATACGTGCGAGCCCGAGCTGGAGTAGTGCGAGCTTGGGGCTGGGTGGTAGGATTGGGGGCGGCTGTGGCTGGAGCCCGACCGGCTGCCGGTGCGTGAGCCTGAGTGGCTTCCACCTCCGTGGCCGGAGACGGAAGAGCCGACGTTGGAGGAGCGGTTGGAGATGCTCGACTCCGGGTAGATGGTGGAGGCGTCGTCGTCGTCGTCGTAGTGGGAGCTGCGGCGAGAGGTCGACGAGCGACGGGAAGCGTGAGAGCCCGGCATTTTGAATGATTTGAAGGAAATTGTTGGTAAGGGTTGTTGGGTGGGTTGAAAATTGAAGCCTGTTGGACTGGAGTGTAGATGGATACACTTGGACAGGGTTGTGTTGGAAGCTGGTGGGGAGGAGATTGAGCAGGAAAGACAGGGCTTCTTATATCTCTTCATGGCCTTTGAGGTTGCGTCAATGTCTATGACCTGGCAAGTTGTAAGAAGAGTGTATGAAAAGGCCTTTCTCAGCGCGCTGCGCTCTTTACTTGGAGAACAGAGACTGTTGACGTGCGATCTTGGTTCGGTCAGACGGTCTTTAGCAGGAAGATAAAGGTAGAGTCAGTATGAAAGTATACAGTCAAAGACGACAATGCCCCTTGATGCGAATCAGCTGAGCCCTGTCGACCACTCAGAACCCGGCATCGATATATGAACAAGTGAACAAAGCATAGGCCGAACCCTGGAACAGGCTGGAAGAGATGCAAGATTAATGAACTGAAAGCCTGCACGAGAAGACAGGACTTTGTTGATCTTTGATATCCACAAAAGGCACGGTTTGGGTTCTGGAGTTGAGGAAGACCAAGAGAACAGAGACAAAAGACAAAACTATCAAGAGTTCCTGTGTGGGAACTCCAACAGATCCAGGATAGGGCCATGATCATTCGTTCCTTGACCCGTTCATACAGCGTGCAATGAGCATTGTTCAAGAGCACAAGGCAACAAAGAGACAACACCCTCTGGCTCTTCAAAGGAGAATATAGAGCCTGGGAATTCTGCGTCTGTCAGAGCCTACCCACTGCCAGGGCCTACCCACTGCCAGGCTGATTCAAGAGTGCCCGCGAACAAGCGCTCTCAGCTACCCACGTACCATAAGCGAGTCAGCCCAGGAGCAACGCAAGCACACGAGAACGAAACACAAGACCAATACCATACCGCACCACCAAAATGTCTTCTCACGACACACAAGCCCAAGAATCCAACTGGACGCTCGTAATGGCTGAATCCCGCCTCAACACCTCGCGCAAGCGCGCCCCCGCCCTCCTCGACCTCTTCCACGAGGATATGGAGGCCATGCACTGCCCCATGTACGATGCCGCCGTCGGGTGGGGTCCGGGCGAGATGGGTTGGTCTATGATGGTGCGGCTGCTGGAGCCCGTCAGCGCGAGTCCGCTCTGGCTTGAGGAGGCGCGGGAGCGGTTCTCTGATCTTGTGCTTGATTTGGATGAGGATCAGGCTACTGTCCTCAATGGAAGGGACGAGGCTATGTGGCAGAGAGATAAGTGGGAGTACCTCTCCGCCATTGCGGTTTGGAGGGGGATCCCGTTTCTCCTGTGGAAGGATGGCGAGAGGCAGGGGGCTGATGGGTTTATTTGGAGTGTGCTTCTTGAGCATATTGCTGATGATGTTAAGGATCTCAGGGCGTTTGACACTGAGGCTCGAATGGCTCTCTCTGCGGCTGACGTCCTGCGCAGGCTGAATCCCACCGGAAACGCCGTGGTCGATATGCCTCTTCTCAAGGTGGAGGATAAGATTGCGCTGGCGGCAGTAGTCATGGACCCCAGGGTTACGGCAACAAGTGCAGAAGAGCTGGCGGGCAGATTCAGCCAGTGTTTGCTGGAGGAAATGGGCTGCGAGAACTTTAGTTTCAAGATCGAGTACCGGATCGAAAACAGGCACTGGGTGGTGTCTCTGGACCTGCTGGAACCAGGCGGAGCTTCAGACAGAAAGGCCAAGTGGCTGAGTGGCATCCGATCCGGGTTTCTCTACCATTTTGGGAGGATCGATTCCGAGGTCCAGGGAGGGAATGGACGAAGTGCCAGGGCTAACCTCACACGTTCGTCTTGTAAGCTAAGGCAAGCGACCTGGGTTTTAGGCTATAGAGGCGTGGCCTTGTACCTGATCAAAGGAGGGGTTAAGCAGCATGAGCAGTGCGACAAGATGATCAGCTTCCTCAGGAAAGACAAGATACTCAACCCTGAGGCCTTTGGTTATCACATTGAATGGCAATAATATTGTTTGCTACACACCCGTACATTGATGTAGTTGTAGTGTTAAGGAATAAACACGATGTTGAATGGTCGATAATCCAACAAAGTCCTACAGCAGCACAAACATAAGAGTTGCAAGCCCTGCCACAGTGGCTCCAGCCATATTAACCGCAGACATTGCCGCACCACCTTCATCAGTATCCTCTGGATCGGTGGCGTTGGTGACGTTCCCAGTCGACACGACCTTGAGACAGGTCAGGGATGCGGAGGTATTGCTGACGAGGCTGTTGCTGCCGTTGCTCGACGTGAAGACGGTGAGGATGGGGGTTATCTTGTACATCTCGGCGAGGTTTCCTTCTTCCGTGTAGTTGCCCTAGAGAGAGAATATTAGCACTAGTCCATATAATAGAAGGGGAAAGGGGACGCACATTGGAAGTATCATCGTACAGCTGGGCGAGGTTGTCTGACTTGGGCTGGACAGGCCAGCAGTCAGATGAGCCATTAGCTGACTGCGAGATGGTCGACAGATTGCCCAGCGAGATAACGTCGAACCTGCCCAGGCCGTCACCAGCGCCCGTCAGGTCACTGCACTCGTCCGGGGGGTTGTCCTCGAGGTCAGACTTGAGGGCTGAGCATCCGTTAGACCCGGTCTGCACGTTGCGCGCTTGACGAGTCAGGCTATCGATGCATCCCTGCGTGATGACGTCGGGGCAAGTCCCGTAGGATGCCCGGATGTCGACGGCCACGCTGTCATTGATCTTGGGCTGTTGGAAGCCAGGACCGGTCGGGGGGTCGTTGAAGACCACGGCGCAGCCGGACAGGTCGCCCACGTCGAGATTGGAGGGAGTCCCAAGATAGTACACGGACTTGAACGAGCGGTCGTCGTCCGACCCGTTACCTCCGCCAGACTCCGGATCCTCGATGTGCACGCCCTTGACTAGCGAGATGCCGACCAGCGAGTCTGGAACGCCACTGATGCGTGCCAGGCCAATCCCGGCGTAGGACTCGTCCGTCACGGTGCAGGAGTCCCAGCCCTGGTTGGGGCAGTCGAGGTCTGTGCATCCGACAATATCCGTCGACAGGTCCTGGGCCAGGGCCGAGAGGATGGGGGCGAGGAGGAGGACTTTGGAGTGGATCATGTTGGGCTGGAAGGATTGTGAATGTGCTTGAAGAGGAACAGTGTGATGAGATGGAGATAGCGAGAAAGAGGAGTCTCAAGATGGCAGTGCTTTATCGTCCGGACAGCGATGAAACCGGCGTTAAATGAGGGTTTGGGGCGGATGATATCAGAGGCGTCCTCAAGCAAACGCCCGTAAGCCCTGCAGATGAAGATCTGCTGCTCAGCCCCCGGCTAGACGACGATTCAGCCCTGCCCTGAGGTCCGCTCCAACCGGAAGTAGGGGTGGCTGTAGAGGAATGGCCCCGACCTGACCCACAAGGCGCTGCAGCCAAGAAGCCTGGAGGAACCCCATGAATCATGCAAGCAGGGCTTTGGCCCCCGCTGGCTAAGGAAAGAAAGCTCTCTGTCCCTGCTTTTCGTATCACTTTCCTGCTTTGAAGGGGCCGGCCCCCACGCCAAGCAGCTGAAGAGTCTGGAGTGAGGCTATTCCCACTGCCATCCTCACTGAAGAAGGATTTGGCCCCCGGACGATGTAACGCCCACTGCAGTAGCTGAAGCCTATACCCAGAAGCTGCCCTGTCGATGATGTCAATCCGGTCCGGACCGAGTGTATACAGAACATCGATGTGCCTGAGCTGGTCTATATAAACCGACCAGAACACCGACCATCAGGCCTCATCATCCTCAAGCATCTCATCCTCTCAGCTTCTCAAGCATCAAGCCTCGAGCTCCAAAGCCTCCCTTCAGTGCCTTCACAGCATCTCTGTGCCCAAACTTCAACCAAGCAAAAATGTCTGGAGTCGTCGACGCCATCGGAGTCATCTCCGGTCTCCTGACCATTGTGTCCTTCAGCATGGACAACTTCGCCAACGACCAGGACCCCGGCTCGACCATCAAGGTCGCCGTTGCCCTCGACGGCCCCACGGGCACTGAGGATGCTGGTGGTGATCTGCCCGATGTGTAAGCCTTCCTTCTCCTTCCATCATCTCCACAATCATCTAACCTCAGCAGCCGCATCTGGAACGACTTTGGCGAGTTCAAGGCCATCACCGCCGACCCAGGCAGCGTGGGCAGCGGCACCGTCGGCACCGTCACCGTCGACCACGAGCAGCAGGGCGTCTACTCGCTCTTCTCCGCCAACAACGACGCCATCTGCATCGCCTGGGTCACCACCACCTGGGCCGACTCCGCCGGCGGCAACAAGTACGCCGTCTCGGGCGACTACGGCGAGGCCTGCGGCGGCACCTGGTACGAGTCCAACATGTGGACCAACGGCGACAACTCCTACCAGCCCAAGTGCTTCTGGATCGACGGCGACGGCGACCAGCCCAACACCGGCTTCCAGGTCCGCTGGCCCCGCTACTCCTCGGACATGTTCGACGAGGGAAACACCGACCCTGCTGCTATCTGTAATGACATCGACTTTGGCCTCCGCACTGAGTCCGACCCCAGCAGCATCAACTACTGGACTGATGCTAAGAAGCGCGCCCTGAACGACCGCCGCATGCGTGCCCGCCGTGATCTCCGTGCTCGCTGGACTGAGTCTGAGCTGGTGATTTCCGACTCCCAGCACCACTCGGCCACCAAGCTCTGCGGCTCTGAGACGTCCATGGGCCCTGACTTCGTCCACGTCGAGGAGAACCTGTTCTGCGACATGGGTGCTAAGAAGGCGTACTCCCTCTGCGGCAGCTCCAACACCACCGAGGAGACCTGCTTCGATCTCGAGTCCAAGAACCTGGTCACTGGCGGCGTCGTCAAGCGGGCCAACCCTTACACTGGCATCCGCGACTGGCGCTCCAAGACCACCGCCACCAACTAGGTGGCTGATGTGGATTCAACATACCGGATATCTTTAACAGGTGTCCTCGATGACCTCTCTGATCTCATGTAAATAGTCTTTCTTCTTTGGTATATACTGCTTTGGGGTTAGGGACAGTTCCCTGTCTAATTTGTCTGCGCCAGCCCTACCAGATCGGTGTTGGTGGTGACTGGCGCTGCGAACTGTCCCATCTTGTTGCTTTGTCTTCGCAATCAATTCATTACCGCATACTTCTCTTTCTCTAGTAGACTTTTGCTCCCCTGCTTCAGCCTCAGTAGGTTTGACCTTCAGCTAAGTCTTCCGTGCCGCGCCGGTTGGCGCCACGGGACGCCAACTAGTCCTTCAAGGTTAATTCAACATAACTACCATAGGCCAGCTGCTTTCGTACTCATTTTTTGGTGGAGCTTGTGCTGCCCACTGCTGCGCCTTGCATGTCCACCTGTAACTCCGCATCTCTGGGGCCGAAGTTGGGGTCCGTTTCGTGGACATTAGCGACCGTAGCCCCAGCCCCAGCCCTAGTCCCAGCCCTAGCCCCAGCCCTGCAGATCAGCCAGCCTAGTACTAGAGGCACAGTAAGGGTTCCATGCTGTTGAGACATGTCTGCCACTTGGGCCTTGTCTTCTAGTGGCCCTTGATCCAAACGTTGCGAGCTCTCGTGGCATTGGTAATAGGGATAACTCGAGAATCGAGCGGTTGGACTAAAACCCTGAAACGGTCCATCGTCTTCTTACGAGCTGTACGGCGAGCTGCATTCGCTCCACGTCTGTTGAGTTTGGACTGTACTTCGATGTCGGTCTTTGTGGCTGCTCTAGGTGACCTTTCCACGGTGCTTCAGAGCATACGACAGAGTATTCATGAGAAAACTAAGTCCGATGTATGCAGCGACCATAACAACTGTGTACCAATTACCCGTTTATGCAGGAACCAATGTTGGTGAGCTTTCAAACCGGCAGTGCATGTGAATATTGCAACAGGCACAATCTGACCTCAAGGGCCGACCGCAACTTCATTATCCTCCAATCACGGAGTACCAGCGCCAAGTGTGTCACCAAGAAATCAAAAATGGCAATTCCTGCCAGAAATCGCTTATGCGAAACAAGCCTGGCCAAGTCCGTAGCGAGGTCCGATCGCCTGGCTCCTTCCAGGGTTCCGGCGGACGGACCACGGATACGACCATTCGAGAATGAACAGAACCCTATTATCCTCAGATCAACATGCCGATCGCTCGGCTACGAGATGTTCCAATCACTTACCGGATCTGGTTGAGATCCCGAAACCAGCGCAGCGCATTGTTTTGTGTTCGTGGGTGAAACAATTCGATCGGCTTGCAGGTGCCGTACAAGACCGAAGATGGCCCGGCACGTTTCTGCAAGGATATCCAAATGGTGAATGCTTGATAGGTCGATGGCGTTCGGCATGCAGGCCTCGGTTTATGGTCAATTGCCGGAAACCTCATATCTGGATTTGAAACGCCTCGGTGCCTCCGATCGAATCAAAAATTGGTCATTTCAAAGTGGCAGATCGACCGAGCATGCCATGCAGGGCAAAGACATAAAGAGGTGATCTCTGCTTCGCTGTGAGGCTGTATCTTGCCAGCCGCTAGAAGAAATTCAAGCAACCATGAAGACATCACTTCTCTCAGCGGGCCTCGCCCTCATCGCCTCTGCGGCAGCGTATCCACAGTTCATGGACTTGAAGAACTTGGACTTGAAGAACTTGGGCTTCGAAAGCAACAGCAATAGCAACAGCAACACGAACCCGAACACCCAGAGTAGCTGGCAGCCCAAGGAGTGGATCGCACCGGGATCGGACGATTGTAAGTGATTACTATACCAACTTGCTTACAGGACATCTGGATTGTTAACAAGAGCACCAGCACGCGGACCCTGTCCTGGCCTGAACACCCTAGCAAACCACGGCTACCTCCCCCGCAACGGCAAGGGCATTACGCTGAAGATCCTGGAGGACGGCATGCTGGAGGGCTTCAACATCGAGCACGCCGACGCAGTCCTCCTATTCTTCCAGGCTATCCGGACCAGCCCGATCCCGTTCAACGACCGCTTCGACCTGGCGGACCTCGGTCGGCATGGGATCCTGGAGCACGATATCAGTTTGAGGTATGCATGCACTGTCCTCACGTATAGGACGTACGCTAATATAGTCGCGGGCCAGTCGCTCCGATGCCTACTTCGCCGACCCCAAGCCCTTCAACGAGACCGTCTGGGCCGAGACGATGTCGTACTTCACTACCCCCATGATCTCCGTCGAGCAGCTTGCAAAGGCTCGCATGGGCCGGCTGGCAACGTCCAAGAAGACGAATCCTGACTTTGAGCTGTCGTGGTTGGCGGACGGGTTCAGCTGGGGAGAATGTGCGTCGTTCTTTGAGATCATGGCGGATGGGACGACGGGGACGGTCAGGAAGGAGTATATTGACTATTGGTTTCGTATGCCTATCCCTGTACCTATCCTTGTCTCTTGTGGATTGTGCTGACTTGGTTGACTGCGTCAGGCAACGAGCGAATGCCGACGGAGCTGGGCTGGCAGCGACGCAATGTGACGATGAAGAGCGCCGAGCGGATGAAGTACAGCGGGCTCCTGATGAAGGCTGCCGGCGTCACGAAGCGAGATGTGGCCTCGGATGCGTATGGGTATCCGCTCCACTGAGTGCCATGTGATGGTACCGACATAGCGAGGGAGCTGGATTCTTTTCTTCGCTGGACTCTGTATCTAGACCTGCCCAATGCATACATGTGAAGACTCGAGGCCGCCTGACGTCGAGCGTAGCACATGTACTCGAGCCCGGGTCGGTGAACAACCTGGAGGCCAGCAAGGTTACGCCAGAGGGTGGCACGACTATCCCGCGATGACGGCACCAGACATAAATACTGCGGTGGTCCCAGGCCTCTGTTTCTGATTGTTTGGCTTGGGCTGACGTGCCTTGGGTCACGGTCGTACGTATTGGGCTGAAGCCGGGGAATATCGAGGGCGTCTGGTAGATATCGTATTAAAGTCTGTAGGCAGATCCTTGACTGGGTTCGTTCGTTCGTCCACTTTCCTTTCGCGAGTAGCAGTACTGCAGTATGGTCTTTCTGTCTCCAGTCTCTGTTCTGGTCCTCTTCTGCGTGGTCTTCACCTGGCGATACTTTGCAAATAGGAAATACAGCCGTCTGCCCCCAGGCCCCCGACCATGGCCCATCATCGGCAATATCCACCAAGTGCCGCTTCGAGACCCGTGGAGGAAGGTCTCTGAATGGCATCAGCAGTACGGGCCGATCATCTGCTTCTGGATCGGACCTGTCCCCGTGGTCGTGCTTGCCAGTATGGAAGCCTGCCATGAGATTTTCGATAAGCGCGGCCGCATCTACAGCTCCAGGCCGCAGGTCAACTTCGTGAACCAGCTAAACGGCGGCCTCCAGCCGTTCCTCTTCCCTTATAATCGCGCACTCAAGCTGCACCGCCAGATCTACCGCGTCATGCTGGACCCAACGGCGACGCCGAAGTATCGACCGAGAGAAGAGGCGGAGACGTGTCGGCTGCTGTATGAGCTCTCATCCAAGCCGGACGACCAGGCGCTTGTGCTCCAGCGCTTCAACCCAAATCTATCGTCGCTCATGGCCTACGGCGAGCGAGTCCAGGACTGGGGCTGGTTCGCGCGTCTCCGTGAAGGAATGGAGGCCGGAATCAGGGGCCTGTACAGCGGCGGCGTGCTGGTGGACGCGATCCCGGCCCTGAACCGGCTGCCTGGGTGGGCGTCGCCGTGGAAGAAGATCGCGGACGAGGCCTTCCGGCGCAAGGTGGCGGCGCTGGGCCTGGTGGCGAGGCAGGGGCTGGCGTGTGAGACGGCCAACTGGACGCGCGCGGTGCGCGAGCTCAAGCAGGCGGACGAGATGTCGTGGGAGCAATTCGTGTACTCGACGGGCGAGCTGTTCGAGGTCTCGTACATGACCTCGTACGTCTCGCTCGGCATGTTTCTGATGATCTGTGCGACGCAGCCGCATGCAACCCGCAAGGCCTCGGAGGAGCTCGAGCGCGTCATTGGGCCTGATCGGCTCCCGTGCTTCGAGGATCTGGCGAGACTGCCCTACCTGGCGGCGTTTATCAAGGAGGTGCAGCGCTGGCGCCCTGTTGCACCGCTGGGGGCGCCCCGTTCCGTGACCGAGGACGACGAGTACGATGGCTACCTGATTCCGGCAAACACGACCGTCGTGGCAAACATCTGGGCCATTCACATGAATCCGGCGGTCTTTGAGGAGCCTGAAACGTTCCGACCGGAACGATGGCTCAAAAGGCCCGATGCGTCGCTGGCGACATTTGGATTCGGGCGGAGGATATGCCCCGGCAGGCACATCTTCGCGGACGTGTTTGCAATCACCGTGGCCAGGCTGCTGTGGGCCTTCACCATGGAGCCGACCGTAGATCCTGGTACTGTCGATGCGTCCAGGTCTGCCCATCCAGGCGTCATCTTCAGGCCCGTCGATGTGGGCATGAAGTTCCGAGTCCGCAGTGCCAGGCACCAGGAGGCCATTGAGCGAGCGTGGGTGGCTCTGCAGGATTGATTTGAAATTTGTCCAATAAGCCGATGCATGGCCCATTCTACAATCTATTCACTAGCTAGATACATTCCCAATTATGAATCTTGGCCGCGCTCTTCCCGGATAACTCCCTGTGCATATTAGAATGCATGCTCTCGGCCAGGCTCAGATCACTCACAAACCCCTGCGTCACGCGGATCTCGCCTTTGGGGACCGGTTCTGCCTCGCGCAATATAGACTGTAGCGGTATATCGCTCGACGTGGTTGTTTGCGTCACTGAGCGCTTCTGGCGGTAGCGACTGTAGCCGGGGGATCGCGAGGCGTACGAGGAGCTGCTTCGGGAGAGAAAGGTCTTGAACGGAGGAAGGCAACCGACGATTACGGCTTATCCATTAGCACCAGACAAAGACATGCTGATGAAGTACCTACAGACGGACGACTCGGCAACGCCCCAAACTGCCAGTCCAGCCTGGTCTGTATAGCTCCGCCCGGTGATGTTGATTGCCCGGACAATAGCGAACGCAATGATAATGGCGCCCAGTGAAAAGACTGCCCCAAGGCCGACTTTCTGATGGAAGCTGATGGTCGTTGACCACACTATGCTGAGCGCAAAGCCCATGACTGGTATTGTTAGGGTATGTCTACCGCAAGGGAGGGAACGTACTCATGAGATCGGTCAAGATGTCCACGACAGTGCTGTAGATGATCGAGATCACGGCCCCTTGCTTGTCCACGTCCTTGGTGCATTTGGCTACTTGGTCAGGTCACTCTAATCAATGGTCAAGCAGGGACGTACCGAATTGAAAATAGGTCGAGGGCGGATGGCAGGTGAAGGCAGAGGCGAACCAGCAGCCAGCATAAGACCCAACGGCGAAGACGACAATCGCCCACCACCACCGGCGATAGTGAGGCAGATGGTCTGTCATGGCCCAGAACAGAGCGAGGAAAGCAGCCTTGACGCTCCACAGAACCGACCAGAAAATCCCAATGATGGCGAACATGTAGCGCGTGTACGTGAGGGCATGGCCGACGATGTCGATCCCCGTAGGGCTCAGGATGATATAGTACAGATGCGGCGCTTGTAAGGTCTGGAGCACCGCATTGGTGATTAGGAATGATAATGCCAGAAGAATGAAGTAGTCGTCTGGCAGAAGACGGCCCATGACCGAGAGCCGGATCGCCAGGCGGAGGACGGTGAAGACGACCCCCAGGCCGGCACCAACCCAAGTGATGACGACCAGACTGTCTTCGGACAGATGCGTTGCCACACCCGAGGGACTCGGAATGTCAGAAGTCGTCGAGTTCATCCTCTGGACAGAACAGGCTACGGCCCGATGAAGTGGAAGAAGCGGACACCGAGTCTGACGGCCAGAATGCCATTTAACAGCATGCCATCAGATCTCAACCGTAAGAAATGCGCATCGAAATGCCTCAACAGGTTGGCATCCATGCACAGACATCCTTCCGGAGCAGATGGAGGCCGCCAGGGCCAATGGGGGAGATCTCGCCGAATTTACGGATCTGCAACCATGCCCTTTGTACAACCTCATCGCGGCCAGTGCGCCAGGGAGGTTGCCACGTTTAATGGCCAATGTCTCGGCAGCACTGGATAAGAAGGTCAAGCAGCTCCTTTGAAATGCGACCGACGCCAAGTGCCCTTGCTGGCCACTATCCCCAATAGTTCATGCAAGAAGAACGCAGACCGGACTTAAAATCTGCTGCTCCCACGAGACCGGCATCCGAAGACGACTATCCTCCAGAATGAAATTCCTGCTCGCCTTGATCGCGATATGGGTTCGCCCACTGGCCGTGTCTGCGCAGTCCAGCTGCAGATGTGTACGTGTCCCAACCGTCCCCGTCTGCAAGTCACCAGCTGATCAGGAGCAGACGCCAGCGAGCACCTGCTGGAGCGAGCTTGATTGGGCTGCCCTGAATGCAACGGTGTCAGGCAAGCTCATTCGCAACACCCCGCCCGCGGCCTCATGCTACCCTGGTCCGGAGTATAACAAGGATGACTGCGCCCGTGTGGGCTTGCAATGGTCCAACACCACCTTCCAGTCCGAGCAGCCCGTCGGATATTGTTACCCCATTGATAACAATTGCCCTATTACAAATGTGACGGGGCGGGCAAAATGTGTCTTGGGCCCGTCGCCTGTGTACTCCATCAATGCCACCGAGCCTGAGGAACTGGTTGCTGGCATAGCGTTTGCGCGAGAGAACGATGTGCGTCTGGTCATTCGAAATACTGGCCATGACCTGCTTGGGAAGTAAGTGTCCATAACCTACTCCGTAGCCTTGACCGAAGCCTAACAATCTTTAGGTCTGCCGGATATGGATCACTGCAGATATGGGTGAGGTATCTGCGCAAAGGTATTGAGTATCAAGGTAGTTTCAAGCCATCCAGATCCTGTCCGCTGAGCGACTGGACGGGATCTGCGTTCACTGTCGCTGGTGGCTATGTTTGGGACGAGCTCTACCAAGAAGCATTTGCTCGCAACCTCATAGTCGTCGGTGGCGGAGACCCGGTGAGGCCCTCTCCATGGTTTCCTTCCAGCATCTACTAACTATCGACAGACAGTCAGCGTCATTGGCGGCTACATCCAAGGAGGCGGCCACTCTCCCGCGACGCACGATTTCGGCTTAGCCAGTGATCAGGTCCTGGAGGCAACGGTCATCCTCGCCGATGGATCTATCGTTGTCGCCAGTCCGTGCACCAACCCTGACCTCTTCACTGCCCTTCGGGGCGGAGGTGGAGGCACCTACGGTGTGGTCATCTCTATTACCATCAAGGCCTTTCCTTCGAAGCCGGTTGTAGCGCACTCGTTGGTCATAGTACCCGAGTCGACCGCTGACCTGGAGCCCATGCTTGATGCTATCGCTGACATGTATGCCTCGTATCCTGCTCTCTCCGATGCTGGCTTTTCAGGCTACGGCTCATGGTCCCTCAATGACCCGATGACCACGTACGGGAATTCAACCGCCGGCTATCAACATGCCTTTGCTGCGCTCGACAAGTCGCTTCCAGATGCCAAGGCAGACTTGCAGCCCCTTTTCGATAGATTAATGGCGTACGACTCCCTCAACATCTCCTTGCGATGGTTCCAGTTCCCTACATATGCAGCGTACTACCGCGCCATGTCCGGGGTTCACCAAGAGACCGGAGTCGCGGAGTCTGCCCTTGCGTCTCGGATGTTTGACAAGGGCGCTTTGACTTCGAACCATGGGCAACTCAGGGGAATGATCGAGACCGTGGCGGGAAGTCCGATAGAGGCCACCACGAACCAGGTCCTTCTAGTCGGGGGAGGCAAGGTCCTCAATGACCCAGGATACAGCGGTGCCAACCCGGCCTGGCGAAAGACGTACCTTGTCCACATTGTCGCCCGGGGTTGGCTCGAGGAGCTCGGCCCAGAGTTCGCTGCAGCAGTCAAGACGGATATCACCTACAACAAATACAACGCCATGCGAACATGGACGCCGTCGATGGGTGGATATCTGAATGAGGTACGGTTCAAGCCTTCCTCTATCAAGGATGGAACTGACTTGCAGTGTCATAGGCGGACCGGAATAACCCTTGGTGGAGAGAGGATCTGTATGGCGCAGACAATTATGAACGACTGCTCCGAATCAAGAACAAGTACGATCCAGATGGGATCTTCTACTGCCCACAGTGTGTGGGAAGCTCGAATTGGTACCAGCAAATGTTGCCGGAGGAGGAATACGGGCCTCTTTGTGCGAGATAGTAATGCATCAATCTAGTTTCTCATGTCAGTCGAGCTAGAAACTCAATCATAACCGAGACTCCGTAGGTAGGGTATATCCTTCCGATGCCCCGAAAGGGGGAGTTGGAGACTCGGAATTCGTTCCCGGCTCGAGTCAACGCTGTGCTAGTCCTGGTGAAGAGCATAACATGATGCAGCGAGACATGCTTGTAAACGGATTCGAATCTGTTTGTTCATATAAGTGGTTCATTGATGCACAAATTTATTCGGATATCTCCTGCAGAGGTGTCATGGATAGTGCGACTCAGTGTCCCAACAACTCCTTGCAGCTAGGTCAACGAAGGGATAGCCTTGCTGGGCTCCTCAGCAGGCACACGTTCTGGGGACCTTTGCTAAGGTTGCCAGCAGAATCGCAAGACTGATGGACCAAAAATTATAGATTGCTGCCTGGAAGCGAGTGAACTGCTGATCACAGATTCGACGCTATCTACACCGACTGGGCTATAATGGCATTGGATGATGGCCGATTAAGTATCCTATGCCCGGCGGGTGGGTTCGTGGACAAAGCAAGAAGTCGTGAGACCGAAATCATAGTAATCTCGGATGAGGGTATCTGCAATGGGTTTTGAGGGTAAGATGCCCGGTCGCTTCGGCGGGATTGGGAAGGGATAGTCTGAGACTGGAAGTCTAGCAGCATTGACGGGAGAGCCATAGCGGTAACCGTACTGATCCTCCTTGGGCAGTTCGTCGAGCGCCAGGCTCGGTTGGATCGGGGAGTCTCTCTGCGGTCCTGGGGTACCAGCGCTATGCTCTTCATCTCACAGGGAGGCAGATGGATTGTACTCGCAGACTGTCCCCTGTCGTTGGCACCGCACGCAGGGACTGTGGCCTGAACATCTTGTTTTCTATCTGAATGATGTCAGCCATGCTGCAGCATTTCACAGATGGAATTATCCGAGGATGATGGAGAAGAAGTGCGGGGAAGCAGCGGAGAGAAGACCGATCTCACTGGCAAAACGCTCTTCAGGGAAGGAGCCAGGGGAAAGCAATTACCCTGGACGAGGTTATCCAGCGAGGCTTCTTTTTGTTCACAATTTGGCTTCCAAGTTACGAACTATACACATCCAAATGCGACAACTGCCCCTCGTCCACATCCTCCCTTGAGCCAACGAGATACAACCAACTCCTACAGCTGGAGCCTGTGTGGATAAGGATATGGCCGCCAGAAGCATCGATGCATGCGGATGTGGAGGGAAACGCGGGGACCCCGCAGATTGAGGACCCTTTGTCCGGGGGAATGAACCCTCAGCTTTCATCCGGCGATTGCTATGGGTCATTCCATAGCCGTGGAGTTTTCTCAAAAGCTATAAAAGGCCTGCGTCTACGCAAGGTAACAACCAGATCATCTGCAGCATCCTACTCGATATACCCACCATGAAAGTAACAGCTGCAGCCCTGACGGGTCTTATAGTCGGTGCTCAAACGCTTGCTACTCCACAGAGTCAACTTAGAGTCCAGACAACAAGCGGTCGAGTTACCGGTTTCATCAATTCCGCAGCCCCAGATGTCGCTCAGTGGCTAGGTGTGCCTTTTGCAGAGCCCCCTGTCGACACTCTTCGCTTTCTTCCTCCCGTGCGAAAGCATTATGCTGGAGATTTGATTACCACGGCCTACCAACCAGCATGCATGCAGCAAACCAGCTCAGTGCCGACATTGTACACCGAGTACCTCCACGAGTTTCTGATCAACGGGGGCCAGAGCGAGGATTGTCTGTACCTCAATGTCTATGCTCCGCTCAATCCGACCGAGAAGAACCTGCCAGTCTTCATCTATGTGCACGGAGGCGGGTATACCAGTGGCGGCACCAACTCTCTGTACAAGATCCCCGACAAATGGGTTCAGAGTACCCAGAGCCACATCGTTGTAACAATCGCGTCAGTATACCTCCAATCAAACGTTGAGCATGACTGATGAACTAGATACCGCGTCAATATCTTCGGTCAGCCGAATGCCAAAGGGCAATACCTCAACGTGGGTTTGCTAGACCAGCGACTCGCGTTCGTACTCCTTGACCAATTCCAAGCCTTGAGGATCTAACCAGTGTCGTTAACAGGGTGGAATGGTGCCGCGATAACATCGCCAGGTTCAAGTTCGTATACAACATCCTGGCCATAGTTGATTGAGTTAATCTTGATACTAGCGGCGACCCAAGTCGGATGGTCCTCTGGGGCCAGTCTGCAGGAGCCGGTTCCGTCGGACTCTACTCCTATGCATACCCTTTCGACCCGATAGTGAGCGGACTGATCGCAGATTCTGGAGGCGCCAACATCATATCTACGCCTTTTGATTACGCCCACAGCAACTTCACCTACCTCGCTGGGCTTGCTGGATGCGGTGGCCTCAATGCTGCCGATGAACTGAGATGCATGCAGAAAGTGAATGCTTCGACGCTCGCTCAACTTGTGTCGAACACCTCCAGCATCTCGTTCTCTCCGGTCGCGGACAATGTCACTCGTTTTGCCAATGTGACGGAGCGAGCCCGGGCAGGTCTTCTGGCTAACCTGGTAAGTCTACTAGGAAGAAAGCATGACTAGCCGACTGACTGGTCCCTTAGCCCATGATCACCGGAAACAATGCCAATGAAGGGGCTTCCTTTGGCACTTTCAATGCCAGTGGCGAGAGTCGCGAGAACTACGAGATTGGGTTGTCGGCCATCACCTGCCCTGTGGCCAGCGAAGTCAGGTAGGCGAACGCCAACAATAAAGGCCAGCAAGTTTGCTTATCGGAGATCAATAGAAACCGCATCGAGAATGGATTCACGACGTACCGGTATCTCTACTCGGGCAACTTCAGCAACATCTCGCCGCTGCCGTGGGTTGGTGCTGCTCACAGTGGTGAGTGTCGGTCCCGATATATATTCTGACCATTCCTGACTCTCACAGCCGAACTGCCACTCATCTTCAACACGCACTGGGAATACCGGGGCAACTCGACGCAGTACGAGTATGAAGTTGGTTATGCGATGCAGGGTGAGCCACTGTCTCGTAATCCGGTGTTGATGCTGACCGAACAGACCTCTGGCTCGCGTTTGCGCGAAACTCGTCAGTCGACCCAACCAACCGATACGGGTTCACCTGGCCAAAGGATCAATTGAATAGCAAAACAATGGCAGTGTTTGCGGCGAATGGGACAATCAATCAGCTTGGGGCTGGTGCGGAGCTGGTCGATTGGGAGTGTGCCTAGCGATTAGGGTACCTACGCAGACAATTGAGATCATAATCCATGATACAGCTCTGTTCAATGCAGAATAGTTGCATATCTGCAAGATATGTAAAAACCCAGAAGTGGTTGTCTCTGTAGAGTTTGGGTCGGCTGTTGGGAGTCTGGGACGGTGGCACCACCACGGACAGCAACGTCACCGTAGCACTCAACGCTTCTTTCAATTCTTCACATTCCAGTCACTCTCAGGAGTGAATACCTAATTGCGATCGACAGCAGCTCGACAATCTTGGCTGCCGCGCCAAGAAGTCTTGACAGGCATGTGGGCGCTGCATTCACTGTGAGTGGCTGCTGCTATTTAGCCTCCAACTGTACCCTTGGGGCCTCTCTCAACCTTTCTCTCATCCCATCCCCCCCGCGTGCCTCGAGATGTCTCGGTCTGCTGCTGCTTGGGCCTTTGCAGTGCGCTGGCGATGGTATCTCTGCGTTGCGCCCGCCGTGACTTTGCTGTGGATGCTCTATCTGCTCTCGAGTCAATATCGGCCTCGAGTCGTTGCGCAATCGCATTCTCTCTCTGCTGACAACACCACTTCCATCACTCCTGTTCCAGCATTCCCCGGCGCGGGAAATGCAACCTTGGGCGTGAGTCTCTTCGCGTTCCTGATCTGCCTGAATGCTGACTATAATGCTCCTAGTTCGAAGCAATCCTCGCCCTCTCCCCATTTCCTTCCTGGCGCACGACTGGTCTTCAAGCAGCCGCGCAATTGACCGGCCTGGACATCCAAATACCCCCGCAACCTCCCATCAACCCAGAACTCGTCGATGCCTTTGCCGGGCTGGGCCCCGAGGACGCAAGACACCCCAATCATGGTTCCGCCCTCGCCTGGGTAGCGCATCTCGATCTGATAAAACATGTTGTTCAGTCGGATTTCGAAACCTCCTTGATCGTCGAAGACGATGTTGACTGGGATGTGTCGATAAAGGAGCAGATGGTCGGGGTTGCCGAGGCTGTCCGGCGATTGACGAAGACAAAGGACGAGAATGTCGAGACGACGCCATACGGTCAATCATGGGATGTTCTTTGGGTCGGACTCTGCGCGGAAACCTGGGATCACGATTTCGAGACTGTCTTTATCGACGATGAGACTGTCATCTCGGCGGAGCAGTACGTTGGCCTTGGGAAAGCACCGGTGGATCGCCTGCCCGAAGGTCGCCGGGCGGTTTTCTATTCTGGCGCTCCGATATGTACCTTTGCATATGCATTGACCAAAGCCGGTGCTCGGAATGTGCTGCTGGATGTTGGAGCGGGTAAAGACGAGGCCTTTGATATCTCGTTGATGAACGGATGCAGGGAGCGCAATCTCACCTGCATTTCGGTCCTACCAGAACTCTTCCGACACTACATCCCGTCCGAGAAAGTCGGTGGATCGAGTCTTGTGAACGCAAAGGGCGACGACTCCAATACGACGGTGGAAGAAGAAATGGGGCATACGGAGAACATCCTCCAGAGCGCTCGATGCCACGCCTTGTGGGGGAGACCGTGCCTCGCATGAATTGAATGTACATCATGTAACTATGGAATGTAACGAATCTGAACATACAATCGGTAACGACTGACTATATTCTTCCGTAGCTAGATACACACTGCCCTCTGACCAGACCTCTTCTCTAGCCCGAGACCGACTTCTGCTGCTGCTTCCAATTCTTCTCCACCACGTCCAACCCAACCCACCTCTTCATCATGCCATCAAACGATCCAATCGGGCAGAATGTCGCAATCCAGGCGTTGAGCGCCAGCCTGCCGCGCCAGATCCAGAGCGCCGGGCGCCGCTTGCTCATGTCCTTGACCACGTCCTTGGCCCACACATTCGCGTCGGTGTCGTGCTCGACTTGCTCGTTGACCATCGCGCTCTCCACCTCTTTCTTGGCCACATTGTAGAGCGAGTTGGGCGGCAAGGTTGGGTGGGGCGCGTTGTCGTGGAAGGTCGATTGCACTGCGCCCGTCACTAGATTGATGACCCGGATGCCGAACGGCTCGAGTTCCAACCGCAGCGTCTCGGTGAGGCTGGATGCGGCGGCCTTGGAGGCATTGTAGCATCCGGCAAAGGGGCCGGTGCTGGTGACGACTCCGGAGATGGAGGTGTGCATGATGAGCAGGGCGCCGTCGTCGTGAGTCGACTCCATGAGGAGTGGGAGGAAGGCGCGTGTGACGGTGATGAGAGACCACACGTTGAGCTCGAAGAGATCGCGGCCCTTTTGGATCTCAATGTCCATGAGCGGCATGGAGTATCCGCCACCGGCATTGTTGATCAAAGCGTCAAGGGAGCCACCGGTCAGTTTTTCGACTTCGGCCACGCAGGCCTGGATGGAGTCGTCGGAGAGGGTGTCGAGGAGGACCGTCTCGATGCCGGCACTTACGGAATGCTTGAGCTTGGCCGGGTTGCGAGCCGATGCAAAGACGCGCCATCCGGCTTTGTGGAATTGGAGGGCGAGAGCAGCACCGAGGCTGCCATCAGAGCACCCGGTGATGAGGATACTGCGCTTGGACGGCATTTCTTTAGGTTGAGGATAAGACAGGTCGATCACGAGGAGAGCGTAGCGGCAGGATGAAGAGCAGCGAGGAAGGAGCGAAGAGAGGCATCATATTTCAAAAGAGAAGAATAGGAGGAACAACAATACAACAACAGCTTCAGCTTAGGGTTTCCGGTGGCGTGCAGGACAAAGAGCCCACGCTTGGTCCCGCGGGGGATGCCGGGCGCAGAACAATATCTGCCCTCGATAATCTGCAGTGCATTGTCTGCTTGGCAGTCAATGGATTAGGAGTCGAGGGAAGCCCTCGAATAGTCAACGCCGCTCGAAATGATCAGGTTTCCTTGAATCCCGGACAATGCGTGAAGATAGCGGGTATAATGGCCAACTGCATCAGGCTCGGACGATGGCAAAGCCAATCAATCACCGAGAACCCTCTTTCAATAGCACTTAAGCTTTGAAAAGAGTCAATGACGTGAGACGCTTGTCGAGTGTGCCAATGTCCCTGGGCCGCGGCTATCAGGGCTTGATCTGCCGCAGCACCACGAACTATAAGCTGCCACAAGGCAATGCACAGCAAGAACAGGACTCTGCAAAGCTGCAGGACTTGCGAAAGCATAGCATTGGCTGGCACAAGAGTACCTGCATAAATCCCCACTTTAACCGAGGGCTCGACATTCATTCTTGACAGGTTCCATGGTAGAGATAGGAACAATGGCTTCAACACAGGGCTTGCTGCACGTAACGTCGAGGGCTCGCTCCGCACCGAGGATCTCCTCGGAGGCATTCGTTGCCTGGTACGAGACCGAGCACATGGCCAATGTCCTGAAGACCTCTGCCGTCAGCACTGCATACCGGTACCACGCCGTTGCTGCCGGGCCATTCCTCTCCCTGTACCCTGTCAAAGCCAGGAATATGCAGATGTCCCGGTGAAGAGCGATGCGGTGCTTGGACTGCCCACTTTGCATCCGGGATAATACGGTCGGCGAGGTGGAAGATTCCACCATGCCTGCTGGTACGCTAAAAGAGTGCCTACCCCTCTATCTGTGAACTCATCGCTTGGAGACTGTTTATACAGTAAGCACTAACCAGAAGTGTCTAGTCTGCAACTGAAATTCCATCCGATTCTTCTCCAACGCCCGGTTCAGCCTCAGCCATCCGACCCCAACCGCCGCATCAGCGAGTCCGCTGAGAACAGAGATCTTCCATGGCGACATCGCGGACTTTGTCACACGATGATTACACCGTCGGATGGATCTGTGCCCTGCCTCTCGAGATGGCAGCCGCCCAGGCCTTCCTGGACGAAATCCACGAGGACTTACCGGTGCAGGTGAATGACCACAACGCCTACACGCTCGGAAGCATCGGAAAACATCATGTCGTGATCGCATGCCTGCCCTATGGCGAATATGGCATCGCGCCCGCCACTGCCGTCGCAACGCAGCTGTTGTCAAGCTTTCCGTCCATCAAACTGGGCTTGATGGTCGGACTAGGGGGCGGTGTTCCCCGTGAAGAGGCGGGCATTCGACTGGGCGATGTGGTTGTCAGCAAGCCGACCAGCATCCACGGCGGGGTGATCCAGTATGACTTGGGCAAGGCGCTGACCGGCGGCGAGTTCCAGCGGACGGGCATGCTGAATCGGCCACCGCAGATCCTCCTGACGGCCATGTCGAAATTGCAGGCAAACCACCTCATCGGCCGCAAGAGATTCGTCAGGCTTCTGGCGGAGCTTGAACACAAGCTCTCAGCCCAAGCCCGTGGTACCTTTGCCCGGCCGAGTCAGGAGGATCGTCTGTATGCGGCTGATTACGACCATGTACCGACCGGGCTGAGCTCGAAACCGTGCGAAGCCTGTGACGTCGACAGGTGTGTTTCTCGTGCAGATCGCAGCGACAGCGTACCGGTTGTCCACTACGGCCTGATCGCCTCAGCCGACCAGGTGGTGCGAGACAGCCGGCTGCGGGACAGGCTCGGCCAAGAGCTGGGGGTCTATTGCGTCGAGATGGAAGCCGCGGGACTGATGAACAACTATCCATGCCTGGTGATTCGCGGTGTCTGCGACTATGCGGACTCCCATAAGAACAAGGACTGGCAGGGGTACGCAGCAGCCACCGCGGCGGCCTATGCCAAAGAGCTGCTGCTGGTCACCTCCGTCAGCCACGTCGACCAGATCCGCACCGTGCGCGATACGCTTTCTTCAGGTGCGTGCCGTCTTCTTCCAACGGCGCCTATGTTAGAGGAGTGCTGACAGCGATTGCTTCTGTATCCAGACCTGCTGGGAGCGGCTGCCGTTCCCTCCCCTCGACCGTCGCGGTCAACAACACCGGTCGCGATCGACCACAGTGACCTCGGCGGTGTTTATCTGGGAACGATCAGAGGCGCCGAGATTATCCCACGACTGATCCAGAACCCGGAGTACTGGCGAGCTGAGATCAACACGCTGCTGACACAGCTGCTGGCAATCCATCCCCAGTGGTGGGTGGAGGCAAGGCCGAAGACAGCAGAGATGATGAACGCCTTTTTTGCCCGGAACAGGCTGACCTTTAGGGTGAATATTGTTCAGAGGAAGACGCCGCGTCCAAATTACTCGGGCCACAACCGGCAGTATCTGAACAGTCTGTTCCACCATAACATGGGGTGGATCAACGGCTGGGAGAATGCAGGAGTGCCGGAGATCAACATGGGCATCCTCAACCTGTGGGCGATTCTCGAGTTCTTGGACAGAGATGTTGAATGATCACTTCAAGAAATGAACGGGATTCAGTGCAAATACTGGACAGTCATGATATTGTCGTCTTGTTTGCCGTAGTGCCTCTGTAAACTCTTCTCCCCACGCAGCGTCGTTTCCCATCGACGGTCGTCGAGGTGGCAAATACCAAGGCCTTATTCCCAACAGCACTGGCCTTGACATAAAGCTTGGATAATGAAGACCCTTTCTATGATGGGCCGTGCAGCAGGCGGGGCAACCCATGCTCGCATTTCCGCACTCGATTGGGGACCTCGTCCCGAGCCTTCGCGAAACCCGTCGATCCAGGGTTGTCTGGTGGAAGTGGTGGCACTCTGAGTTGCGTACCTTTCTCCACAATGCGAGCGTGGCGATATGATATCTGCAGTGGCGCTGGTTTCTGTGAGCTTCTACTGGCAGCCCAACCGTCACGCACCCACGGATCGCTTGTCCGATCTCAATTTTTTGCAATGCGAACTTTTTTACTTCGGTAGCCACTCGGTGCCTCTCGGCCAGGGGCTCTGAGACACATTTAATAAGGAGCGTTTGGCAAACTTCTGGCATGTCAGGACGCAGCTCTCCCGCAACGGACCGCCAGGACCCGTCACCACGATGCCTGCCCACGATCTGATGAGCCCGACATCATTCGTTCCTGAGCAGAAAGATGGCACCAAGCAAGTGGCTTCATCAGCAGAGTCCGTGACCTCCAACGAGCCGTACTGCATCACGAGCACCCGGCGAAAGATCTTCATCATGTGCATGACCAGCCTCGCCATGGTCATCACCATGGTCCCGACCAACATCGTGCTGCCCGTCCTTCCCATTCTCCAGGACAAGTACAGCGTGACGACGACGCAGATGAACCTACTTGTCACCGTCTTCTCAATTTTTCAAGGCATCACCCCGGCTCTAATGTCTGCGCTGTCCGATCTCCAAGGGCGGCGGATGGCATGGATGTTCACGCTGGTCATCTACACCGCGGCCAATATCGGCCTCGCTCTGCAAAACAGCTATGTCGCGCTGATCATCCTCCGATGCCTGCAGAGTGTTGGAAGCAGCTGCGCCATTCCATTCGGCTTTGCAGTTGCGGCCGATATCTCATCTCCGGCGGAACGAGGTCGATTCATCGGCCCTTTGCAGGGCTGTGTGATGGGAGCATTTGCGTTCGGACCAGTTATCGGAGGCCTGTTGGAGCCCAGCTTGGGGTGGAGAAGCATCTTTTGGTTCCTCGCCATTGGGAGCGGTACAGCCCTGGTCGCCTACTTCGTGGTCATCCCTGAGACGGCTCGCAATATCGTCGGGAACGGTTCCATTGAGCCAAAAGGATGGTGGAGGCGGCCAATGGTGGAGAATGTTCAACGGCGTCTGCAAGCAAGCTCGAAACAGGCAGACGCACAAGGGCCGTCAGAAAAGCCTCAACAGGAACGAATCAAGGTGGCACAAATCCTCAGAGCGTTCACCATTCTCGCCGAGAAGGACGCTTTGATTCTGGTCATCTTTACCAGTCTTTTCTACTCAGGCGTCACATCCATGTGGGCAACCACCGGAAGTCACTTCAACAGTCTGTACGGGCTCAGTACGCTCGAGGTTGGCTTTTCCTTCTTGTACGTATATTTCCTGCAGATCACGACCTCCACCGCTGATCACATTGACACACAGACCATACGGAATCGCCGGCGGCATTGGTTCAATCATTGGCGGCAAACTAGTTGATATCAACTACCGACGCATCCAGAAACAACAGTACCAGAGTCTCAAGTCAGATTCAACGCCTGAACAGCCCATCGACTTCCCTTACGAGGTTGCGAGACTGCAAGTTGCGATTCCGTTCGCGCTCCTGGCGGCATTATCCCTTATCACGTATGGCTGGATGGTGGAAACAGGCCAGTCACTTGCGGTTTCATTGACCCTGCAAGCATTGATTGGCCTGGGTGGAAATCCGTTGCTGGGGACTATCTACACGCTGCTGATCGACCTCTACCCAGCCCAGGCCGTGGCAACTCAGGGGGCAGCGGATCTGGTTAGATGCTGGCTCGGTGCCATTGCAGCTGCAGTCATTGACTACATGCTGTCCGGCATCGGCTGGGGGTGGTCCTTTACCATTCTTGGGTTACTGATGATGCTGGCCATGCCGGCATTGGGTCTGGTGTATGTACGCGGGCCTAAGTGGCGCAAGGAAAGCGGGGCCAGCAGTCTAAGTGAAAAGCAAGTACTCTAAGTTTAGCAGAAATGAGAGGACAGTTGCTATGATCTATTATGAAATGGTCCTTCAATGACAATTGTAATTGGAAGCCTGTAAAGCAGGCATGACCTGCACAGGGCAATGGCACTCAATCAGACATGCACGAATCGATTGGAATGATAAGCAGGGGTCCCGTCCACCTTTTGTCCAACAGTAGGAGATTAGATTGCTCTTCATTGCCTGAAGCTGATTCGTTGGCAGGCAGGGCTTGGGGTCGCTTTGGCCCCTGCCAAGTGCCAGCCTTGGGGTTGATATAGATTGCCCGGGCGCCAAATATTTCTGCAACGGTCTTTTCTTTTTCATCTCCAAAATGGACCCTGATCCGCATCTGCAAGCGCAGCATGAGCAATTTTTGATGCATTCTGATGATCGCAGTGATGAGGATGAGAAAGGGCAGCCTAGACATGGTCGGCTGCATCGATGGTACACGGGCTGGAAGTTTACGCTTTCCTTAGCAGCCGCTGCATGCATTCTTGTTCTTTCCTTCAACCTTGGCTTTCTACTATGGGCTGTTGCGAGGCATCAACTGGCGGACAACCGCGGTGTTCTGTACGAAGGCGATTGCGACCGAGTGAAGCGGTTAAGCACCGGGCTGCATCTTCTGATCAATGTCCTCAGCACGACTCTGCTGGGTGCAAGTAATTACGGGATGGTGCGCTACATTCCCCTGGCTTAAGCTATTGCTTACCGACCGTAGCAATGCCTCTGCGCGCCCACCCGAAGGGATATCGACCAGGTGCATAAACAAGGCAGCTACCTTGATATCGGCGTGCCGAGCCTACGGAATCTTTCCTACATCCCCACAAAACGGACGCTTCTCTGGATCTGTCTGGCGCTATCGTCGCTTCCTCTGCACCTTGTGTAAGCGTCCCCGTCCATGAGCAGCACTCCTAAGCTCCTAACGTTGTGGTCCAAATGCAGGTACAACTCCACGATCTTCTCAACGACCGCAGCCTATCCGTACACAATCTTTGCTGGCCACGATTCTCTAGGCACCACGCCTCTAGCAGACCTGAATGCAGGCCAGCTAAGCGAGGAGCACACCACCGCATTCCGACGTCTCTACAGCGGAGCACAAAACGGAAGTTTGGAACAACTGGATGGCCCTGCGTGCGTCAATGCCTACGCAACAACCTTCCAGACAAAGCACGGCGACCTGCTGCTAGTAACAGACAATGTGAGCTCGCCAAATCAGTACGACTACGTGGGCGACCAAATGGTTTACAGACCCCTGGCCGGCCCCGAGGCCGACCTGCCCTTCGGCGACCCATACGGCTGGATGTGCCAGGACAACTCTTGGAATTGGTGCAGCGCATATCTACCCAGCATCCAGTCGGCCGCGAACAACAACACCTGGGTTGTGTACGCGGGCGACGACGATGATCGCACGTACCGCGTGGACGCATGTCTCGCTGTTAATGTTCCCAAACTCTGCAAGCTGCAGTATTCCCTGCCGCTGACGATCGTCGTAATCGCTGTCAATGCCGTCAAGGCTGTTATACTGTGCTATATGGCTGTTATGATGAGTGGAGTTCCGATCCTGACCACGGGAGATGCTGTGGCTTCCTTTCTGCATAAGCCAGACAAATACACCCGGGGTCGATGCTTGTTGTCTGCGCAACAAGTCCAGAAAACAGTCAACTCAGCACCGCGGGTTCCACCAGCCTTTACACCTTTGGCCTACACCAAGAGGACGAGGAGAAGACATGCCGCTGCGTCTCGTTGCCAATGGGCGACTATTTCAGTATGGTAGGTTCGTATCCCGATATGGATGTCTTCAGCTGACAATCTCTCCAGCTGGCTAATAGCCATTGTGATCTGCATTGCTCTCCTGATCCACGCTCACAGATTCGATGGCTCCGCAGTCTGGGACGCCGAATTCGGGTCGATCAACGCCCAAGCGCTCATCAAGGGGTCCGGCTGGCCAACATCCCTGATATCGAACACCATGATAGCAAACACCCCGCAACTCCTCTTCTCCATCCTCTACTTCAGCTTCAACAGCATAATGACGGCTATCTGCCTTGCTACGGAATGGTCCAGCTACGCCCTAACACGAAAGCCCCTCCGAGTATCCTGGAACCCGCAGTCCCACCAACGGAGCAGCTATTTCCTCTCCCTGCCGTACCGCTACGCGCTACCACTCATGCTGGCATCTGCGATCCTGCACTGGCTGATTTCACAGAGTCTATTCCTCGTCGGGATCGAAGCGTATGATCTCCGGTGGAGACGGTCAACAGACCGCGACCTGATCACATGCGGGTATAACCCTGTTGCAGTGGTGAGTTCTATCGCGGTTGCAGTTGTTATGCTTGGTTGTCTGGTTTGGATGGGGTTTAGGAAGTTCTCGTCTGGAACTGGGATCCCCATTGCTGGGAGCTGTAGTTTGGCGATGGCGGTTGCTTGTCATCCGCGGTTTGATGCGAATTTGGACGAGGAGGGATTGGGGCGGAATGTTAGTGGTGAGAGGATGGAATATCTGCCGCTGCAATGGGGCGCTGTGCCTGTTTCTGGTGAGATTGGGCATTGTACCTTTACCTCTGAGGAGGTGGAGGTTCCTGAAGAGGGGAGGATATACCAGTAACCGACCCTGGCGGCCACCCAGCCAACCTTTAAGCTAGAGCCATCCAGATATCATCCTGAAAAGGAGTGTCCCAATGCTGCCATCAATGAGATGGCTACAAAAAGGGCTCAAAATGAATTGATCCGAAGGTGTGACAAGTGCTCACACGGGCGTAGATAATACTGACCATTTGTTTCCATCCCTGTCCCAAATGAGATTACTGAGCGAAGAGTCGATGTGCAGTAGTAGTATGCCGCTACGATTTCAAGACCAATACTCTGTATACGAAGCTAAAGTCTGCCAGGGAGCTACAGCAAAGTTCCCTGGAGGAATATGAATCCAGGACGACATTAACCAAGAAGTTGCTATAACCGCCAGTAAGAGAATGTATATAGTAGATCATAGAGCTACTCCTGAGAGATGATTGTTCGTCTTAAGCCCTGGCAGCCAACATGTCCAGGTCCAGACCAGAAAGAACCCACAGGACCGCCCGTTTCCTGGCGAAGGTGAATGAGCGGAGAAGTACAAAGGCCAGAACGAGCAAGACCACGCCTACGACAAGCATCAGGCCTATCCAACGGGAATGATGGCCCCTGTCTGTGAGGTCTGCGGCAGTGCCTTCAAGTGCCACATGTGCAAACTTGTACGTCTGATGTTTAGGATCGATCGCGGACTCCTGGGCCGGACGGGTGTTGTTGCGCCTGACGCAGATGGATGTCCCCCGTCCGTTACAGTTCGTCGGGTTATACAAGGGGTCCTGGTCAAGGCGTCGAACGACTGACTCGTGGAGGACGGCATCAAAGGGCATGTCGCGGGAGCCGCCCTCGTTCAGGGGGAAGCGGACGTTCTCCCACAGCGGCCGGCTGTCCGTCCATGCCAGTTCCCAGCGGGTCGTGAGGGGCCAGTACTCTGCGCAATTAGTCTACGTTCCATCGAGGTGATGAAGGTGATGAAGGGGCTTACCCAGGAATTTCCACAGTAGCACGGTGAAGAAGTCGGTCCCCAGGCCGAACGACAGCGAGTCATGCACGAACCCCCCTATGGCAAATCGGTCTTTGTCGTGGAACCATTTATGGAGATTCCTTTTGAACCGGTCGACTTTGGAGCTCCATTTGACCGCCGCCAGTGGGTTCTTTTGCCCTACAAGCTCAAGCTCATCGATCATCCAGGCGAGTGGGATATCGCTCATCTGCAGCTCGGCTCCATGGGTATTGCTGGGCCCCTCGAGCTTATAGAGCGACCAGAGCCTCTGCATGTACTGCCAGGGGCTCCAGTGGCTGGGATTCGGCCTCTTCTCGTCGGCCACGGAGCGCCGACCGTCCCCAGCAGGCCAACCACCGCCAACGTCGCCGTGGCCACCGGGAAACCAGACCTCCTTGATGTCTTCATCGTCCGTATCCTTCGTATCGAGGATATCCTGGGCGAGCAGCGCCGCTTTGAACTTGACGCGGCGCTCATCGACGGCCACCGCGTGCCGGACATAGTGCGCGGTCCCAACGACCTCGACGGGGAAGGGCGCCTTCTGCTCCAGCACGGCAACAGAGCTCACGCAATCCCAGAGGCCGAGGAAGTACACCTTGATGTTCCTCCCCTTGCCGTCTTTGCCTGTTTCCTCGCGGCAGAACGTCTGGCTGAATGCTTTGAGCTCGTCGAACGCCTCCTTCGTCTTGTCGACATCGATCGAATTGCCGGAGAACGCCTGCCCGTCTTTTTCGCGTTGCTCCGTCTCGTCTCGCCTGGCTTCCAGTTCCTGCACATCTATCAGTTTCGGAGGGCCCTGTACTGCTGGCTTGGCCTTCGCCGGTTGCCGAAAGCTGAACGTCTTTTTGAACCAGTCGAGCCACGCGCCGTTCGTCAGTTGCTCCATTGGGATAGTCTCTCGGAGCTGGTCGAACAGCTTCGAAGCCATCTCAGTGGGATCGGTGTTCTGGAGCTGCTGGGTCAATTTCGACACATCCAGCTTGCCTGGCGCGGTCGTCACAGTTCTCTGGAGCTGGTCGTAGAGGTTCGTGATCTGGTCGCCCGACATGCTCGCGACCTGGAGCTTCTCGATTCCGGCACTGGTTGGCATTTGGCTCAAGATGCCGTTTGTGAACTGTTCGATGCTGACGGTTTTGATCAGTTGGTCGAGCGTCTTGGCTTTCTTGAGCTCTTCCTTCTGTTCAACGGTGCGATTATGCAGTTCTCCTGCCAGATAGCGCTGGTAGAGAAGGTACGCAAACGGGACCATCTCCTCGTTTCCCTTGCAGAGAAGACCGACGGTGCTGATCATGCGCGCCAGGAACTTGGCCGTGTACGCGCCACGGCTGAAGCCAAACATATAGATCTTGGCTCCCTGAACGAGCACAGCATTAGCAATGGTGGGAGAATAGCAGAGCATCGATGGATCCACTTACCGACTCATAGTACTGCATCAGAAACCGATAGCCGGCTATGACATGTGCGTCAAAGGTGGTGGCATAGCCCTGATCGATGGTTCTCACAATCGTGCTCCACTTGTCCCAGAACCAGCGCTTGTTCACCGAGGTCTCGTTGATACTGTAGGTGCCAATGCCGGCTGGCATCGAGAGACATCAAGTGAGAACGAAGCTTCCAGGAGTGGCAAGGCGGACGTACTCTGGTAATAATGGTACTGCTTAGGATGAGTGCGATCGAGCATGCTCAAGAGTTTGACCACATTGGTATCGGCATTCGATCCGCTGAAGGTGTTGCCAGTGCCGTCGAAGCAGAGCACGAGCTTGACTGGCTCTTTGGCTGGTCCAGAGCTCTGCAGACCGTTTTGCTGCTGCATGCTGGCCATTCCTTTGGTGGGTTGAGAGAGGAGAATGAAGGTGATGCGCGAGGAGGAGGTAAGCGACGAAGCGCCTCTAAATGGTCACAGTCCTAGTAACGCGTTGAAGGAAGAGAGAAACTCTGTGAGAGGCTTTATTTATTTGCCAGGTTGAATCTCTTCTTGGGCTTGGGGCTGTTTCTCCTGCCGCTCCAACCGCAGTCCGGGGTACCCGATGATCGGAGCCAGCACCTGTGTGGGTTTGTCGTGTTGAATACGAATCAAAAGCCTCTTCGGTTTGTTGGACCGCATCAATGAGGATGTCCCAATCCCAGCTGAAGGCAATGCGCCTCCCATCTGGAGCGCATCCGCATCTCGTCACGCAGATAGAAGACGCTGAGTTGGTCGAACCATGGCGCGCTGAAAACATCGTCCTTCGGTGTGCCCGAGCCCTGGGACTTCCGCGGAAGGGAGGCTGGCTGTGGTGGACTCGGGCTGGCTGAAGTGAGGGCTGGCTGAGAGAGACAGCACGACCAATCATGCACGCCATATATTCGTATCCTATAGTTCGTGTAACCTTGGACCTATCAAATACCTGAGCATTGGGCAGAACTGGTGGAGTACTGCAGTTGAGAGGAAAAGGACAAACATGCAGCTCTAGCACCGCGTATACCCCGCGGCCTCTCATAGGAGGATGTGTGTTTGCTTGCTGCAGTGACGGGCAAAGGCGGGCGTCGTATCTGTGGTTTGCATGCATCGTCGGGCATCCAATACCATTGATTTGATTTGTGTCCATGACCGTGTTGCAGGGTGGGAGGAGTTCGACTCTTCGAGAGAGCGCCAACCCGTTCATATCGCGTAGAATAAGAAAACGCATAAGAAGAGAGTCGCGGCCTCCGTACCTGCCATCCCTGCATAGGCTCTTTTACGCTGCGAAATCTCAACCATCTCCATGTCGTCCGAAGAGGGATTTCCGACCGGCGATGGTGAGGGTGCTCGACAGAAGTGGAACAGCGTTCTGACTCGCCCTGTCGAGATTGTGAAAAGCTATGTCGGTATTCGAAGACAGGTGTCTGCAGCAGAGCTCGCAGGCCTTGTCAGAGGACTATCGCAGAAGGGAGAACCCCTCGATGATAAGAAAGGGTAAGCCAACCCTTACTTACATGGCATTGTCTGGTGATCCCCACTGACGTCGGCAGCACGACCGAACTTCTCATCAACATTCTGACCTCCCTGCCTTCGAAATCGAATCTCCGAGCTGTCTTCACCAACAGGCTGATTGAAACGCTTTGGAACAACCTCCAGCATCCGCCCCAGAGCTATGCCGGCAGCGACGTCAAGTACGACGTCGTCAACCCCAAGGAAACACTGCACCACAGGCGGGACACCGGTGAGCCCATCAATGCGATCGAGTTCACGGCCCCAGACAGCAGTGTCAGGCTGCGAGAGCATATCTCACCAGCGGGCAATGGAGAACACCAGTACCGAACGCCCGACGGGAGCTTCAACAACATCCTCGAGCCGAACCTGGGCAAGGCAGGGTCGCAATATGCCAAGTCGGTCAGTCCGCTCAAGAGCCTCCACGGTGTCAAGCCCGACGCAGGCCTGCTGTTCGACCTCCTGATGGCGCGGGATGAGACGACCTATCGAGAGAATCCGGCCGGCATCTCGTCGATGCTCTTCTACCACGCATCCATCATCATCCACGACATCTTCCGCACCAGCCCCGCCGACGCCAACAAGTCGGACGTCTCGTCCTATCTCGATCTGGCGCCGCTGTACGGGTCCTCGCTCAAAGACCAGCTGGAGATCCGCACGATGAAGGAGGGCAAGCTGAAGCCCGATACCTTCCACGAGCGACGCCTGATCGGACAGCCGCCGGGCGTCAACGTCATGCTGGTCCTGTACAGCCGCTTCCATAACTATGTTGCCGATGTCTTGCTGAAGATCAACGAGCATGGGCGGTTCACGTTGGTGTTTCCCGCCAATGCAAGCGCCGAAGACAAGGCCCGCGCAGTCGCCAAGCAGGACCACGATCTGTTCAATACCGCTCGGCTGATCGTTGGCGGGCTGTATGTCAACATCTGCTTGCATGACTACCTCCGTGCAATCACCAACACGCATCACTCGAAGAGTGACTGGACGCTGGACCCGCGGGTTGAGATCGGCGAGCGAGCTGGCAGTGGCGGCGTGCCCCGAGGCAGTGGCAACCAGGTCAGCGTCGAGTTCAATCTGCTGTACCGCTTCCATTCGTGCATCTCGAAGAAGGACGAGCGCTGGATCAACAATTTCTTCCTCAAGCTGTTCCCCGGTCGCACGGCAGATGATCTGGTCAATGTCAGCCACATGGAGGTCGGTCAAGCCCTGCGCCGGTATGACCAGAGCATCCCAAAAGACCCAAGCACTCGAACCTTCGACGGACTTGAGCGCCAGCAGAACGGGATGTTCCGAGACGAAGACCTTGTGCGGATTCTGAAGGAGGCGATGGATGACCCTGCCGGGTCCTTCGGTGCTCGAATGGTCCCCAAAGCGCTCAAGATCGTTGAAGTGCTCGGCATCCACCAGGCACGCAAGTGGCAGGTTGCCTCCCTGAACGAATTCCGCGAGTTCTTCGGACTGAAGCGGTACGAGCGGTTCACCGAGATCAACTCAAACCCTGATATCGCCGACCTCCTCGAGAAGCTGTACCAAGACCCGGACATGGTGGAGCTGTACCCCGGCCTCATGATCGAAGACATCAAGCCCGTCCGCAGCGCAGGGTGTGGCATCTGCCCGACGTATTCAGTCGGCCGCGCTGTGCTCTCCGACGCGGTCACCCTGGTCCGCTCCGATCGCTTCAACACCCTGGAGTTCACGGCCGCCAACCTGACCAACTGGGGGTATAACGAAGTGCACTCGGATAACAAGACGCTGGGCGGGTCCATGCTATACAAGCTCATCCAGCGCGGCGTTCCAGGCTGGTTCCCGTTCAACTCGGTGGCCGTCATGCAGCCCATGTACACCAAAGCCGCCAACGAGCAGATCGCCAGGGAGATCGGAACCCTGGCCCAGTACACCCTGGCCGACCCCAAGCCGCCGGCAAAGCCCGTCGTGGTCTTCACCAACGCAGCCATCAAGCAAGTCCTGCGCAACCCCAAGCAGTTCGCCGTTCCTTGGCTGCATCCCCTCAGTGCCTTGTTCCCGGGCACGAAGGATGTCAGCTGGTTCATGCTGGCGGGCGACGAGCCCCGGAACCACGCCCACCGCACTGCTTTCACCAAGGTGCTCGGCCAGATCCCGAACTTGCACCGCGCGGTGCACAGGCTCGTTGAGCAGGTGGGTGCGGAGCTGCTGGAGAGAAAAACATTCACTCTCAGGGAAGGCCTGCATCAGATCAATCTGATCCGCGACGTGGCCATTCCGCTGAATGCACGGCTCCTCGGCGACCTTTTCTGCTTTGATGTGCGGTCGGACGAGAACCCAGCCGGGACTTTGAGTGCCGCTGCGCTCTATCGCCATTTGCTTGCCATCCGGACCTGGGGCGTCAATAACAATGACCCCGGCGAGGCGTGGAACCGTCGCCGACGGGCCCAGGAGGGCGCGAAGGTGGTCGTCGACTCGACTCGAAAGTTGGTCGACGAGGTTGTTGTCGGCCGCGGGGCGGAATTCAGTTTCACTTCCGCTTGGACCTTGATTCAGTACTATATCTCGATGGTTTTCCTTTTTCTTTTCGGCTCATTCGCGATTTCATCGTCCGCTGGCAACCTTTCGCGCAGGGCCCCCATCAGAAAAGACTCCCTGCGGTCCTGCGGCTACAGGCTCGTGGAGGGGCTTCTTGACCAAGGAACCTCTGCCGAGCAGGTTGTTGATACTCTGTGGCTGACAGCCTTTGGCGGGATTGGCGTCCCCGTCACTTCGGTGAGTGCCCTTTTGGGGGTGATTGCGTGATCGCTTTGGTTGACTGTGTGTTTCGACTAGTTCTACGAAGTCCTGCAATTTTTCCTGCGTCCCGAGAATGCCCCCATCTGGACGGAAGTGCAGAGCCTGGCTCGAAGAGGCGAAGACAGCACACTTCAGAGCTATGTGCTCGAGGCTCAGCGGCTGACGAGCTCCCAGCGCAATGTCCGCATTGCGACGCAGCGGACAGAGCTCGAAGGCAAGGTGATACAACCGGGCAGCCCGGTTGTCATGATGCTTGTAAGTTTCAGTCCCTGGAGCGGTAACGTAGCGTCTGACTATATTCAGGGCGAGGCTGGACGCAACGGAGCAGAGGTCCCGAATCCCAATAAGTTCGACCCAAAGCGCCAGGCGAATGGTGTGAGTGCATTCAGCTACGGCCAGCACGAGTGCGTAGCCAAGGGTGTCGCGCTCGCCTTCATGACAGGGCTCGTGAAGCTCGCAGCTGGCCTGAAGCAGTTGCGTCCGGCAGCCGGCGAGCTGGGCCAGGTCAAGACGATCCACATTGGAACCGAGAAGGCATATCTCGATGAGAGTTGGTCGCACTTGGGTTTCGAAGTCAGCAGTGAGTTTTGACCCGACAACCCCGCTTGCTTTGTTTTTCTAACATCGAATAGCGTGGAAGCTGCAGTTCGACGGCCGGGAGAAGTAAAACTGGGGCGGGGGTATGCTGTAGCGGCGTTTAGGGTTGATCTGGATGCGATGTGAAGAACTGTTATACAGATAGCGTATCTCTACCGTAGAATGCGAACGGCTTTTTTAATTCCCCTCCTTCAACATTCTCTGGCCACTGGAGACATGCACCTCATTCAGTACTGAAGGATCGTCCCCGGGCGCCTATTCCAGCAGAAGCAACGGTGGGTCAGACAAGGTTACCCCTGCTCATGTTCATGCAAAGGAACCTGCGGCCAAACATTGAGGCTGGCTGATGGAGTGAATTGCTGGCGTCAGGCAGCCACACATGCCAGCTTGCCCGGAGAGGTTCATGTGTTCGCCATGCAGTGTGACTCCGGAATTGTAGGATTGACCAACTACTCCGTCCTGAGCCTCCGACCGGGCTTCTCAATTCATCGGACAGGCTTTCTGATCCCCGACGCAGCTTCCTTTTCGCCCGATCCATCGTGGATGTTGACATTGTTAAGTTCAAGCCCACCTTCGATTGCCTATCCCCGCCAGCTAAACTTTAGGGCTGTTGGAAAGCTTGTTGCCTATATGTTTGGATAGTAAGACAGGTGCCGTTCCAAAGGTTTGTATACATGTATTGCATTCCAGGGAACATACATTGGTGGGGAAGCTCGGCTCTCGATGTATCAGATACTGGAGGACAGTTGAATTGGAACTTCCTTGCTTTCTTTCATTAGTAAATAGGTTAGTAAGGACTGGCAGCTAGAGGCGCACGATCAGAAAGTTAGTTTGATATCGATACTGTCTTGCCCATCTATTTCGTGGTTCGCGATCCCCTTCTCGCCAGGTCGTCCGAACAGACGGACTTGGCTTCTGGACTGCCACAATGGCAATGTGTCGATAGGGCCACAAGAGGTACTAAACGCGAAGGAAACAGAAAGTTAGCTGACGATTATTCTGCTAGGCGCTGGTATTCCGTCCTGTACACGGGATTCTGCTTGGCTGACACCATCACTCCATAACGCGTATGGCTCGTCGCCCGACGAATGCTTCTCATCTCTGTCAGCGATCAACATTATAACATCCTCTTCCGCCAAAAGGTTTCTGAAGATCATCGCGTTTTACCTGTATCTACAGGATATATGTGGTTGTGGTAGGCTGGCTCTCCCCCGGAGACGGCAGACTAAATGAAGTCACGCAACAAAGTCACAGCCAATAAAGTCCGGAGCAGCAATGATGCGCTCATTTCAAGAGATTGTGTGACAGAATACCAAGTTCTCAGTTCCCAACTTCCTGCGACCGTGTGACTGCTTGTGCCGATCTGTTGTACAGAATTGTGGTTACGTCACTTGGGCATCTGACATTCACCATTCGGAGTAAAAGGAGTAAATCCAAGTCCGCAGTAGCAAGTAAAGAACTCAATATTAAGCTGCGAAATGCGATAAGCCCTTCTCTCCTCCACCCAACTCTGCGAGCTGACCCAACCGACCATGAAGCCTTTCCACCTCGTTATGCTACTCTATCTCCTCGTTCCTTCCAGCTGTTTGCCCAAACGCAAAGATCAAGCCAGCCTTCAATGGTCGATATGCGATACAGATCCGGAAGCTGTATTGGCCAAGTTAGGCCATGTAGCCCGCGACCCTGACAAACTCGACCCGATTACCTACTACGATGCCTATCCCCCACGGTATACGCCCAACGGACTCATGTTTCGGACCAAGGTTCGCGGTGGCCAGGAGATCTCGGTCGTGAAGGTGCAGTTGGCAACAGAGGAAGGGAAACCACGTGTGCCCGACCACGCCGAACTGTGTCGGTGGGATCATTATGGCGATGACATTACCTTTGTATGCAAGCGACAAGCTCCTGTTAACGGAACCCACCTCTGGAGTGCGGAGCAAAGGCAGTTCGCGGAGGAGATTCAGAACGACGTTGCCTGGGAGAATCTCGTTGGCTACGGGCTGTATTCAAATCCCAAGTGGAAAAAACTGCGCATTGAAGGATACGAGGCTGTGTTGGACGATGTGACTGTCCAGTCCCTGCACCTCATGGAGCTGGAAGTCAAGGTACATCGGGCAGAAGAGGATAGGGTCTATCAGTCCATCACGGACCATCTCAGCGCACGGGGAGTGGTGTTATGTGCCCGGCAGGAGTCCAAGACCATGCGGTTGTTTCGTGCTATGGGCCATCTCGCAACGCCGGACGAGTTATAGGTTGTGTATATTGGCTATCTCTAAATCGGGAACTGTTTATCATTGTTACGAACAATTTTTACACTGAACTACGCAGCATATTGACAAGATCCAAACTGGTCAAAGCGTCAGAGCGCGTACGATTTAGACATCTGCACCATCTCTTGCGAAGCCCGATGCGATCTTACCTATGATGCATCGCGCATCAAGACCCAACCCTCCGAATAACTACTTTCTTGGTTCCAGCCACGAAGGGCTTTACGCAATCCGCCGTCAAGCATGGAGATAGCATGGAGATAGCATACACAGACATGCTGATAATGGCTTTCACACATGCTTATACCCCCTTGCCCGATGATCCGACCCGAGCAACTGGTGCAGTGCGACTAAAGGCGGATTAACATTAGGTTGATGCGACCCTAACAGTCTAGAGATCAGCACCTACCGTGCGATGACTTCCAATGATCTTGGGTTCGGTGGGAACAGTGCCGAGTGGATGCTTTGCATGCTGGACTGGGCTCGATTGAGTGTTGTCAACAGCACGTTTGGCAAGTTAATTAATGATGGAGTCAGAGTAATCGACAGTGTGCGAGTGACACCTCCAACCCTGACTTGGGCGATGCGAGCAGTGCTCGAGTACGATTTCGCCATGCCTCACCTCCATCTCAGGTCATGTCAGACTCATTGATCAGAATATGTACATTCAGTCCTTATTGGTCAGAATGTGTGCATGGTCATGATGAGTGATGCTGATTTGATGCTGATAAATGGTCACCTGACCTGCAGCCACCATTAAATCCTCTTCCCCTCCTCCTTTGGTCATTATTCATCTTCGATTCATCTGTCAGACTCCAAATGAAGCCTCTCTATCCGAAAGCCAAGGAGCGGCGCGTCAGTCTATCTGATTCGGGCCTCCGAAAGTCGCGATTCGCCGTCCTTCGAACCGCCACCGTCTTTGGAGTCATCTTAACCTTGCTCTTCCTCTCGCTGTTCTCGTATATCTTCGGCTCGCTGTATCAGCTGAATGACCACTTTCACCACCTGAATGTCGCCTTTGTCGACTACGATGGGGGTGTTGTTGGGGATGCTGTCCGCCAGGCGTATGATGGGCTGCGCGCCGACACCTTTTTCACCCTCAGCGAACAGTCGCCTGCGGATTATTCTCAGCCTCAGGATCTGCGCTCGGCCGTGTGCGACATTGACTACTGGGGGGCCCTCTACATCTCTGCCGGTGCTTCTGATCGCTTGGCAGCTGCACTAAGCGATGCCGATTCGGCCTCTTCCTACAACAACCGCGACGTCCTCACATGGATCTGGAACCAGGCCCGGTATCCAACGACCATCGACTCTCTTGACCGACAGGTCAGGACACTTGTCGAAGCTGCCCGTGTTGCCTACGTGCGAATAAATGGCACCGGCGCCGTGCAGTCTCTCGATACCTCCAGTCCCGCCGCTGTGGCTGCGTACTCGAATCCCTGGCAACTCGCCCAAGACAACCTCCAGCCCACAGCCCAGGGCTCCCGCCTCATCTACAATACCCTCGTCATTATCCTCATCCTGATCCAAGAATTCTTTTTCCTCGCGACTGTCAACGGTCTCTACGGACAATTCGGCCTCTTCGGCCGGGTCAAGCCTCTCCGCATGATCTTCTTCCGCTTCCTCATCTCCGCCCTGTACACCCTCGCCGGCTCCATCTGCGCAATCGGCGCAGTCTGGGCCTTCCGCTCCGGGTGGGAGGTCAACGGAAACCAGTGGGCGCTCTCCTGGATAACGATGTGGCTCTTCGCCCACCTGAACTTCCTCACGCTGGACGTCGTCGCCGTCTGGCTGCCCCAACCCTATGTTCCCATGGCCCTGATATCATGGGTCGTGCTCAATGTCGCCTCGATCCTCGTACCCTTTGAGCTCTCGCCCGCCTTGTACAAATGGGGCTACGCGCTGCCCGCCCATGCAGTCTACAATATCTTTATCGATATCTGGTCCGGTGGGTGCAACCCGCAGCTAAACTACGCTCTCCCGGTGCTATTTGCATATGAACTATCGAGCGGGATCCTCAGCGCCCTCGGGGTCTACCGCCGCGCGCACTACGCCGTCGTCGCGGCAGAGCGCGAGGAGAAGAGCTGGCAGGAGAAGATCGCCACAGCGGTTGCAGAGTGCACGAGGACGACTAGTCGGGTCCCGGCTCCGTTGGCGCTGTCGCCAACGCAGAGCAAGGAGAGCAGGATAGCGCCGGATGAGGATGTCGATGACTTTGATGCGGGTGAAGGTGAGGGTCGGCGGGCATCGAGCTCAAGTGTTGAGGAGGGTGTGCCGGATCGTGCGGAGCTTACGGGACGGCTTTGGCGGGCGACGTCGCAGATGAACATCGAACAGGCGAGTGCGCGGAGGAAAGAGTCGATTGGGCCGGCCTTTACGTTGCGGTAGTTGTATTTTGCATTTGTTGCAGTGGAAGCATATGGATGGGTGTAGGGGCGGTTCTTGCATCGATAAATAAATTCTTCTGATATTTTACACCCTGAAGTTAAATAGACATGCGAATTCACTTAACTGAAAAATGATGACCAAACAGAGAGAGCGTTGTAGGTGAAGCCTGAGTCTCCTATTAGGTAGTGGTAGTAGTAGCGTACGCCTATTATTTTAGACCTCCCTTAGGGTATGGGGGCGTGCTGCTATTAGGTAAATAACTTATTTAAATTATATATAGGCAGGCTTTTTATTTTAAAAGGTAACTTTTACTAAAGCTTATGGGCTAGATATGTATTTTTTACTTATTATTTTTATAAATAGCTATTAATAGATATTATTTATTATATATTTAAAAATTTAACTATTATAGGTTATAAAAACCAGCCTTTTATAAAAACTATATATATATATTTAAAGCCAGTTATATTAAAAAAGGGTATAAAAATATAGTAAAATAAAAAAAGGGTTAAAAAATTATTTAATACTAGGCCTAGTAATTTTTTAGCTTGCTAGGGCATAAAAAACCTTAGCAAGGGTAAATAAATTAATAAAAATTTATAACTCTAAATAAAAATATTAAGTTTTTAACATTTAGTTTTTAAAGGTACTTTAAGGCTTTACCCTTAGTAATTAGGGGTATTATAGGGTATTAAGGCTATTATAAAAATTATTATTTAAAGTATTAATAAAAAACTAAGTATTTAAGGTTTTTACTTATTTTATAGGAGTAAGTAAGCTTAGTATTTTTATATTAAAAATACTTGTAATAACACCTAAAATTACTATATAATAATTTTAATATTAGCTAGTAATATAGGATTAAATATTTTAATATAAGCTTTAATTATAATATTACTTAATAAGGCTTTAAATTTATAAAGGTTATTATTTATACTAAGTAAATAATTATGAAGGTACTTTTTTATCATTTAACTTAAATAACATAATATATTGATTTATATAAGCTATATATCCTGCTTATAATAAGTATTACTTTTAAAAAGTTAGGCTTTAGGAGCTAGGCCTTTATAAAAATATTTTTATTAATTAGTTTATTCATTAGCTTATTTTTTAATACTTATATATTTAGGGGATTATTATAAATATATTATATATTAATTTATAAGCTAGTATAATACTTAAAATACTTAATTTAAAAATAATAAAGGTTATTTATATATATTAAATTACTAAAATATTATATATATAAAGCTAGTAGCATAATACCCTAAAAAGCTTTTTAATTATTATTTTTAATTTTTAAAGCATGCTAGTAACTTTATTATTATATATATAAAATTAGGTATTAATTACTAATAATCCCTATATTTAAAAATATTATTTATAATAAATTATAAAGATATAACCTATATAATACTATAAGGTCCTTGGCCTTAGGGATTTATAAATAGTGTGATAGGGTGTAATACACCTAAAAAAGGTTTATAAATAGTAATTTAAAAAAAATAAAAATATTAAAATTAATACTAAGGTTTAAATCTCTAGCCTTGCAAAGGCTAAATATTCTTAGTATATATTAAATTAACACCTAAAGGCTAACTTAGCTATTTATAAGTAAAGCTATTTATAAATATTTTTAAGTCTTGTAAAAGGGCTATATATAATATAATAGGCCTTATAACTACCCCCCCCCCTTTCACGGCCTTAGTTTTTTAAGGCCTTGTAAATAAATAAAAATATATAACTTATAAAATATTTTTAAAAAACCCCTGTTAGTATACTAAAAACCTTTATAAAAAAATTTTACTATATATAGTAAAAAAAGTATATTTTACCTATACCTTTTTTTTATATAGCTAACTTTACTAGTATTTTTTTTAAATATATTAGGTTTTATTCCGCGAAGCCCCTTTTTAATAATATTAAAATTTTATATAAAATATAAGCATGCTTGTAAGTATTATTAATTTTTTATAGGTATATTAATTTAAAGTTTATAACTATTTTAATATTTTAGGCTTATATAAAAGCGGTAGCTATACCTTATTTTTTAACTAAATTTTTTTTATTTATTTTTTTTATAATTCTTATAAAAAGTTAATATTTATAGTGTTTTTGCCTTTTCACAAGTTATAATTATTTTTAGTATTTATAAAATATTATTATTCCGCGTTTTTTTTTAAGTAAGCTTAATATTAAAGCTTTTATTTAATCACTTTTTTTTATAACTTTTTTTATAAATAAGCTGCTTGCTTTTTATAAGTATACCCTTTTATTAGCCTTTTTTATTTTTTTTATTATATAAATATATTTTACAAGCCTTTTTTTTACTAGCTTACTAACTAAAATAGCTTGTAAAATTTTTTAATACCTTAAGTAATATAATACTTACTTATATATTTTAAATTTTTTGCTTTTACTTATTTCCTGCTAGGTACTTTATATATTTTATATACCCTTTATATTAATATTTACTTGCTTGGCTATCATGCCTTATAAAAAAGTTTTATAAATTTTTAAGCTTTAAAAATATACCTTATAAGCTTTAAATTTTTATAAAAATAAAGTTTTGCCTTTACCTTTTTATAAACTTTTACTTACTTATAAGCTTTAATTACTTGTTTACTAGCTTTTATTTTTACTTATTTATAAGCCCTTAACCCTGCCTGCCCACAAGCCTTAATTATTTATTTATAAGTTTTTAACCTTGCTCCCAAGCTCTTAACTTTATTTTATAAAATCCTAATTTTATTATTATAAATTTTATTTTACAAGTATAGTTAACTTATATATAGTTAATTAAAAATAAATTTTTTTTTTATTTTTATAAATAATATTTTATAAAATAGCTCTTGCTACTTATTTTATTTTTAACCTAATTAATATCTTACCTTTTACTACTAGCCAAGGTTTTAATATTTAGTTTAGGCTTAATTAATATAAGTAAGTTTTACTTAATACCTAGCCGCCCTTTTTTACTAATTTTTTTTTATATAGTATATATTCGCGGTGTTAATATAAAGCTTACTAGGGTTATTATATTACTATAATATTTAGTAAGTATTTTTATTTTTTTACTTATAAGTTTTTTACTTATTAATATATATAAAGTTTTTTTTACTTCTTGCTTATGCATATTTTTATTTATAAGATTTTTATTTATAAGATTTTTATTTATAAAATTACTACTAACTTATTTATAATTACCAGGTAACTTTTTTATTATTATACCCTGCTTTATTAAAGGGCTATTTACTAGGGTAATATAAAATACCTTATTTTTAAATAAGGTAAGTATTATAAATTAGGTATAAGCCTGGTTTATAATACTTTTTAAAAATATAATAACTAATTTAAAAAGATTTTTTATAATTACTAGCTTATTAATTTTACTAGAATTACTATTTTATAATAGTACTAAGCTATTATTTAATTATAAATTATATTAAATTTTCGCGCTAGTATAAAGGCATGTATATTAATATAACTTTATTAATATAGCTTAAATTATTATATATATATAAACTTACAAGGCTATTTTTATAACATGTGCTAAATAAAAACCTTTATAAAACTATAAATATATAAAATATATTAATATTTTTTTTAAAAAAATTATTTAATTATCCTACTTTTATAAAATATATTTTTAAGGGCATTAACTAAAAGTATAATAACTATTTATATTAATTGTGTTCCTGCTCCCTTGCATAAAACTTAAACTAGTATTAAATAATTATTAGCTTAAAAACTATAAATAGTTACTTAGTATTACCTTTAAAGCTTTTTATACTTATAAAATATTAATTCTTATTCTTATGCATAAGAAGGCATATATATTTAATTAATAATTTATAAAAAATATTATAAAAGGGGGTTAGTGGTCACGGTTAGTTTATAAGTAGTAGTATTATTAATTAGTTTTTTTTTAGGCTTTATAAAAGCTGTTTTTTTATTTTTTTTTTATTTTTAAAAACTAGGTTTTATTTTT